TCAAGGGCAAAGCTCGCAGTGCTTACAATAATCTGCCCGTGGGTGACTCGAAGGATTTCGTTCTCATCAGAACTGCAGTACTCGCGGAGGAGTATCGCCTGAAGTTCAGGTCCATAAATTTGTCCTCGCCTGGCGAGACGTACATGGAACTCCACCACCGGCAGAGGGATTTGTTCGAAAAATGGATCACTCACGCAGTTGCGTCTGGGGGCACAATCGATGTTCCGTTCGTGACTGACCAGATAGTGCGCGAGCAGCTGCTCTCCACCCTGCCTGCGGAAGTGTGCCGGCATGTACAGGAGCAACCACGAGTGAGTGCTACTGACACAGCCAAGCTGGCTGACGCGTTTGCGCGCGCAGTCAGACCTGAGCCGGACTGCTCCACCGCTAGGAGGTGCTCCAGTAACAGTACACGCCGTCCAGCATCGTGGGTCATCTGGCAAACCTACGTCCTCCGAACGTGGTTCCACCTCTAACGCCTGTGGATACTGCGGAGGCAAATCCCACGCACGCTCAGCCTGCCCGGCACGCGAAAAAACGTGCAACAAGTGCAACAAGCGCGGGCACTACGGCGCTGTCTGCCGCTCATCCCGCCATGCCCGTGCGCTATCGGCCGAGTCTTCGCCGGGCACCGATGCCGTCGCTTCTCCCAGCTCCGTGTCTGAGGAATCTATTGATCTGGTCCCCATCTACGTTGGTGCCGTATCCGCGCACCCTCCCAGTTGGCAGGTTCAGCTCACCATCAATGGCACCACCGTTCCATTCAAAGTCGACACCGGTGCCGATGTGTCTGTCATCTCCGAGGAGGTCTACAACTCCCTTAGCACATCCCCGCAGCTCCAGCCTTGCCGGCACGTTCTCGTCAGTGCAGCCAACACCAACCTCGAGACATTGGGCCTCTTCTCCGCGCGGCTCGTCTTTCCCACCTCTGGTTCTTCACACACTTGCACCGTGTACGTTGCCAGAGGCCTGCGCGTATGTCTCCTAGGGGGCCCTGACTCCGTCGCTCTTGGTCTAATCAAACGTTTGTTCTCCAGCGACACCGCGTCCGCTACACCACTTTCGACCGCTCCGGAGCCCAGTCAATCCACGGACGATGCGCCGGGTAGCTACTCCTCAGCTCCCGCCGGGTCAGAACCTCTGCCTCTGACGACACCTGGCGACGCTATCCCACAAGACATACGGCAGGAATTTCCGTCACTCTTCTCTGGTCTTGGGTCACTCAACGAGCCGTACAACATCGAGCTCTCACCTGATGCCAAGCCATCGTGTCTCTACGCTGCGCGAAACATCGCACTGCCGCTCCGCTCTAAAGTGGCCACCGAGCTTCAGCGCATGGAACAGCTTGGTGTAATCCGCCCTGTCGTGGAGCCCACTGACTGGTGTGCTGCAATCGTGGCCGCACCTAAGTCCAACGGCACGGTACGCATCTGTGCTGATCTGAAACCTCTGAACGAAGCCGTCCGACGGTCACACCATCAGCTGCCAACAGTAGACGAAACTCTTGGCCAAATCGGCGACTCAACGGTGTTCACGAAGCTCGATGCCAACAGCGGGTTTTGGCAGATCCCGCTGGACAGTCCCTCCCAGCTTCTAACCACCTTCATCACCCCCGCTGGTCGGTTTTGTTACACGAAGTTGCCGTTCGGCATTTCCTCTGCGCCTGAGATATTCCAGCAGCGCATGTCGAAGATCCTGGCTGGCCTGGAGGGTGTGGTCTGCCAAATGGACGACATCCTCGTCCATGGCCGCACTCGTGCCGAGCATGATAGTCGTCTCTACGCGGTGCTCCGACGCCTGGTGGGTGCAGGGCTAACCCTCAATCCGTCGAAGTGTGAGTTCGCCGCCTCCGACCTGTCCTTCTTGGGAGTGCGGCTCACTGCTGCCGGCATTCAACCAGGTGACAGCAAGACCTCTGCTATCCAGCGCTTCCGTCAGCCTCAAACCGTCTCAGACATCCGCAGGTTCATGGGTCTGGCGAACCAACTGGGAAAGTTCTCTCCCAATCTCGCCGCCCTCAGCCAGCCACTGCGAGAGCTGTTGTCTAAAGGTCGCGCATGGACTTGGGATCAACCACAGCAGGCAGCCTTCGACAACATCAAGGCAGAGCTCTGCAAGCCAGCCTGTCTGCAGCGCTACGACCCCAACTACGACACCAAACTATCTGCCGACGCCCCGTCCTATGGCCTCGGTGCCGTGCTCTACCAGCGCCGGTCCTCAGATGATGAGTGGCGTCCCGTCGCTTGCGCATCCCGGTCTCTCACATCGGCCGAGCGCAACTACGCCCAAATCGAAAAGGAAGCTCTCGCGATCACTTGGGCTGTTTCCCGCTTTGACACTTACCTGCTTGGCATGGCGTGCTTCCTCATCGAGACGGATCATAAGCCTCTCGTACCTCTTCTCAGCACGAAGCGCCTACACGATCTCCCAGCGAGAGTCCTGCGCTTCCGACTCCGCCTGGCACGATATCACTACCAGATCATTCACGTTCCAGGGAGCTACCTCACCAGCGCCGACGCTCTCTCACGCGCCCCTCAAGACGACTCCCCGAGTCGGGATGACATCACCATTCAGGCTGAGTGCGACGTGTTCGCTACTATCGCAGTCGAGAATCTAGCCGATCAGACCGTCCCGACGCAGCAGGTTAGAGACGCCCAGCAACAGGACGCTACATGTCAGCAGCTGCGAACCCTCATCCTCGACGGCTGGCCCTCCGCTATCCGCGATGTACCGCAGCCCCTCCGTGAGTTCTGGCCTGTCCGCTCTGACCTCGTCCTGCTCGATGGCCTGATTATGAAAGGCTCCCGGATCTATATTCCCCAGTGCTTGGTGGCCGATACTCTTCAGCGTCTTCACGCCGGTCACCAGGGCGTCACCCGTACAACCCAACGCGCCACAGTGTCAGTCTGGTTTCCTGGCATCACCGCACGCATTAAGGCTCTCGTGCAAGATTGTAGCACTTGCAAGGCCTTCCGCCCGCCGCCGGTCGAGCCACTGCTCGCTCACCCCACACCGCCTCGCGCGTGGCACACCATTGGCGTGGACCTCTGCCAGCTCGACCGCGCTCAGTACCTGGTGGTGGTGGACTATTATTCCCGCTATCCAGAAATTGCATCCCTCACTTCCACGACATCAGCACGGATCATCGACCATCTCCACTCAATCTTCGCCCGACATGGCATTCCAGCAGTCCTTCGATCGGACAACGGTCCCCAGTTCTCGTCCGCTGAGTTTGCCCAGTTTGCGACCAGGGCCGGCTTCCGTCACATCACGAGTAGCCCTCACTACGCACAGTCGAACGGCGAGGTTGAGCGTGCCGTCCGCACCGTGAAGGCGTTCCTGAAGAAGTCCGCCTCAGCAGCTGACTTATATGATGCCTTGCTGGCATATCGGTCGACACCCCTCAGTTTCGCGCCGTACAGCCCGGCGGAGCTACTCATGGGTCGCCGCCTCGCAACGCCGGTTCCATCACAGTCAGCCCAGCTCCAGCCCAGCTCAGTGGACACGGATGCCTTCCGTGCAGCCGACACAGCGCAACGCCAGAAGTCCGGAGCTCAGTACGACCTGCGGCACAGAGCGACTATCCTGCCCGCTCTCCCCCCAGGCGCGGACGTGATCGATGTCTCGACTCCAGTTCGCCGGGAGAGGGGTACAGTGGTAGCAAGATCAGCTGAACCCCGATCCTACATAATCCAGTTGTCATCCGGACAAGTACGACGAACCCGGCATCACCTGATCGCTATCTGACTCTCTCTCTCTCTCTTCCAGTCACTTTCTCACTGTGTGTTCGAGCACGTATGCACGTGCGTTTGTGTGTGCGTGCCGATATGTGTCTGTCTTTCTCTCGCTTTCTCTCTATTCCTATTGCTACTTCGAAGTAGTACCTTTACGCGGCTGAATAGTAGGCTTTGACTCCTCACGCTCTGGTTGGGCGATCCTGGATTAGGACGCTACTCTCAACCTCCTATTTCCTGGTCGCTCAATCATAACGCATTGCAAGAGTCCTTGTTCTCTCATGTGTATTGGCCCGCCGTCTTACTCAGTATTGTTTCTACCGTTCCGCATGTTTTTCACTTTCCCATCTTTAGTTCCTCTAGTTCCCCGGAGGGGGGAGATGTAGTATGAACTCTTTTACGCACTTTACTTGTATGCATGCACGTGCCGTTGCGACACGTGTTCACGCCCGCCATGTGGTCTTTACTCTCCGAGCATGCGGGCCCCTCAGGTACGCATGCGAGGAACTGATCATGGTTGTGCTGTTTTTCGTTAGTTAGGAGTTTGTTTGCACGAAATGAAGTAGAAGCCTTTTCGGTGTGTGTAGTTCTGTTGTTGTCGGACCTGGATGGTTGCTGTGCGATACACCCAAAACACTTGCAAGAGAGGAAGAGACACATACACACAGAGCAGTAAATCAGTGTAGATTGTATTATAATAGACGGGGAGTCCCATGGGCAAATTTGGAGCATATGGGTAAACAATATGAGCCAAGAGGTTCAGGCTGGAAGGCTTTTTAAAAGTGACATGCCCCAAACCCAGCGGTGAATCACATGCCAAGAATCCTCAAAGCATTTGCCTTCCCCAGGGCACTGCATTCAAACAGGGCATCCACCACAATGTGCAGGCCTAAGTATGAACTGTGAAGAGCCGCATGATGCTGTCCATTCGGGCTGTGACATACCTGTAGATGCGGCTGGGGTCAGAGCCAACTACATGATTGTATACATGGCAGGTCCTGACTCCTGTGTGTGTGTGTATGTGCATGTGTGTGCATGTGCATGCGTGTGTTTGTATGTATGTGTGTGTGTGTGTGTGTGTGTGTGTGTGTGTGTGTGTGTGTGTGTGTGTGTGTGTGTGTGTGTGTGTGTGTGTGTGTGTGTGTGTGCCGGTTGCTGCCTATGTCTCCAGAGAATGACTACCTACTGATTGTTGTGCAAGACATCATGGATGACGAACAGTGACACAGAGAGCTGTTGAATGCAGCTAATCTGAAGAACCCGACAACAGATGACGAACAAAACTGCCCACGGTTTCTGTCCTGCCTGTGCTTCAACTAACAGTGTATGATCATTGTCAACTAACAGTGTATGATCATTGTCTGATTATTTGATCATGTGACTATCTCCCTTACTTACACCCTCACCATACCAACAAACAGAGCTGTTCTAATGAATATTGCCCATCTCAAGCCGTGTGTCCGGTCTCCGGTCTCCGGTGGAGCGCTGTCGATGCGTCTGTGTTGTGTATGAGTGAATGGAGTACAGTCGTCCCTCTCTAATCCGGCACCTTTTGCAACGGTATTTTCTGCTGGATAAACACGGGTGCTGGATTATCAAATCCTGCCCTCCAACCCGGCCCACCAGTTAACATACATGTTGGTGCGGTACGTCGAAACGTAGGGATTTTCTGTGTCAGTCCAAGTACTTTGTGGAATGCATGTCTTTAACATACACTTGGGAATATCTTGTGCACTGGCATAGGATATTCCCAAGTGTACGTTACATGTGTTGCGTATGTTACAATGCTCCCTGACGGTATGCGATGTACAACTGCTGGATTAGAAAATCAAATTATGTACAGTTTTTAAGTGATTCGTTGCAGAAATCGCTGCTGGAGGCGGAATTCAAGTGCGGATTAAAGCGTAGAAAAAGAACTGAAAAAATCCGTTTTGCCAGAAAGTGTGCTGGTTTGCAAGGGTGCTGGATAAACAAGTGCCGGATTAGAGAGGGACAACTGTACTGCCTGTTCTTCATTTGTGTATGAATGAATGGAGTACTGCCTGTTCTTCATTTTGACTATGAACTGCAGTACATTGTAGCGAGATCAGGGGGCTGGTTGACAGCCTCCAGGCATCCGGAGGCCCGGAGCCATTGACATGTAAACTAATACGGCGTGGATCAATCCTTGTATATCTCAACAAACACAACCGATGCCCAATCAATGATACAGTCAGACCTCGCTTGTCCGGATCCCTCGCAACCCAGAAGAAAATCATTGATTACCGATTTACAGCATATGCCATGCATACATACAGTATGTGTGTTAGACAATGCGATTCCCTCGCCTATCTGGATATTTTTGTGTGGAAAACGGATGTATGCGGTTATGCGAGGTCCGACTGTAATAATAGAGGGAAACCTGTCTATGCTCAAGGGACCTTGAAATGACATCACAGGGTGCGACCTGGAGTGGTCTTCTGGGACAGGTGGTCGGTCGTCTCATCCGAGTGGTTGCAGGTTTTACTGAAGTCTTCTGGGACAGGTGGTCGGTCGTCTCATCCGAGTGGTTGCAGGTTTTACTGAAGTCTTCTGGGACAGGTGGTCGGTCGTTTCATCCGAGTGGTTGCAGGTTTTACTGAAGTCTCTGCACGCAAGTCATTATAGAATAGCGTGGGGCCACAAATTGTGACAATGTAAGGATGTTAGCATGTACTGTGGAAAGTCGGATTTCGCGTTCGATGCACGTACAGATTCAGCAGGGTGAGCTTCAGCTTTTCAGTCCTGCTATTATTACCTCTACATGTACTCCCTCTTCGCAAAGATCGTGAAGATTTTACGTTGCAACTACAGTCGATGATGTGATTATGGACTCTTGGTCAGATACAAAATGTCTAAACTGGTGGATGCCACGAAAACAAAATAGCAGCAGCAGCAGCAGCACCACCGGCACCACCAGGCAATACTACCAGCTACATGTATGCGGAGAGCACAGTAAAACTGACGTTACTCAAACCTCAAGCAATGGTATATGTAAGTTACACCAAAATTCAATGTGGTATGCGACAACATGACGACTGTACATACTATTTACAGAGGTAGGTTTAGGCTGCTTCGAAACACACAGACCATACATGTATATACATAGTCATGGTCATAACCATGGTCATACGCCAGGCAACGATGATCATGATTAAGAAGCAATGTTCAATAACAACAACAACAACAACAACAATATGTACAGGAATACTACAGACAGAAATGTGGGGACAATAGTAAGCAAACAAGCGTTTCGGAGACAGCAGTTTTAATATAACAGTTAGCAACAAGGACGACTAATTGCACTGTAAGCATTCGTCATCCTTGTTGCTATATTAAAATAGTAAGCAGTTTGGGCCTACAAAAGCAAATTCAAAATTTGTCCAAGTACATACCTACTACCTAGCTATAGACCTATTTACTAATACAAGTACATGTACATGCATGGGTAGTACACTCGATCTTTCATTCTCTGTTCAAGTTACACTGATAGTAGATATGATGCGTTCCGGAGTGTGTCAAGTAAGTTAAATGGGATGGCCAGTACAGTCAAGGTGAGCCAGTGTCGGCGGATGGTTGCACAGGGTTTGGTTGTGTTGGTGCATCGGAAGCAGATGCCGCTGCCACGGCGGTGCTTGCAGAAGTCGAAGAGGGTGTCGGCGCGCCATCTGCTGGACGGCTTTTCTTGCGAGAACGAATTTCATCCATCGCCACCTCGATGGAGCGAGAGTCTCGCTTTAATGAAACGGGCACTGCAGGTGGATGGGTGAGCACCAAGCACAACACACATCAAGAAAGACCGACATCAATCGGAAACTCATTACGGTACCACGCATGGAGTGCCTTACTCAGGCAGGCGAATGTATACCACTGCAAGCTGGGGGCAAAGTTTTAAAACTAGTGCACAGGAGAATCAAAACTTCTATGAAAAACGAAATCCTGACCAACGTACGCACTTAGTACTTGGCGAGAAATCCACAGAATTTTGCCCTGAGCAGTCAACAGCTATACGCACTGCTCTGCTCAGCTACATACTTCAATAGCCCCAAAGGCTATAGCGGAGCACACACCAAATGAAGTCAGCAATACACACGAGCTGTGACTACAGGAAGCACTTGAACACTTCGACACATCTGCGGGGGAAGAGGCGCGAGTTGTCATGCTCGCACAGCCCATGTATGTCCTTACCACAGCCAAACACCTTGGTGCCATCTACGCTTAGTGCAACCTTCTCCTCGGTCTCGTTGCCAATAATCTTCTTGTATTTGTTCATGTAGTCGCTGTTCGGTGCAATTTCAGGCTTAGGTCGAGCCAGCCTAGTAGCAGACTGTGTAACAAAAGACAAACAGAGCATGCATCACTGTCATAGTATGCTAGAATATATAGTATATAGTCAGAGGTTGTGTGTGTGTGTGTGTGTGTGTGCGTGTGTGTGTGTGTGTACACGCATGCGCGTGAGAAGTAATACCCAGAAAGGTAGCTATTAAATGTCATAACTTACTGCACTCTGCTTTGCTGCCTCTGCTGCTGCTGCTACTGCTGCGGGGTCGTACGGCTATGCAGCAGAAAACGCAAACAAAGAGTTGTACGTTGGCGGACAGAATAAGAATCAATCCAAAATTAAATTCTAAATATTATTAGAGATACCGGTTCACCGCCAACCTAACACAATAAATATACCCTAAGTGGATCAAAGGCACAGAGAAAAAGACAACTGAAAACAAAACATGGTTTATGCCAGCCAGGATTATAGATGGTTTGGAGGCAACAACGTTGTGAATGGCCAACGGTCCTCAGCGTTTGTTCAGCACCTGCATGAGCGACACTGACTCACGCTGCTATCTGGTGTTCACGAGGTGTTTGTCGCGCTGGAAACGGAACGTCTCTGTAAGTTTGTATCCCTGGTGATGGTTTGGTCTGGAGAGCAATATATAAGTGGTGCTCTTCAGACACAATCTTCCTCAGCCTACTCAAGCTCAACTGATGAGGGGTGAATTCCCCGAAACACTGTGTATTGGGCAGGAAGTGGTGCTTTCTTGCAGGTTCGCCGAGTGGAAGGTTCGATGGACTTCTCGTGTGCTCTGTATGGCAGTCGTGGGTCAGTCAAGTGAGAATTCAAGTGGGCAGGAAAAGCGCGAGCTCCCACGTAGGGAGCACCACACAATTCCCCAAGTATCGCCGAAGTCGCATCACCCTCTTCTTCACAGGATTATAGAAATTCAAGAAAAATTGAAGTGTGAATGGTATCACAAGCACACGGAGGTCACAAACATAATACTTGCTTACCACGCCCGCCCTTAGCGCCGCTAACTCTGCATCGCACGGTGCCTGCTCCTGTGCACACACAATACGGGTACAAACAAGTATCAATCACAGCGCTACTTACATACTGCTGGCAGTAGGAATGACAGAGTTGGTTCAGGCCCACGGGCGCCCTGCCCCAAAAGTGAGGTATTCTGGTAAACATACCGGTACATGTGTGCCGCATGATGGGACAACTTCAGATTAGACCTACCTTCTTCCATATAATGAGATGCCGATTAACGTCTTCCTCTCCAAAAGCAAAGCTAACTAGGCCAGCAATGTCGGCTATCTCATGTCTGGAGTACAACAGAAATAAAAAACATGCACTTAGAGAGAGAGAGAGAGAGAGAGAGAGAGAGAGAGAGAGAGAGAGAGAGAGAGAGAGAGAGAGAGAGAGAGAGAGAGAGAGAGAGAGAGAGAGAGAGAGAGAGAGAGAGAGAGAGAGAGAGAGAGAGAGAGAGAGAGAGAGAGAGAGAGAGAGAGAGAGAGAGAGAGACACGACAGGAAAGGTTCACAGTCAAAAGACAAAGTACCGTATTTTCCGGAGTATAAGCCACAACCCCCATATTTTTGCCAATACAGACATCTATGCTTTTTATCACCGTTAATTTGATCATCGGAGTATAAGCCGCACCCCCTTTTTGTGGGTGAATTTTGAGCGCTCAAAGTGCGGCTTATACTCCGGAAAATACGGTAGATCGCAAACTCCCTTTCACCCACCTCAGCCTATTAAATGTAATTTAAATCTCTATCACACTTATACATGCATCATGCCAGAATATGGTCACCGTACCAGGATCCCATGACGTTGTGTGGCTTGCATTGTAGCGCGCAAAACAACTCTAGTACACAGAGTGAAGAGATGCGTACAAATAGTGCTACATGGTTGTACTTACACAGCACTGCGTTCCACTTGATTCATGGGCTCCAACTCCAACTTTGTCGTCTCATCGCTCTGGCAGAACTTGTTGATCTTCAAATCCATCTACAGCACAGTGGCAAAGAATCAAATAATGTAGCTGAGAGAGAGAGAGAGAGAGAGAGAGAGAGAGAGAGAGAGAGAGAGAGAGAGAGAGAGAGGGAGAGAGAGAGAGAGAGAGAGAGAGAGAGAGAGAGAGAGAGAGAGAGAGAGCACACGCACACACACACACACACACACACACACACACACACACACACACACACACACACACACACGCATACCTTTGGACTTTTGGAAAGCCCATCGCCGAAGGCGATGATAGCACACACACACACACACACTCACACATGCACAAATTTAATAATGTTGAAGATGGACCACCATAGTACGGGAAACACGTGAAAAGTGAAAAGTGGGCAATAACCTAAGTAGAGCTAAAGGTACGACAGACTGCATGGTTTTAAAAGCAACTTACTTTTCGACGGAATTAAGCATCTTCTTCCGCTGCTCGGTCTTCTGCTTTTTCAGTTTTTCTTTTTCATCTGCAAACGGGAGCAGTAATGTACATGTAGCAGCACAGCTGATGCCGGTGTACATGCTCTAGCCATACATGCTCTAGCCATACATGCTCTAGCCATACATGCTTTAGCCATACATGTTGTAGTCAAGTACAGGTACCGGTAAGTTTGCTGGTAAGCGCCCACCTAAGCCAAAGCTGCATAGGATATACCTGCACACTTGAACACAGCTCGGCTCGTAGTGTAAACACTGGAAATGTGTTCAGCCGACCGTGCAAATGCACGGAAACTATGTCACTTCTCCGGGTAGCTGCCCGGGTACTTTCGAAAACGTTGCCGTGTAAACGTAGCCTATTGCAGTGTGTGCAGATAGCGTGGCGTCCTTTCCAAATAAAGACTATTCGGGCACATGACGGGGGGGGGGGGGGAGGGGGTTAACAGCAACTTCATGGTACACATGGTAAAATGTGATAATTCAAGCACATTGCAAGAAGGTCCCCTGTCTCTATTTGAAGTTCTATGCCACAGTGTAGTCCTCAAAGATTATCAAAATAGCGACACAGTTCGAAAAGAGTAGTTTCTTTGCATTTTACCTTTGGCAGCCTGTTTCTCCTTGCTGTCAATAGACGGTGGTCCTTTCATGGACCCAATATCGATCCCAGCAGATCCATCTCGTGAAATCACGTAACCAGTAGTTGGTAGATTGACCAACGTGCTATAGAAATACATTCAGTGGTGTAGTTTCACCGAGAGAGTAGAGGCAATGGAGATAAGCCTATCTCACAACAACCCCAACAGGACAAAATAGTGATAGCAAAATAATGAACAAGCAGAAGCTCCTTCACAGTCAAGTTCACACAGCTGACAGATATGTACACTCATCATAAACAAACTCAATGGAAAGCGAAAATTGAAAATGGATTTGAGATTTTGATCATTTTCAAAAATGCTAAAAGCATGCACCGAGTCCGTGCAGTGTGTGTGCATTCAAATCACAGATCACAATATCCATGATATCAAGAGTACATTGTAGTCTTGATGATATCGATTGGCTGTATTTTCTGTTTCTTGGAGAAGGAAATAATTGACATACTGCAGCTGTACAGTTCTGAGTTGTTCTCGGTGGGAAAGTGAATTACTGATTAGAAGTGTGCTTCGTTTTTGCTGTTCCCGGGCATAGTTTTTCTGCATCTTGCTTGGCTCTGCTTTTCAGAATCGATTGAAACCGAGATTTAACTTCAATTGAGACCACTTTTACTCTGCTATTGCATATGTGCCTTCTAACAATGTAACCAAGCATCGCTACAGTTCTGGTGTGGAGCATGTCTCAACTAAAAATTGGGCAGTATGTGCTGGGTACCACTCTTGGCAAGGGATCTTTCGGTAAAGTGAAACGTGAGTAAAGTCATCCCTGCATTGCTTTTGATTTGTAAAAAAAATGGCAATACATGTACATGAAGTCAACTCCTCAATCTGATGAAATTTTACTTCGTGGTGCCGAGTTCCATGAACTGGAAAGGGTGAGGGCGCTTATCATATTGCAGGCTTACAGTTGTATGCTATGCTAGAATAACGCGCCGGAAAATTTTAGGCGCAAGAATGCACAGCCAGAAAACTCCAAACAGAAGACCTTCCGCCTGTGATACTGAGAAAGCCACTTTGGTTTCTGCAGCTGTCAGCCTGTGCAAACACCAGGCATGAACACTTAGATACGAAAGGCACCCTTGGCCTTGCCTCGCCTCTCTCTCTCTCTCTCTCTCTCTCTCTCTCTCTCTCTCTCTCTCTCTCTCTCTCTCTCTCTCTCTCTCTCTCTCTCTCTCTCTCTCTCTCTCTCTCGCAGACCAAATGTTTACGACATCGACTCGACTGCGATTGGGGGTAGGCAGCAGCTTTCGGCCTGTTCATCATTTTAAAGTCAGTCCCAACCTGCTCTACATGCGCTCTCCGGATGACCTCATTCACCAATCCAGCCAGGAACACTACTCCACGTTGTTGTAGATAATGGCATAAATTCCTCCATACAGCTGTTTCCATCCTACTGATCCCATCAGGGATGGTCATAGGAATGCTCTATGGCTAGAAATTGCGAATAGCACCATTGTATACGGAGAATAACTGGCAAAATGAAGAAGCACGGTCCCGCACTTTGAGGTGACATAATTAGAAGTGCTAACACATGGAGGATACATGCAAGACGACACTGATATGCGTCAGTCTGAATTGTCAGCCCAATGTTTACTGTCAAGAGTGCTAGGTTCTCTTGTGCCTACAGTATCACGTGTATCTATGTCTGGAGTGTGCTTACGTGTATCAGTATCACGTGTATCTATGTCTGGAGTGTGCTTACGTGTAAAAGTACCATACCATCTCCATGTGTAAGCACTTGTAGTTCTGTTACCTCAAAGTGAGGGGATCGCACTTCTTCATTTTCTCAGTTATACTCTGTGTGCTATTCACAACTTCTAGCTATTCAGAACTCTTATGGCCTTCACTGATGGGATCAGTACGATCGAAACAGCTGGAGGAATTTAGGCCAATATCTACATTAACTTGGCGTGGTGAGCGGGGTCGGCCGGATAGCGTGTATGGCTCCAGTGTGCCTTTCCCATTTTCGTTACAGTTTTAGCGTGAGAAGTACGTTGGTGTGTGAAACTGCACTGCATTGTGAGCACCAATGTGCAGGCACTTGGGAAACGATTCAAGGAATGCTGCTTAGCTCTCTCTCTCTCTCTCTCTCTCTCTCTCTCTCTCTCTCTCTCTCTCTCTCTCTCTCCTCTCTCTCTCTCTCTCTCTCTCTCTCTCTCTCTCTCTCTCTCTCTCTCTCTCCCTCCCTCCCTCCCTCCCTCCCTCCCTCCCTCCCTCTCTCTCTCTCTCTCTCTCTCTCTCTCTCTCTCTCTCTCTCTCTCTCTCTCTCTATCTCTCTATCTATCTATCTATCTATCTATCTATGTCTCTCTCTCTGTCTCTGTCTCTGTCTCCCTCTGTGTGTATGTGTGTGTGTGTGTGTGTGTGTGTGTGTGTGTCTCTCTCTCTCTCTCTCTCTCTCTCTCTCTCTCTCTCTCTCTCTCTCTCTCTCTCTCTCTCTCTCTCTCTCTCTTCTCTCCCTCCCCTTTGCATTGTGTGGTTGTGACAGTGGGTAAGCACCAACTCACTGGCCATGAAGTCGCTGTTAAAATCATCAACCGCAAGAAGATGCGGAGCGTGGACGCGTCCGGTAAAGTACGTCGTGAGATCCAATACCTGAAGCTATTCAACCATCCGCACATCATCAAACTGTGAGTGAATACATCATTGAATTGCGTTTGAATGCATCGGCGTCTGGGTATCGGGGATGTGTGTTAAGCCGTACATGGTCAGTGCATGGTCAGTCTGGAGATGTGTGTAGCTTTGCAGCAGACTGCTTTCAATGCCCTGAGCTTACTCTGGCCGTTCTGGTTTATGTATCAATGCATTGAAGGAGAGAATTTGTAAAACAAGGGGCAGGAGCGACACCGCTATCGCCAGGAATCAAAGCTTGAAACACTGGTCAGGGGCGGATCCAGGAGGGGTTCCAGGGGTTCCACGGAACCCCCTAAATTTCATAAATGTACTACTGGCAACCATATGAGTGTCCATGTACATGTATCAGCTATTCAGTTTTGACTACTTGAAGTACATGTATACTGGAACCCCCTGTAGAGATCGCTGGATCCGCTACTGCTGGTATGCCATGACTAGTGATCACTCTTGCCCGTTTCCACATTTGATGGTAGAGCTTGTTGAGTAAAGAATAAAAGCTCCCGCACCACCTGCACAAACAGGATCTTGCCTTACTGCTATGCGGCACCATTGCTAATGATGGTTTGTGACTACTGTACAGTGGCCATTGGTGCTGATTGTCCATGCGCTTTTCTACCTATGTTGTTGTCCTGTCACTAAACTAGGTATCAGGTAATCCCCACGCCAGCTGACATCTTCATGGTCATGGAGTACGTATCCGGTGGTGAATTGTTTGACTATATCATCAAGCATGGCAAAGTAAGTGAATGGTGGCAGTAACTAGTCCACAAGTGACTTTGGAGCATGGTGGTGTAAATGATGACAATTTCCAGCAGTCATCTTCTGGTGGGTTACGAGTCTTGACTCAGGCGGAGAAGAGACAGTGCTCCACCACCACTTCCGCCCTTCCAGCTCTCCCTCCCTCCCTCCTGTAACAAACTGTCACATATTTTCAAGCTAGCAATCGCTGTGCTCTGCTGTTCTTTCTCCCTGTGCTCTAGCTGGAAGAAAGTGAAGCGAGGCGTTTCTTTCAGCAGATCATCTCCGGCGTGGACTACTGCCATCGTCATTTCATTGTTCATCGGTATGTTGAATAGGCCATGCACTTCACGGTGTAGTGTACGTGATGTCCTGGTTGTTCCGATTGTGAAGACCTCAAGTTTCTTAATTGCTTACATGTGTGCGTAATACTGTAGGCCGTAGCACTGTCAATAAGAAGACACACATCTGAAAACGTGCTCTTGGCCTGCTTGTGATTGTCCAGGGATCTCAAGCCAGAGAATCTACTGGTCGACGGCCATGGGAATGTCAAGATCGCTGACTTCGGTGAGTTCCTAGACACTAGTACAGTAAAACCTGTCAAGGCGACCACTTGGATAAGGAGACCACCTGGCAATGGAGACCACATTTTGAATGTCCCGTTGACGGGCGTCTTAGACAGGTTTCACTGTAGTTGTATGAAAGTCTGTAAACTTTGTTTCATTTCACCAGGTCACCAGGTGCACTGGCATGTCTGCCTCATCGCTAAGGGTGGCTGGAGCTCTGTAACTCTGCAAGTCACTCACATACATCAAGTCAAGTGTGCATTGTAATTGACAGGGTGTTTATAGTGGTTAGCTAAGTTAGTGCTGTGTGACGGCTCTCCTCATCCTGTATCTTGGTGTGTTCTCTAGTAGGGAAGTAGGTTGCGCGGAACCTTTGCGTGTCCAATGCCATGGCATGTGTGCGCTTGGCCATGCGTGTCCAATGCCATCCCGTATGTGTGCGCTTGGTTGTCGGATGTGCATGGGGTTGGTAGTTTTAGCACATGCGGCATGGACTGTGCTCACTGCTGTCTTTGATCATGAATGGCCTGCCTTTATTGCTTCTGTTTGTTAGGCTTGTCCAATATGATGATGGATGGCGAGTTCTTGCATACCAGTTGCGGCTCACCAAACTATGCCGCTCCGGAGGTGATCTCTGCCAAGTAAGGGATACTGCAGACATGGCTCATTACACTGCTAAGGGGTCGTCGCAAAAGTTTTCTGTCGTCCCTGAAACGAACATCGTTCTTTTCGTACTCGGACCCCTCCCCTCCCTCTGAAATGAACACAGCTTGCTATGCTGGACGACGAAATCACATGCATGTACAAGTGCAGTGTACAGTGCCGGCCGACTTGCGATTTTGGCTCGCACCCCTGTCCCCCCCCCCCAAATGAATCATGTTCGTTTCAGGGACGACGAAAAACCTTTGCGACGACCCCTAAGTCCACTGTCAGAGAGTGCACGGGGTTATGTGCCTGAGCACTGCTCTAAGTTGCCTTCGCTGTGGTGCTAACCGTTTTTCGTGGATACCGTGGATATATTACTACGTTGTAGGCCTATATAATTATTACGCTTCTAAGGGCAGTGCTTTTGTGTGGCATTTCCTCATGTTTCTCATACTACTCCACATTTTCTGAGCCAAACTCATGGCTCTCCAGTGTGTATAAGTTTAGTATTAATAGCTGGCTTTGAGTAGCCGAAGCTCTGTTGAAAGCATGGGCAAATAGTTACAAGATAACATTTATTCGTTCGCTTGCTGTTTTCTCGCAGGCTTTATGCTGGCCCGGAAGTTGACATTTGGAGTTGCGGTGTTATTTTGTACGCACTACTAAATGGAACGGTGAGTGTTGTTTATAGGTGGTTGTGTGTGTGTGTGTGTGTGTGCGTGTGTGCATGTGTGTGCGTATGTGTGTGCGTATGTGTGTGCGTACGTGTGTGCATATGTGTACATGTATGTGATTGTTGGGCGGGGGGGGGGGGGGGGGGGGGGGGGGGTGTAGGGCCCATTCACGCTACAGGCACATGATGCCACATGCCTCAGCTGCTGTGCGGATGTCACTGTGCAGCCAATCAATTGCAGGGCTTTGCTGGCAAGGAGCTGCTTCGACTATTTTGTACTTCAGCTCGGTGACAGCCAAGCAGCTAGCACCAGCCCAAGTGACAAAGCATTGGTTGAGTTGGATGACTACTTTGAGCTCCAGGACTCTGCTGGGGCCGAACACTACCTATCACAACTAAACACTTCATCATGGGAAGCTTCCATGGGCTATGTACCGCTGAAACACCTAGCTATACCTTGCTGTAGCTAATGAACCAGTTGTTATGAGCTGAAAACACTATATATCCAGATTCTAATGACATCCATGCTGTTATTGTGTGCCATGTTGCTACAGCTGCCTTTTGATGACGAAAACATGGGGATGCTGTTCAAGAAAATTCGAAGTAAGAAGTTTGTTTGAGTGCCCACCGGTCAAATGGCCTTGTTCAGTAATGTACGGAGTATTCTAGTTAGTGTGCTGAATGTTACCCACTCGTCTCCAAGCACATAGTAGCTACACCAGCCAGGCTGCCAAAAGTCTTAGTGAGTCTTGCGCGCCACGTGAACCTTTCGATTGAAAAAAAAAGAAAAGAAAAACTGGTGACAGATTCGGCCATTATGTGGTGAAGTGCACAGAGGACCACACTTGTATGACTGGCGTTGTGCTATGTGGAGCATCCCATGCCACAGCTCTGCAACACAATACATGTCATTGCGTCAATGTATACACAGAATACACTGGCTCAGCTTCATTATACTTGATGCCTGCCAACTGGCATACCAATCTGTGACGACTTCTCTGGCGTTGTACTGGGACGGGCGTTGAATTGTTCCTGGATTCCTAGACCGGTGCTGAGTGTCCATAGCAATCGACTTCCGATCCTTCTTCACCTTTGTCAAAACAGCAATAGGCACCAGTGTGCTGATCAAATTTAATTATATACACATCCCGCGTCTTCTACATGTTCTCCCACTGATCTATGTCTATCTGTCGGTACTTGAAAACGCAACACATTGTTTTCCAACACCGCGCTCTATCCTTATAGGCATGGGTTCAACTGCATTTCTGACACCATGCTATGTGTGGTCCTGTCTGAAGAAAGAAGAGATTTGAGTCATCTTCCGCGTGTGGTTTGAGTCATCAGTCGACTTTGTTTCGGCTCATCAGTCACATCACCCTGGTTGACTTATCACAAGTAGACTGCACTCGTGCTAATGCCAAGAGCCAAGAGACCCCGTAATTGTATGTGGTGGTGTGTGCGTATTCTGTCCCCCGCTCGAATATTGTAGAACGTGTCATGTTCCCGGAAACTGTATCTCTTCAGTTTTACAAGTATATCCATTCATACCAGTATCGTGACATGCAATCTGTACATGTGGTGTACATTATGCTCAGGTGGCCAGTTTACCATTCCTGTAGACATGCCACCGGAATCAGCTGACCTAGTCAAGAAGATGCTGGTTGTTGACTCTCTGAATCGAGCAACTATGCAAGATGTCAAGTGAGTAGTTGTTCACAGTCGGAATCAGTCGTGCCTGAGCCTTTTTTTTACATTGTTTTAAAGCATGTTAGGTTCTGAGGCGTTGAATGCGTGGAGCAGGGAGAGTCAATTGAATGCACCCGTTTGCTGTGATGTACTAGTAGCGTGAAGGAGATCAGCAGAAGAAGCGTGTGCCACTGAGCCCCGTATGCATGACTAACTGACCAGCTTTATGCTGCTGTGCTCTAAGGGTCGAAGAGACTATGCAGTGTTACGTCTTTGACTACATGTGTGTATGTGTCCATGGTGTTGTTGTTGTTGTTGTTGTTGTTGTTGTTGTTGTTGTTGTTGTTGTTGTTGTTGTTGTTGTTGTTGTTGTTGTTGTTGTTGTTGTTGTTGTTGTTGTTGTTGTTGTTGTTGTTGTTGTTGTTGTTGTTGTTGTTGTTGTTGTTGTTGTTTTGCTTGCTCCAGGAGTCACGAGTGGTTTCTAGTTGGCCTGCCTGATTACTTATTTCCCTCTGTGTTTGCCAATGAATCGACATCTGTGCAAGATGATGTTGTGGAGGAAATAGCCAGTGTAAGGATCAGCGCGGCACATGAGCATGGCTGTGTTCTGTGTACATGCGCATGTGCATAATTGCCTGTTGTTTACTCCTTTCAGCAACTGCGAATGAGATGCATACAGGCAGTTATGGTTTCCCAATACAGTGCAAGGGCAAAAACTATACAATGTCATGTATCTCCCTCTTTTACTCCATTTCCTTTTTTCCTATTTTGCTGACAATTTTAGGCCAAGTAAAGGTTGACACGATTTGTTTACTAATATGTCCCAACTTGTCCCTGTGTGTGTGTGTGCGTCATGCATGCAGCGTTTCAAGGTTGATCGCCAGGCTGTCCTGAATGCTCTGCAAGGCCAGAACGACAATGATGACCTGCAATTGAGAATAGCCTATCAGCTGGTCGTGGACAATCGACAAGTGCACGTCACCAGAGGTAAGCATGGTGAATCAGCCCAACTACTACCAGCACCAGCACCTCCCCTATCGCCACCACTGCTGGCATCACCATCACTATTGCTACTTGAACATGCACATGCACATGCTGGCTGTCCAATCAGCCTTTGCCATCTCTGCTGTTCACATACAATGTTCATGCACACATACAGGAACAGGCGTGGCCAAAGAAATACGACCTGCGAACAAAAAGCAGCTCTGCGCTTCGATTTTAATTACACCATGCATGGTCCAGAACCGTATCCTAGGGCTGCATGAGCCTTGGTGCAGGTTGGATTTCTTTGGCCACAACTGTACACATGCACAATATTACTGTTGTCAGTTGTCACAGGAGAGTACATTGAGGCAGGCATGTCACTGAGGCAATGATGTTAGGAAGGCTAGATGCTTCATTCTCTGTTTGTGGATAGCTTTGTAAAGGTTTCTCCGGTGTATTGACAGTAAACTACATGAAGGCTTTAATTTATTCTGTCCCTTTCTCATAATTTACTCCAGAAACCCCTCCGGCCCTTAGCTCATCACTGCAGACTACGGCTGGTGCTTGGGTAAGTCATCTTTTTCTCTTTTGTTGTGCGTTGCTGTACGGTATCATGGCATTCGTACTGTTCTCTATCAGAGAGGTATTCCACCAGCCAACAGAGTGCCGTGTCGCAGATGCCAAGTTCGAACAGATCTTGCACAAGAGTTTGATGTTTCACTTTATCGAATGCCTTTGACATATCAACAAAGGCTACACCTGTGTTGAGTTTATTCATACGGGCCTCACAGATACCTTCCACAGCTAGCACTAGTGCGTCGGATGTAGAGTGGTGGGATCTGTAGCCGAATTGAGTTGGCGGGAATAAATTGCTCTGGACTAGATATCGGTGAGTTGCTCGTGAACTATCCTTTCCAACACTTTGGATGCAATCGATAACAAGGACACTGGCCGATGATTCTTTGGCATGCTCGGATCTCCGCCTTTGAAGAGTGGCGATATCCTAGCACTTTTCATCTGGGCAGGAAATATGCCCTCTCTCAGGGACTTGTTAAAGATCAAAGTCAGTGATGGTGCCAGTACGTCTGCATGTGCGCGGAGAAGGGCTGCAGAAATGTCATCATCACCGCTGGACTTGGCTGGATTTAAACGTTCGAGGAGCCTCCTCACTTTGGCAATAGACACTGGTGCAAAGGCTGTCAGATCCGTGCTTGAGGCGGGCCCGTGGGGAAATGAGAGATGCACTGGGCGGCTGACGTCCTCTACTATCTCTGCAAAGGTGTTTCGGATGGCATCAACAGAACATAGAGGTGGCTGAGATTGTCTATGTTTACCACTCAATTCTTTGATCGTGTGCCATGTCTGTTTGGTATTGCCAGACGCAGCTCGAAACTTGGATTGGTAGTAGGTCTCTTTCTGTTGCCTATTATAGCTGGTAGCTTCCCGCCTGGCAGACTTGAAAGCTGAGTGGGAATATTCTGTTCCATCACTAAGCCACCTCCTATGGAGCCGGTTGCGCTTGGTCAAGAGGTGTAATACCGTATATTCTCTATTATAAGCACAGGTCTCCATTACTAGCACAGTCTCTACTACTAGCACATTGTGAGCACCTTTCGAAACATTATAAGCACGGTCTCTATTATTAGCACGGTCTTGGTGGAAATCAATGCTGCATGCATGATATCTAGCATGTATTTCTTCTTGCTCTGTATGGATGTATTGGTTGAAAAAATATAAGCGCAGTCTCCAATATAAGCGCGGTCTCCAATATAAGCACGGGGTAGAGGGGTGTTGAAAAAATATAAGCACGGCGCTTATAATAGAGAATATACGGTAACTGGCGGTTCATCCATGGTACTGATTTTTTCTTACGTCGAGGGCTTGGTGCAAGAGGAGCATGTCTGTCTAACACTTGTAGAAAGCAGCTGGCCCACTCAGTCCACATGACAGTTGGGCTTCTGTCAATTTCACAAAAATCCTGTGGACCAAATCTGCCTTGAACTGGTCATGATTTATGTTTCGGTAGTGTCGCCGTAGCCCAGAAGTTGCAGTACAGTCGAATGTCACTTATCCGACCACTTCGGGAATCAGGCATATTGGATAACTGGATATGTTGGATAACTGATATCATTTTGTATGTGCATATATGGCTGGATTTCACTGGTTTATGTACACAATACCCAAATATATTCATGCATATTCATGAATTGCTCCATGTACACATACATGTTAGCATACTTGACCACATCTACTTCAAGTAAATGCATATTACACCATATAATAATTATACAAAAAAAATAGAATTTTACTGTTGAGAGTCATAAAATTACCACTCCCGGGCTTGTCGGATAACCGACGTGCTCGGATAACTGGCGACCGGATATTAAAGTGACATTCGACTGTACTTCTTACTGGGCTGAGTTGAAATTCACTGAGAACTGCTGCATGGTCACTGAACGCGATGGGGATAACAGTAGCCATATTTAGAGGGTCGAATGTATTGTAAAATTGATCTAGTGTGGTTGGTGCAGAGTTCGCTGAGAACCGAGTCGGCTGGTTAACTCTGGGGTATAAACTGTAGCTGGCCACGAGGTCAGATAGATAATGAAGCTGTGTATCTGGAGTTGCTGTTGGATTGGTGTTTATGTTGATGTCGCCACAAACGATCACGTTCTTCCCGGGCATTATAGCTGAATGGAGATGGTCGTTCAGGCAGTCCCAGTATCGAACTGGCTCAGATGGAGGTCGATAAATGGTTCCTATCAAACAAGTTCCAGATTGGCAATGGATTTCTCCCCAGCAGCTCTCAATTGCCGATGCTGTGAGGTCCATTCTTGGCTTGACCAGGAGGGATGCCTTGGAGTACAGGCAGACTCCTCCACCAGCCTGATCTTTTCTGTCTGAGCGCAGTATGTTGAAGCCATCCAGAGCTATCTCTCCATCAGACATGGTGTCGTCTAGCCAGGTCTCGTTTACACAGATGATGTCAGGATTGTGCAGGTCGGCAAGCCATGCCAGCTCTCCAACTTTGTTCCTCAGGCTCCTAATGTTCAGCAGTAAAATTCGAATTGTTGGAGTTTGCAGCATGTGCAATTTACAAGGAGGCTTCTAAAGAGGCAGGTGACTCTACTGGTGGGCGCTTTCCAGAACGCTGGAGACTGGGAGTACCTGATAAGTCGTTGTCCCCACGCTCTAACTGGTCAGGGTTGCCGCCCTTGCTGTCTTCGGAATACTTCTCGAAGTTCCATTGCCGCGAGTAAACTGGTCGCGGCCAGAATACCTTTGAATTGACAAGTGCAGCCGTCTTCGAATTAGCAACAAGTCGTGCAGAGGAGCTAGCCTCCTTCCGGAAGATCTTGCACTCGTGAATTTGGACTTCGGTTTTCGCTGTGCTTGCACGGGTTGTGACGAACTCACTAGGTTTCTCCACACTGGTGTCACTTGGTAGGTTGCCCACGAACAACACCGTTCTCTTCCCAGTTGGCTTTTTTTGCAGCAGACTAGCTCCCACAGTCCACTTTCAGCCCTGTCGTCTTCAAAGCTGGGCAGCAGGTTCGAATTTTGAATTGTCGTTGCCGATTTTCGAGTACTTACTCTCAACCAGCTCCGACACACGTGCAACTGGTGCATCGGCTGGTGCACCGGGGTTGACCTGTGGGGTCGGTTCCTGAACTGTACTCACAAAACGTTGATCTATGCAAGGGGTCACGGACGCGGGTGAATCCCGTACACGAGATCGTGACCTCTCCTTGGTCGTTTTCTTGCCAGTGTTGGCCTTGACTGCCATAATGGCGGACTCCTTCAACGACTTCATTTCTTGCCTTAAATCCAAGACCAGGCCGGCGAGCTCGTCTACTCTCCGCTGGAGGCGTACTTCGTTGTTTCTGGCCTCAGTGACGAAAACATTCAAAGTGTCTACAAGGCTGATCACGTTGTGATGGATTCCGGGAATGCTACAAAGTAGCTTCACCTGCTCCGCGCTTGAGAGCTCACCCATGGCGCAAAGATTCTCCTTGTGCACAACCTAGCTACCTAAACTACACTACTGCAACGTCGCTGTTTCTGGCCTCACTGACGAAAGCATTCAAAGTTTCTACAAGGCTGATCACGTTGTGATGGATTCCGGGAATGCTACGAAGTAGCTTCACCTGCTCCGCGCTTGAGAGCTCACCCATGGCGCAAAGATTCTCCGCTGTGTACTCCTGTCCTTCAATAAGAAGTTGCTTCTTCTCCTCGGTTTTCTTCACTCGTGCCTCCTTTGCATCTGTATGCTTCTTGGATGCAAAGTGGTATGTAAAAGAGTACTGTGAACGAGTGACACCTCATGTCTGCAAACGCTACAAAACAACTTGCCCAGCCGGACTTCCGAGCGCTCATTCGCGAACTCCTTGACGCGGTATGCTGGACCACGATTCTTGGGGGACCTGGCTGTTGATGGTGGCTTGTATGCTCCCTTCTTCTGGGAACCTTTATTCACAGAAGTAGCCCGTTTCCTACTGAGATCAGATTCCTTTGGCGGACGAAGACGATCCAAAACTCCAAGTGCAGTTCTTTCCGGTTCACAGTCAGCATGCTCATCGGCAGCCTCGAGTGCACTTGGCTCTGAAGAAGCCATACAACCAAACAAAATGATCGATTCATTTAGTCTATCAAAAACAACCACATCATTTGCACGCGCTTCCTCCACGTGCGCTTGGAACGACAAGGGATTCAAGTTTTACGCCATTTTGGTTGCCATGGTAACGGCAGCATAATTTTCGCATTTTGGGTGAAATTTTGAATTTTTTTAAAAGATTTTTTTGCATTTTGGGTAAATTTCCGAAAAATAAACATTTCCATTTTGCCCCTTCAAAAAACGCATAATCCGGACAGGGTTAGTCAGAGATGGGAAGAAAGCCGAAAGATGATTTGTCGTTGTTTGTGTTTCTAAATAGTAAATACCCACACAGTCACCTGAGGTGGAAATCAAGCCTGAGTTTACGCCCAGTGAAGTAGACATGATGTGCTGTCACTGGAAATGATGCTGTGTTTGCAGCGAGCCCTGAATCCTAATAGGTATGAACTGTGTCAGAGCAGGGGCAGAGGGTGTCACCGTCATGATCTCCACATGCCTCTCAACTCGCGAAAAGGATACCTGAAGTAAAGATAAAAGGATGTGAACAGGATCATTGTCAATTTCTATATCATTCAATAAGCCAAATATCTGCCGGGCGCACTGATGTCAATGACGTAGCATTCATAAAGATACACAAGTAGTGGGTAGATGTTTGTTCTCCGTGCGCCATGGTTTCTGTTGACAGGGTTTGCTTGCTACATCTCCACTCCGCGCTCTACCAAACGTGTCTAATATACCTTCTGGTCAAGGTACGTGCAAGCCTCTGTCTGTCTGTGTGTCTGGGATTGCTTGGCAATTCCTACCATGTTAGATTGGTGGTCTGCTCGCCAAACTTGAGTGTCTCCTCATTTGTCCAATATTGCACTTCTGGCACACTGAACTGAACAGTCTCCATGCATGTTGTGTAGTATCCTAGCTACCTACTTCGAAGTACAGTATGCTCTATTTTACTGTGTTACTGCTAGCACTGGCATTGGCATTGGCCAGCAATGCTTGTGTTTAGGAATGACCTGATCCCCGGGCCAGTAACTCGAGGCTCTGACAGTGTGTAGTATCACTATCAGCAGACAAAGCTACACTTTCAATGTCCGGCTGTGTTCGTCACTCATTTTGTTTTTGTATCGTTGTTGTTGCTGCTGTTGCCATCATCACTCTGTGCAGGTCCACAGTTCTTCCAGCCATCTCACTATGCACACATGGACACTGGCAAGAAACCACGTTGGCATCTTGGTGAGTGAACAGCAGCAACCATCCCGAGTTATTATGTTTACTCGTTCTGACGAGTACGGGCTCCTTGCTCACTGGTATTGTCGTATGAGGCTGCAAAGGGTTCACAGCTCCGTAGTGACGCATTGTGTTCAGCATGTTTTCCCACTTTTTTAATATTGCGGAGCACGGCAGTCATGTTAAAAAGGACATCTTGTACATTGAATCATCCGACTGCTTGCCTGGACACTCTAACTCATCTGAAGACATAAACAGCACTAAACATTGAAAAATCTACTTTAGAAGTACCGTATTTCCCCGATTATAGGTCGCACCTTTTTACACCAAAAAGTCAGGGGTAGAAAAAGGGGGTGCGACTGACAATCGAGCATGACTTACAATCGAGCATGACTTACAATCGAGCATGACTTACAATCGAGCATGACTTACAATCGAGCATGACTTTCAATCGAGCATGACTTACAATCGAGCATGACTTACAATCGAGCATGACTTACAATCGAGCATGACTTACTACTGAAGTCAATATATCAAAACAATAGAGAGGTTGTGCATAACGAAAATTCGTAAAGATCTTTCGGAATCTGAGCCGTCTGGAAGTGACGAAAATTCGTAAAGAAAATCTGTTGTGCTCAACGAAAAACGTAGTGTGACCATGGTGACCCTTTCGAGTACTTTTTCCGCTGTGTGCGCGTGTGGTGAACAATTTTTTGAATCAAGTCTGTACTCCGGCCCACGTGTAGGCACACGTGTAGGCTTGAGGAAGAAGTTTTTATCAATTGTATTCTAATCTTCATGGACTTGGAAGAGTACGATAGCCTTACGGCTATCCTGCTCTCGCCCACTCTGAGGGCGATGTTGATGATGAGGAACTTCTTTTATTGCTTATGGCAGCAGAAGAGGACCGGCAGCTTTCGCAACGCCGTGTTCTCGGCCCTCGAATTTGCCTGGGATCGTTGGACGACGAAACATGTGAGCTGAGGTTCCGCTTCTCCAATGCGGAAATAAGGGAGTTGAATCACGCTCTCCACCTGCCGCAGAAGTTTGTAGGACCATCACGTACGGCATGGACAGGGCTGGAAGGTTTGATGGTAGTCTTGCGTCGCCTGGCCTATCCGTGTCGCCTTTGTGAGCTGTCCGATGAGTTTGGCAGAAGCTCTCCTGATCTCAGCAGAATTTTCAACACAACCTTGATGTGGATTTAGCGAAATTGGGGGGGGGGGGGGGGGGTGGGGGGCCTTCTTGAGGACCCTTTCACCAAGCCGCACTTCACTGCAGCACTCCTAGAGTCGTACCATACGGCCATCCGCAACAAGTCGGAGGTCGACTTACGGATTTGGGGCTTCATCGACGGTACAGTCAGACCAATCTGCTGACCAGGCGAGGAGCAACGGATGTATTACAATGGACACAAACGTGTCCATGCACTTAAATTTCAAGCAGTTACAACGCCCAACGGCTTGATTGCGCATTTGTATGTACCCGTTGTTGGCAGTTGTCACGATGCTGGAGTACTTGGTGAAAGTGGATTACTGGCGCAGCTCCAGCAGCATATGCAGCTGCCACATGGCCCACCATACGCATTCTATGGTGACCCAGCTTATCCGCTAAGCCCCTATATCCAGAAGGGATATGTCGGTGCAGCTGCCACGCCCCAGCAACAATTGTTCAATGCCCGAATGAGCTCAGTGCGGCAGTGTGTGGAATGGTCATTTGGAGAAGTTTCACTGTACTGGGCCTTTGTGGACTTCAAGAAGAACGTGAAAGTTCGCCTCCAGCCTGTGGGCATCTACTACCGAGTAACAGCTCTACTGACTAATTGCCGAACCATAATCAGAGGTGGGAACAAGACGTCCAGATATTTCGGATTGCAGCCACCTACCCTTCTTCACTACTTGCAGTGAACATGGAAGCATGACCTGATCCCTGTGAGTGTGCCTTTTACTTGCAGTCTGGCACTGTTAAACAAGATGCGGACACGGCAACCCACTCAGTAAAATAAATATGCATCGATTTGTATTCACATCATAAGTTCAAAACAGCTGAAGTATTGCAGTGTATGCGTTGACAAGCGCTATGATAGCTTATGGGCCAGTGCTTTCATGACGTCCATGAACGCTCTTCTCTCTCCCGCCATGTCTTCCTCATGCTTGTCGCCCCTTGCTCTGTCTGCCCGCTCCATCACTCTGCCGTGCTTTCTTTCGTCTGCAGCCAATTTCTCCCGCTCCAGCTCCATTTTCTCCCGCTCCAGTTTCAACTTCTCATCTTCTTGCTGCTGCTGTGCTTTTGCTTTTTCCTTTTCAAACTCGAGCTCCTGGTGGCGCATTGTGATATCATCCTTGTGCTTTGATTCAAGATAATCCAGGACAACCTCCGTCCCTTGCAGCTTTCGCTTGGCTTTAGGCTCAGCATGGCCAGCTTTGGCAGCGTCTGACTTTCCGAGCGTCAGGCATGCGTCATCGCGTGCTTCAGCAGCTAGGTGGCGCTTGGCTTGCGTAGCCTCCGCACGTCGCTGCATGGGCGTATCTTTCTCAGCGTAGATATCTTGCAGCTATTGCAGCAGTTGCTCTTCCTCTGTTATATCTCCGTTCGTACCAGACCTATGCAACACATATAGCAAGCGGAGAGGGAGGCAGATGCATGTACATGTATACGGAGCAAACAGAGTGGGGCTGCATGCAAAACCAGTTCGTATAGGAACTTACATCCTTCTCTTCCAGTCGTCGCCTTTGGCGAACAGCTCCAGCAGCTTCATCCCTCTGTCGGGAATAGCTTTCTTCGTCTCTCCACCGAACTGAGTTGGGCTCAAGTTTTCCAGCTCACAGGCAACGATCTCCATGGCTGGAGACCCTCGTCGAAACAGTTGGTCGTGAGAACGAAGCTGCCTGAGAAGGGCCAGGTCCATCGCGAGATCAAATGTCCTTCGCTGAGACGTCGCAGGGGAAGACGAAGACGCCGAAGTGGCAGAATTCTGCTGCGGGGATTCAGCAGAATAATTTGTCACAGGGCGAGCACTGACAGGACTTCCAGATCTGACAGAACTAGCCGAGCGCTGTCCAGGTGACAGAGGATCGCTGAGAGAGCGGGAAAGAGATCCATCAGCTCCACAGGATGCCGAGTAGGCAGAACTCGCAGAACGACTTGAAAAGACCATGGCGAAAAAATCTTGACACCACGTGCATCAACACAGCTACGTATACAGAAGCTTGCGAGAAAGAAGCGAAAGTTCAAAACGTAAGATCTTCAAGTTTCGCGGTCCTCCTCGCGAAAGTTCCTTTCCTTTTTCGTTACTCGTGCCCAGACTACGTCTAAGTTACGAATTTTCGTTATGCACAACCTCTCTAATATTGCTCAAACCTGGAAATGGGGGTGCGACTTATAATCGAGTGCGACCTATAATCGGGTAAATACGGTAGCTGCCAACTTGAATTCAATCCTCATGTCACAAAGCCTCAGGTTTCTCTCCTCTTCTTGCTTTTTCTTACTGTTTTTGTTTTCTTCTTTTCTTTGTCTCCACCACTTTCTCCATGTGTGTGCGTGTGTGTGCGTGTGTGCATGTGCATGTGTGTGTGTGTTATGGTGTGCAGGCATCCGGTGCAGTTCTCAGTGTGCTCCGTCGTCTATCATGAGAGAGATCTACCAGTCCCTGCTGCGGCTTGGATTTGTAAGTCGCAGCTGATCTGCCATGTGCCACACACGTGTATGCTTAGCATTGCTGGTGTAGCGACGTGCTGTGTATGGCAACGGTATGATCAGCCGTGGCTTGATGAGGCCCGTAGTCTGTACGTATCCCAGTGTTGCTGCTGTGTACCACAATGCACACTGAAAGTAGTGTAATTACTGGTGTGGAAGCTCACACGCAGCACTGACCAAGTCAATAAAGACTCACACATCAAACCGATCATCACTGTTAACTGTTAGTGACCAGTCCTGGAGATGTCCTAGATAGGACATCACGGAAACCAGCATGCCCCAGCATACATCTATGCTGTTCCCATAGTAATCGTGACACGTGACTCAAAACTTTGTGTCGCGTCCGAGGAAGATGAACACTGCACTGAACATGTCGCACTCAAAACAAACGCAACGAAGGCCTTTCGTCTCAAAAGTAATTATTAGTTGTCGTTCTCCTGGCGGCTTGCCTCAAGCGAGTCGAGATTCGTATCTTACCTCTTGCCTTCACGAATTTTATTTTCCTCGTTGTGGAGTACGCCTGGACAGAGGAACTGGCAAGCGAATCGTTTTGGTCGCATTGAAAATTGCAAGTGCACAAGAGGATTGGCGAAGCAATTTGTGTTCGCACTTTCAGCAGAGCAGTAGCTGCTGCTGCGATAAAGTTTTTACTTTCGCCATTGGTTTCAGGCAGCAGAAGGATCTGGCTGAAAGCGATGGCGATACGTCCATGACCACCACGTCCTGGGTTGATATCCAAGAAAGACCGTCCAAGGTCCAGTTTTAGCCAAGAGCTGTCGTATCCAAGAAATCAAAAACGCCAACAGCAAGCTTTGGCCAAATAACATCTTCCAGGCAGTAATTTACGGGCCTAGCGCCTGCTGCCTCGTCTTCCTCCTCTGCATGGCCAGGTTTGGGGCGAAATGAACGCACGGGGCGTGAACAAACATTCCAAAGGCAAAACATTCAAAATAATAATTAGAACCAATCGTTTCCAAAGAAGCGCCGCGTGGCTACGAGAAACCCCACATGAAATCCCCAAACGAAAACGGCCATTCGGTCGGGTATTCGATGGCGAATCGAATATATACTACCTCAATTCCCGCCGATGTCTGCTATTCTCCGCCTATTCCCTCAAACTTGACCAATTCGGAAAGAAATCCATCGCCATTACGATCGTGCATCCTCCACATACATTCAGAAATGCTCACGCAGCACTTCTTTTCATCGCGTGTGCGCGACCGACGCTTCCATGACAACTCTGGGACAGGTAACCAATCAGACTCATTCAGAGTGCGATGTCCTAGATAGGACATCTCCCCGACTGGTGACTTTCCAATCCCCCGTGTGCATACGGACTCAGTATAGCTTTTAAGTAATGGAAACTTGCCAGTAGAGAGGTTCTGCTACACGGAACTACGTACCAAACCCCGTGTCAACTGCGGTGAAGTTTGACACGGATTTTTCGTACGTTGCGCCGGTTCTGCTGTGCGTAGCATGCTCTAGCATGCTCGAACTCCCCGCCACATGTACTCCCCGCCACATGTACTCTGTCCGCTCAGTTTTCACACGGAGACCAGTCCGTGTGAAGCGCTCTTCACATGGAAAATGGTATGAAAAAATACGTATGAAACTTGATCCCGTACCGTGGCGAGGTTTCCATACGTACTTTGGTACGTTTTACCGTGTGCCAGAACCTCACTAGTAGGTCCTTGAGAGCGTGCCAGAATCCTCTTCTCTGCATATCTCTATGCCAAACCTTACTGAATAGTGTGTGTGTGGGGGGGGGGGGGGGGGGGTGCGCGTACATTGCTTTATAGCTCCAGTTGCAGGCCCGTCGCACCAACTTTGGAGGTGGGGCGGCCATGTGGGGGGTTGGGGGGCCGTCCCCCGGGAAAAAATTTCAAAAAATTGAAGCCAATTGCAAGCATTTCCGGGTATTTGGTGCCATTTCAGTGCACAGTAACTACAATGAAAGTCTTTTTGATTCTGCAACAAACGAAGAAGACGCTACGATCGGGGACAAACATTACCCTCCCCCGGGAAGAAAATTCAAAAATTGAAGCCAATTGCAAGCATTTCCAGGCATTTGGTGCCATTTCAGTGTATACAACTGCAATGAAAGACTTTTTTCTGCAACAAACCACGATCGGGGACAAGGATTTGTCACGTTTGCGCTAACCTGCGATCATTGTGCTTTGTTGCAATGTGCTCCAAAAAAAAAAAAAAAAGCCGAAAAAGTGGGACGGCCCCAGCCGCCCCGGCTGTGACGGCCTTGAGTTGTTACGCTCACATTGAATCACGGGTCGATGCAGATTGTGCAAACGGAATTCCAGATCTGTGAGTGGAAAGGACCGATCTCCTCCAAAAATCCTGTGATCCATTGTTAATTCTCCTTAAACTGTACTGTAGGCATTGGTGCTTCTTTAGCCTTGAGAGGTTTTCTGATCTTGCTATAGCATGTGCATGCGGCCTGTGCTGATCTCTACCATACCATGCGTATGCGAATTGTACTGATCTCTCCCCTGCAGGAGTGGAAAACTGTGAGTGCTTTCACTGTGATCTGCCGCAAGTTCAACAGCATTAGGAACCGATACGTAAGTCCGTCCACACAGTGTGCATTGCGTGTAGCGTGTGTGTATCCAGTGTGTTGTAACGTTATGTTTTGCTCTATGCAGTGCATGTACCCAGTGTTACACCGGTCATGGCGTTCGTTCTTTCTTCATTACTGTACACCCAATGAAACCTCTCTTATCAAGGCCTCTGATATCTACATACAGAACTCCCTGAACCGGCACCTCGAGCCTCGTGGACAGATAGGCCCAATCAAAATTTGAAAACTTCTTCATCTTGTTTCAGTCAGCTGAACTATTCCATGGCTTGAAGGGTCATCATAACGTCCGCTCCTTTTCTGTCTGCCTGTGTATGTAAACACACACTATCACTTTTTGTAGTGTTGAAACGAGCGTGTCTATAACGAATGAGCAAACAGTTACTAGTTCCACCAACGAGCGAGCTATCGAGCAAGTTACTAGTAACGAGTTTCACTGACGTGACAAAGATGTTTTTTTGTTGATTTTTTTCAAATGGACAAGTGCCTCGAATTTTCACCGCTGGCACTGTGGTTGCTGCTGCTTTCGACGGGCTTCACTTCGGACGGGTGTTTGGTGTCGAGATGGCTTTTCAGCGCTTTTGCTTAGCAGCCATTGTAAGAATAGACCGTTTTGCAAAGATTGCAAGTAGCCTAGTTCTTCGCTGCATTGCGGGGAAGAAACCTTCCAAACTGCTAAGCGTGATTTTCGCTCGAACGGAGAGTTGTACTTGCTCTACTGTTATGTGTCAGTATACGGTGCTTGTTAGTGCAAACCGTACGAGCCGAGTTTCTGGCGAGCGATCTAACGAGTGCCCGGTGAGATCCTTTCAACGCTACTTTTTGTGATGCGACACTTGCGACAAGGAAATGTCTGCCGCGTGCTGCCGCAAGCAGTCGCAAGGCCGCGGTCTCAGAAGTTGAGCAAAGCGTTTGCGACGTTCGACGTGCGGCGCCCGACATACATCAATTCAATGGAGTAGAGTTTACTAGGCTAGGTGCATTTGCATGTACTATGCACTGTATTTAGATGTCACAGAAACGAAACAATGTGTATCTGACCTCTGTCGTAGTCGCGTGGGTCGCATGTCGTGCCTTGCGTCGCGGAAAGTGGTATTTTGAATCGTTCTTCATGGTTGTGGTGTATTTCCGAGATAACTGAATCCGAGGCACGGGCACTCAGTCGGTCCCGGGGTACCCTGATAAGAGAGGTTCCACTGTACGTGAAAGTGTGCTGCAGTGTACTGCGACTTTGACTGAGTCTTGTGTAAAAATGCGCCACGTGTTTGCATTCTTGTAGAAGTTCACAAGCTTCTGTGGGGCATGCTTCTGTGTGAGACGGTCTTTGTGCAGTATGTCACTACACAAACCAGGCGTGTCTGCCAATGGTCAATATTGAAAATCCACTCACCTGGTCACCGTGCCTGCAGGGTACAACTTACTAGCCTGTTTGACCTTTTTTGGGTGCAGTCCTGTCACTCGAGTTGAACTCGAGTTGAACCTTGGTGTGAAAGTTGTCGCCCGCTGGCGTGGTGACCAGGTGATTTGGGCACCCAGGAGCACGTGACCGCTTGTAACCATGTTCGATTGGGAATAAAGGAGGAACGCTGCATCGCAGCCTTTTCGGACCAAAACCAGTCGACTCAGCGTCCGAAAGACTACAACCTATGGGCCAATCACGGTCATCCGTGCTTTTATAAGAACGAAATGGCGCTTTTAGTGACATGTTGCATACAAATCCCCATCTAGTAGGGCGCAGTCACCCAGTTTCGGTGGAAGTGCGCGAGTTCGATTGGAATTCAAGTAGGAAGGGAGCGTCTCAGCTTTCTCGGACCAAGACCATTCGACCCAGCATCCCGAAGACTACAACTGGTGAAAGTTTGATCTTAGCCTTAACTTCCCCTTTAATACCGCACTAGTTTGTGTGTTTCTGAACATTCAAGCGATGCCAACGCGAATCCCGCGAATTATTATTATTATTAGTGCTGGCAGGCACTTCAGTTTTAATCCATTCCATGTTCCCACTGCATAGCAGTGCAGCGATGGGAAATGTGAGTAGCCTCAGGGTTTGAAGGTTTCATGCGCATCAGGCAAGCCAATGCCTCGAGCAGCATTATGATTATTAAAAGGTAGCGGAAACCTCTTTGGAGGTGAAGCAGCTTTTAGAGGAGAGGTGCTGTTTTCCGCGTTCTCTAGTATGCATACACCCCAAAAATGAGATTCGTATTGGAACACTTGTGCAGTTTGTTGTACTTGTGCAGTTGTGGGGCGTCGAAGTTCGGAGATTTGCGTTTTTCATACTTTCAAATGCATAAGTACGGTACCCCCACCCCACCCGTATGAATATCATTTCTTGGATCCATGCGTGCTAGAGAACAACTTAAAACTTCCTCGGTAAAGGTTTTTCATGGCCAAAGAGGTTTGAGCTACCTTAGCATCGAAAAACTTGGAGCTGCAGCGAGTTTTCGTCTCCATTTCTTGGTGTGTGAACAAGCTCTGCCATTCGGCATTGGGCTGTGTTCTGGCAGTGGGTCTTTAGGTATGGGTATACACTGTACATGCACTTAGTGTGGTAGTGCTTGCGAATGTTCCGGTCAAGGCGAAAACCATGGTTGGACTCGAACGAAGCAAGTAATATGGCACGACCTGTTTCTTTATTTCTGATGGGTTAGGCAAAGATGACGTTGCAGTTGTACAAAGTTGACAATGCCTACCTGGTGGACTTCAAGAGTGTGACAAGTGTTCCCGCGCCGTCGCATTCCAACTCTAGTGCCGCTGCTGAAGGTGCGCAGGGCACTGCGGCACTGGCCAGTCTGCCGTCGGTAGTGTCGGCGCGTATATCTACACCGCCGCTAGGCGTCCGCACATCTCCTTCGGCCCTCTCCGAGCCCCTGGCCGTCTCGGGAGCGACGGCCACGCGCCGCAGAAGCGCAAGTGCTGTGAGCAGTGGCAGCGTTGGCAATACATCGACAGCTGCTGTTCCTGCATCGCCAGTAGTGTGCGGTCTTCACTCGGCCAGTCTGCAAGCCATGCGGCCAGCACAGCGACTCAGCCAATCCGCCGCCGAGGAGCAGAACAATAGCATGGAGTTCTTTGAGATGTGCGCGCTGCTCGTTTCCGCGCTGGTCGTGCGCTGACATGTCCAGCTGTACGCGGTCGTGCAGCTGTGCTGTGCAATGCTGTCAGAAGTTCTGCCCAGGCGCAGTAGAGTGGGAACCTGACGATGGTGCCGCTGGTATGTCGTTGAAGCACCTGACTCGCCAATGCTTTGTCATAATTCAACGCATTTTAACATCCAGTGACTAGAGCATAGTAGCCAGCGTTTCCTTATTTATGTAAGGATCACAAAAATTCGTAATTCATATCCATACTCAGTATTCTAATTTTTGTGCACAAATATCCGTGGACACCAACCTCTTTTTGAGCTTATTTTGAGAAGCTGCTCCGTCTTAGCTCCAGCTGCCGTCTTCTGTATTGTTGCGCTATTGCATCTCTACATGTACGTTGCAGTGCGATATTGCATCTCTGCTTCTAACCACATGGACGTGGGACACCGCTACTCGAACTAGGTCATGTTTTTTTAATACTCAGCAATTTTATAATTTGATCCTCGAACCCACCTCTCTAGTACTCCCTACAATTGTGTTCCAGTGTTTTACGTTTGTATGCAGCCCTCATGCAGCCAATTCCTTCCGTCACAGAGCAACATGACTTGATGATGGTTTTTATTCTGTTCATTTTTATGCTTGACATACACTGTATGTGTATTCTCACTACCAAACACCTATTGCAGATTTCTCTCCTCTACTGTACCACCACGGATTTTCTATGCTTGAAATGGAGTTTTTATGCTTGAAATCTGCTGTTGTTTGCTCAGAATCTTTGCCGTGTACAGCATTTGACTGGTCACCGGAGTGCTGTATACGGTTGTAGCTTTAAACCGTGCCTTTAGAATATGCATTCTGTGTATACGAATGGCATGCATTATGCTGAATCTAGTTGATGCTTTGTTGATATTGGCCAGCTTGGCCGGTTTTTATCTTCTTTAGCTGCTCTGCACCATCCTGAATGATGTGGTGTGTGTGAAAGTTCATATCTCGCGAGCTTAATTCTCATGCCCTCGTCGCTGAGCTTCTGTTGCATATGGTGTCCCCTGGTGTCCAATATCTGTATGTGTCTAAAAGTAACTTTGTAGTTCCGGGCACAGCCCTGCAGTGCCTGGGATTTGTCTGGCCGGGCACACTGAAGTACTAGTAGGCCTGCATTGCTGCATGCGCCATTACGTCTCCATCCAACCGGAGGACATGGCCAAATAGCCCCCATCTGGCTTTTGCAATGAAGATGGGTATTCTTTCAGTGTTGCGCCTTGCGTACAGGACGGAGTTTGATATTACCTGAGGCCAACAGAGATTCCAAGAACACTAGTTGCTTCCGATGGAAAGCGTCCAGCTTGGCAGCTACCGAGTCTGGTAATAGTGGTATCCCCAATCCCGCAGCATTGTAGTATAGGATGGGAATACTATGATCCTACCTGGTCACACCATGCTTTGTGAAAAGCAGTCCTCACTTCTATTTGACCACTACAGTGTATTCACAAAGCAGGGTGTGACCAGGTAGTGCCATGTATGGTAAGGTAAAGGGTGTGCAAAACATCACGTGTATGTACATGTACCTGTCCCCGGGGAAAATCGCGGGAAGAAATCGCAAAAACGCGGGGGAAAAACGCGGCATAATATGGCATAATTTGCTGTAAATATGCGGTGAATATTATTGATATGCGGCAAGTTTTCAGTTGATATGAGGCAATTTTCAGTGAGTATGTATATGTAGTGAAATCAATCAGTTACAAGTCTCTGGTGTAAGCACTCGTCATATTTGAGTACAAAGCCGCCACGAGAAGACGTTGTTGACCGAACAGTGCACTGTGTGTACGTGTAGTGCAACAAAAAAAGGTCAAAGAACGCGGGAAAATCGCGGAAAACGCGGTCTTTTAAAAATCGCAAAAAAACGCGGGGAAAAACGCGGCCGCGGAATCGCGATTTTCTACGGGGACAGATGTACAGTGTATGTGCATGTGCATACAGATACATATCCAGGTCGCCGCAGTGCGTGTGAGCCTGCCTGAGGCCAAATTGCTTTGAATATTAGAATGTTAGGATTTTTGATTTGAATTCCGGTAACCGGATGCATTGAAAATAAAAGGGGGTTTGTCAACTGACAACTGCTCTATTCAGTTGCTATTCGCTCTTCGCGCATGCGCTGGATGAAAAAGTCTTTTATTAGTGATGTTGAAAAAATTTCGATTTGTCACTACAACTGTACTGTAGTGTTGTTTCATACTTGAATTTGTCCCCTTGGAGTGTTTGATTGTCATCTTTCACGCACATGGTTACAGGTATCTTGCAAGAATACCTTGCGATACTTTCTTGGCTTTGTTTAGGTGTTATTTATCACTAGTGATCCTTTATACAATGTAATAGTCTGTGTTGCAATTTGTTAATTAGTACAACGATGCTTCCTGACGAGTGTTGTGCGAAAGCCAGTTCGATGCATTTTCATATTTTCATCATTCCCATTATTGTTCTTCACATTACATTTCAACTCGGATGGAGAGCCAAGGATTAAAATTCAAAAAGAGGACCAAAAGTTTACAAGTTATCCGTTTTGTCCAACACTAACGGTTATAAGCAGAATACTGTTGAGTCAAAAATGTGCAACTGAATTAGCACAAAACTGACTGATGAGATTATGCCATTCAATGACCTGATGCTTAGCTGCATCACGTCTAGAATGCGCAAACCAGCAGCCTTCCAACTACTTGGAAGGTTCTAAGTTATGAAGTAACGTAAGAAAGGGGAAGGTGAGCGCACTCTAGACGAAAACAAGCTAAACATCACAGCGAACTAACTTTTGGTCCTCTTTTTGAACATTACATTTCCATCATAGTTATTTCTTTGTCCATCACCACGTTCTCTAGAATTTGTTCGTGACATCTCAATAAAACCTTCGTGACATGACGCTTCAGCTGATTCTGTTTATTGCCATCACTGGCATCACTTTTCTCTCATCACTAATAAAAGAATTTTTTCATCCAGCGCATGCGCGAAGAGTAAATAGAACGGTTGTTAGTTGACAAACCCCCTTTTATTTACAATGCAGTTGCGTGATGTCCACCACTTTCTGAACGCATGCAGTGAAACAATAGAACTTCAAAACCTCCTCGATCGAATTGGCATTGGAAAAATAGAAGCCCCCCCCCCCCCCCCCGGCTTCTAATCGAGTGAGCTCGGTATGCAAATACGGTTGGCTTCTCTGACAAGATCTACACTACCGGGGGAAAAATGAAGAAGAAAAGGGTATTGGGGAGGGGATGTACATGTCAGTGGCGTACCCGGGGGGGGGGGGGGGGGGTGCTTTGGGAGTTTGGGTGCTCAAGCACCCTCCTCAAATGTTTCGACATAGGCCAACTTACTTGATGTACCCATGCCACGAAAAGTACCATAACTTTGTGACCGATTGTCCGATTTACGCAAATGACGGCCCATTGGAAAGGTCTTGAGCGAGGCTATTCATTGAGATATGATTGAATTATATATTTTTAGAAAACTGTATTGTGCCCAAACTCGGAAAGAAGAAATGGGATTGTTCATAAACCAGACTTTTGAACGCGATTTTTGGTGACAATTATCAGATTTTTCTAACTGATTTTTGCTTTCCATTCGCTGTCACCGTTACTAGTTGATCATAGTTCACCATGGTTCACCGTGTTGCATATTCTTTCATGTGCCAGGACAGAGTGTTATCGATATTGTCAGGGCCTCGCCTTTTTCTATTCCGATTTTCCGGGAACACTCCGACCAGCTGTTCCGACAGGCCGACCGAAAACGATTGTTCACGAAAGTGAATTAATCTGTTGTTTCGAGCCCTTGAAATCCTAAAAATATCACGGCTTCTACAGGGGTCGCTGCCCCTCGACTCCCTGCCATTGAACACCTCAGACACTGCTTCTGATTTTTACCAACAGAAAAGTGGCAGCACTCTGCTACTATCTTGTTTGTGAAACTGCCACCATCCATTGCACTTGCTTCCTCTATTACCTGATTCTATTTTTCCATACCAAGAAACGAGAGTACCGGTATAAGCTGCTGGGAGCTTACATGTATTTACTCTTGTCAGAAGTTGTAATGGTAGTTTGACCTTCTTGCCCATTCAATATGTGAAGTATTGTAATTTGTCACTAGAACTTCAAAGTACATAAGTCAAATTGAAAATGTTTTCAGGATAATAATTATTATGATCTAGCAAGAGTAGTGTACGCTCTATCTAGCAAGAGTAGCAAGAGTAGTGTACGCTTGGATCTACATGTACATGTACATGTAGCTTACAGAGGAAGTACATTTTGTCCTCCAAACTGGGGAGGGGTATGTTTGGGATCGGGTACTTCAAGGCCTCATGGTTGCTCCATCCTACAGAACAGGTCCTACATTTTCCCTCGACTTGGTAAATCATGGTAAGTAGCACACTAAAAATCAAGATATCAACCATCCATGCATCAAATGCAGGGGAATAATGCATTCAGTTCTTGGGGAAAATGTTGGAGTACCCCCCTCATTCTGGATCCTGCGTACGCCCCTGCATGTATAGTGGTCCCGGCTTTCAATAAAACCCGTTTCAGTAGTCGATGCACTACTGCCTACTGCCAGTACTGGACACAATTGCTAACACACTGTACTAGTACTATCTAGACATACATGATGGATAAAGCCGATCCGATGTTGCAGATCAGTGCAGATGTCATTTTGACCTTCCGTGATCACTTCCTCCTCGGAGCAGCTGTACAGCTGGCACTTCCGCACCCTGCGTTTCGCAGCAGTTCAACAACAGCCCTGTCTCTATGTCTAAGTTTTGTAAGTCATGGCATTGTTGTACCGCGGTTTATTTTTATTAATTTTTTTTAAATTTCGGGCCAGTCGGCTACTATCATTTTCGTCTTGGGGGTTAGACAAGGCCGGGGAAGTAGCCATGTCGGGGCGTGAGCCCGCCTTTCGGCACCGCGGTATCAGTGACTATGCATGTGGCGACCGTCAACGCCTCATCTTCATCTTGTAGCACCACTGCATACTCGTAGATCTACGTAGACCCACTCGGTAAGATTCATACCATGCATACCACAGCAGATCTACTGCACGATACTGGTGATCGAAATGTACAGGTAAATGACGGGTACGGAGATGTATTCAGTAGATCACTACCCGGACTAGACTGCCGGCATGCGCATATGCCGGCACATGACCAGAACTTTTATTTCGCAAGGGCTGCACTTGCACTGGGGTACAGGTACTGAGGTATGGTATATACAGAAGCCTTGCTGGGTTTTCCCAATACGGTTCAAATGGTCGCAAGACCGGGACTCTGCCAACCGGTTTATGGTTGTAGTCAGGAGCACTACGCGTATACGCGTCCTCGCCTTGTAAACATGTTGTCAAAATCGAAAAACATGTTAGGTACTGAGGTAGTACTAGTAGCAAGAGTACATAACCCCGGTTATGTACTCTTGCTAGTATAGGGATACTGCGAGTCGTGAATTAGTCACCAAACATTTTTACGACTCCCCGCTGCTTGCTGGTACTACTACCGGTACTGCAGTACTGGTATAGTTAAGGCCGAGTAAAAAAAATTACTAGATGATCGTCCTTTTTTTTGGAAAAATCGGGGAGGGCGGGAGGATTTTATTTTTATTTTTTTACTTTTTACCCTCTCATGCACACAGTGTACACAACAACATCAAGGTTTTTTTTCTCTTTTTTTTCTTTTTTTTTCTTTTTCTTTCTTCAGCAGATCGATACTGACGTTGTGATATACTAGTAGTATGTGGTCCATATAGTAAAACTCACGATTTAAAAAATAAAATATTTCTTGGGGCGCTGACAAAAACTGGGGCGGACGGGGACGATCATCTAGCTTTTTTTTTTACTTGGCCTAAACTGGGAAAAAATCAAGATTGACAACATACTAGTAACTCTATAAACACACCCATAAGGCATAACAGTGAAACACTGCTGCCGTGATGAAGTGAAACAAAAGGTACTCACAGTACTTCAATGTTGTCAATCTTTTCGCCCTGCCCACGCAAAGGCCACTTCAATTCAGCTAGCCTGGCTTGTCAACGCATTTACAGGCATTACCAGGGAGTCGTATATTTAATTATAATTTATAATACATAATTATGTAGTCAAGTGGTGTGACATGTGCTTCACTGTCCGAAGAGTGCTCAATACCCATGTTATTGTAGGGCAGAGCTTTCAAGAGAGAGATTGGAAGCTTTGTTACAACTCTTGAGTTTCACGTATTACTACCATCATCAGGCAGTATAAATACGTGAAACTCAGAGTTGTAACAAAGCTTCCAATCTCTCTCTTGTGTAATACTGTAAAAGCCATTATTCTAACGAGGCGCATATTTAACGATTTCCCAGAATTGACTGGTTTACGTGTACCAAAGGTAACGATTCTCACTTATTCTCAACGCTCAATAGGACAGTATAGTATACGTATGTATCGATTTCTGCATAACGATTTCTATTTTAACGACAGATTTCTCCTCGTTAACTCGTTAGAGCAGCACTTCGTTATTATAATTATGGCTTTTACAGTATATGTACGACTCCCTGGCCTGGGCATTGCCATGAATGATTACTGGCATACTGCAGCATACAGTACATGGCATGTCAATGTCATGGGGTACTACACTCTCAGTGAGTGTCACTTGTCAGTACACTACTACAAGACTAGTACTAGTACATGTAAATGCCATCGTAGTGTGCGATGAACTCTTGTGACTCTCTTGACTTGTGTCCCCAAACCGAGGCGTTCTGCATCTGGCAAAGGCGCTATCGCTACGTCAACTCTAAGTCTCTATGCTTGGTCTACCAACGGGCAACGACGTGGCAAGTTGGCAACGACTACGTGCAACAATCATGATGATTGTGTGTAGTCTTCTACTACTGTACTAGGCTAGTAGGACATCATGTACAGTGCTGGCAACTGAAATCCGACCCCCTTGCCGGCGCGCCACGCCGGCAAGGGGGTCGGATTTCAGTTGCCAGCAATACATGACATTGTATGTCATAGAGAGGTTCTGCTACACGGAACTACGTACCAAACTCCGTGTCAACTGCAGTAAAGTAGTTTGACACAGGTGACAGGGATCCGGGAGCCGGTAGCCCTACAGTACAGGCAACACGCTCGTACCGGGTGGTACTGATGACGTGTAGACAACTGTCTGTAGGGCTTGACACGGATTTTTCGTCCGCAACGTCGTCGTTGCACCGGTTCTAGATTCTGTCGAGCTGTAGATCTACTGTACGTAGACCTAAGCAGCCTCTTCAAAAGACTCTTGTAGTACGGGCAACTACTTGATGATGACTATGTTGCACAATCAATGACATGGATGTCAAACTATGTCAAAACTAAAAATATGCTCGTAGCATGCTCGAACTCCCCGCCACATGTACTCCGTAGATCTACGCTCAGTCACGTTTCACACGGAGTCCAGTCCGTGTGAAGCGCGCTTCACACGGAAAACGGTATGAAAAAATCCGTATGAAACTAAAGATTCCCCGGCTATTTGTAGCACTATTGCCTATTGCCAGTATGCACTAGGCTGACTGTCCTGAGTCAAGGACTCAAGGGACTCAAGAGTCAAGTATGTAGTCTAGAACTCTAGATCCCGGGCAGCTAACATGCTGTCAGTATCTATCTAGTATCTGTAGTGTAGACAGTCAGAAGGTCTACATGACATAATCAGTCATTGACATTATTATACGGTGTAGTCTGTAGTGTAGATCTACTTGTGACCGGATATGCAAGATCGCGCTGGACGCAACGGTGATGCCTGGCCACTGGCACTGGGGGCTGTCGCAGTACATCATGGTAGATGCGGGACATCCTGCCTTCCACAACACCTGCCCTGGCACATGTGCCACTGATCATCAATGCTAACACGGGCGCAGGATCCAGGATCCATGTAATGCACATGATGGAGCGGATGTGTACATTTACTGACACAGCCTGGGCCATGGGTGAGACGCGACGCTTCCTAACAAATAAGAACATTGTGTTTTCACCATACCGGTGTTTGCACTACAAGTATAGTCACTGTAAAGACTAAAATATTTTATAAAGACTAAGTGCAGGTGATGGAAACAGAGTGGAGCATGCTCTTCGTGTCAGGGGTGTCACCTCTCAATCAAGACACCACTCTTTGTAGGTTAGGACACTGACTGCATGCCACCTCGCCGTTTACCGGCACATACCGTCACTACTGTTGTACAGTCAATGTACTGACTTGTACTAATACATCAGCTCCGTTCCCCTGATCTTTCAACTCTACGAGCATTTTCTTGTCCATACTCACTTCGTTGGATCATCAATTCTCTGACGGAGAAGATGATTTGGCCGTTACAAGCGAACTGAGTCTGTAGACGGGGACTGGCTCTAGTAATGGTCCTGTGGTTGAAATATGGCTCGTGCTCGCTTGCCACATGAAACTGGTCGCTTTGACAGGCGCGTGGTGACGAGGGGCGCGGAAACTAACACAGTAACACTCTCGCGAGCTCTGCGCTGACGACCTTGACGGGGCGACGTAGACCTACTCCAGCCAGTTCAGTCTGGCAATGGCGCTCTGTACCTGCATCAGTCGTTCAAAGTCGGCCAGGAGTAGGCGCTCGGCGTTGATCGCAGGGCTCGTCAGCAGCTTTCTCTTTTTCTACGCATTGATGCTGAGTGACCTATGCTTGCATACGCCTGTGAGTCCAGTGTGTTGGTTCAGCAGTGCACCAGGAGGACGGCATAGTGCGAGGGGTCGGCCAGGCTACTATGACAGCACAGAGGACGTTGCTGCTGTGCAAGGGGGCAGGTCTGCTACAAATGCAGAGGTGATCGGTCAGGAAGCGGTCAGTGATGCGGATGCATGGCAAGCCCAGGACGAAGTGTTGCTACCACCACTAACACACCAGTCCACATCTGAGGAGGAACAGGATTCGCGCACCAGTCATGAGGAGAATGACGCAGCGCAGAGCGTTGCTTTCAGACAGGTCGTGGTCCATACCGGACTGAGCACTGCGTCCAAAGACTTATTTGCACAGAGCATTGAGCCGGCCGAGTTGGAGAAGTCATATGAAGATGATGACGGCACTGTTCCTGATGAGCAGCCTGAGGAGTCCAGTGAAGACGAGGACAAACCTACGGGTGCTGGGTCAGAAGTGTCCCATGGCGATAATGGCGCTGTTTCACGCACAGATGCTGGACCTGTCCGCACAGCTGTGGGATCACAAAGCCGAACGGGCACAAGAGAGAAAGCCGATTGCGTCACCGATTTCCACCGCAGCAGCCAGCCCGTTGTCGGCACACGATTGGCGAAATCAAAGTATGTTCTCCTTGTTTCGCCGCCTATCGATTCAAGCCCTGCTCAAACTTATCATACTACTTCCACTGCTAGGCATCAGCATCCTGAGCCAGGCGCACAAACTGCAGTGACTGGCAAAGTGGCTACGCCAGTGAATCGTACACTGATGCTTAGCCCGATACCCACGACAATAGGCGAGTATCTGCAGAAGCACCGCATCCCGTTTGTCTCCGTAACTGTCCAGCGCACTAAGTCAAGGCAAACACTACAACGCGTGGCGGATAGGCTGAAGCTTGGTCAGGTTGCAAGCATCATCTTTAATGAGCTGCACGCTCTATGTGCCTCTGCAGGCCGAGCATGTAGATCTTTGTTGAGACTGCCGCAACAGCATTCTGTCGGTGCTGTCTACATTATCGGGGACGGTGCTGATAAAGCAAGCGTGCTGCCTTCGGATGCACTTCCACTGACCGTCATGTCCCCAACCAGGATCAAGGCAGTTCAGCCATCCGCCACATCTCCTGTACATTACATCATGCGGAAGAATGCTCGCGAGTGGACGCTGCCATTCCCCTTGTCCACAACCGAGTTCACAAGTCTTGAACACAGCGGTGGCGCTGACCACTGCACACCGTTACTCACAGGAACATCGCCGGATGACATCCCGGTAATGCTGGCCGCATCATGCTCACATGATACCGACCGGCGGCGGTCAGTGGTCTTTGGAGGCAGCGCCATGTCATCGTGGATGATGCGTCTGATGCTGCTGGACAGCTTGCGTTATGCATCACACGGTGAGCTGCATTTGGACTTGCTGCGGCGAGTTCAGATCGACATTGATGATGTGTTCCTGGGGCATTTCGGCAGCAAGCCATCCTCTGACGATATGAAGGTAGGCTGGGTATATTGTGGTGGGGGGGGGGGGGGGGGGCGTGTGAGTGTGTGTGTGTGTGTGTGTGTGTGTGTGTGTGTGTGTGTGTGTGTGTGGTGTGTGTGCGTGCGCGGTTTGCGTGAGGCCAAGTAAAACTGTGTCCGCATCGGTAGGTGCGCCACCACCAGCATACACACAGTCTCACTTGCATGCATGTAGCATACACACAGTCTCACTTGCATGCATGTAGTATACACACAGTCTCACTTGCATGCATGTAGCATACACACAGTCTCACTTGCATGCATGTAGCATACACACAGTCTCACTTGCATGCATGTAGCATACACACAGTCTCACTTGCATGCATGTAGCATACACAAAGTCTCACTTGCATGCATGTAGCATACACACAGTCTCACTTGCATGCATGTAGCATACACACAGTCTCACTTGCATGCATCTATTATAGTACTCTTGGTGTTGTATATTCATTTGAAGACAAAATGAAAATTCATTCCTCTGTCAAAGTACGATCATGAATCACACCAGCTCCTCCCCCCCCCCCCCCCCCCCTCCCACCACCACCACGTTGACAGGTACTTGAATCAGCTGTCACCCCCCCCCCCCCCCCCCAGAATGTACTCAAAATGCTCAGAATGCAATCATGCCTTGCTTGTGAATATTATTGTCAGTTGCATGACTGATTGTACTCAAACAATCCCTACTCGCAAAGTAACAGTACTGTTAGCTGTACATGTACGCAGGTATCGAGCACTGTATGCAAGTATGGAGCACTATTTTGAGCAGTGGAAGTAGACCACTGTGTGTGCAGTTAGAAGGTACTTTTCTCTGGGCATGGAAAGTCTGTCCTTCAATACGGGCAATTTGTCAGTCATCATTTCGCGCAGTCATTACAGTACTATGCACAGCAACATAAGTATACTTATGTTGCTGTGCATAGTACTGTAGAGTGGTGCAGCGTGCATGTGAGCATGTGAGCAGTAGAGTGGTGGAGTGTACATAGTAGAGTGGCGGAGTGTGCATGCGAGCAGCTGTGCTTGAATGCATGGAGGTGTTCACGCTGGCCTTTTTAACATGTGCATGTACGCACAGCATGGTCTGCATGTGAAACCATATGCACGTACATGTGTTTCCTGTGGGTGGGGTGGTGGCATGTATACAGCTGCTCTACTTCCTGTTCCAGGGGCTGACGTTTGTGTATATGTGTGTGTGTGTGGGTGGGAGGGTGGGGCCGGGGGTGGCTGTCTACCCCCCTCAAAGGCACCCTCACTGTTCCAAGCAGACTACCATGATCACTCACTTCTGGTTTTGCACTGTACACGCATCTGTACTAGCATTGCTGTATACCTATGTATTATGTACATGACGATGACTGTACATGTATTTGAGATTGAGATTACAGTAATCTAGGCTGCCAAGCAATCAGGCGCGTGCGCCGGTGCCCTTTAAGGGGGGGGGGGGTGCGGGGGCCTCCCCGGGAAAAATTTCAAAAAATGAAGCAAAATCCTGCATTTTGAGCGAAAAATGGGGGGTTCCGGGCACCCAGGAACCCATACGGGGCACGCGCCTGAGCATGTTACACTACCTTCATTATTATGTGTGTGTTTGTGTGTGTGTGTGTGTGTGTGCGTGTGCGTGTGTGTGTGTGTGTGTGTGTCTGTGTGTGTCTGTGTATACATATGTGTATGTGCTTTTGGTTTTGGTGTTCCAGGAACTGCTAAGAAGTCAGGAACGATTACAATGTCTAGTACCAGGTTTCAAGTACTACCTGGGTTATGTCGGCGGTGCATTTCAATCCAGTCCGATTGAGAGTGAGAATGCCGGCGATCGGTTTGTTTTGGACAATGCGGAGAGATTTGCCTGGTTTCCTCACACCTACAACCACACCAAGGCTCACCTAATGACCTACGACAAACTGAAATCTAGCTTGTTACGCAACAAAGACTTTGCTAAGGTACACGCCGTGTTGCCCGTAATACATGTACATGTACTGATTACACTGGTACTGAATGAGTACAATCATGCATTGGTGTTGGCTACACTGGTACTGAATGAGTACAATCATGCATTGGTGTTGGCTACACTGGTACTGAATGAGTACAATCATGCATTGGTGTTGGCTACACTGGTGCTGAATGAGTACAATCATGCATTGGTGTTGGCTACACTGGTACTGAATGAGTACAATCATGCATTGGTGTTGGCTACACTGGTACTGAATGAGTACAATCATGCATTGGTGTTGGCTACACTGGTACTGAATGAGTACAATCATGCATTGGTGTTGGCTACACTGGTACTGAATGAGTACAATCATGCATTGGTGTTGGCTACACTGGTACTGAATGAGTACAATCATGCATTGGTGTTGGCTACACTGGTGCTGAATGAGTACAATCATGCATTGGTGTTGGCTACACTGGTACTGAATGAGTACAATCATGCATTGGTGTTGGCTACACTGGTGCTGAATGAGTACAATCATGCGTTGGTGTTGGCGACACTGGTGCTGAATGAGTACAATCATGCATTGGTGTTGGCTACACTGGTACTGAATGAGTACAATCATGCATTGGTGTTGGCTACACTGGTACTGAATGAGTACAATCATGCATTGGTGTTGGCTACACTGGTGCTGAATGAGTACAATCATGCATTGGTGTTGGCTACACTGGTACTGAATGAGTACAATCATGCATTGGTGTTGGCTACACTGGTACTGAATGAGTACAATCATGCATTGGTGTTGGCTACACTGGTACTGAATGAGTACAATCATACGTTGGTGTTGGCTACACTGGTACTGAATGAGTACAATCATGCATTGGTGTTGGCTACACTGGTGCTGAATGAGTACAATCATGCATTGGTGTTGGCTACACTGGTACTGAATGAGTACAATCATGCATTGATGTTGGCTAAACTAAACTTCCAAAGAAATCTCGCAGTTCGGTATGCATGCATTGCACGCCCTACACAACACCTCCATCTAACATCTCCCTAATACTAGCATAATGAGATGGGGCTTCCTTTTCATGCCCTAGATTAAAAGGGCCAAATCGACCCTCGGAGCCTCAATGGCTTCCTGACTAGACTGAGGTGAACTCTTCCTCCATTCTTGAGCTCTCTCGGATCATGTCATTGGAGAATTTTACCTCCAAAGCACGTGAGTTTCACGTTACCGATAAAATGAAACACGACATCTACAGCTTAGTTAGCCAAGGCACACGCAAGTACTATCATTTAATTTTGTAATTCATTACCATATATGGTAGAGTGCAGTAGATATTTTACTTTTGCATGCCAGGGACTGTTATCAGGGTGCTGCTATACGATTGCACAGTATTGATGCTTACCCCCTTAACGGTGCTGTTGCGTATTGTTGCTGCTTTAGAAACATGGCATCTCCGTGGACTCTGGATACGCTGTATCACCGCATCACAGTGGCATCTACCCGACGCACAGGCCTCTCTACATGACCTGGAGAGAAGTGTGGAACATAACCGTGTCCTCCACCGAAGAGTATCTGCACTTGAAGCCTGCTTTTCGACGCAGAGGCTTCCGCTACATGGGCATCAGGGTACGTTGGTCCTTGCACCCAGTTCTGTGCATCATTTCGATCTCCGAATGGTATTACTTCACAGGATGCATGTTTCAAGATGTCATGCAATTATACGGTTGATGACGGTTGCGTCGAAATCTTTGAAAGAATGCAAGCTTAGAAGGAAGGGATTGATGACGGCTTGAATGCTGATCATGAAATAGTCAACAGGCAACCAACAGAGCTTTGTGCTACACTACGACTTGCTCTAGTTATATTTCGATCGCTGTGTGCAACTTCCGGTACCATACATTTTGAAGCCGTAGTCAATCTGTTGCGCAAACGGTTTCCCAGTGAAACGAGCGCTTCTTTCCGGCTACAGTGTGAGACCAATGGAGATTTGAGCATGGCTTGGTGAGGATTGTCATGGCCTCTTGGCACGCCACTGCCCGCCGCCGGGTTACTTTAATCAACACAACAGTAATGTATGCCAGAGCAATGTACAGAGCAATGTACAGAGCAATGTATATACGTGTTCAGCTCTTGTTAGGCCACACGTTCTTATTTTTATGTTTCTCGTCACCCGAATATCTAAAACCGTATGCGAGAGGTGGAAAAAATAAAAAAATAAATGACTGAAAAATGACTAGACCTTTGGTCATACTAGAATCGACCAATACACCAATGCACCAATACACCGTGTAAAATAGCATCCAAAGTTAGCAACTAGTAGGAATACCACCTTGAAACAGGAACATTCTGCCATTCACCTGAGAAAAACAATTTGGAAAAGGCAGAAATCATATTTAGTGTGAGCAGGAAAACGGCATCCTATTATTAAACAGGACTACCGTATAGTACAGGTAAATGTCCAGCTGTACATGAGTAGTCAGCCTCTTTTACGGGCAAAATAAACACAATGAATATTTTTTCCCAAGTGTTCCAAAAACTTCAACTCTAAGTTCTAGAAAGAAAAAAAGAAAGAAAAAATATTTAAACACACGGCGAGGAGACAATAATTTGATAACCGCAATCAATAAAACTAGCTGAACCGACATTTGTGTACTTTATTCATGCAATGTAAAAACTGTGGAGACGATGTGCAATAAAACGATGAAAATATGAAGAAATGGTGTAGGGAAAAAAATATGGATTCCCTACACCATTTCTTCATATTTTCATCGTTTTATTGCACATCGTCTCCACAGTTTTTACATTGCATGAATAAAGTACACAAATGTCGGTTCAGCTAGTTTTATTGATTGCGGTTATCAGAAAGAAAAAACACGCAAAAAAACAAAACAGCATAATAATGTATATATATTACCTACTTAGGTAAACAGCAGCAAGTTCAACTTCAAGTCAATATTCCAGTCACTGTTACCGCTCGTGCACGCTAAGCCGGTACCCGGGCCTCTACCACTGCCAGCGCAGCAGAGGTATCACCCACAGCCAAGGCAGACTGGCTAGAGAGCCTTCTGCACCCTCGTAGGCACATGATGCAGGACCGCAAGAGGGAAAAAGCGATCCTGCACCTGATGAAAGCCATCACATGAGAGTACTGCTCCCCTCTTTTCGCCGCCAACAGAGAGGCCACTCGTTTGTAGAGGGCCGTTGCTGCCTTGCCCATGCCTCCACTCACAGACATCACAGCCGTACATGAGTCCAGCTGTACATGAGTGCAGCTGTAAATGGACAACACTGATTACTTTAGGTACTGTACTAGTAGTCTAGTACTAATCAGACTTGTGGAAGGCAAAAGAAGGAAATCAAACACCAAACACTAAAATACATGCCACTGCTCTGAAAGGGTGTGGCTCAAGCGTCCTCCGTGTCTGCGTGCTTTCGCTTCGCTGCGCGCTTCCTGCTCCTGACAGACTTGCCAGAGGCAGCACAAGCTGCACACGCTGGGTTTGCGACTTGGCACTGTGCCTTCACTGCAGCGGGAACTTCTGTGGGCTCCGTCAATCCACAGACATAGCAGACATCGGGGAACCACTTCGATGAGAAGTAGACTGAAGAAACCTCACTCGAGCAGGTCAGTCCATCCCGGACAACGGCAACACGGTAGAGTGCGTGGCTGGGGGGGGGGGGGGGGAGGAGTAATGGTGCACCACAAACAAAGGTCGAGTTGTCGAATGCAGCCTCGAGTCAGACGGGACTTTGGGAACACACAGCGCGGCTTCATACACTCAGAGCACTTAACGGCTAGACGGACTTTCTCCTTCCGAAGCGGGATAGTCGTGGCTGGAATTGTCTTTGCTGCTCCATCTCCAGCTGCCTTTTTCAATGAAGGACGGTGCTCTCCAGAGGTCTGGGTGCTCCACACATCACTGAAGGCCTTGTAGTGGTCACCATCAGGGACAGGGCACGGGAAGTGGTGCAGCTAGATCAACAGATGGCACTAACTTGACCTTCGTGAAGTCGTGATCAGCAACAACGAATGCAACATCTTTGCCGACCAACACAGCCCCTGTCCACAGCAGCTACTGGGAAATCTGCCCCCCCCCCCCACCCACCTTTAGCATAAGCTTTTCATCCAAGCACACAAGACTATAAACGTCCTGGAACATGACGGCAAACTCCTTAATGTAGCGGAACTGGGCAGCGGCGTAGTGGCTGTCGACATGGTTGTGGCTGAGCTGTCGAGCCTGGACCATGTGCTTGATGTCTAGCTTTCCAGTGTAGTGACAAGCAGCAGCATAGGAGGTATTCTTCGGGCAGAACTGCAATCTCAACCATGACTCCCCGGGAACAGGGATGTCTTCGGGCAGGCGTTCGCCATCTTGCTCCATAAGATCACGGGTTGAGATTGCTGTTGCCATGTGCATGACTTGTCCATGGCGCCTGTCATCAACAGCCGTGATGGCTTGGTCAGCTAGGAACTGTCCACACTCCACCCAGAATGCAGCATACCTCCCTTGACGGCCTTCACTCAGGGCACATAGATCAACAACGATGTCGGGGTCTTGAGCGTCGAGGGCAAACGCTAATCTCTCCTGGACAGCCTTGCTTATGGCACAGGATGACTGGGCTACATCTCCGGAGACAAACTGGAACATGTTCCTCAAAACGGCAGGGCTGCACTCCGTCACTATCTGATATCGTTCGATGAAGGTCTTTCTCATCGCACGGGTAGCAAGTGGTGGGACATCCTTTTTGCATTGCTTGACTAGTTTCAAACTTGCAGTGAAATTGGAGTCAGCAGGGTCCACCAGTACTTTCCATGCCCAGCAAAGGCAACCAACATTACTACCAGGGTTGTGGGAGAAAAGCTCATTGGGAAACGGAAACTCCATGCCATGGATGAACTTGTAGCGTTCCCTTCGATTGTTTGGCAGGAAATCATTCAGGTGGACAGCACAGCTATATGGCTCGGACTTACTCTGAGCAGCTTCCACTTCACCATACAGTTGGCATTTCTCTGCGGCTTGGACTCGTGCTGAATGCCGCACCAGATTCAGTGGACCTCACAGGCTCCATACTCTCGTTCACACTGTTCATGCGAGCTGTAGCGCCATCCAAGTACACAATGTACTTATCCAGCTGCTTGGCAAGCAACCTCAGTCCGTCGCGCACTGTTGTCCTAGATGCTACTTGTACAGCTGGTGCACTGGACAGCTCCAACACAGACTGGCTCATCTCCTCAATCATAGTCCTGGAGAGAGGAGGCAAACGTTTATGGCCATGCTTGCCAGGGTTGTTGTAGTCCTTCTTCAGGAGGGGCTCAAACGAAGCAGGAACAGCGCCCCCTCTGACCTGGAGACGTTCAACACGTTCAGACGTGAGCCCGAAGAGGACAGAGCGCAATTTCCGAAGAACGATTTGAGGAATCTGAGCTTCGCAACTGCCAACCAATCGATGATATCGTTCTCCAATAGTCCGTGACCACGAAGAGTATCATCACTCGTGTGTTTTCCCGGTGGTTTCGCGGAAGAAGCAGCTTGGGCACCTAACATCAGCACAGAAAACACATTTTGTTCGTCCCCGCTGAGATGGTGCTGGCGAAATTTCAGGGAGAACAATCGTCAAGAAAAACACAAACCTGGACAGGCGAGCCACTCGTTGTGATGCACTGACCTCGATGGCATCCTATCCAGACAACAGCACTGACCCTTGACAAACAAGATATTCCTATGTTACGGCATCAGAGTTGGTCATCTTTTTCCCCAGCTGACGGAAACATCACATACTGTCATGTACTCATTGACATCAACAATTGTCCACTTTAGAAGAGAAGCAAACGGCCGCGATCCTCGAACGACTCTAAAGGAAAACAGCTCACCTTCTTCCATTCTGCCGAAAAACAGGAGCGAGAGTGTCCCCCGACAGTTGCGGAGAGAACAGCAAGTCTTCCGGCACAGTTCCGACAAGCGTGGTAGTAGTGCTCTGCAGCGTACTGTGCTGTGTAGCATGCACGGCAAGCGTGGGCCAAAATTTGTGCATGTGCTGGTCCCCACAGTGCAGCACGGTTTTTCTTCTTCTTCCAGACTCCTGAATCGTATGCGCACGGGTGACGAGAAACGTAGAAGTAAAACGTGTTGCCTTGCTTGTGATCAGCCGGTTATGGTGAGCATGTGCACTCGGTCTCCATGCTCGTCTAACTTGTCGTGTTGCAGGTGCTGCCGCGTCAGACGTGCGGCTTGTTTTCGCACACGCTGACCCGCTCCACATTCCCCGGTGGAGCAGAGCGCCTGTTCAGTCTGCCCAATGGAGGAGAGCTCTTTCAGACATTGGTGGATAACCCAGTAAGTATGATTATTGTGACTGGTGTCATGCAAGCACGTCAGTAAGATACCACCTGTCATTAGAGACCAACCCAGACCAGACCATGCATCCACATACAGGTCAGACCTCGCTATAACGTAATCTCTGGGGGATGGGAGAAATTATGTTATAGCGAGGTTTATGTTATAGTGAGTTGGGCACGCCAATATGCAATATGTATGTCAAAATGACGCTCTTCACTTACTCAAAGATACTGATTACAACTATACTGTTTTACATACAGGTATGATGATGACTAGCAAAGATGTGTACAGGCTTGTCAGCAAAGAGGTGACAAGAGTCATGTAGTGCGTGTACTTGTACACGTGACAAGATTAGAGCCTATAAAAAGTCATGGGAGTAGTAAAATACCGGTATTTTACTACTCCCTGCTTCCGAGGTGGACGGCTCAGTCTCGAATTCGTCGCGAGAAGGCATGCATGCCGTGTAGATCTACATACCGGTAGTCATTTTTACGAGTTTTTACGTTATGCTGAGGTCTCCGTGCGCCCGGGACCCAGCTAACAGTGTGTTATAGCGAACATTACGCTATAGCGGATTATGTTATAGCGAGGAAATTTTGTACAGAAGTGATGCGGTTTCGGCAGGGACATTCACATGTGTACGTTGTAGTGAGGTTTATGTTATAGCGGGGGTCGTTATAGCGAGGTCTGGCCTGTAATGTGTAAAGACCATTAATATGAGAGACCCATCCAGACCAGACCATGTATCCACATACATTGCGACCTGTGTGTAAAGACCACCTGTTATTAGAGACCCATCCAGACCAGATCATGCATCTACATACATGTACATTGTGACCTGTGTGTAAAGACCACCTGCCATTAGAGACCGATCCAGACCAGACCATACATCCACATACATTGCTACCTGTGTGTAAAGGCCACCTGACATTAAAGACCGAACCAAACCAGACCATCGATCAGCAATGCATCATGAGTCACTCCCAGTTATTGATTTCCGACTGCCTGTGGACAGTTGCGTCAAAATGGCGAGGTGACTGCTCGCAAGTCCGCAGTTCAGTGAATACCATACACCACCAACACAGCTGCAACGCCTATTGTTCCAAAAACGGGCCAGAGCTAAGATTGACAAAGGTGACCCGTGAAATAGTGTGCTGCGTGTGCTGCGAATGATGTGAACCATGTGATGATGTGAACCATGTGATGATGTGAACCATGTGATGATGTGAACCATGTGATGGCTGCTGCCCTACATTGTACTTGCAGTTGGACATGTCCCGGCACAAAGTGCTGGTCTCTAATTCTAACACAACATTTCTTGTTGCAAACATAACTTATTTTGTAGTACCCAGCTGGCTCAACAAACACGTTAAAAAAAATGTAATAGTCTTTTAAACCTTCGTTGCTGTACAAAGCAGGTGTCATGTTAACTCTGGCCTTATTATATCATTGTCTTATTGTCCTTAGATTTCTATCTTCATGAGCCACTACGTTAACTACGGTGGTGAGAAGTTGGCCATAGGGCTTTTCGAAAGCCTTTTCGAGTTCGTCACGAGGTACACCAACCTGGAGCTGTCTTCAGTAGCACCGACTCAGCTTGCGAAGGAATACTTTGACTTGAATCCGGGAGAGGAGGATCCTCTTTGGCAGGTTAGTGCTAGCCACCGGCCAACACACTGACGTGCTGATTGACCCTCGGCGATTAATTGGTGTGTAGACGTATGTGTAACAAACTTACTACTACATGGGCATCCCGGCATTGTGGTTCTGAAAATGCTACACTTGTTACAATTGTAATAGCTGGCCCCGGAGGCAATCACACTCACTCAAGTCAAAGCACTCACTTCATAGTTTTACAAATAATTGTCAGGAAAGAAATATTATACACACACTTGGCATGCAAAGAGAGTAAAGAGGCAACAAGAAAGAAGAAAGCAAGGGAACAAAAGTTCGGCAACACCAAATGAGAGCCTGTTTGCCTATGTGGGCAGTTTAGTGTCGGATTGCTCTGATTGTGCCATGTCAGTGCTTTAAGAACATAATTATGCAGATGGATGAGGATGTCGAAACCCGATGGTGTATTGAGGAGAACTCTATCTGTGATGTGACCAAGTATTGATTTGTGCCGGTTCTGTGTTTCCACGGTACCAGGATCCGTGCTCTGAAGTACGCCTCTACAATGGTTGGATGTCTAGCGGTAAGAAATGCTATACACTACCGACCGTACTGATGACTGGTGACGACAGAGACCTATCCACCTCTCTGTACACCAAGCTGACGACGCACCCGCAAGTGTTTGGTGCATCGCAGCCCACCTCTGGCCAGGGCAGCAGATCCTTGCCACCTGACTTTGCCTTTCTCAGCAGTGAGTCATTCCTGCAAGGCGTAGATTGGTGAGTGCCGCATGGTATGCTACCATCATATCAATGCTGACAGCTGTACTTGTGTATGTATCTGAGCACCTGGGCTCATCTGTATGGCATTCACCCTGGCTGGAACCACTGTAGTGTGTACCCTGGCTAGAACCCCTGTAGTGTTTACCCTGGCTGGAACCCGGGTTATGTTACCCTGGCTAGAACCCCTGTAGTGTTTGCCCTAGCTAGAACGCCTGTAGTGTTTGCCCTGGCTAGAACCCCTGTAGTGTTTGCCCTGGCTAGAACCCCTGTAGTGTTTGCCCTGGCTAGAACCCCTGTAGTGTTTGCCCTGGCTAGAACCCCTGTAGTGTTTGCCCTGGCGGGAACCCCGGTTATGTTACCCTGGCCGGAACCCCTGTCGTACCCTGGCTGGAACCCCGGTTATGTTACCCTGGCCGGAACCCCTGTCATGGTACCCTGGCTGGAACTCCGGTCATGTTTATTCTGGCTGGAACCCCTGTTATGTTACCCTGGCTGGAACCCCTGCTATGGTACCCTGGTTGGAACCTTCTCTTTAAAAACAAAACAAAAAACCACTGTAGTACCGGCCCTGGCTGGAACCCAGGTTAAGTTACCCTGGCTGGATCAAACCACTGTTCACCCTTGGTGTATCATGTGGTGTGTAGTATCTCTGACACTCGGCCTCGGGTTTCTGTGTTGATTATCTCCGTCACCAGGTACATGAGTAAATTCCCAAGCTTGCGTCCACAGACGGAGCCCAGCAACACAGCCACTTCATCGCGCCTCTCTACACCGCCGCACATCATCGATGTGTCCATGTCATACTTGCAGTCTGATAAAGCACCGCTGAGAGCGTGGAGACTAATTCCGCATGCCCACCTCATCATGGCATTCAGCGACCTTGAGACGACAATGCTATTGCCATGCAAGGTAACCCTGTTGCAAACTGGGCAATATGTTACGTTTCTCCAGTTGAAACACCGTCCCTTTGCCACAAAACCGTACTTGCCTTATTATTAGAGAAACCTTGTTTAGTTCACACATGTTGTTGGTTTGACAGCATGAAACAAGGTGGAGGACACGTGTTCGGAAACAACAACCGTGGATGGTTGTATTAAGGTCACTGTTTCCGAACATGGTGTCCTCCACTTTGTTTCATGCTGTCAAACCAACAACACCGTACTTGTACCAGATGCCGTTTTTTAATCAATAGTAGCAATCTTGAAGAAATCCAGGGCAATGCTAATGTTGATCTAACTCCACCATGCTGTGTCATACATTCACTTCTTTGTTTGCTTACAGAACACAATGCCGAGCATGTCTTCATGGATCAGTGATGAGCGACAAGGTGGTGTGGTCCCACAGCGTGTATGGCGGAGCCTAGCTGTAGCTGTCAGTGAGCATCGCTGTTCTGAAACTACTCCCATCTTGTCAGCTCTGATCCGTTGGCTGAAATACTTCCCGCCGAAGAAGGTAAGCAGTTCTCCAAGAACTCTTAATTGAAACCAAATCTTTAAAATTTTCTCCGTGCCTACCCCCCCCCCCCCCCCATAGAGTTCACACACAGTCAACCTTGTGAATAACGACCTCGGGTGTAACAACACCTCGCGAAATTTCGCCGAATAACGACACACTATTCAGACCTGCTATCCACTGTACAAACCATTTATTTATTTATTTCACTCAACTCGTGGTCCATGACCAATTGGCACGCAAAGTGCGAGAGAAGGGTGATAGCCAACCACGGCAAGAAAAGAGAAGAAAGAAGGATAGACAAGAATCCAGCAGGGAGATCCTATCGTACTACATTATGCGATCGGAGTGCATTTTTAAAGCTGGAAAGACATTTTGATATCTTAACATGCTGAGGAAGATGCAGCCAAAAGCTGTAGGACAAAAACAGAGGAGAGTTGGTAAATGCGGCTGAATTAGCACGGGGAAGTGAGAGACTATTAATTTTGATCCATACTTTTAGCCTTCTTAAAACGACACTTTTCTCTTGCACGATTGAGGGGCGTTATTCGCAAGGTTGACCGAATATATATTTTGGATTTACAATACCATTATACTTCCAGTATAAAAATCCAAAAATATCTGTATACGAAAAACTTGTCCGTTGGGCACCCCGAACCATTCATAAGCTCAACATATTTGTGAAGAGAGCATGAGGCTCAGTCATTTAGCATGAGCCACACTGGTGGCCCCAAGGGTATTTAGACCTCCCCCATACCGTAAGCCAGAGAAAGACATTGTACAAAACTAGTATTAAAAGTGCATACGTACTACTCTGGACACACTCGTACCGTGTTGTTCCTCTAATCAAACCGAAGTTCTTCACAGTCAGCTCCTGGACATGGGCTTCTGGGCATAGACTGTGTGACTGTATTCTTGTAACATAGGCTGTGTGACTGTATTCTTGTAACATAGCCTGTGTGACTGTATTCTTGTAACATAGGCTGTGTGACTGTATTCTTGTAACATAGGCTACTGGGTGTACAGTCAACCTCGGTTAAAACAACTCGCAATTAACGACATTATCTTCAGAGCATGTAACCCGGCACTGGACTGTATACTTTTAACCTCTCGGATAACAACAACTGGCGAGCAACAACACTTTTCTCATGGCCGATCGAGGGTTGTTATTCGCAAGGTTGACCCTACTGGGTATATTATTGTTTGCTATCACACCATACCGTTGTTGTATGTGTTCTCTGCTTGATAACGTTAATAATTACGTTATGCATCATTGCATGTACATGTGCTTGTTGCAGATTTTCTGGATGGATGGGAAAGCAATGAGAACGCATGCAAGTCCGGTTCTCTCGGAGTTGCAGCTGTGGCTCGGCTTGAAATCTCCCTTGAATGGCTCTCCGCGTCCACCGCGCTACAGAGCACACGTTTGAACATCATTGCTTGAGGCCGGTATCTTGAGAGTGTTTACGATCACTGTGTGACCCAATACTGTATATTCTCACTGGCACATGAAGTGCACAACTAGAATCCTGTACACCATTCTTGAAGCAATTCCACTTGAGGACTTGATCCATTTGAGACTATGTTGACGCACGGAATCTTCCTCAGTCGTGATTCTTGACTATTCTGCAACATCCTGATCACGCATTTCTATGACTATTATTTTTAAATGCTGCAACCTGCATGCTGCTGATGATTGGTGCATGCAATGTGTGTGTGTGTGTGTGTGTGTGTGTGTGTGTGTGTGTGTGTGTATGTGTGTGTGTGTGTGTGCGTGTGTTCCAGTATGCTGCAGTTTGGGACAATGAGCTGTGGTTCTGTGTGTGTGGAAACGTGTACTTGTGATCCACTGGCCGTGCCATAGTTGTGCCCGAGCAGCTGGACGATGGGACTGTCGAAAGTTGTTCTCGGTCCAGCAGCGTCCCCAGTGCTGCGTGTAGATACAGGCTAGCTCCTGCATGTCGACGATAGCAGGTTTTCGTACCACAGCTGTTGGATGTGGATGATAGTGCTCAACATCAGCTAACGTAGTACATGGTGTTCTGTGGGGCAGATGCTGCAGGCGGAGTGGGGCCAGTCATGCTGTGTGCACTGGGACATTTCTAGTAATTTTCTACATCATACATGACATTATGCTGATGAGTCTCGTGCCGCATCCAACCAGCCTCTCGGAGACAGCAATACGCTCATTACGTCTGCACATCTCTCTGCCCACACTGAATAAGAGCAGCACAGTGCTTCCATGGCATTAACAGAGGATGGAAAGTACACAATGAGTTCTATAGATGCTTGGATACGAGATGTATAGTGACTGCACATCATAGATAAAGTGAGCACATAGTCATTGTCTGTCAGTGAAATTCAATCAGCATACCCGTCTACACAACTAACTGTAGCAAGAAGGACCCATGAGTGTGTGTGATCCCCGCTAGCCTAGTCGGTAGGGCACTGTCCCGGAAAGACAGGGGTGCTGGGTTCGAATCCCGCTCGTGGATCCTTCTTTTGCAACATAACTGGTTGATTGTGTCTGGTTCCCAGGCAACCAGGCAATGCTGGGGCATGTGCCAATGTGAAGTACGCCACCGCATCCCTGGTCTAGGCCCCAATCGACTGGCAATAGTTCCGGAACAGACTGTGTGTCTGCTGGACACTGATCTAACACACACACACATGATTGGCACTTTTTTCGGCAGCAGTTCACAAGGGAACACAGGGAACCGGCAGAACTGAAGCATGAATTCAGTTTTCCAGGAATGCAACAACAGCACCAAGCACTGAGTCAACCCATCCGTACACTGCAGCAGCCACACAGTGTGAGCAATGAGCCAGCAACAAAGCAACATCCAAAATCAACCGGTAACACAAGTACAGAAGACACATCGCAATACAAAGAGTTTTGCCTGCACGGTCGGATATACTAGGAAGGGTGTAAAAAATATTATAAGCAATTGCGTTGCAGGCTCGCAGGATACTGACTGAATGCTTTCTGCAAGCTTGAAAGCAGGGTTACCGCCTGATATGCTCAGTGCCGACCTGAGTGACGAATGCTGCAGCTTAATCTATTCCGGGTCACCGGCCTGCCGCCATAGACTGCGGCATGGACCAGTGCGAAAATTGATGAAAATTGCCAACTTCAGGGTATTAAGCAGTAGTGAGAGGCGGCAGTACTGACCGAGACCGCGTTGATTCGAACGTCACGACGCCTACGCACTGTGGCACCGACAAACTTCCAATTTTGGTGCTGTTCGCAAGGTTATTTCTACAGCAGCCATGTTGAGATCATAGGCAAACACAGCCAAAACGTGATGATCATGATCAGCAATCATAATCATAATGTACATCAATATGGATACTTACAGAGAAAGAAAATTAAAAATTTCCACACGAACAATGGGTCACGGGCGCAACGAGAAAACGGATGCTATTATAATAAACAAAGCACACAATGATATCTATCGAAATCATCCGCGCATGACATTGCATTGCAAGGCTCAACTTCACATTCGCTTACTTGGCTCATAATTGTTCTTCTGTGTAAGGTTAGTTTGCAACGCTGCTTTTGTCGCCCGTAGCGTCACGGTCAAAACTAGTGCTAGCGCCGTGCGTCAAGACACGCCCCGGCCATGACCAGGGTTTTGTACACGTCACAGCATACACCAAGTACCTACTGCAGCTCCACTGGATGGCAGGATTATTTAAAAAAAATAGAAATATTTGATAGGGATAAAAACACCAGCAGCAGGTACTAGTATGCTAGGAGAAATTATATCGTGCGACACCCCGAGTTAGAAGACTCAATAACTAAGTTATCAAGTTTTCAACGCACTGCGAAATAGATGGCCACGGCGATTATTCCAACCATCAAAATGCCCACAATGGTCAGGATGACTCGATTCTGATAGACGCGCCTTACCATTCCGTTCAGGATTCGCCCGCTCTTGCCCAGATCCTGGTCGACACCCCTGAGCCTGTCACGAGCTCTGGTGATCGTTTCTCGGTCACGATGGAGATTGTCCATGATTCCACGACCGATCTCCTCCGTTTCTAGCGTCATGCGGTATCCCTCCTCCAGGCGATTTGTTGTCTTGCTCATCCTCTCCGTGTTCTGCAGAAGCCTCTCTCGCTGATCCTCGGAATTCGCTGCGTCGTCTGGCCCCAGCAACTCGTCCCTACCAGCCGCTGCATCTCCTAACTGCACTTGTGACCGGCGGAAATCTTTGCCAAGACGCGAGAGCTCCTCGGTATACGAGCGAACTCGCGTAGCGGCTGTTTGTCTCCCTGCTGACGGCAGGTCTCTTACCTCCAGGTCCATTTGTTCGACGAGGTCCTGTGCTTCTTCTAGCAATTGTTCCACATCTTTTACAACACTTTGCCTAGGACTGCCAGACAGATTTGGAATGGCGTGGATTTTCGTCGTTACTTCCGCAGTGAGTACACCAAACTGGTGTTCGTATCCTTGTAACAGCGACATAGCGCAACCGAACAATATCACCGACCAACTAAAAGGCACAAAGGCGAAGTCGAGAAGGTAGCTGATTCTGGTGAAAGGGAAAGGGACAACGTCAATGATGAAAAGTAGATCGAATGATTCAAAAAACAACCTGGAAAGTACGTGTGCCTTGCCAGTGGCACATGTCGTGTCGGCAAACATGGATTTTTCGGTTTTTTAGATTTACCTTTTGTATCGCCTCGACCGACCCGTCCGTAGATATCTATGCCTACAACATATCTAACCCGGCATCCAAGGCATGCAAGTGTCATAACCGGGCTCGTATCGGGGGTTAGAGTATGAGTTACGACTGTACATGACTGATTATGTGTACTGACAAGTGACAACAAAGTTATAAAATAACTTATAGTTTGTACATACTTGATGGGTCTAGGTCTACTCGTCTACATGTAGCTGTAGTGTAGTGTAGATCTACCAGGGAGTCGTATTATGACTCCCTGGAAGATCTACGTTACACCCGTAGGTACTAGGTACATCCTTGTGACTCCTTGACGATCTACCTGTCGAGAGCTAGCCGTGATGACTATGTCAGTATGACTCGATGACTATGAGTATGAGCTGCTTGGTAGATCCACCGGCCGACGGGCGTAGAAAAGCGAGTGTTCTGGAAAGGGCAGAGTATCCACGACGAAGCTAGCTAGCGGACGGAGGTTGCATACCTGTATATCTGTGAAGGTCGAGAGTCTTTAGTTTAGTAACCAGCTGTGCCTGATCAACAAAAAATATTTGATCTTGCCAGTCGTGGCAAGAACTCATATTGGTGCTGTATAGCGACAAGTGCTCAAAAGAGGTTGGCTGATCGTTGCCGTGACACGGCCAGAGCAATGGCTGACACGCCAGCTACAGAAATTAGAGTGGAGGCCCCAGCTGAGGACAAGCCGAAGGCTGCTAGTACGGACAACGGAGACACGGGGGAGGTGAGGTCCACTATTGTGAAGCACAGTCTTGGGCATGAACATGAAATCGTTGCGAAACGCCGTTGTCTCAAGAATAGTGTAAATGTGCTCGCTGGCCTCTGCTGTTCCGTATGAAAACATGTGAAATTTTCCTCCGTGACAATTAATTTGAGACATCATCAATTCCATCTCCCTGTGCGCATACATAATCTAAAATACATGTAGCAAGTACTATAGTAAAATGAAACCTAGTTTTGTCTTTGTAGCGACGAAAACAAATGTCGTGGCTAGCTAGCTCATGTCTGCGTGTATTTGCGAAAGCAGTGGGCCAAACAGTATGTATCTCGTTGCGGCATTACTGTACGGCTGTAGAGCCTAACGGTGAAAGCGCCAACGCGCTGTGATGCTACAGACAAGGTGTCAGCGTGGGGTATGTAGTGAAATGGGTACGACGTACTTGGTATGCTGGTGCAATTTGTATTCCATTCGAGAAGTTCGTAGATCTACTGGGTAACTGCCCCCAAACGGATGCTTGAAGGCCAAGGTGTACAATTTAAAAATAGGAGATACATAACGAATTATGCTGACAATTGCATGGTTCAAGTAGCTATGAGTCTGTAGGATGGATCATACGCGCGAAGCTAACTTTCCTGAATGTTTCTGCCGCAAAGACTGTTGGGTTATTTGAAGTAGCGTGTAGCTACGCGGCTTTGTGCTCCGGTTTGAGGAACATTTGGGCCAGTTGTGCTACTTCAGCGTAGCACTGCATGATCCCAGTGTGTACTGCATACAGTGCTATGTGTGTTCAGTGTATGCCACCGCACAGCGTCATTCCAGTGTATGCTGTGAACAGCACGATTTCAGTGTATGCCATCGCACACAAACATACTATAGCAGCGACTCTCGTAGCAACCATTCTCATTCATTACAGTAAAACAGGGATAAGACGAACCTGCTCTGGACCGGAGAAAAGCAATTTCTTAGCCGAGGTTCGTCTTATCCAAAATCACAAAAAAATTAACTCGAATACTGAGCCAGTATAATAAAATAAATGTAAACAAAGAAGAAAACACATGGGAACGTTCCATGTAATTTGTCAAAAATCACATCTTTTTTGTTCAATCAAACACGGGAATGCTGTAGTGAAGTCCACGCAGCTTGGCGGTGACTCAGTGTGAGGCTGCTGAAGAATCCTTGTCCCTGAATGGCCTGATCATAGCGTGTTCTTGGTTTGTTGCAGAATTAAAAAAATCTTTCATTGCAGTTACACTAAAATGGCACCAAATGCCCGGGAATGGTTGCATTTGGCTTCAATTTCTGAATTTTTCCCGGGGAAGGGTACTAATACAGGTGGAATCCTGATAATTCGAACCTCCAACTGCCAGGAAAAAACTTCTAACTATCTGGACATTCTAATTATCCAAACATGAACCCACAACACAATATGTATCAAAATGCTCCCATGGTCACGCAGAGTTGCGCTATGGACCTTAGACACAGATTTCACGGATACTGAACTGACCAGCACAGCCTGCTCGTGCAAACTGAACTGACCAGTGCAGTGTACAGTGAACTTCGAATTACCCTTATCTAAGCTTAGTAGTAGTATTCTTTTATTTATAGTGGAGAAACCAAAACAGGCAGATGCCTAATAACAATGGACCCACTGTGTAGGGTGGTGGATGAGGGGGGACCCTTTGCTTACTTCAAATTATCAGCACAAATCCCACACATTTCTATGTAAGTGGAATCCGTGGAACTTCGAATTAACCGGACATGTCCGGTTCGAGGTTTGAATTATCAGAATTTTTTATGTGGGAATCGGTCCTGGAAAAACTTCTAATTAAGCGGTATGTTCGAATTAAGCCATATTCGAATTATCAGGATTCCACCTGTAATAGAGAATCCTTGTCCCCGATTGTAGCGTCTTGGTTTGTTGCAGAATTAAAGGGTATTTCATTGTAGTTACACTGAGTGAAATGGCACCAAATGGCACCAAATGCCCGGAAATGCTTGCAACTGGCTTCAATTTTTGAAACTTTTTTCCCGACCCCCTTCTATGGCCGCTCCACCTCCAAAGTGGGTACGACGGGCAGGCTACATGCCTGGGTCACATGATCAGCCCTGCACTGCATTAGTGTAGAACATTGTCTTGCAGTAAAGTCAGTGGTAGAGTTACCTGGCTAGGAACCAGTGGGCCTTTTGCCACTGCGAGGCCGGACTGCGTGTCTACATGTATAATTTCATTCCAGCAGAAAATACTCGTAGTTGAAGAAAATACCAGCTTGCTGCAGCCCTACTTTCTGTGTTCTTCTGGCCACATTCTATTTATTTCTAAGAAAGAAGAAAGGATCTCGTAGCATGTGGATTCATTACTTCAGTACAAAATTTCCCTTCTCAATCAGCAGTCTCATCCAGTTCTCATCAGAGAAGATATACAGGAAGACGTTTCGAACATGCCAGGCCACCTTCATGCCTGAGCGGATATACCTGGGTAGTAGATGCAGCACCTGGTGGCAAGAGTGAGGTGGTAAATCTCATTATTTTAATTTATTTTATCTCATAACCAAGGGGCTGAAGTCATGTTATCTGCACCCTACTCCCGGAAGAAATAGCCAAATGACAGTGTCACAAACTCATTGTTAGAAGTACACGAGTTATAGCCGCTACTGTGTACTTGTCAGGTGTGAACATTACTAGCAAATAAGCATAGTGTTAGATCCCCGGCATCTCGAGCACTCGACAATAGCATGATTATTGTCACGGTGGGGCAAAAGAGAGAACAACAGCGCAGCAATAGCCTGATAAACAAAGGCCATGTTAATGCTCACACCTCACCTGGTGTGTGATAAGCTAGCCTACGGTTGCCACTAAACGCCGCTGCAATAAAATGCTCTCAGTCTCTTTGCCATTCACTCTCATTTCTTCCACTAACTAGCTGTACTGTTTCCGATGACATTCGTGCACTGTACTGGCACTGACTAATCAGTTCCTGACCGTCCTTGTACGAGTAGACTGAATATGCCTAGTCGGCAGAATTGCTCCAACAAACGCTGCTCCTGGTGCTGCTTTAGCAATTAATCTAGTTGCTGAAGTTTGTCTACGTATACTTCACTTTCAGGCGTCTAAGATCCGCAGGCTGCGTAATAGTGCTCTATGCCCAGTGGACAGAGCCAGTAATACGATTCACGAACAGCAACAGTGCAATCAGGTCCTTCCTTGCCGTTACTCAGAGCTTGAGAGTGTCTGAAAAGTGACACTCATCACACCGGCGGCCTGCTGTTTGTGAACTGTATGAACTGAACTCAGCTGTATGATTTCACTTTCAGTGTACTGGCCGGTGACTGAGTGCGACTGACTGACTGCTTCTGCAGTGCAGGGTGAAGTGCGACTGACTGCTGCAGTGCAGGCTCCTAAATCATGTAATGATGTTGTCTGTGTGTGTGTGTGTGTGTTTGAACAGAAGCAGCAATCGATGAAGGACCAGGATGCAAAGCTTGCGGCAAAGTACGGAGGAATGAACAGACCCACTGCATCCTCGATTGTTCAGAAGAGAATATCAAGAGGGGTGAGTCAACGTGTCTGCAGTGATTGCAGTGACTTCGCTTACACTGGCCCAGTGGGTGCAACTACATGTACGGTGCTGCTCGATGAAATCCAGTCGCGTCGGTCAAGTATGTGCCACTGGGTGTTGCGCAGCCCTAGACCTGCAAACACTGGGCTGCAAGATGATGCAAGGCGCAAACTTGAGCGACCAGACTGAATTTCATTGAGCAGGACTGTCGTATGTAACATGTAATCCAGACCATGGTACTGGGCCGGCTGAACAAACACCATGACCCTGAGTCTACATGTGTACGAGTAACTGTCGACGGTTCCGGCCAAAAGTCAATTTTCTAACTAGCTGTTACGATATGGTGCATGCCCTTGGCAACCAGAAACATACTCAGTAGCCAAGGTACAGTTCTTACTGAAGAAGCTGAACTTCTTCTTCAGACTTTACGAGATACTGAGCGCCTCAGCCTATTACAGACAGGGGGTTATTTAACTCGGATGGTGAGCCAATTAAATTATGGTGAAAAAGGAGGACAAAATGTTGTAAATGAGTTATGTATGATGGACTAGTTATGTACAATAACAAGTAGTTCCACACGACGTACGTTTCGCCGTGTTGGTCATGACGGCTCATCAGGTGTGCAAAGTTTAACTCGGATGGTGAGCCAGTTAAATCATGGTGATTAAAGGAGGACAAAATGTTGTAAACGAGTTATGACTAACTGTCCACCAACGTAACCTGAGCCTTACGTTTAACTCGGATGGTGAGCCAATTAATGGTGAGCCAATTAAATTATGGTGAAAAAAGGAGGACAAAATGTTGTAAACGAGTTATGATTAACTATCCACCAACGTAACCTGAGCCTTCCAAGTTGGAAGGTTGTTGGTTTGCGCCTTGGTGAAGTGTTGGAGCTAGGTGTCAGGTCGCCGAATGTCTCAGTACTCCTTGTCAGTTTTGTGCCATTTTGTCGCACTCGCTGACTGTATAAGATCTGGTTACGTTGGTGGACAGTTAGGCCATATAGGGGTTTATTTCTTTAAAGTAGGGAGGTTTTTAAAACTGTTCAGCTCCAGGAGTATATCTTATAAACCGTGACTTCAGTTTTGGACTACATGTATTACTTCGTTCTGTTTGCCATAACTTCCATAAGGTGTCGGGCATGCCGTTTTGTCACCTACCGAGCGATATTCAGTGTCAGTGCAGGAGTATTGTTCACATGTAATTGTTGACCGCCATGCCAAGTACTTACATTCTACATGTATAACTGTTATTTTGGTGCGGGGCTAAGTCCAGGAAATGCTGTAGTACCTCCAGACAACTGTTTCCCATTTCCGATGTTACCGTGGTCAATGATGAGAGGATATCATGACGCATTTGTTTTTACAGGGTGAAGTTGGTGCTCAAACAAGTATCATTGAAGTCTAAAAATGTGCGCTCGTGCGTCGTCCCATCATTGTACTCTTCTTGCACTGTGCAGGGCTGTCAATTCTTTGACTCTGGTGACTATAACAAGAACAAGAAGGACGGCAAGTCTCCTGCGGTGGCTGTTGGCGGTGGCACAACTGCAGCACCACTAGCTGTTACCCCCGGTGGCGCAGTCGACCCAGGTGTATCCAATCTCACCGCAATACCCAAGAGAATGCAGCGCAAGCCGTCCGGGGCCAGTCGCCTCGGTTTGCCATCGCATTCTCCGCCGAAGGGCGAGTAGGAGCCTGTCTGGACAGGCCGTTGAAAAGTCATCGCCGTCGCCTCAGGACCGTGTGATGGTTGCGCTCAATCAGGCTGCTGTGTCTACGGTTGCACTCAATCAGGCTGCTGTATATAGTATTATGGTTGCTTGTCCTGCAGACGTGCATATGCCAGTGGCTGGCCACAGCCGGTGCATGGCTCTGCAGCATAGTCATATGATAAAGACGATATTCTCCAACCCCTATTGCCAGCAGCATGTCTGCCGGTCGCACGCATGTGCATGATCTGTCTGAATGCCTTGCGTCAAGACGTGCAAACATACACAGCTGTGGGAAATGTGACAGCTGCCCGCGCGTCTCGTGTATTAACTCTTCTACTATACATATAATTATTATTCTCTTGCGCCCGCCCTCCACCTGGCTAACTTAGCAACCCGATATCATAGCTGTGCCGGCTGCGGCAGTCTACAGGACTGGTGTTATTTGTACTTGACCGCTAAGCCATGCTGTTAGCAACAGATGTAGTACACACTACAATTACAGATAGACACACACACTGGCACGTTTGCCAGGGGCGACATCTTTATCACACACATATTCAACAACGTATTAAAAAGAATGTATGTCACTGGTTTGTACACAGACAATAATTATGACAAAATGCCGTGGAAAGGCGGTGGCCATGGAGCAACAGCATCAGAATCCGGAAGGGCAATTTGGACGCCGCGCCTGTCGTCTTTGTCTAGGATAGGTGCAACATTTAACGCAAAGTGGGAGGACATGGTGGGTCTTGCAAAATAGAAGTGAGAATTTTGATGGTTGAGAGAGAGATTAAAGACTCTGGCGAGTACGTACAAGAGCAGAGACCAGATAGAGATTAGAGATGGGTGCTGGGGTAACAATAAAACTACTATAATTATTATAATAGTAAGAAGCATTTGAACATGACAAAATTAACAGCAAAAGCAATTGACTTGAGAAGTAAGCAAAGAATACAGACAGCAGTGAGCAGCAAACATTTGGCAGAAAACAGGCATACTGGTGCAGCGATGCCACCGCTACCACTGCCACCGCTGTGTCATGACCAGATTTCACTGTGTTAGCGACTTGCACCAAATCACAGGAAGGATTGTTGGCACGTAACGTAACAAGAAGACGAAGAGGAACGTCCCTAGAGCATTGCTCAAAACTACACACAGTCATACACCAGACGCGGAACATTGAGCAGATAACCAGCTGCTTGAGAAATTTGCTGCAACGCAGGGAGTACGAATTACTGCCACAGTTGCAGGGCAAGAACATCAGAAGAGATAGCCAAATCGTGACCACCCAAGGCTGCTGCACTAGCTTAGCTGCCTGCAACCGCCTTCTGCAGACGTGCGAGAAAGTTATAATACGAGTACTCTTTCTGTCCATGATCTCCGTCGTCAACAAGTCTCTGCAAAACCTTGCTACTGCTATGGCTGTCAGCCCTGTGTTCACAACAACAACAACAACAACAAGCTATCGTGAGAATAAAGATTTGAAACAACAACAGCAGCAGCAGCACCACCACCACCATAAAAGTCAGGCGCCATGTACATGTAACGTTATGTTTAACCGTCACCATAAACACAACTAAAATAGTGTGTAATTGTGACAGCAAAACGCAGACAATAATTACAAGAGAAACGTCATGCAATGGAGAATTCTTACAAGAGAAACGTCATGCAATGGAGAATTACAAGAGAAACGTCATGCAATGGAGAATTACAAGAGAAACGTCATGCAATGGAGAATTACAAGAGAAACGTCATGCAATGGAGAATTACAAGAGAAACGTCATGCAATGGAGAATTCCATTTAAAAACACCAATGTACTGTCGTGGACATGGAAATCCGGTCGCACGTCTAGCGGCCCCAGGGCGCTGGCCATGCCCGTCTAGCGGCCCCAGGGCGCTGGCTATGCAGCCGTGGATAATCGGTACACACATGCATTTATGCGCTGCAGCGCGCTGGTCGCATCGGATCAACATGATTGTGCACTTCACGCAGCGTTCTGTATGGGCTGAGGGCGCCGGCCCCGGTCAATCGACTGGATTTCCATGTCCGCTACAGTACATGTACATCTGCACCCCTTAACCTCTTTAGATTTTCGTTTAGCTTTGCATGTTCGGGCCAAATAGCCAAGGGATCACAGTTTAGTGCCTGCTGAGAAGCTCCACATGTGTGTTTTCAGGTCTCATGCTTCCTGGATGATGCTATAGGGCCAAGAAGTTCTTCACTCTAGTCTCTAGACTGGGGAAGGTGCAGCAGCATGCACCATGTATCAGTATGCTACATTAGCGCGATCGAGTACCCACACGTGTATAATGTGTATGTAGAACGAGCGCAGTTGAAAATCGCCTGTAGTGATATACCGGTTTATATGGTGATAAAATGTGAAAAATCAGAAGGGCACGTTATAACCAATACCTACTGTACATGCATATCCTTACCTGACAATGAACAACGGTGCGTGGACTCCATGGCCCTTCCGCAGCTGCTTCACAAAGCTGTTCACGGCATTGGAGCGTGCATTCTCCATCAGAGGTAGGTAGCTCTGCAACATCAAGAAGAAGAAAAGATGAGGAGGAGTGACAGGAAGAACACACTGTTACAGTCATTGCAAGTACTATAGTACAATGATCCTATCATGGCCCCAGGCCACCATGGTGTCTATTCGAACCTAGCGAACCTAGTGGAGTCAAGCCAAAGGCTGATGGCAATTACTTGCAAGTAGTCAAATACACAGTGCAGTTACACCTATATATCACGCGCACCAGCGATCAATACCCTGGTAATACTGACCCAGATCACATCTACCGAAAAAGAAACACATTCCCATACAGTGTAAGGCATGCAGTGTAAGGCATGCAGTGTAACATGTGTGCAGCAGCAGCAGCAGCGGTAGCAATGGAAACAGCGGTAGCAACGGCAACAGCGGTAGCAACGGCAACAGCGGTAGCAATGGCAACAGCGGTAGCAACGGCAACAGCGGTAGCAATGGCAACAGGGGTAGCAATGGCAACAGCGGTAGCAACGGCAACAACGGTAGCAACGGCAACAGGGGTAGCAACGGCAACAGCGGTAGCAACGGCAACAGCGGTAGCAACGGCAACAGCGGTAGCAACGGCAACAGCGGTAGCAACGGCAACAGTTGACGTGAAGGTACAGTGCTGCTCAATGAAATCCAGTCGCGTCGCTCAAGTTTGCGGCCTTCACCATTCCGCAGCCCAGTGTTGGCAGGTATAGGGCTGCTCAACGCCCGGCGCGTACTTGAGTGACGCTGTGACTGGATTTCATTGAGCAGCACTGTACTTGTTCAAAAATGTGCAAATACCTGACGCCCATATCCACATTGGTTGTCGTGTAGTTCAGAGTTGCAGAAGTGATAATTCTAAGATACGGACAGCCTCCAGTCCTAGGCGGTCGGCGAGAGGTTCTACCATATATCAAAGGACAGGCGTTGTGTTGAAACTTGTAAGGTGCCCAGGCAACCTGCTACATCATCACTGCTACATAAGTACTTGAAGTAGTGATACTAGGGAGGTTTAGTCCCACGTAACGGATACGGGAACGTGGGTGATACACGTAGAGTTCCTGCAACGGACCCACGTTTGCAATGTTGTGTTTAGTCACACGGAACAAACAAAAGCATGAAGCGAAAGGCCCAAACCTGGTCAAAGACGAAGCTTAGAAGCTCATAGAATATTTGATTTCGTGCTTCGGAAACTTCTTCAGCTGAGCACCCTCACAGCTCGCACAATGCGCTCCATTCTGATTTTCACCCACGTTCTGGCGGAACGTGGGTGAGCCTCCATACACGGTATGGAGTGAATCAGAAAACGTCTGTACGTGGGTCACTGAGTATCACGTGGTACACAGACGTAAAGTAGCCACGGATTACGTGGGACTAAACCTCCCTAATATGCCATTGGTACGTGTGCAGGAGTGTATACTTTAAAGTACTTGTCGTTGCCTAGCACATCACAGAAGGACAAACGCTGTACCTGAGTTTCTGGCAGCTCGCTAAAGGAGCCTACGTCAAACAAATCCTGGATGATTTCATTGGCAACAGACTGGCCGATCCACACGAACAGCGTCTGTAGGGAATACAACCAGGAATGTCACACACACACACACACACACACACACACACACACAAGTACGCGCGCACGCACGCACACACACACACACACACGCACACACACACATGCACACACACACACACACACACACACACACACACACACACACACACACACACACAAGTACGCGCGCGCACACACACATACGCACACACACACACATACGCACACACACACACACACACACCAAAATACAATACACGGTCAATTAGGTTTGAAAGACCGCAGCAGTAGAACACTGCCAGTTGGCCACCGCAAAACTTCGCACAAGAAGAATACTCGATAGAGAGATGACTGTACATGCTCACTATAAGTGAGTCATAGCATCTAGGGAGACGACATGACATCCTAATACTTTACCCGAAACAATGTGCACTTTGAACCCGGGTTTCGAAGTTCTACGTGATCCATGCCCTACACAAATCACGATCATGGCCTTGACACGCACCTGAACGTGGCCCAGACATTATCATCTGAGCGTGTATGAATCAACCCTGCCCTGAGGGCCACTGTAACAGGCAGCACGGGGTCAAAACCCACATGATCTAGCGTTACAGCTACCCGTGCACAGAACTGTTGGGTGACAAAGAACTGAGGAGTCAGCCTCCCAGCCTAGGCCGTTCTCATTTTCATGTACTGCAGTCTGTGCACAGTTGATCCACCGAGTATACATTGGTATGCTGTGCTTGGTGAACTCCTAGCCTGTTCATTCTCCGGCACCGGACAGTACTGTAGTCTCTGTGTGAGCTGTGAGCTATGACTCCCTGGTGTAGAGTAGTCTATGGCTGTGAGCTATGACTCCCTGGTGTAAAGCAGTCTATGGTTGTGAGCTATGACTCCCTGGTGTAAAGCAGTCTATGGCTGTGAGTCCCTGGTGTAGAGCAGTCTATGGCTTTCGGTCAGTGGTCACTCACCAAGCCAGTATTGAGTAGATAGATACCAGAGGGGCTGAGGTTGAGCATGGATGCCTGCAGGCGAGCTGGGCTATACTGGATGTCACCAGACAGTTTGGTAGTGGCATGCTGCAAACGCATAGAGGTACACACACACACACACACACACACACACACACACACACACACACACACACACACACACACACACACACACACACACACACACACACACACACACACACACACACACACACACACACACACACACACACACGCATGCAAGCACACATACACACACAAGATAACAAAACAATGTGACATATTATGGGAGCACTGCACACCAAAGGCAACACAAGCACACAATGTGGGAATACCCTACTACTGTACTAAGCTTACTGATTTAGAGCAAAGCACTATCACGAATACCCGACATACACAGACTCTCCCAATGGAGACAAACTTAAAACACGTGCTGGTTTCCGAACTGCCCCCTACACAATCCTAATCCACGGTGGGCATTGGTATTATGTAGAGAGGCTTCTTGTTATGCTCGTTGGTATATTAATTTTATCCTCTTTCGTCCGAAGAGGATCTGGACTAAATCTAATCCTGGATTAGGGCCGGGTTCCACTGCAGCTCCGCGGCACGTGAACTTTTGGGAGTTAACCATGGTAGTCATGGCTCGGGCGAGTGCTGTGGAGGGGTACAGGTGCTAGATCACTTGGAATCACAGTTATCCAGCGTAGATGTATCATGATCACGCTTGTCCAACCTGGCAAAGGACCGGAGTACTCAGCTGCAGCAAACTAATAGCCTAGCCTTTTTAAAATAGGTTTGTCGTTCCTGAATGAAATGTTTTAACTTCCCTTCTTCAGAACTACACCAATTTATTCATCAACTAAATGTCTATAATTATACATGTACGTACAAGAAGTACATAAGCAAGTACAATTACGTTGTAGTGGCACGGAGGCAAGGTGTAGAAAGCACGACCGGACATAAAGCAACACTCTTCCCAATCCAAGCTAGCTATCGCCTACATACCTCTTCACCCAGGTCGTGAATGGCGTACATGCGCGGGTAAATGTAGTGCAGCGCCTGTGTTATCGGCAGCTGATCCAGCAGCCTCAGTCCCTGCACACGGTCGTCGTTACTCTGCGGCACACGCGAGAATGGAACCTGCAGCAGTAACCAGTAGAGGAAAGTGGACCATGCCACAACATGATCAGCACAGCACAAAACAGCAAGAAGTGAACAATACAAGCCGGCGGCGGGGATGACAACAACAACCTGACAAGTAACAGCACCAGCATATACAACAGAGGGAAATAAAGCCAGTACCATATTCTCCGGAGCATAAGAGTCGCACTTCAAACACCAGTAATCCCCCCCCCCCCCAAAAAAAAGTCGGTGCAGCTTATACTAGGATGGGCGAAATAACGGTCATAAACCGGGTAGATGTCTGTATTTTGTGACAAACAATCTGGGCACGGCTTATACTCCAGTGCGGCTTATACTCCATTGCAGCTTATACTCCAGTGCAACTTATACTCCAGTGTGGCTTATACTCCAGTGCGGCTTTTATTCCGGAAAACACGGTACATATGCAGACCAGCGAGCAACAGACGGGAGCGCAGGAGAACACCGTACCAGGTTGAGCAAGCCAGTGAAGAAGAGCGGTAGCGTGGACAATGCCTGAGGAACAAGTAGGGCGGTGGGCGATCGGCCGACTAGATTCTTGGTGTAACTAGACAAGCAGTCCAACGCGCATGTGCTGATACCCTGCATACACAAAGGAACGGCGAGAGCACAACACAAAAGTACGAAAATCACGATCAGGAGAGAAGATTAACATGAACGTGTTATGTATACGTGCATGTACTTTGAAACATCAAAGAGAGAGATGGACACTGTCCCATAAAAGCACCGGGCTGCAAACAGCGCAAACGACAGCGCAAACGGCATGCACCTGCCAGCGCTCAAGTAGACTAGAAACTGCCGTGGTATACGCAAGTGGTAATGCATTGCCATGGCAATGCAGGGTACCAGGCTTGCTAAACACAGACCACCGGCACAGATGAAACTACTTGTATGAAAGACTGCCCGTCTTGATTGCTTGTGTGCGGCGGGTAACCTTTGAAAGGTTCCTATGCCTGCACATGATCCTTGAAGGGTGGTAGCGTTCGTACGGATGCGGAAAACTCGGCCTCTAGCCGAGTCTGACGCGAACCGTGGATTTATTTTATTTTATGCCTGCACAAACGCAGTGTTCTCTTATTGGCTCTGATCGTGTTGGGGTGGCTGGTCCCTTACCTCTCTGGCGTCAGCTAGACCAGTGGAAGAGGCACTGGCACATGCTGTACACACCAAGGAACAGAAGAAAGAAAGAAAAACAAGATCAGAAAGATGGCACGCGGAAATGAATGCAGTACTACATGATTGCATTGCCTGACTAACAGAGCCTGGCTGCATTCCACTCACCTTGAAAGTCAAATGCCCATAATATCCTGGAAACACTCATCTCATAAACCCCTTGCTAAAAGGACACAAGTCCTGTGCGCGCGCGTGTGTGTGTGTGTGTTTCAGGACATTCAAACTTTGCCTACATACTCATCACTGGAACAGAGTAGCTCAGCATTTAACCTTAACGTACCATGACACACACATGGCAAAAAGAGTCAACGTACCCATTTTGGCTATCAGCAACGACACGGCTTCTACATCTGCTCCGTCAAACACTTCAGCAATGTTGCTAGTGATTGGAATAGCGAGAGTAGTAACTCGTGTCCGGCGTTCACCTTCAACCAAAAAACACATGCATTACAGCATACACGCACACCAAACAGGGTTTTAATGGAAAAGCACATGTGCACATACACAAACTAGTGTTTATTGCAATAAAATAATAAAGCCTACTCCAAAAAGGCATAAGGGGCCATCCGTAAATATCGATAGTTTTTTCAATCCGTGAATTTTACAAAGTAACCAGGACCCACCACCCACCCCCCTACTTTTTACGGAATAAAATATTGATGACACATGTACTGTACCTACATGAATGTAGGTCGAGTCCATGGAGTCCATACACACGCAGGCATGTGCTCACCGTGTCATTCATAACTAGAGTCATCTACGCCTACTACGCCTCGATGACGGCGTAGTAGCCATCGTCGTCTTCACCAGGGCTGTCAAGCTCTTTGAAAAACTTATCTTTTTTGGCAGCTGTACCAAACAAAGTAGTCTGCCGTGCCATTTTCGTTAGGCAGCTGTACCAAACAAAGTAGTCTGCCGTGCCATTTTCGTTAGGCCACGCTCCACATGGGAACTGTTCCAACCATTGGCGATGTAGCAATTCTTCAATGTGGAGTTCAAATAAGAGCTGGACTTGACCCGGATTAATCAGGTATTGTGATACTTCGAATAATTGTGCAATAATTATACCTGTGAATAACATCTGACAAACTTCCCTCTTTCTTTTGCTTCAAGAGTTTCGATCTCCACTACATTTTTTGGAGACAACAATCTACGTGTACGTGTGGTTCGACGCACGCAGACCCACGCACACGCAGTACTGGGCGCCAGGTCCGCGTGTCATCGATATTTTATTTACTTTGAATTTCGGCTGCACCCACCAACCCGGTACGAAAATTTCACGGATTGTGAAAACTATCGACATTTACGGACGGCCCCTAACAGTTACTGATATCCTCAGTGTAAATAATAGCAAATTTGGAGTTATCGCTACTTGCCCCAGCATGTGATACGGCCAACATAGCAGTCCAAGCAACAGTACATGCAGCAGTCCAAGCAACAGTACATACAGCAGTACAATGTCATACAGCAGTACATGCAACAGTACATACAGCAATACAGTCATGTAGCAGTACATGCAGCAGCACAGTCATGCAACAGTCTATGTAACAGTACAAACCTTTGTGTGTAGTGTACAGTACAGCACTCTGCAGTGAGATGAACGACTTCTTTCTTGGCAGCTTATCCTCAATAGACAACTGAACACCAACCGTCAGGTCAGGATTCAGGTTGGGCATGTTGAGAACATCAGAGCCCCGATGGAAGAAGTTGCCGAAGAACGACTCAATCGTAACACCTGTGCAAGGGAAATGAGGCATACACAGTTGTTTCTTGTTATGTATACTGTAAGACATGGATATATAACGAGGAAGTAAATCTAACGTTTTAACGGATGACATTTCTTCGTTATAATAAGATTCGTTGAGGCTGTGATGCTTCATAAAATGCTGTGTGCGGATATCCCGGAATACTGCAAGATCGATAACATAATATCGTCTCGCTTACCTATGAATTTTGGACAATCGTTAAATTTGCGACTCGTTATAATAACATGTCTTACAGTAATCATGAAATCTGAATGCAGGAAACAAGCGCAAAACTAAAACTCTCGCAACACATGCGGACCGGCTTAACAAAACTCACCCACAATACAATACGTATACCTACAATAGCCGCGACACTACTTCAAGTACACTATATACAGTGCTGTTCAATGAAATCCAGCCGTGTCACTCAAGTTCGTGCCACGCGCTGCACAGCCCTAGACCTGCCAACAATGGTCTGCGAAAAGGTGCAAGGTGCACACTTGAGCAACGCGACTGGATTTCATCGAGCAGCACTGTATATGTCAACCTTGGTAATGCATTGTGCCGACTCACCATACGAGCAACGCAATCGCATTATCGCCTCAAATCCAATTGCCCTGGTCAAGTAATGACTGCAGGAGTGCATAAAGAGTACAGAGAGATCAAAGTACACATTTACTCCACAATGCACAATGTACACGGCAATCAAATTCTTACATCATCCTGCAACAATCAAATTCTTACATCATCCTGCAACAATCAAATTCTTACATTATCCTGCAACAATTACATCCAAGTACAAGTTACAATATCGTGTGCAAAAGGAGTTGCAAATTTCATCTTCCAGAGAACAATATGAGAACAACATAGGTAAACGAAAGTGCACCAATCCACCCTAATCTGGCATAGTCTCAAAGTCCACACTGGTTTGTTCCCAGCAGCACTAGACAAACACAGTGGCTGCTGACTGCCACTGGGCCAGGCATGTAAGTAATCAGAGCCGTTGTACGTGTATAAGCATGGCATGCTGCGAGCAACCAGAGCCGGTGTACGTGTGTAAGCATGGCATGCTGCGAGCACAACGTACGCCAAATCTCGGTTGAAGCGCTCCGCCTGCGGCACACTGGAAGGCTCCTTGTCGCTGTAGTAGTATACTTGACCGGAGGAGTACTTGCACACACCACCTATACATAAAGCACAGGGTCAAGGGTGAAGAGCACCGCAATGTCAGAATCACAGCGTAACACAACACCCAGCTATGCACGGCATGGCAGCCAACCATGACGACGACGAATGAGAAGACAATACAATCATACAGTCAGACCTCGCTTATCCGGTCCTCTTTTATGCGGATCCTTCGTCATCCGGAAGAAAACCGTTGGTAACCGATTTACAGCATATGTCATGCACACACACACACACACACACACACACACACACACACACACACACACACACCATACACAAAAAAGGAGAGGACCTACTTGTAGTGGCTAGATCTAGAGGGCTGACACCAAATGCAAATACATCCACTGCACAATGGTTTTGATTGAACTCCAGTGACTGTTCCTTGTAGTAGCCAGACGACGCATCCACCTTGGGCTCCTGCCAATCAGAACAACAGCAAACAGGCAAAGAGCAAGAAGAAAAGTTACAAGCACAGTCAAGAGATACTTGGATCCAGGACAAAACAGAATAAAATTTGGTGGCACAGCCTTTTTAATGTGTGGCGTCGGTAACAGAATTATACCATCCACACGATGCTTCCCGCCTAATGTGCCAGCAGACAGTATAGGCTGGTGGTGCACACACGTCCACCTCGTCAGCGCTGAGAAAATCACACACAGCACCACAGGTACAGCTACCAACGCCCCAGAAAGTGACAGGAGCCATCAGCAGCACTAGCGCCTGAGAAGGAACACTAGTTGCAGCCAGCCAGCCCAGCAGCACAGCCACAGGTCACCAAGTTACAATACATTATCACCTGGTGGGTGGTCAGACATCACACCTCACACTAGGCATGGTGTGAGGGTGACACATTGGCACCGTGCCAGATTAGGGGGGGGGGGGGGGGGTGATGCACTTCTTATTTACCTACATTGTGCTCTGAAGCATGAAATTTGACACGCTATACAAGCAGAGTTCTGTTCAGGTTACATTCACCTGTGCAAGTGGCTTGATTGTGTGAAAACGTATGACTCTGTGTTCTCCTTCTTCCGTTATGACAAATTGGGTTGTGTGGTGCTCGTGAAATATACCGTACTGGCAATATATGTTGCCGCAGTGAGGCCATGAAGCGTTACATTGGCACATGTTTGCCGCACGCAGGGCGTTACATGCAAAGTCGCACAGGAGCCGTTACACAGGTTTCTATATTGCCGCAGTCCTTTTTTTGCTATTGCCGCATCACTTTTTTTGCTATTGCCGCATCATTTTTTTGCTTTTGCCGCATCATTTTTTCTTTTCATCCACATTGAAGGCACAGAAATTCAGTTGCTATCCAACTGTTACAAACCCGACGGCAAAGGGCGACAACGATATCAATAGAAGACTGTATATTTTAACTATCAGAGTGATCTGTTCACAAAAAGATCATCAAAAGGAAAGTGACATAGGGGAAGAGCGCTTCCTCCAAAAACTACTTTTCACCACGCGGTACACTTGCTTTCACAGTTTTCAGCCTTTTTTTGCAGTGCAAACTGCAGTGAAAAGATCGCCGCACCCCGCCGGACGCGCGTTACGAACTCAACGAAAATTTGTCGCACTAGCCTGGTCGCGCGTTACGCCGCACCCCCCTGCGTTACGCGTTACGCGGCAACATATATTGCCAGTACGGTATACATCACCCGAGACGCATACAGTAGCTTGGTAAGCTAACACCATCTAACAGTAGATAGTACTGCATTCAGCACAGTCTGGTAACATGTAAAGTTCACACCATTGGCCCATACATAGCACGCTGCACCTATGCTCAGCACTGACAAACACATGCAGCAGGTGCAGCAAGTGCAGGAGCCAACACTTACTTTGCCTGCAGCAACAGGATCGGCTTCCTTCAGTGCACCAATACCAACGTTCGGCAGGGATGCTTGGAACAATGTCACGCGACCGCCAAGTGAACTCTATGACCAATACAAACGAGCAGACATGCATGCACACACACACACACACATACACACACACACACACACACACACACACACACACACACACACACACACAGAGCACAAGTATATACTCAGGGCTCCTCATATTGCTAGCACTACAACGGTAGTCCGTTCATAAGCTGCTAAGTTGCCGAGCATATTAAGTTAACACACACATTATGTGGAACATAACAACAAAATGATAAATAAAGAACGCACACAATACTTGTACATACTGTCACTTACAACAAGCTGGAACGCAGCCTGGATAGCACTGCCCAGACAATTATCACCTTCTGCACTGTCTTGATGAGCGGTTGGAAGCTGCTCGAAAAAGTCAACCAGCATCTATTGGCAACAACAACAACACATCACAAACAGCAAGGCAAAACTTTTTTTTTAATACTCCACAAGTTCAATATCTGTAGAAGTCTTGAGGCTTCTTGCAGATTGATCTGTAGAGAAAAGATTTTGGGTGGAGTAACACACCCATTCCCACAGCACTGCAGGTTTGAACCAGTTCCATTAATTTACGTTTCGGCACGTGGCCATCGTTAGGCCATTGTTTCTTCTACCAGGCGATAGCCAAGAGCCGAACCGTTGAAAATCAATGGAACTGTTTGAGATTCACAGTGCTGTGGGAAACGGGAATGGGCGTGTCCGCCTAGCTCTTTTCTGTACAAATTCGATATCACAAAACAGAATGGATGCAAGACACCGAAGAGTTTACTGGCTTAGAATTGGGGCAGGCACGCACAGAGTAAAGACACAACAACAATAGGAGTCTGGTCAAACTAGCTATGCTCAAACCCACCTCTTGGAACTCCTCCACATTGACGTGAAGGTCTGCAGACGGAACTGGCAGTGAAATATCTAAAAACAAATGCACACAAGACAGAGAATGCATCAGCACATATCATTTTTAAAGGACAGGCTCGCTTGCACGGAAACAAAACAAAGAAGAGAAAAAAGGAAAGAGGTGCTGCAACGCGCATGGGTCTGACAGTGCCACCACCCTCAGCAGCTAGACATGAACGGCTAATTCTCATCCTAATCGATCCAAAAAAATTGAAGAACATGCGTCCAACTACCGAAACTAGATATCAACATTAGAGATGTGTAGTATTTCAAATTGCGGAACCGGGTCTACCGCAGAACGTGTATGAGTGTGTTACAATCATCAGCCATCGATCATCCATCAAGACTTTCTTAGGGTTCCATGTAAAAAGGCGATGACGCCTGTTGGGAATTCCCTAGTAAAATAAGAATAAAAATAAAAATAAAATAAAATAGTCATCTTACCTTCCAGGTCATTGACGATATACATCTGTGGCTGAACTGCATTAGGCTGGAGCAAGCACAGGATAGGAAAAGCAAAGGTGCTTGTTAAATGAATAAGTCACCCGTGACCTAGAAACAAAATACATGTAGAGGCAAGAGTTACAAATACTGCTACCATTACCATCATGTGGCATAGAGTAAATGACCCGAGCTGGCGCAAACATAAATCCCCCAGTTACACATAACTTTGCACGTACCTTGAACGCATAGAAGGTGACTCCCTTGCCATAGGTGATGATGGAGATCTGACGCCGCTTGTCACCGGGCAATGACATGCAGTGCTTGCCCAGCAAGCGACATACAGACTGCAACATCCCTGAGAACACAGTGCGCAGTACAACCATATCAATAGCAAGCGGCATACAGACTGCAACATCCCTACACACAGTGCGCAGTACAACCATATCAATAGCAAGCGGCATACAGACTGCAACATCCCTACACACAGTGCGCAGTACAACCATATCAATAGCAAGCGACATACAGACTGCAACATCCCTGAGAACACAGTGCGCAGTACAGCCATATCAATAGCAAGCGACATACAGACTGCAACATCTCTACACACAGTGCCGAGTGCAACCACATCAACGAAAACGAGAGAAGCGTATGGTGACAAGATGCGTACAATTCACGACGGTCTGCACCTCCAGTATCAGCAATGTCCTGACAGAACTTCAACTACAAGTACATGTAGGCATCATTCTTTTCAAAGATGCAATTTACATGTACATGTAGGTGCTTCCAAGACCTGGGATTATTCACTGTAGGCTCAGCAGCAGCACTTGCACAACTACACGTAACTACACCTACATACAATGCACGTTAGCACTGCATACGATGAGATTGTCATGCTACCCTTACCGATACGCTGTGAAGCTGCAGTGACTTCAATGACAAAGACATACGTTGCTGGCGGCGGTGGACGTGTCTGTACATCAAGGAGAGCGAGAAGGGGGGGGGGGGGGGGGGGGAGCAATAAGATCAATCAGAGAGAGAAAATCAGCCACTACAAACATCTTCACAGCACCAATCTTCAAATCCAGAGAGCCACGGGTGTACGGAATACCTGGACATGCATGCATTGGCAAACAACAAGCTCCGATCATTGTGAACCAAATGCATTGTGCAGTACCTACCGTGTATTCACGAGGAGCAAGGTACTCTACAGAACAACTTTTCAACTCGGGCCGTGTGCGGTGGTTCTCAGCTCTGGGATCAGCCTGATAGAAACTGTCAGGGACTAAACACACACACACGCACACACACACACACACGCACGCACACACACACACGCACGCGCGCACATACAAAGAGCAAGCAGCTAGTAAGTATGGAGACGGGCTAACAGGCACAACCTTGAAGCAAGCAGCAGGTTTACCCAGTGCTTATGTTAGGACATGCTACGTAGCACTAGTAGTAGTGTTCCCAATATCACACATTTAATAGAGAGGTTCAGTGACTAGTTTGTTTCATACGAAATGAGTCAATGGATAAGGTCTGGGTTAGAGTCTCGTGAAGAGCTCGTAGATTGGAGTCGTTTACTACACGAGCCCGGCCTGTTTGGCAATCAAAGCGCACCTCGTTCACGAGTCACTGAACATATTTTACGCACTACACGATTTGAACATGAAGCGAAGTCAAGTTCGTTTCGTGTGCGAGTTTGCAACGAGTCACTGAACCTGCCCAATAACCGTGCTAGCACTTTCGGTGAGGGGAAACGATGGACAATACAATGGTTGTATAGATGGGTTTTGTGTGCCAAAAAACAAAATAGATTAGATGGAGAGGGAGAGGGAGGGAGAGAGAGATAATGCAAAGACAAACATCCACAAAGCCCCCCCCCCACACACACACACACAGCGTGAGAGGATACAACAGACCAGAAACAGCAGCAATGGTGAGGATGATCAGGGTTCTAGCCAGGTCAATATAGTAGGGGGGCGGTCATGGGAAAAAGTTACCCCATGACCCATTTTTTTCCATTGCCCAAAATTGTCTTGCCATGCAAAATGCAACATACAGGGTGAACCCCGACTTCACCCCTCACAAATGTGCCTTTATGAACCCTCTAGTAGTGACTATCGACTGTATTTTCGTTGAATGGCGTGAAAAAACACAAAAAATCGGAAAATGAGTAGGGGGCGGCACTTTTTCACAGGAGGGCGCACAAACGAAGTAGGGGGCGCTGCCCCCCCCCCCCCCCCCTACCCCCCTTTGGCTAGAACCCTGATGAAACTGCTAGCCACGACAAGAACGCTACCAACTGCATGCAAACAGCTCACCCTCATTAGTACGAAAGCAAAGGTTACACTGCCACTGGTGGGAGTTGAGAAAGGAGACAAACGGATTGAAGTATGCGCGACAACCAGTGCACCGAACCATCACCAGATGGCGGACTAGAGGAAGATCCTGAAACACAAACGAAAACGAACACAGACCAACCCAAACGAGTTAAGTATGGCTCCGTCATGTTTCATCTACATGTTTTGAGAAAAGATATAAACACCAGCAAGAGAGTCTGTAACCCCAAGCATGTCCATCTCAAGTTTCATTGAGTAGCAAAATTCAAACACTTTAAATCATCTGAGAGCTACCGGGTAGCGATCCCAGACAGCCAGGCTGTGGCCAAAGTCCATACGAACAATCAGTGCACGCAGTGCATGGAATCAGCACACATAGAGGGAGCCCGGTTGGTACGATCTCCGCCCAGCCCGGGGTCAAGATACCCCAGCCCGGGGTCAAGATACCCATGCAAACAGATCCTTACTTTACACCGACCCTAACGTCACATTACTTTTCTGCACGCTACTCCACCACACCGGGTAGCCATGAACCAACACAGCCTGCATTGCAACGGCATTGAAAAAACTACAATATTAAGGCTTCGTTTAGAATGAAAGACACTCTCCAGTCTTAGCAAGATATAACTCTGTGAGGTTCCTTCACATCCTTCAACATCGTCTTGTACTTCACAATTACTGTAACTCACCGATGCTGGCATTTGCCTGAACGGCTGAAAGAGAATACCGAGTGGGAGACGGCACGTATCCAAGAGCTGACGGGATTGCGGCACAGCCGTTAATGTTGATCGAATGTACCTGTACATGCACACACGTGCAAGTGCACCACAGACAGAACCGAATCACTCCAGGATGGCTAAAGTGCATCACACACACACGTATGCACGCGCACGCACGCGCGCACATAACACGTCGAATACTACATCAGGTACCAGTTCTGTCAGTCTATTTCGACTGAGCATACATTCTTATGGAAGCACCTCATGTTGCAAAGGAAAGAACACAGCATGTCCAAAGCTCTTGCACTGTCAAAAGTTGCAACTAAACTCCAGAAAATGCTCAACTATGCGCATGAGACAGTCCATATTGACCCGGTCCGTCACTAGCAAATGCCAATATCACAATAATAGAAAAGCTGACAGGATCGCTTTTCTAAATGCAATTCAGTGTACAGTACTGTACGTATGTACATGTACATAATATTTGGACTTGATTCTGTACTAGAGTGTGCATGAGAAGCACAAAGCACTGTACATGTACTTACTCTGGATCAGGTACTACGGCAGCACGGAACTAAAGCAAGACGATGGCAGCACACAGTACAACAACACCAATGTCAGCCTCATTCTCAGCCCCATTTTCAGAACAGTCACAATCAGTGTCATACACGGCTAGTATGGGCCTGCCTGGTCAGACTGCAGTACATTTTCGGTGCCTGACGGAAAAAGAAAAGCGTCCAGAATTAGAATCTCGATCACACTACACATGTGGGGAGAATGAAAATTCAAACTTCATTTCGAGCGTCAAGTGGTAATCTCCACAAACGACGTCAAATCCCACCTTGGGGATCGCCAACACCTTCAGTGCAATCCTTGCAACCATCCTTATGAGTTTTGTTGTTGTCCGTGGCCAATTAGCTTCTCGATATCGAGATGAAAGAATCAGTGAATATCAGCGTCAATGGCGTATCAGCATCAAACTCCTGTTTGGAGCGGAAAAGCGTGGTCCGTTCAAGCTTTTTTTTTTTGGAGCGTCAACTCTCGATCTTGCCGCTCTGGCGGCAAGTTACTATGGAGATTCGGATTATAATCCCAGGATTATTTCGTTTTTGCCGCAGTCTGACCAGGCCCTAACGCAACAACACCGAGAACAATACAGCTATACCACAGTGATGCTCAATGAAATTCGGTCGTGCGAGTTGAGTTTGCGCCTTGCACCTTTTCGCAGCCCAGTGTTCACAGGTCTCTGCACAACACCCGGCGCGTACTTGAGTGATGCGACTGGATTTCATTGAGCAGCACTGTAGTGGCAAAAGCGACAACATGAAGGTCGTTACAGTGGGTTGTGCCTGATGCTTGGTAGTGGTGGTGGTGCAAGCTGCGCATGGACATTCATACCTGTTGCTGCATTGCTACTTCTTCAAAGGTTAGTGAATGCATGGCCAAGAAGACATGCATGTACTTGCAAGTTTAGTTAGAAGTAATGACCAGTGGGTGCAGAAGGCAGCACTAGACCATCAGCAACCAGTGTGGCATGCAACGTAATGAACATGTAAGTACACATCAAAAAAGCTCAATGCATAGTGCCATTATTGGGTGAGCAGGCACACAGAACACAGGGGTCAATACGGTACTACAGTTGTTGTTGCTACAACGCACATCTTGATTCTGATGGTCTAGCATGGCATGTCAATCTTTGTGTTCAGCACGGCACCCCTAGCCGCAGATCTGCACAGAGCAATTGCGAGCTACAGTGCTTGGTTATTGCTAACTGAAATACCTGGCCGGCGGTGAACACGCTGCCCAACACCCAGCATGCAAGGAAGAACAAGCCCCACTACCAAACGGCCGGGGCATTCATCTCGCAGCAAACTTACATCACTGCAAGTGGGCTTTGGTGGAGGCACTGGTTGAGCAGGCAAGACGGTACGGTCAGCCATGACATTGACCGCATGAAGGGTCTGCAGAGAGCAAATCCAACAGTCACAGTACACCGTGTAAGGTACCAGCCACACAGCCACACAGACTAACTAGAAAACTAGGCAAGCATGTCCATAGGTCCGTGGTAGGTACAGAGTAAGCATAACTGCTTCATTCAGATGAGCTACAAGTCCTTTAGATAATAGCACAAGCACAGGACTCCCAAGAGTGCATAACTCCTGATGGGTCGCTGGCATGACTCGTTTTCAGAAACACCATGTATTGACATGCATCGTATTATTCGAAAGGAAATATTCCAGACAAAAATCCGTATTATACCGTACAGTACTTCTATGTTTTCAAAGGTGGCCAGCCCTGTATTAGTAAAGGAGACTGTACTAGTATTGGAGACTACTTTTATTGATTCTGGCAAGATTGATCACCTGCCATGGGTGTGATACCACTCATATCTAATGATATAATTACGGCTGTAGATGCCTGTGCTAACGCTCCAGCTAGGGTGCCAATCAGTGTAAAAAGGCACAAAGATGATTGATGGGTAAGAAAAACGGAGTAAAGCGGATCTAGGTACATGTACCCCAGTAATGCCCATCACATCATTCTGGCATGTACTACTATTAGAGACGTGTCCTTTTATATTTTCGATCCACGCTCAACGTGTACTACTATTGGGGACATACTAGAATTGGAGACGTCAATGGAGAAAATATGGTAAGCAGCAATGATTGTCGCTGAAACACTGCTAATGTCGAATTATATCGTTTTAAAAGTTAAACCCATGATCACTAACCTGCTGCTGGCTATTGACTTGCATGTTGGCCATGCCTTGTGCTAGAGCCTGCGGCTGTTGCTGGTACTGCTGCGGCTGCTGCTGTTGAGGCGCCTGTGGACCTGGAGCTGCTGCCCCGTAACCAGTATTCGCCGGGTACAGCTGGCGTGTCTGACCGGGACCAGGAGCTGGGGCAGGGTATGATCCTCCCTGACCGGGTCCAGCTGCCGGTGGTGGCTGACCAGGTGCGACTGCCGGTGGTAGATGACCGGGTCCCGATGGAGGCAGGTGGCTAGCTCCATGCGGGCCTGGTCCTGCCGCAGGTGGAACACCAGGCGCTGCCGCATGTGCACCAGGTGGCGGAGGTTGGTGGACAGGCTGAGCAACAGGAACCTGAGGATTGGCTGCTGGCTGTGGGAAAGACGAAAACTGACCAGGACCACCAGCACCAGGAGCACCCGTGGGATTGATGGCCGTTGCAAGCAGTGTTTGTCCACCTGTGGCCGTTGCTGCTGGCTGAGCAACTGGCTGAGGATAGCGACCCCGCTGTCCCATGGGTTGCGCACCACTGGAAGTAGCTGCAGCAGAAGGAGGATGGGCAGTTGCAGCACCAGCAATAGGTTGAGAAGGCGGCAGGGCTGAACTAGATGCCGGAGGACCAGCCATTGGTGGCGCGCCCGAAGCTATGGGATGATACGCACTAGCCGAGGGTGGAGGGCCCATCGCAGGACCGTTTGAGGAAAGTGGTTGACCAGGACCAGGTACAAAACTAGGCGGCTGGGAAGAAGATGGGATAGGTGCCGAATACGGGCCAGGCTGGGATTGCTGTGAAAAAGAGAAAATAGAGCATACAGGTACATGCACGAGAATTTAAAAATAATTAATGGCACACAACAGAAATCTTGAGCAGAGATCGCATTACTTTTCCAGCATCGTCAAACAGAAGTACTGCAACATGGGGAAACTTTTGAAAGAGATTAAAACTTTCTCTAGTCTTGCAATCACTATGAACTACTCTGTGGACAATCGCTACATGATCCAGCTCAAGACAAAAGCGTCTCGTCACGAACCAGCGCAATTTTTGAAAATGCAACATTTCCAGCCCCAAAGTTTCCACTTTAAAATGAACTGATAGTAGTCTGTAGTCAGCAGTGGAAAGTACTGTAAACGGCTAATTTTAGCGACGGTGATATTTTAGCGACTAGAAAACGCTAAAAAATGTACCCGCTAAAATTAGCCGTTCCACAGTCTGTATGACCCGGCTAAGACAAATAGTTTCCTTGGAGAAAAAAATGGTCAAAACCTGAAGTGTGTGCGTCTTCCAAGTGTTGAAACAAATTACCCAGTCATAACATGCATTCATTGCACGAGAGATTGAAAAAGAAAAAGACTGGTGTGTTCGACATGAAATGCCTCGTGACAAGTGACAAAAAAATTAAATTTATACAACGTAACCGTTGCAACTCTTACAGTGCCAGTCGGCAAGCGCGCCGGCTGAAAGTCGTGAACGCCCGCTGAACTTGCACCAGCGTGTGCAACCGCCGGTGGTGGTGGTGCACCACCAGCTGCAGCAGCAGGAGGCATGTGCAACTTGGAGAGCGCAGTGTTTCCACCGCTTGGCTGAGCCATGACAGGAGGCTGTGTGTGACAGGCAACGGTCAAATACGGTGGCAAGTGAAAATTCAAGTGGCCTCTGCAAAGATATTGTAAATTTCATTTGAAAACGGAATTGACTAGTGTCTACAAGCTTCCCTAAATCCAAAAGTTGTTGCTCTAGCTACTCTTGAACAAAACAGAGAGCAGACACATGTGATCACAAACATCATGACAATGAACAAAGATAACATCTTACCTCAGCCTGACGAGAACCTACTGGACCAGCCATGCCTAATATATAACACACCAAGCAGACATACAAGACTATAATTAAGACAGAAGTACAGAATTATATATGGATAACGGATTACATATTCCACCTTGGGGAAGGACACAGTTGTCACAGAGACAGAAAATCAAGGACGAGAAGGAGAAGCCAGCAGTCATTCTTTCGCCTGGCTGATAGCTTCGAAAAGCCGACAGCGTACACATGTGTCAACTTTGCACTGGTGCAGGTTGCTGTTCGATCCTTGCGCTGCTGCTGTGCTTCCTCTGCTACCCGACCTGCCAGCTCAGCCAGTTCAAAATGAAGAGTAACATCCCACAACGTTCGGTGCTTACATTTTTTTAAATGAAAAAAGCTCCAAACACAAACACCCCTAAACTGGCGACCTACATGGGACCAGACCAAGCGAGTAACAAGGAATTGTTTGTCTACAGAGACAAATCCTCCTCCTGCTACCTCTCTCTATATCTCATAGGAATCAGCTCAGAGAAGCTTACTACAGCAATGAATATTCAAATACAATCATGGAAATTGTGGGCACAAGTTATGCGATCGAGTCCACCAACTAAACCAGGTTTTGAACAGTCAGACGCGCTAACACACGGCCTTCCAACTTGGAAGGTTCATGCCGTTGGCCGTTGGTTAGCGCTATCGAGCAGTGCTCAAGCTGACTTTCATGCCGTGGAATGTCTCAGTACTCCTTGTCAGTTTTGTGCTAGATTGTGCACGTCTGACTGTTCAAAATCTGGTTTAGTTGGTGGACTCGATCGCATAACTTGTGCCCACAATCTCCATGTTACAAATGTTTTCCTTGGCTCACCATCTGAGTTCCAAATACAATCAGTTTGTTATACTTCTGCATTCTGACTCCCATACTCCCGATTGCACAGATCATTACAGTTACTGATCGTCGGTTTTTTTTTAAGACATCAACCTCAAATATACATGTACATGTACAGTGAAGAGTGAAAGCACACACACACACACACACACACACACGCCCCCCCCCCCCCCCCACACACACACACACATGCACACACGCGCCAGTGAAACCGTGCTCATGTGTATTACCGATGTTGGGCACATGCCTGAAGAGCACTCAATAGCTCCCATTTGAAAATGAGAGAAACTTTGATAGGTGGCAATCTCACCAGGTGCTCCACTACCAGTGGGGTAAGCAGCGTGATAGCCATGTCCCGGCCTATCTTGAGCTGGCGGTGGGGCACCGGCAGTCGTCGGACCACCATAGTACTGTGTGCAGACAAGGGCAAAGGAGAAAAAAATTGCAGATACAGTCACGGTAGTCAGTTTCGAGAAGAGCAACTCAAATGAGACAAGAGCATTGCGCGAGTATGTCAAGCAACAAGATAGATCATCAATATAGATACAGGTACAGTAACACAGACACACACTATAAACACACAGACAGACAGCCAGACATAAACACACACTACACAAACGCACACATACCGGCCATGCACACATACATAGCGCATGACATAAATAACACTACAGTGTAGTAGTAGTTCAAACGCGATTCGCAAAGATGTCTCACGTTACTTAGAGGTTCCAACAATCTGAATCAATAACCATATCGCAATGCCATGTTGGCTATTCAAATGCACATCTAACTGTGCCTTGTGCAGCTGATATACCAGAATTCCACATATTTCTGTGAAGTATATCGGTGAGTCTATTACTCAGATAGACCTGTAAGCCGGCTAAATGATAAAATGTTACATGCACAGTATATGCATGCGGGGGGGGGGGGGAGAGAGAGAGAGAGAGAGAGAGAGAGAGAGAGAGAGAGAGAGAGAGAGAGAGAGAGAGAGAGAGAGAGAGAGAGAGAGAGAGAGAGAGAGAGAGAGAGAGAGAGAGAGAGAGAGAGAGAGAGAGAGAGAGGGAGAGAGAGAGAGAGAATAGCAACACTTACAGGTCCTGGCTGTGCGTGACCTGGTGGTACATTGCCACCTGAACAAAGCAGAACAAAACAACAGTCAAGACTCATCACTATCTACAGGACTAAACACTGACAGTATTGTAGAAAATGTTTCACAATGTTTTCCGGCCCTTCCGAAAGTCCCTCAGAGACAAACTCTGAGCTACTGTAAAAGCAGAAATTTTCGGTGGTGTAATATTTTCGGTATTCGCCAAAATCGGCGGTTCGGTAGCGGGAAATTTTCGGTGAAACCCGTTTTCCAGGTAAGTGTACTAGTACTACAGGTATACAGTATCGGTTGTACCGACAATTTCGGTGCGTTTTATTTTCGGTAAAAATTGTCGGCACCGAAGTTACCGAAAATAAAACACCACCGAAAATTTCTGCTTTTACAGTACAAGTTAGCTTGCCGTGGACAATAAAGAGTACAAGGTGTGCCAAAGGCTAGTATGATTAGGAAGCACCGCTAGTCACCACTAGTAACGGCTAGGCTACGCGTCAAAAATGGACAAGGCACCAATGCCGAAGCAACTACCCGGTGCAGCTGTTCGGTGAACTGCCTGTCAAACATGCACAATATGAACCGCTGTCAAGATATTGCCTGGGAATACTTTCTGATCAATAGGTTGCCTGAGGTTGACTGCTTCCAGGAATCCTGTGCTCCGACATTGGCTGACGGGACTTGTGTTGCAGCATCCTACACGTTTTACGTGCCATTTGGCGAAGAAATAGTCCTGAGCATTCATGGACTAGCCATCGATGTTTTCATTGCTTTGGCAATAGGCTGATCCAGGCCCCCCGAGTGTGCGAGTTGCGTGCCCGCTAAAGTACTGGGCATTGCAGGCGCTTGCAGACAAAAGTAATGGGTGTGAATCACAGGAATCTGTCTTCAACAGTACTTTATGTACGTCGTGTGCGGTGTCAGCAACTGTACGCAGCCAGTCCACATGGACTAGGCTGCGCAGCTTCCAATAACATGATCCACTTTGTGTGCACCTTATGCATTGATCTTATCTTAGAGAAGGTGTGCCCAATCCACTTTCAAACGTGGCATGCTTCTCTGCGTATGACAGTAATAATGGTGTGTATATGCGTGAACATAACTACTATAACAATATGCACATGTGTGTGCGGTGTACAAGTATGTATGTGTGTAGGCACTGCTGTGGACATTGAAATCCGGTAGAATGACTGGAGACGGCGCCTTTACGGACTTAGCGCTAGCGCGTACACACACTGCAGTTCACATACACGCTGCGAAAATGGACCGGCAGTACTCATGGTTGCAAGGCCAGCACATGCTGGTTGCTTGACTTCTCAACGGATTTCCTTATCCATCACAGCGTGCGTGTGTGTGTGTGTATGTGTGTGTGCGTGTGCGTGTACGCACAAGCAAATAATTATTAGAACTGGAAGTATTTGGAGTATTTTAATAAAAATATACAGAGAAACTTATGTTCTAGGGCACACAGACAACACAAAACATGACATCGCATAACGCACAAAACAAGGTGCACACTGCACAGAATAAGATTGATGTCAACATGTTCAAGGAGCTTGAGCATGAGGATCCTCAAGGGACAAAAAAATGAACAATACTCACTTGACGATGACATGGGATTGAACGACGGCTCCATGCAGGAATGCGACCTTGTTTTAGACACGATGTGCAAATTTCTACGAGTACAGGAATGGCAATTCGTGGAAGCTGGACAACGCTTCCACTCAACTCGATTGGTCAAACGACATGGCAGAGAAGGAGGAGAGCAATCCACTCAATTAGAATTTGAAAATACTGATTGACGTTTACTGAGTGGTCAGCCAGACAAGTAAACCAGAGTGTTCAAGAAATAATAGGGAGTGAGCAGTATCTGCTAGGCGAGAGTTCGTCCAACTCCTGCAACCAATAGAGACCATTTACGCCGTGTCTCTGACAATTGCAGACAAAAGCTAACAACGAACACTGAACTGAGTTACTTGTGTCGTGAGCAAATCCGATCACACTCAGTAGATTCTACTTTCGAGAACAGAGTTTTATTTGTGATATTTTGCTCGCACTCGCAAGACACGTACTGGTACATGTACGTAGTACACCGCGGTTCAGGCCACGCAAAACCTGTCGCTACCGCACACTTCAAACGAGCGCCGCATATTCTTTGCTGTGCTGCTACCGCGCACGCAGATATCAGAAGCTTAGGCTAGCGCCATTGTTTTCTCCATGACAACAACGAAGTTTGCCAACTCACGCACTCGAGCATGCGTGCACATCGTGATTTTGCAGAAAGCTCATGCACGTGACGTGACGTCATGCGGCGCCAATAATAATAATATTCGCATGCATGCTAGCAAGAGTAGATAAACAAGAGTGTGCAACTCCCGGATGGATTGGCCCACGGCGGAATTTTTTGTTGACGTAATCTTTTCGACGACGCACGCGCTGCGAGTCTTTCGGAAAGTTTTCCCTCGTGCTCTTGGCCGGGCTTTACACTACAAGGTCGGTGTCCAGCACGTGCTCTCACACTGCTCTGTGGCAAACTGCGCGTTTCTCTGAAAAAAGGTGACGTCAACAAAAAATTCCGCCGTGGGCGGGGGTATCTGCAGATTGTGCAGGAGAGATCCGGAGTTGCACACTCTTGTTTATCTACTCTTGATGCTAGGCCTATAGCCCAAATTTGCTCGGGGCGCTTCGATATTTTGCCGGCAAGTTTTGCCCTAGCACTTTCCATATTTTGCTTGGCATTGCCTTTCGTTTCCGATATTTTGCTCCATTTTGCTCCTGCTTTGTGGCAAAAATGGCTTCGAATGAACCGTCTACTTTGGTAAAAGTGGATGGTGACTCTAATGAGGAAAGCAAAACTTATAATGGTGTCAGTATTCCGGATTTTGTAGCATGATTTCAAATTTATGTACCCTTGACAACCTGCACGAGCTACTTCAGCACTACGTTGGCCCAATGAAACCAAAGAAATTTGAATAAAATTGCCAAAACACACCCGGATCCTCTGTAAATTCGATATTTTGCTCGGAATTTGCCAGCAATTTCTTTTCGTGGGAAATTTCGATATTTTGCTGGAAGAATTGCCGGCAAATTTGGGCTAGGCCGGCCATGCATGCATGATCTTTTTTTATCAGTTTTTACTCTCTTTTTTAGCAAGCAAGAAAGCTGGAATAAATTTTCAAAAACAAAAAATGAATGGATATAATACGGGAAAGAATTATTTGATGAATTCGCGATACGAAGTTACCTGCCTTCCCTGTTTGTGGACATCGATTCTCTTTTGAAATGGCTGCGACAAGACAATTGCTTAGGACTGCTGCCTCGTGCTCATCTCGCACAGTTTATGGAGGAGTCCACACTGTTTCTCTTATTCCTGGTGATGGCGTTGGTCCAGAGTTGGCCAAAGCTGTGAAAGATGTGTTTCACCATATGCGAGTACCTGTCAGATTTGACGAACTCAACATCACAGGCCTTGACAAATCGTACGAAGTCGCCCAGAAGTCCCTTCGAAGCCATGGTGTAGGTCTGAAAGGAATCATCAGCACATCGCCCTCTCTCGCAGAGCCCAGATCTCTCAATGTGCAACTGAGAAAGGATCTTGACCTGTTTGCTAACGTTGTCAGGTGTCGTTCTGTGGAGGGTGTTGAAGCTCGCCACCAGGATGTTGATATGGTGATCATTCGTGAAAATACTGAAGGCGAATACAGCGGTCTGGAGCATGAGAGTGTACCGGGTGTTGTGGAGAGCTTGAAGGTGGTAACTGCCGAAGGAGCCCATCGCATTGCCAAGTTTGCCTTTGAGACGGCATCTCGCCTAAACCGGCGCAAAGTGACGGCTGTTCACAAGGCCAATATCATGAAACTTGCCGACGGTTTCTTCCTGCAGAGTTGCCGGGATGTTGCCAAGGATTACCCACTGATAGAGTTTGAGGACATGATTGTGGACAATTGCTGCATGCAGTTGGCGAGTCGTCCACAGCAGTTCGACGTGCTGGTGATGGGAAATCTTTACGGCAATATCATCAGTAACCTGGGTGCTGGTCTTGTTGGCGGTGCAGGTGTTATTCCTGGAGTCAACATGGGCGAGGATATTGTCCTGTTTGAGCCTGGTGCACGCCATCGCGGACATGAGCTAGCTGGCAAGAACACGGCCAATCCCGCTGGCATGTTGTTGACATCTGCAAGCATGCTGCGACACCTGCGCCTGCATGAGGCTGCCGACCAGATTGAGAATGGAGTATATGGCTTACTAAAGGAGTCAGAATTTCATACGCCAGATCTTGGAGGAAGCAGCAGTACATCTGATTTTGTTGCCGCTCTGATGAGTCGATTGGAGTAGCTCGTGAAGTATATACAGCATGCAGTGATACAGCTACGCTGTCGCCGTCAGCTTGTGAATGTGAACTACAACCAATAGTAGCGTATAACCCTTGCAGCAGTGAGATCAGCTCCTGCCTGGCACGGCCGACTGTGTACCACCGGTTCACCTACTTGACAATCTCGGTGTCATGGTGATTGGTTACGGCTGCACGGGTTGCTAGCTCAGGGCCACGTCATGCTTTGCTCAGATGGATGGGCTCTGCCTGTGTTCCTCACAAGATGAGTTCTGCCATGTAACTTGAAATACTCACTTGCGCTTTAATTAAGAGAATTTTTTCAATATTACGCCAACATCCTCGTGCCACTCATTGGGTAAAATATCGTATTTCCACAGCAGACTGAGGGCAATGACTGCACTGCCTTGTTTAGTGATTTGCTGTAAAGCTTTCTATTATAATTTCTACATTGTGTTCGACCAGTTCCAAGCCTTGACTTCATAATCCAGCTGCAACTGCACTGCTTTTCTCTAATTATTGCGTGACCAGTTTACCACTACCATACATCGGTTGGAAATGGAGCTTTGATCGATTGATTGATTTTTATTGAAGGATTGTCCAAAGGCCGCAGCCCAGAAGCTTATCGAGGCTTTGAATGAATGATCCAGGATTTGCAAAGGCCTACAAGATCCAGGGGGGGGGGGGGGGGGGGGGCAACCAGGTGCTACGTCTTTTTCTGCTGATCCCAGCCATTATGCATGTAAAGAGCGGGGAGTCGTACAAACTCCCTGGTAAAGGGCTTCGGACCCTCATGACTCATGTACTCGTACTGTGTCACTTTTTACGTCACACGACTTTAGCCCAGCATGTGTACAGCTCATCACTGGTACGTACAGTCCGTTTCAAAACTATAGACGCGTACCTAGGCAAAAACCGTTATGCCAGCATCTATACCACATAAAATCTGTGATCACTTTGTGCATAATTTTTTCCAAATTGGGCGTCTCTTATCCAATCGTTTAGAAACTATATGAGAGTAATTGTGGAGCGGTCCTGAGCAATACTCCGAAAACTATTCTCAAAACGTTCCAGCCAAATTTGAAATATTTCAAAAACCCTACGCGTCTATAGTTTTGAAATGGACTGTAGTTAGTTGGTCCGTGGGCAAAAGCGGTGAAAATAATTGGTAATATTTTTGGCGACAGCTGAAAAAAAGGTGAAAATACGGCACGTGATGACGGTGTATTTCAAAAATTATCATGAAAACGAAACTAATTACTTCAATTATTATTTCAAGTGAGTCAGGCCAGGGCGGCCTGATCAGACCGCGGCAAATTTTGGTTGCTTGACGAAAACAGAAAACACTACACATATATGTACATGTGGGGAGAATGAAAATTCAAACTTCATTTCGAGCGTCAAGTGGTAATCTCCACGAACGACGTCAAATTCCTTCACCTTGGCTTGGCCAGTAGTTGGGGATCGCCAACACCTTGGCGGCAAGTTGGAGATTCGGATTATTAGGATTATTTCGATTTTGCCGCAGTCTGAAGGCATATCGGACCGAAGTCAGTTTGTCAGGCGGCAATGACATTGGAGTTCAGCGCAGTTTCGAGATTGTATTTTAGCAGAGAGACACTGGATTTTCCGGATTCTTCGCCACACTGGCTCTAGTTTGCCACCTGAGCAACCAAGGGGGCCTGAGGGATGATTGTGACTTCGGGTAAATACCTACGTAAACTAACTGTAGCGCTGACAGCTGCTCTTATTGCCTTGCTGTTCGCTCGTCTGGTCCTAAGAACTGGGAAGCCAGGTCCATCGCTGGCACTCCCAGATAGTGAATATCATAGTGCAGGGAGTATCACGGTTACGGACAAGGATAAGAACAGATCCCTCCTTTTCGAAACAAAACAAACTACACTTGTAGTTGTAGGGGAACATGGAGGCCATGCTGACCCATCCGTGTGGGGCCATGACCCAGCCGTCATCTCCACGACAGCAATGCAAGCTGCAAAATTGGACCTGCCTGTGTGCAGGTATCCTTCTCCTGTGCTAAAGGGAGAGGTTAAGCCAGTCTCCGGCTCCAGGGTCCTAACTGATTTAGATGAAGATCAGCTCGAGGTCAAACTGGAGGGTTTATTGCCGGGTGGGTGCTGGAGGCCACTCGGCTGCAGAGCCCGCAATGGCAGCGTGGCTGTCATCATCCCTAGCCATGGTCGCCGGGGCCAGTTGTTGACACTGCTGCTGTACCTGGTCCCGTTGTTGCAGCGACAGCAGCAGGACTTCTGTATCTACACGGGGAACCAAAGCCGCACGAGTGCTGGCGAGCGATTTAACAAAGGAGCGATTGTCGATGCGTTGTTCACAGAGGCCATGAAGGAACGGAACTGGACCTGTGTGTGCATCCATGATGTTGACCTTATCCCGGAGAACGACTACAACTCGTATTCATGCCCCCATACTCACGTGCGCAATCTAATGGCTGGCCTGAGCAAGTGGGACTACCAGCTGGCATACCCGCAGGTGTTTGGCGGCTGCACCGTGAGCATGAGCTGGCACTTTCGCCTGTACAACGGCTTGAGCACAGTGTTCTGGGGATGGGGTTCGGAAGATGATGATCACCGCCGCCGGCTCACCTGGGCAGGACTCACCTGGCAGCGGAGTGCACTCGATGTGGGTCGCTTCACTCACATTCAGCACCGTCAGTCCGCTACCAATCCCGATCGATTTGCCCTGGTGCCGAGAGCTGAACAACTGCAGAAAACACACGGCTTGAACAGTTTGAAGTACAGCGTAATGCATAGGCAGTCACGTCGCTTGTATTCCGCTTTCGTGTTCCACCTGCCCAATCAAGGTCCGTAATTGAGCTAGTAAGGGAGGTTTGGAAAGACAACTAGTGAACTGGGTTTGAGGACCGCTGCCTGCTTCCCCATCAGTGTCATGGTTGATCTGGTACTGCACACTGAAACGCCTTCAGTTCTATAGTATAAACATATGGCACTCTGTGACCATGGTGACCATGCCATATCACTGGCAATGGCTGTGTGCAGGACGAATCGACGTTTCGGGGACGGCTTTATAATTCGGCACGAATGCAGTGCAAACTTAGTGATGGACAAGCAAAGAGATTCTAGTGAAGAACAATACTTCCGACTAGTTTCGTACAACTCACATCAATAAGTTACGTAGACAATGAATCGCAGGATTGTGCAGTATCATGTTTGACGGATGCTCTTTCCTATCAACAATGAATGATAAGGGGTTGTACCCATTCGTGGACATCAGTTGGACAAGCATCGCTATATCCAGACAGCGCCTCCAGAACATCCTGCTGTACGCGATATCACGATTTGAAACGTTTCTTCAGTACGATCGGTATTCAGCAAATCTATCCGACTCTCGCTGTAGCTCGCTTTCAAGCGGCTACGGGACACTAATTTTATGTTACTGCGTACGCAAGGTCCGGTGGAAGCTAATCCGCCTCTACTCAAAGTCTGTTTTTTGATGCAAGTATCAGGAGACTGATGCTCAACAGATTATACAGTCCTTGAGTGTGTGTGGGGGGGGGGGGGGGGGCAGCTCTGGAGTGTCTACTTATCAGCACCCACATTGAGCACTCTGACTTGTCTTCAAAGGTATCCTGTAAAAAGAAAGCATACTAGTGTGTGCGACTTGGGAGTAGAGACAGAACAGCTTGCCTGATATTTCCACTGGCTCTAGGTGTAAAGTGTACGATGTGCAATTGTTTGTATGGTGTTGATGATTTTTGAAGAATCCCGTCTGGCTTTATCATCTGCTTTCACTTCCTGTTATGTCTATATTTACTTATACCGCTTTATTTTTTTAGGCTTACTACCATTTTGGTTGCTTTTGATTCTTGACTCCACTCCAATACAGGAGTCTCAGTGATCAGACGCTTTTGATTGTCACCAACTTAAAATCTTAGCAGCCTTTGGAATTATTTGAACACCTGCACATCCCTTGCACGGGCCTTATCTCTGAATCCTTCAGTAACTATTGTTGCGGACTAGAGATTACATGCGTCCAGCCCTCCAAATAATATTTATATTTAATAATTTTTCTATGTATGGCATTGCTTAGCCACTAAGTGCCTCCACAATGATAGGTTTGTATCCATGAACCCTGCCGAGTTAGTTAGGGGCCTTCCGTAAATATAGATATTTATTTAGAAACGAAAACTAGTCGTTTAGGCCTGGGGGGGGGGGGGGGGTTGAGCGCCTGGTCATTTCTCGAAAAAAATCGACATGTACCAACCCGTGTATGTGTTCGTTTCTCAGGGAGGGGGGTTGAAGAGAAATGACTATTTTTCGTTTCAAAATAAATATCGGTATTTACGGATGGCCTCTCTTACTCTCATGCGCGTCCAGAAATCCTTGCAGTGTATGTACGTGCATGCATCTTCAGTTGCATGTAGCCATATGCACACACAGAGTAACTCTGCACCAAACGTTCACCTCTGTATGCAGAGCCAGCCGGCCACACACTGCCACACATGCGATACCGGGTTTTCAAAGCAGAACTGCACATCGGACTACGTGCATGAAACTTCAAAAAATAGAAATCAATCTTCAGAAACACTATTCAGTCTAGTGTACACACAGAATGAGACAACAACCGCAATGAAACGGCATGGACACAACCATCGGATCTAGTGATAGAGTACTGGAGTAAAGCCTGTACAATGGGCGTGATTCTGAAATGCTGGAATACGATGACAACCTACTCGTATAAAGCCATGCATTCTCATTGACCAATGCACTTATGATGCTGTGAGTAGCGTGGGCAGAGGCATAGAGCAGAGCAGCCCAGATAGCAAGACATTGTATTCATTACTAGTGTGAATGGCTGCCAGTGACAAAATATCTCTCTATACTATAGACAAAAAGAAGACGGCACAAGAAACAATCGCCTTGCACAGCAGTGCAATGTGCTGCTTGTGCGCTCCACGTGTCAAGATTGTCACCCTGCTACGTCAGGACAACTTGCAACGCCAGCAGTGTACACGGCATGAGCTGTTGCTGCTGCTGCTGATGATGATGAGACACAACACTGTGAGTGAGGATGGTCGGTCTACAGGCGGCAGTATCAGTTCCAAGCGGTATCATACTTTACAAAACTGACTGAACAAGAGAATGGAACATATACAGGCAATTGGAAGCATAGCTATACTGCCGCAACTATGTTTCGAGCTCTAGAAGACCCAGTTGATGGGGACCCACTGCGTCGAAGCCTGCAAATCCCTCAGCACCTCATCAAGCTTGATGTAAGTCTCGTCAATGCCTTCGTTGACAATGGTCAAGTCGAAATAGTGGCTGTACGCCTTCTCAATATTCTCTGATTCGTGTATCGTGCGGCGAATGTCATCATCGGAGTATGGCATGAGCGTTTCGCTGTTGTTGCGAGTTGCTTCATGGTGCATTCGCTTCAGTACAGCAAACGTTGGCGCCCGGATGAAGATAACATACGGCTTGAATTCACTGGTCTTGAGTCGCTTCAGTGACTGCGGGTTGACATCCAGTAGGCAGATCTTGCCAGAGCGAATGACAGCCCGGATGCTGTCAATCTTAGTGCCGTAGAGGCAGTCGTTGAACACACCGTGCTCGATGTACTTGTGCGAGGCAATGTCTTCTCGCATCACCTCTTCAGAAACAAACCAGTACTGCTTGCCATTCTCTTCGTCGGGCTTTGGGCGGCGCGTGGTGTGCGGTAGCGTGGTTGCATACATGTCGGGACTGCCCACGATGATGCGGTGTTTCAAGCCACGTCTTCCAACACCCTGCGCACCGATCAGAACCACCGTCTTGCGCTGACCAGGCGCAATGCGCGCCACCTCCTCAAAGATGTTGAGCTCGTGCCGATCAAACTCTGAGTTCCTGGCCGACGTGTACATGACTGGTCGCGATCTCCGTCTGCGGCGCATGCCGAGGCAGCCCGGTGTTTGTTCATCAGCATCGCCGCCTGGATCTCGCGCAATGGCCTGTCGACGCTCTTCCAGCAATAACCCGGGAATGATACCACTCCTATCGGCATTCTCCCCCTTCTCGATGCGCGCCTGCCACCACATCGGGTCCTCTTGGTTGACGATCTGCAGTACGTCACCACGCCGAAACGCCAGTCCACCTTTGGGGAACGGATGATCTGGGTCTTGCTGCGGGTCGTAGTCGAACAGAACACGCATGTAGACCTGCGACGTGGGCAGGGGGTCAGTGAAGCTGGCTTCCACCTTCATACTGATTGTGCCCCGGCATGACGTGATCTCCTTCTTCACCATTTCAACATCGCCGTTGACCTCCTTGCCGTTTATGCTCCGAATCACGTCCCCGACCTTCAGCAAGCCTTGTCTATCCGCTGCCATTCCAACAACTATGCGTGAAATCTTGACCAGACCGTCCGCATCCTTCAACACCAGGCCAAGAGCCTCATTTCCCACCCGATTCAATCCAATCAGCTTCAGTGGTCCAGATTCGCCGTTGCTAGTTTCCCCAGTACCATTCACCAGGGATTTCTGATTAGCCTCGGGAGATAACGTCGGCGTTGTAATCTCAGTTGCGGACCGTTTGGCTTCCTCGCGCTCCAGGACTACTCCGTCGTAGCTCTCCACGATAGCCTTCACGTGCGGACTATTCAGAAGCTGTAGCAGCTCTTTCGACTCCTCGTCACCTCCTTGTTCGTCAACATGCTGGGCACATTCTGCCAGAAGGAGCCGTCCGATCCGATCGCCCAGCACCACGCTACTCTTCTCCCTGGCGGCCCAGAGCAGCTCGAAAGCACTGACGATGTCCGGCAACTCGCCGCTCTTCAATAAATCATCTACTCGCTGATCATCGCATTTGTAGCCTCCACTGCTGCTGTTGCTAGCTGCGCGATCGTTGTCCATTGCGCTTGCAACGCCGTGAAATGTGTTGACCCACGAACACAGCACAAGCGACCCAGGCGACTACTAGTATTGATCTGGAGAGTTCTTTCTCGCTGGCTTCGGCCAACACAATGTACGTCGTTAGCTCCACCAGAGAGCAGCTGGCAAGAAATGCTACTCCTCCGGGTCGTGTTGCTTCTCAAGACCCTACACGAGTCACGACAAACACGTAACGCACGGATCTTGTGCTGCGCATGCAGCTGAACCTCAGCTTCGTCGTATTTGAACGAGCAGTGTTTTTAGGTCGCGCCCCTGTACTACCAGCCCTAGCCCTGGCACATAGATATTGTGCAGGTGAATGAAGAAAATGAGAATGATTAGTCAACAAACGGTAACCAGTAGTACATCATTTACACCATAATGGACAGGAACACTGGCCTTGGTACAATCATGGTCTGACGGTCGTTGTTCGTCGACAGGCGAAGCAAATGAGCGACTGTGCGAACTAAAAAAATGCCGTACGGCAAGTGACACGGTGCAGTATGTAGCAAGAAACGCAGCTGCTAACGTAACGAGCTGGTTGTACGACTAGTGACGGAGTAGTGTAGCCGTACCGTGTAGGCGTAGATCTGCCCGGAATGTGTGCGGACGGACCCGATCTCGTGTGGTCTGTCGACGGCTCGACGCCATGCATACCATGATAACATGCCGTCATTTTCTAGTTTGGTATAGACTCTACTGGGGTTGATCGCCGAAATCTTCGCGTACCCGTACCCATCTTCGTGTGGCACACACAGCTACAGCCTGTCCTACCCTGTGGCAGTGTGGGCTGTGGCAGGTGGGAGCTCTACTGCCTGGCACTTACTGGCGAGGAGACTGCTCCTACTAGCTATACTACTCACAACTTCACAAGGGTGTTTCTTCTACAACTACAAGGTGCGATGGCTTTTGAACTGACAATGTCAATGATGTACTCTGCTGTCGAGAAAAAATGTGTACAACTACAACAGTACAAGGCCTAAGGCAGTTGCAATGGTATTCAACACGAATCTGATCTGTATCTCATGACTGTGCTGAGTGCAGGTTGCAATAATTATGATTGCGTTGTCGCTTTTAGTTTTACATGTACTTCTTTCCGCAAGCAGCTGCTGACCTATCCTAAAACAAAAGGTTAGAAGTATTATTTAAAAGTTAGTAACGAATATTCTAACAATGAACAATGAATTATTTGGAAGTACTGTAGCACGCTGATCTGACTCGACTACGGGAGTGTCAGACCAAAGCCAAAGGCAAAGCGCTGCTTGAAGAATTTCTTGTAGCGATTGGTACTCGTAGGTTTGCTGAGGGCTTTGGTGTATAATCATGTAGGTACATGGGTAACATGCTACCAGCAACGAACTCGGCAAAAAGGACGCAGTATACTCAGTAGATAGCGCACATAACGACAGTCGGCTAGCGCGACCGGAGCTACAAGAACGGTGTAAACGGGAAATAGTTGGCACTGTTGACCGTAGTATAGCCAGAAGGCAGAGCTACAAGTACAAGACTCAAGAGACCCAGGCCAGAATACCTACTAGGCTACTGCATACTACGTGCGATGAGTCCATCACATTCGTACTCTCAGTTTAGATCTGTACCTCTTATTTTAGTCTAGTCTTAGTCTTACATGATTGTGTTTTGTTGTAGGTACCAGACTGAGTACAAGTTGTACTCAGTCTGGTACCTACAAAAAAACATGTATTAAAGAGGTGTAGATCTAAACCAGGGAGTCGTAAAATACCGTGTAATGGTATTTTACGACTCCCTGATCTAAACCATGTAAACTGAGAGTACGAATGTGATGGACTCATCGCACGTAGTATGCAGTAGATATTCTGGACTGGGTACAAGCAGTGTTGCTAAACACATGTTGCGTAGCTGACCACTTCTGGCATTCTGCAAAGCCGCTTCACTTTCACACACGGTTTCTGCCACAGGACAGCTGGACCTGTAGCCTAGGTAGGAGATGCTTTTCCTTTTTCTCTTGCTTGCATTACACGTGTACATGGTCTTTGAGCTAGTTCTCGTCTCCACGTCTCCAGCGTACAAAGGGACCACACGACGGCCACTGACCATGCCAACTGTGACCCGGAATAAGTACAGTATAACCCATGTTCATAATAATTATGCAAACACCGGGCGGACATTGTGCAAACTGTCAGTACATGATTGTATAAAATAACAGTTACGGGCACATGCTCACAGTTATGGTGAGCGTGAACCGGCCGGTATGTCAGCGCATGCAGCATTAATGTTGTCCTCGGTACTTAGAGCGGAACATGTTCTTACATAATATTTAGTGTTCACTACATGTATAATCTGAGCGGAAAGAGGTCTATATTGTCATAAAGTCACAACACTATAAAAGTACAACAACAATAGCAGGCCACTCCCGGCTCCGATTATAATGTAACATACATGTATGGAGGTTATGCGAATCATGTCTTGGTGGTGAACTAACGGAACCGCTTATGGGGCGCTAGTTGGCGGTTTCGCTTGACCTACATAGTTCATCGGCGTGCCGCGACTTTGCCACAGCATATCAACTGATGATGAAATCTCATAACCTTGTATTCAAAAAGACTAACATGGCCACATGACCTACTCATGTAATAATGCATGAGACTACACTACTGTACATAGAAATGTGGAAAGACTCTTCAAATGTGGAAAGATTCTTCAAATGTGGAAAGATTCTTCTAATGTGGAAAGATTCTTCAAATGTGGAAAGATTCTTCTAATGTGGAAAGATTCTTCAAATGTGGAAAGATTCTTCTAAATGTGGAAAGATTCTTCTAATGTGGAAAGATTCTTCAAATGTGGAAAGATTCTTCTAATGTGGAAAGATTCTTCTAATGTGGAAAGATTCTTCAAATGTGGAAAGATTCTTCTAATGTGGAAAGATTCTTCTAATGTGGAAAGATTCTTCAAATGTGGAAAGATTCTTCAAATGTGGAAAGATTCTTCAAATGTGGAAAGATTCTTCTAATGTGGAAAGATTCTTCAAATGTGGAAAGATTCTTCAAATGTGGAAAGATTCTTCTAATGTGGAAAGATTCTTCAAATGTGGAAAGATTCTTCAAATGTGGAAAGATTCTTCTAATGTGGAAAGATTCTTCTAATGTGGAAAGATTCTTCTAATGTGGAAAGATTCTTCAAATGTGGAAAGATTCTTCTAATGTGGAAAGATTCTTCAAATGTGGAAAGATTCTTCTAATGTGGAAAGATTCTTCTAATGTGGAAAGATTCTTCAAATGTGGAAAGATTCTTCTAATGTGGAAAGATTCTTCAAATGTGGAAAGATTCTTCTAATGTGGAAAGATTCTTCAAATGTGGAAAGATTCTTCTAATGTGGAAAGATTCTTCAAATGTGGAAAGATTCTTCTAATGTGGAAAGATTCTTCTAATGTGGAAAGATTCTTCAAATGTGGAAAGATTCTTCTAATGTGGAAAGATTCTTCTAATGTGGAAAGATTCTTCTAATGTGGAAAGATTCTTCAAATGTGGAAAGATTCTTCAAATGTGGAAAGATTCTTCTAATGTGGAAAGATTCTTCAAATGTGGAAAGATTCTTCTAATGTGGAAAGATTCTTCTAATGTGGAAAGATTCTTCAAATGTGGAAAGATTCTTCTAATGTGGAAAGATTCTTCAAATGTGGAAAGATTCTTCTAATGTGGAAAGATTCTTCAAATGTGGAAAGATTCTTCAAATGTGGAAAGATTCTTCAAATGTGGAAAGATTCTTCTAATGTGGAAAGATTCTTCTAATGTGGAAAGATTCTTCTAATGTGGAAAGATTCTTCAAATGTGGAAAGATTCTTCAAATGTGGAAAGATTCTTCTAATGTGGAAAGATTCTTCAAATGTGGAAAGATTCTTCAAATGTGGAAAGATTCTTCTAATGTGGAAAGATTCTTCTAATGTGGAAAGATTCTTCTAATGTGGAAAGATTCTTCTAATGTGGAAAGATTCTTCAAATGTGGAAAGATTCTTCTAATGTGGAAAGATTCTTCAAATGTGGAAAGATTCTTCTAATGTGGAAAGATTCTTCTAATGTGGAAAGATTCTTCAAATGTGGAAAGATTCTTCTAATGTGGAAAGATTCTTCAAATGTGGAAAGATTCTTCTAATGTGGAAAGATTCTTCAAATGTGGAAAGATTCTTCTAATGTGGAAAGATTCTTCAAATGTGGAAAGATTCTTCTAATGTGGAAAGATTCTTCTAATGTGGAAAGATTCTTCAAATGTGGAAAGATTCTTCTAATGTGGAAAGATTCTTCTAATGTGGAAAGATTCTTCTAATGTGGAAAGATTCTTCAAATGTGGAAAGATTCTTCAAATGTGGAAAGATTCTTCTAATGTGGAAAGATTCTTCAAATGTGGAAAGATTCTTCTAATGTGGAAAGATTCTTCTAATGTGGAAAGATTCTTCAAATGTGGAAAGATTCTTCTAATGTGGAAAGATTCTTCAAATGTGGAAAGATTCTTCTAATGTGGAAAGATTCTTCAAATGTGGAAAGATTCTTCAAATGTGGAAAGATTCTTCAAATGTGGAAAGATTCTTCTAATGTGGAAAGATTCTTCTAATGTGGAAAGATTCTTCTAATGTGGAAAGATTCTACTAACCCCGATGTAACTACAAGTAGTACTACACAGACACTGGTTTAAAAAATGTAGATGTAAACGTAAAAGAGAAGGGACACATGGATACGAGTAATGAGTAACTGTGCACCGCTGTAACTAGATATTTTACGGTGAGAAAGGGCGACAAATACGCTCCAAACTGACAGAGTACTGAGACATCCAACGACCTGACACATAGATCCAACACATTTGGGATGCGTAAACCAACAGTTACATAGTTAATGGCTCAGTGCCTGAGTTATAATCTACGCAAGACCCTGGTAGGAGTTGTTCCTTGATTTAGTAGACCTACATGACCTACATGACCTACATGACAGCGTAGTACTTGTACAATGTCATGCATAATGCCATACTGAACTGGCACTATTGTAAAGGCGCTCATGCAGGTAATTAGTAATTACTATCACTGCTGGCAATATGGCACAATGCCAGCAAGTCACAGCAAGTCACTCCAGTACTGCGGCACTAAGTGGACTGGTTGGCCTACATGTAGAACAGAACAATACAGTGTACATATATGTCACGTGTATTGTTGCACTGAGTTTACAATTGGCAGCCTCCGCTACAGGCTTCCAAGACTGAGGGCCAGCGTGTGAAACTACTAATTGAATTAATTCTACAGCACACACACACACACACACACACACACACACACACACACACACACACACACACACACACACACACACACAAGTGAATTGTAACTTTTTCTTAACCTTGTAACACAACTATGATGGTACAGTAAGGCCATGGTAAGAAATAAAGTTGATTCTCAGGTCATGAGCCTGTGAAAATCGGTGCGAGCAAGCAATTTTTTATTTATTTCCCACAATTTTTTTATTTCCAAAGATAGGGTCACACATATGTACATGGTCACATGTTCATATTCAGGCCAGGGAGTAGAAAAATACCGGTATTTTACTACTCCCTGCTTCATGCAGACGTCGAATCTCACTAGCACTGCCATGTACACGACTGTAGCTGTATACAAACAGTGCAGTGCGTACTAGAACACAGCATGCCAGGACTGTACAGTGCAGCTGTATTTGTATATGTACATGTACATCATGCATGGCGGCCGGTCAATGCGCGCATATGCATGCATTGAATTTTTTTTTAAATCGTCGCTGCGCCGCCAAAATTCGGTGCGCGCGTACTTGAGAATCAAAGATAATTTTCACCATGGCCTAATGGCAGACATAACATGGAAACAACCTAGTTCTAGATAGTCTAGTAACTCTAGTGCATATGCGCCAAAGATTGTATAAGAGGTCACTGTGACATACTCGAGGATGATTCTGCATTTGATTGATCACTACTGCAGTACTTCAATGTGCAATATTCAACATCACAATACTCATTAATATTTGGTGACACAACCACTAGTTAATACAGAGAGAGAGAGAGAGAGAGAGAGAGAGAGAGAGAGAGAGAGAGAGAGAGAGAGAGAGAGAGAGAGAGAGAGAGAGAGAGAGAGAGAGAGAGAGAGAGAGAGAGAGAGAGAGAGAGAGAGAGAGAGAGAGAGAGAGAGAGAGAGAGAGAGAGAATGGAATATGAAAACAAGAGTACACAATTAGCATAGCAAAAAGGTTTGCATTACAGTTGAACATCGATTATCCGCACATCGACTATCCGACCATTCGATTATCCGTAACAGTTTTTTCGGGCGCACGTGCCGTAGAGTACGCACTGTGCATGTAGTGAGCCATTCAAAAAATACGAAAATTTTGAAAAGTAAAAAGGTCGTACATGTACATGTACATGTTTCTTATCCGGAACATTTGCCTTATCTGAACACCGCCTGACAGTTGTCTGCCCAGAGGTGGTCGGATAATCGATGTTCAACTGTATGTCAAGTTGGCTCAAGTAGATTTCTGATAGATGAGCATTCTGCCCAAAAGCAAAGTAGTACATGTACAGTGGAGAACTAACTCACCCTGCGATCACGGGGTGCTGATATTTCAAAATGGCCTTTGCTGTTCTTTTAGACAAGGCAATGCCAGTCGTTGGTGGCTGGTTGTACACACTTACAGCAAGGATAAGAGTATGCTCAGTGCTGGTGAAAAGCTCAGGGTGTGCATTCACAATGTCCAAATATTGTGTAATGTATATGCGCACGTGCAGCAGTGGTATCGATAGCAGGGTGGGCACAACACGCCCAAAACAAGTGGAATAGCAGGGTGGGCACAACACGCCCAAAACAAGTGGAATAGCTACTGTTACCATTCAACTGTTCATGAGGTTAATACTGGACGAAAGTTGCTTCTCGAGTGACTCCTGCACGAGCGACATTATCACAACGAACAGCCACAAGGAGAAGAAGAGTGAGGCTTGAATCAATAAAGTACACGTACCAAGAGTGTCCATACATCTTCACGGCACTCTCCACACGGTCTCTGGGCTACACCAATCACTAATTTTTTTTAATCATTCGAATTTTCGGGCAAGGCCCATCTTCAGGAATGTATGGATATAGTGGATGGCTACAATGGAGTTTTCGCATTTTTCAGAAATGTGTACCAAGAGTGGACATGAATAAAAAAAAGTTCTAAAGTTGGCATGAGTAGCTGACAATACAATGACCAGGAAGAATTCCACCACAGTTTTCCAATCAGAAACAAGAGACAAAAAGCTGATTACATGTACACTCATCTACACGCACGTGAAGTGATGTTGTCAACTATACCCTGTGACAGGGATAGTTTGGTCTGGAGCTTGGCATCACAGAACCATGGGACAGGACGGTATGCATGTACATGTCACTTACCACTTCTTGACGTAGCTGTTCAAGTTTCACTGTAGACAGGCGCAAGTCCTGCAAGAAATGATATAGAGAAATCAACAATGCTACAGGCAACAAGACACCCACACAGTCAACCAACCTGCAATGAGATACATGTACAATACGGTAGAATTGCTGACTGTCTAATGAAAATGAGTACAAGTACAAACTCCACTCCAGGCAAAATTTGAAACCCAGCCAGTGACAATAACAGCATAACATGCTCGGAAGTCCAGTCAAGATGTGCGACAGAGGAACTCACGGCTGGTAAGTTGTGGAATGACTGGAGCTTTGCCTTGAGCGGTCGAAGCAGCTCCCTCCGCTGTTCAAGATCCTGAGTGAAAAATGCACACCCACACACCAATACGCCCGCACGCAAATGTGCACGCATGCAGTAACAGCAGAAGTGCTCAAACAAGGGCAAGCTGGTGCTGCATAACGGAAGGGTATTTTTTAGAGAATACATGTACCTGTTTCCGCCAGAAATACAGACACGGCATGGCAAGTGTGAATGGCAGTACTAAGTCAGAAATACAGACACGGCATGGCAAGTGTGAATGGCAGTACTAAGTCAGAAATACAGACACGGCATGGCAGGTGTGAATGGCAGTACTAAGTCAGAAATACAGACACGGCATGGCAGGTGTGAATGGCAGTACTAAGTCGGAAGGAGGCATGCAGTGGAGAGTGACAAGATTGGACAGGAAATCATGTACAGTGCAGCTTAGCTACCTACTGTACAGTGGATAGTTTTGGCAGGAAATTAAAATCTGTATATTGCCCAGTGATACTGAAGGCCTTGTCCATCCAGGACTTGATGAGCATTTGCACTTCAAGTCCAGGCACACACGTTCAGTAACAGCGGGGATCAAATAGGGGCAGCAACGGCATCATTGCTACACTCTACACTACACAGTAGACCGATCAAAGACAGTGCATGCATGTTCAAGATCTACAGAAGGACACGGGGAATAGCACGTACATCATCGCAAACCGTGGGCATCTGCCTGAACCATGCCAGAACATGACACCGACACAAACCTCTACAAACCTGCAAAGCTTCACACACAGATAATAACTGTTACTCGTGTCAGCAAACTTACAGCAGCTTGCTGAACAAGCTTCTGGTGCTCAATGTCTTCCTGAAATCCACTGTCGCGCAGCTTTGCCTGCAACCAAACACAAACAGCACGGCATTATTGCGGTCATCACTGCTTTATACGGGCAATTTTTACAACTCGGATACTGAGCCAGTAATAAAATGTAAAAAAAGAGAAGAAACACATGGGTCACTGAATGTCTCAGTAGCCTGTCAGTTTTGTGCCCTATTATCGCACTTTCTGACCGTTTATCATCTTGTTACAGTCGTGGATAGTTGCTGCATAACTCGTTCTCATGTGTTTCTTCTCTTTTTTAAATTTTTTTACAACATTTATAGTTTATACACATTCAGTCAGGCAGGTAGCTGAGGATTCATTCCATTCTGCAGAAGCATGCTCAAGAAAAGGCTAGCCAGATGTAGGGGTGAAACTTGTCAAGGATATTCGTGAGAATAGTGTGGAGCTGGGAGCGCTAAATGCTGATGATGACGCAGCCACAATCAAGCGTTTGCGGGAAGAAGTTTCCAACGATATGGAGAAATGGGCAGATCTCAGCCACACAGTATTGCACTATGTTGGAGGTAACAAAGCTGGCAGTTGATGTTATCTCTGCAGCTATGCGAGATAACATCAACTGCCAGCTTTGTTACCTGATTCCACGACAATGGTGCGTAGCAATGCACAGATAACTAACACTTTCTCACACACTCCATATTGCGCTACATATCACATGGTAATTGTTTACGCTGGGCTTGGCACATTCACGGTACAGCTGCATAATAGCAATACTTTCAGGGCAGGGTCAGTATCTATTTTTGTCTGACGATCGATTCAGTTTACGAAAAAACAACTGCTCGTGCTTCTGTCTGTACATATATTCTCCAATGATCCAGTGATTTGTGGCCACAATAACAACTTCCTGCAGTGTCCTATAGGTAGTGCTGAAACGATTATATCGATTACTCGTTACTTACTCGATAAGAAATAGATCGAACGGTTATTTCGATTTTATCGGCTAAACGAGTAGAATGGTACTTACGCTCGGTACAGGATCCCCCCCCCCCCTTTTGGGGGTCGCACAAAGCGTGCATGCATCGAAAGTGTTGCGAGTACGACACGAATATGTACATGATTGTACACTTGCAACATCGATGTACGTGTAAAGACTATAGCGATCTGAGAAACATCGACGTGATCACCGTTACGGCGCCGTCTTTTGAGCGGACTACTTTTCTTACATACAGCATGCAGGACGGGCAGGCTCAGTATGTGTCTACACTAGCTAGCTGCAGGGGCTAGAGTTCCCTCCACGTGCAAGTAGTCTTGAGCTAGCCTAAAGATAGGGGTTCCAGGATCAGGCCGACTGGGTTCGAGGACTTTCTCCACGCGCTACACACAAAAGTTTGGTCGCGCGATGACGGCTCATTCTAGGCCAGTGCGCTGAGATATCGTAAGTTCTGGAGGATTTTTGAAGTCACCAGTGGCTTCCTGAGGTTTTCAGCTGTCCAATGTGGGGTTTTTGATCGCCGTGCGGCGAAATTAGGCCATCGCGATCAGTCAAAGAAGAAATTGAAGGCGATTTTCAAGTCTAAAATGGCATCTTAGGGGATTCTTAAACCGATTTTCAGCTTCAGCACCCAAAAACCTTTCGGAATCACCCATGCCGGTGTTTTTCTCAAGCAAGGTAGAGCAGCGCAACAAAATTTGAGTGCGCCGAGTAGGACTAAAAGCACCTCCGACATGGCGATTTTTTCAAGTGCGAGGAAGAAGAGTAGATCTACACTAGAAACTAGGTGTTACCCCCAGCGCAGTCAGCTGATCGCGAGTATCAAGCAGCACGAAGACCAGGATTGCGCTGTGCCTAGTGAGCACGACTTAGTACACGATTCTGTACTATCTCCTGTTTGCGAGGAACAAGGAGAACAGGCGGCGGCTTGGATTTACGACTCGTGCGCTGGCGGAGAACAGGGAGCTGCCGTCATTACCGATCGAACTGGTTGGTGATGGAGCTGATGCAGTATCTCTCACCATGATCAGCCTGATCCCAGCTCCCATCGACAGCGTCTTCTTAATTTGGTTCGCAACTTGCAAGCTCTGCAGAAGACGGCATCGGCAACATCAACATTGGCGTGTTTGTGACTTGCCGTCCTTGTCGGCAATGGCAAAAGCCGTGCTGGTGACTTGACGTCCTTGTCGGCCAAAGCCGTGTGAAGAAGAGGGGTAGGTTCGCCGAATCGAAGCGTGCATATGTCATCCGCTCAAGGCAAGGATAAGAGGCCGGCTGTAAACTGTGACAAAATTTCATCTGATTCGTGTGATGATGTATGTAGCTAGGTGGTGGCTATGCAGTAGTTTGACCATGTTTTGAGCCGATTTCCCATTTGATCGCCAGAGAAAAATACACCCATTTCGCTGTAGAAAAATGGCTATAACTTTCGAATGCCTGGACCGATTTTGATAAAATTGGTACCATAGTATTTCTCATTTCCTTGGTGACATTGTCCAAGAACAAGCTAGCTTGAATTCTGAATTTGAAATTTTGACTGGAATCCCTACTAAAGACAGTAAAGTGGTCTTCAGTTTCATGTTTTCCGTTCTGTCAACAGTTCCCGAACCAGCTTGTTCGACGACGAGCTAGGCCTGGCGTCCGGGCCTATTTTGAGCATAGACAGGAAAAACAACTACAGTGCTGGCAACTGAAATCCGACCCCCTGGGCGGCGCGGCACGCCGCCCAGGGGTCGGATTTCAGTTGCCAGCACTGTAGTGACTTGTTGGTGCGCCTCAAGTCAGCTCATCCATCGAAATCCGCCGATCTGCACCCCTGGCCGGCTTCTCTGACTTCATCGTCGGAGTCAGCGAAGTCACACGCGAAGGGCACCATCAGCTCTTGGGTTGCAACCAGTGAGTTGCCTCTGTCTTGTCTGTATTCGTCTGGTCAGTCCGAACAGCTGACGGACTTGTTGCGGGATCATCGGATCTATGCGCCCGCTTTCCGTCGGTGGCGATGTTGGACTCGTAATTTTTTTGACATTCACAGAATGTACATGTACTGATGTAGTTACAATAATACTCGTTTAGCCGAAAAGCCGATCGTTATGGTATCAGCTAAGCCACTAAGGAAAAAACGTAATCGTTTCAGCACTACCTATAGGATAACTAGGCATTGTATGCATGCAATAGGAGAAAACTCAAAATTTTCAGTATTTTTCATGAAAAGACGTGTTATCGTGAAGTCTTTTCATGGCGACACATCAATTTTTGGGGCTTTCCCATATCACTGCACATTAGAAGAAATGATTTAGCAGTCTTTGATAAAAAATTGGGCCATTCAATATGGTCCACATTATATCGCAAAATAACCAATTTGCGCATTGGAGCTATAAAAATAATGGGTTACTATCCAAATGCCAAAAGTTCGTAAAAATGGCAATTTTGAAATTCCCATAATTCCCTAATATTAACGGTGAGTGGTCATTTTTTGGTATTTCATCTATACATACCCTACAGAAGACACTGACGTCTTTGGATGAAGAAAATTCCGGGTTGTTTTCCAATTCATCACTTCCAGCTAACAGACACGTTAGCTACACTGCCACTAGGAGCGATGTCATACGAACACACATGGTACAGTACACACCTGAAGGCCTGTGATTTCTTGCTGGTACTGCTGCGCCTTGGCATGACAAAAGGCTACCTCCTGCTGAGAGCGGGCACTGGTCTCTGCATCGGCAGTGGTCTTCTGGGCGAGCCGAGCATGCATTCTGACACATGCATGGACACACACACAACACACACACACACACACCGGCAACAACGACGGCGACGGCGACGACCACAATAACAACAACAACAACAACAACAACAACAACAACAACAACAACAACAACAACAACAACAACAACAACAACAACAACAACAACAACAACAACAACAACAACAACAACAACGTATGATGTGGAGCATGCAACATGATGCAACAAGCACTGAAGTGGAAGCATAGACAAGCCTATAGACTATATCAAGAGTACATAACTACACTGTAGTTATGTACTCTTGACTATATGCAATGCAACCAGTGCTGCCATCACACTCCAGTGATAGCAGAGCACACAAGCTCGAACAGGGTGCAACTTCATTGAGGTTTCCTATTGGACGAGCTCGAGGGAAATATCTAAAATAGTACGTCACTGATTTTGGTAGCCGACTAACATAGGGGCCATCCGGCATTATCGATAATTTTCACGAAATGAAAAAGTTTACCGTATTTCCTCGATTAATGGACCATGCTCGAATAATAGACCATGCTCAAATAGTAGACCCTCCTAGAGGCCTCACGGAAAAATAGTAGACCATGCCCGAATAAGAGACCCGGTCTCTTATTTGAGTTCATCGCTTTGCGCATGCGCACTAAGAAAGCACATGGTGGATCAAAAAAGGACGCTATTTTACGTTGCGTGACTACAATTTTTGTAGTGGCTAGTGCTTTCTTTTATTATTTGAGCACGGTCCACCATATTTTCATCGGCACATCGCTGGAAATGGTGGATTTTTAACACGTCATAATATAGAAAATATAGTGGACCGTGCCCAAATAATGGACCATGCCCAAATAAGAGACAGGGGGTCCAACCCTCTTCAAAAAACAAAAGACCGGGTCTATTAATCGAGGAAATACGGTAGTTACGACCCTCACTCCCCCCCCCCCCCTCCCCACCAACGAAAAAATTGACTTGACGGCTAGAATGCATTGATGTCTCACATACCAATGTTTTTCAAAAACGAAACTCTCTTTGACCCACCCACCCATAAACGAATTTTTTTCTTTTCGTGTAAAAGATCAATAATTATGGACAGCCCATTCCGATTGGTGCTGTACCATAGAAGCTCCGCCTGTCGTCAGCACTCAAGCTGCTACTGCAGTGCCTTCAGGGTCCGACTCGGACGGAGCCGAAGCCAACATCCGCCATGAACTTGAGGTGTTCCTTCACTCGATGGGACACCCATGCATATTCGAACGCGGAAGGATGTGCTTTTGGGATGAAGTTTCCGAAGCCGTGCGAAAATCGTTCTCTGTGGACATGAAAGACGTGACAAGTCGGGCATGTAAAGACCGGACAATCCGCAAGATCAAGAAGTTTGTTAAGAAGGACAGCAAGAACGAGAGGAAGAGTGGGACGGAGGAAGAGTATAGCAGGAAGGATGAACCTCTGACTGAACTCGCTCAGCGCTGGCAGGCAGCTCAGCTGAAAACGCAGAACATAACAACAACACAAAGAAAGGGTGAGGCCTTAGATAGTGCTAACACCCCGTGCACATTGCAATGTGATGTCATCGGGGATGCATCTTTCTGGAGGAAACGGGTGCTCCCACACTGCTCTGCGGGTCTAACAACAGTGCAGCACCCATTTCATCCTATAGGTTAGTGCAGTGTGCATCCGGGCCCGGCATGTACAGGACAATCAAGAACAAGAACAGCCACACGAAGAGTACATGGACCAGACTTCACATTTTTTTAAAGATTTTTAACGCCATGACATGAACTGTTAACGACATGAATTCTGTATGTCAAAATGCAGCTACATGTATGTACTCTCGGTCACACAACACGTACTAGGGCGAGCAATACGACTTATATGAGAAAAAGAATTATTCCCGTAGCTATGCAGAAGACGTTACTTCAGTAACGTCTGGCGCTAGCCAGGGCCCACACAGCTTTAATTTGGTATTTGTTTGTTTGTGTGTTTGTTTGTTTGTTTGTGTCACGCCTGGCGCTATCCCGTATCTGACGGCAAAAAAATCATAGGGATGTTATAAATTTTTCTATTCTCCTAATTTTTCAGGCATATCCTGGGATTCGAACCCGCACTATCGCCCTACATGCATTCCCCCATACACTTCGCATTCATACCCATTCTTCCAAGTTGCTTTACGTTATGATCTTGCGTTTGAAAGCCCTATTTGAATATTGCAGGCAGCTGTATGTGGCCAGCTGTGTTTGATGGTACGGTACGGGAGACGGTGTCGTATTACCATTCGATCGTACCTAACCCGTACCTATCCCTACCGTACCGTACATTCAAAGACGGCTGGCCACAATGCATATTCAAATAGGGCTTTCAAATGCAAGATCATAATGTGAAGCAATTTGGAAGAATTAGTATGTATGCGAAGTGTATCGGGGAATGCATGCAGGGCGCGATAGTGCGGGTTCGAATCCCAGGTTATGTCTTAAAAAAAGGAATTGTTTAATAAAAAAAGGAATTTTTTAAAGAATTTATAACATCCCTATGCTTTTTTTTGTCTAGGTCATCAAGGAAAAAAAGCATAGCGTAGGGCCCTGAGCTTCCAAGCTCTCTCGTCAGCCCACCTGTATGAACAAGACGACAGCACATGCAGGCATTCATTGCAGGCATACATTGATAACCTACTGTTTGAGTGTGTTGATTTGCACCAGGGCCTGCTTGGTGCGTGCAATGATCTCCTGCTGGCGCTGGCGCAGGTCTACGCTGGCTATGTTCTCATCCTCCACTGCACTACACAGCTGTGACAGACCAACGTGAAAGCTGAACAGAAACCGAAAAGAAAACACAGGCTCGCTGAGCTTTCTGCAATCTCCAATCGGTACTGGGTTAACTTCATCAAAGACCGGCAGACCGGCGGGAAACCTGTCACCAGTGATTACCGGACCAGGCCGGCCATCAGGGGCTCGCGAATGGATGTTCTCTGAGACCAACCTGACTCTAGGGCCAGTGCACACCCACAGGGCCAGCTTTATTTATTTATATATTAGAGGGCAATACCTACAGAAAGAGGGGAAAAACAATGGTACAACAGTGTACAACAGTGGGTATGCCGGTACTAAATGACTTCTGCTGGTGAGATGCGATGTACCGATATTTCCCCGACAAAAGGTCTGGGAATCAATGCATCATGGGTTGGAGTGGGTGAGAGAGAGAAAGAGAGAGAGAGAGAGAGAGAGAGAGAGAGAGAGAGAGAGAGAGAGAGAGAGAGAGAGAGAGAGAGAGAGAGAGAGAGAGAGAGAGAGAGAGAGGTTAAGCAGTAGATTGCACTCGTAACTTACGTAGGCAAGTGAACATCTCTTAGTTCTGTACTCTCCGCTACCGACGCCAGAGAGTCTAAAGCTGCGGTGGACGGCTTGTCCAACATATCCGCTCGGAGACCAATGCGACTCAGTGTACCAGACAGACGAACGCCTGGCAAGGAATACAAGCATAAATGCACACATACACACACAACATACACACAGACACACAGACACACACACACACACACACACACACACACACATGCCAATACAGACATAATGGTACTCGCCCATCTTGGAAGCAACCTTGCTTCAAGCTTGTCTTTGTTTGCGCCAAGCAGTAAACTCAGGATAGGTACGTTGGCCACACATGTAGCCTAACCCAATGTTCCGAAACACAGAGCATCCATTGCAGAAGATATGGATGTGCAGTACACAGTCCAGTGGTACAGGACTGTCGGACGTCGAAGAAGGACCAGCCTCGAATTTCACCAAGCACAGCATACCAATGTATACACAGTGACTCAACTGGGCATAGACTGTAATACATGAAGATAAGAACGGTCTGGGCTAGGAAGCTGACCCCCCCCCCCCCCAATTCTTCCGCAACCGACAGTACTGCACTGACTCACATTCCTTGCCATACTCCTTAGACCGTTGCTTTGCATCATCGCCAAGCAGCACGGCACGCGTGTTAGCCGAGACTGACTTAGTCATCACATCGTACAGAGCGCCAACGGTGGTCTCGTTGACCTCGAACGATGGAGTCTCTCCGAGAGTGTCTTGCAGCCATTTCATAACCTGGATTGCGAGGACAATGGCATGCAGAGACACCATGTAATCACAGTACATGTACTCCCGTCGAAGTCCAATCTTTATTTCCTGCAGTGTCGTGTATGAAAACCTGACTTGTTCCTGTAGAACCTGATGCGAGGGCTGGGTTTCACTCAAACCAGGTATTTCAATGCGTGTCAACACAAAATAGTGGGCGTTAATATGTGCCAAATGTCGGTCTTGAAAATCATTATTCTCATTTTATGCAGTTGCATGCTAACCCCAAAATGTGTGCAGGCATACAATGTTATAACGTTACTTGAGCACAGCGGGAAGCAGCGTTTGGCATGCATGTTTCGTTTGTTGACTCTAAAATACTATTAATATACTAATATACCTTAGTCTACAACATACATGGATATCAAGTACATTCGACCAACTGACCTGGTCATGTCGTTCGGATATGCTTTTGGCAGCCATTCCGCAAAGATAAGGACTTGCCGGAGCAGAGCGATCAGCAGTTCAAGATCAAAAATTCATCATCACCAGCACAGACAGTATCGCCAATCAGTGTGATTTCTGCTGCTATTGCTACAACTACTGCACAGTACATGTATTGGATTTCGGTTGTAGCTCGCTGACCAGCTCAACGATAGAACAAAAAAAAAAGAAGAGTCAACGCCGGCATGCAGGCTAGGCAGGAATGAGTTCAATCAGGTGCTTCACACACACAACCCACAGGGATATACATGAGCAGCGTCATTCGCCTAAAACCAAACTGGGGAAGGGTGGTGATTTTCTTTTCTTCATCTGGGAAAAACAAAAACAAAGATGCTTTTGAATGTTGGCGCGCCACGTGCCCTTCCGGAAAGGCAAGTAGTCATAAATATTTGACTCTCGACCTACAGCATGTCACAGGACAGTGTGTGTGCGTGTGTCACTCACTGTGTGTGTGTGTGTGTGTGTGTGTGTGTGTGTGTGTGTGTGTGTGTGTGTGTGTGTGTGTGTGTCAGTGTGTGCACAAGTTGCTATGTCTAACATAGCTGTTCGCTAATCCGCGATGGGCATGTCTGAGGTCTGAGGTGTGTGTGTGTGTGTGTGTGTGTGTGTGTGTGTGTGTGTGTGTGTGTGTGTGTGTGTGTGTGTGAGTGTGTGTGTGTGTGGTGGTAGTGGTGGTGTGTGTGTGTGTGTGAGTGTGTGTGTGTGTCCTGGCGAAGCGCAGCGGCATGCCAGCCTCGCTGGAGGAGGCCATTCGTGTGAATCGCCTGCTATGGCTTGGTCACCTCGCAAGGATGGACGACACCAGGTTGCCAAAGCAGATCCTGTTTGCGGAGGGAACTAACACGCGGCCCCGCCATGGACCCAAGCGTCCGGCGTTGGAGAGGTGTGGCAGCTTGTAGTAGACGGTTTGCCGGAGAGACTGAACCAGTTTTGCCTTGTCACTCGGTCGCGTATTACACAGCTTCAGACCTGCGTGCGACCGGTATCCCGGAGACGCAATGGCACCACCTTGCTCAAGACCGGAGGGACTGGCGCGAGCGTAGCCGTCGGAAGCCACCAAGCCAGCCCCAACCAAGAGTGTTCGTCTGTGTCTGCGGCCGCGACTTTCGCCGTCCGAATGATTTATCCCGACACAAGAACTACTGCCTGGCCTAATAGCTATCATCGCCTTTGGCGATGGGCTTTCCAAAGGTCCAAAGGTGTGTGTGTTTGTTTGTATGTGTGTGTATGTGTGTGTGTGTATGTGTGTGTTTGTGTGTGTGCGTGCGTGAGTGTGTGTGTGTGTGTGCGTGTGCGTGTGCGTGTGTGTTGGCACATACTGGTCAATAGTCGTGATCTGTCTCATTCAGGTCTTGTCCACTATCGTTGCTATGAGAAAATATGTGGGTGCACATCCAGCCTGTGCATTTGCAGATTTGCGTGGTTCTCTTGCGACGGGCGTAAAAATGGTGTGAACGTATGTGTGTGTGTGTGTGTGCGTGTGTGTTTGTTTATGTTTATTTTGTGTGTGTGTGCGTGCGTGCGTGCGCGTATGCGTACCCCATGTGCATGCACAATACAAGCATTGAAGCAAGAAGCCTATTGCAAGGGACTGCCGGGGTCAACTGATCAAAACATCAGTATGTCATTGGCTCCTTGGGATTTGGGATATGTGCCAGATTGCACAGTCAGTGCTTCGCCAGAAACCAACCCAGTGACTCGCATAGTGTGTCTCAAACCAACACCATGCAAGCCATTCAATACAAAACAGTAGTGAGTATTGTATGCATCAGGGAGTCGTAAAATTTTACGACTCCCTGGTATGCATGAGGTCCGCCATGACAAAAAAATTCACGTCATGTGATACTATCACTCACTATCAGTGTCAACTCCCCCTTCCTGTGCATGATAGCAAGAGTTGTGAACTACACAGTGGAGATTGGATATAACGACACTCTTTCGAGAGAAAGCAAAATGTCGCTATATTCGATCTGTCGATCTGATAGCTTGCAGAGACCTTGGTCCTACCGGTAGGACCATCATACACAGACATACTGCATGGCCGCTGTTCTAACATTGACCTAAAAGTAAAACTTGACCCTAAACTGTTGCTCAGGGGCTAATGAAGGAGTCCACAAATTTTAGACGCGATCGCACAAGGCATACTACAGAATTCCATGGTAACAGCCCATGGTAACCATGGAAACGGAGTATGGAATTATGCATTCCACTGCCTTGGCAAGCTAATAAAAACATTAGGATCTCACCACGAGTGATGTGCCATGGTCAAAATTCACTTTGGACAGAGTTGCTAGCGCACCGACAGGATTATGTGCGGCCATTTTGACAATCGATAAAATTGCGCATACGCAATGCACTGGACGTAGCCTTGCATTTTGCGCCATTACTTTGCCTGACAAAGACCTCATCTGAACAATTGTTTCAAGAAATTTCTCAACCAAAGCACTTTTGCAGCTCGATTTCTTGGGTCCTACCGGTAACTTAGGACGTCACGGCATGCAAGCTATCAAACTAAACGCGATCTTCACGTTTAGTATGCAATATGTATATCAAAATGACAGAAAGGTATTGTAGATATACATGTACATGTGGTTAACAGATATGTATGATTGTAGTCTAGTCATGTGTCTTGCATGCATTGTTCAAGGTGAAGTCATCCCGCACCGCTGCACTGCGGCTACAACGTGCAACGTGCAATGTAAAGCACACATGAGTGACCCGGAGGTCCGGGCACGTGGCACAGCCATAATAATACCATGTTCCAGACATGCCAGTCTGCCTGATACAAGAGGAAAGTCGTTATATCCAATGCATTTTCACTGTTTTTCAGGTCTTCGGGCACCAAAAAAGTGTCAGTAAATTCGATCTGTCGTTATTTTCGAGGTCGTTATACCCGATCTATAATGTACAGAAAGGACTTGCTAAACGACTTGGGCAACAGAATTGTGTCGCTCAACTCGATTTGTCGTTATACCCAAGGTCGTTATATCCAATCTCCACTGTACTACAGGGTTGCAAGCAGCGATGCTTCAAACGGCACAGATCTCTGCGCAGTTTGCGAGTGCAAACAATTTAACCAGGTCACGTGATATGAAACGCTGCCTTCGCAGTACTGGACATAGAAAGTGCAGGTGGTTACACACTCTAGGTGTTAGTAAGTAATCTTGATAGCATGGACCACTACCACCCCAACATGCACTTACACACATCCTCAACTACCACAGCAAAGACAGAACTGGTCCAGAATTAATGAATCCGTCCAGATGGAAGAGAGATGAAAGAGAGTCAGGCGGTGGCCAGAGTGTGCCGCAGGGCAGCAATATCCTGTTCCTCAGAGCAGAGCAGATGATGAAAAGGAGAGCCAAAAACGGCAGAAGGGAAAATCTACAATCTTCATGTGCAAGCAAAATAAATAAAAATCCGTAAGCACTGATGTCACTGTACGAATACAACTGTAGTACAGCCCAACTTGAAATCACATGAAGATGGTTATAATTCTAAAGTATGGCTCAGAAATAAATACTAGATATGCAATCGTATCATTACTCCAGGAAATAAATAACTGCAGAATTTGATAAGCCTCCAAGAACCAAATTTACCCAAAGAGATACTGGATTTCATATAATGCTGATTGAAAGTGGTCATGCCATTGTCTGTCTAGAAAAGAGCAACTCAGTCCAGCAACAAGACTGCACTGCTGTGGACATACGAGCTGTCATATTCCTGTACCACTCGGCCAGCAATAATGTCAAGGCAGCAACCCCATATCTAGCTCGAAGACATTGTCAAGCCAATCAGTTCCTGCGCATGTGAGGAAAGACCAAAATGCACTGACGACACGGCCACATGCAGCACTGTCGCAAAGTAAGCCTGAGTTGTTTTCAGTAGTGACAGCGGCGTTCGCAGTAACTGCTGATTCTGACAACAGGCTGCCGGCAGTCTACAGTCGGGTCTTCAATGCATCCACAAAGTCCGATGTTCCAGAATTACCTCCTAGGTCGGGTGTGTGAAACTGAGACTCCATGAGTAGGCCATTGACTACGTTCTCAATCTGCTCGGCGTACTCATCCAGGCGCAGGTGTCGTAGCATGCTTGCAGACGTCAGCAACATGCCAGCGGGATTGGCCGTGTTCTTGCCAGCTAGCTCATGTCCGCGATGGCGTGCACCAGGCTCAAACAGGACAATATCCTCACCCATGTTGACTCCAGGAATAACACCTGCACCGCCAACAAGACCAGCGCCCAGGTTACTGATGATATTGCCGTAAAGATTTCCCATTACCAGCACGTCGAACTGCTGTGGACGACTCGCCAACTGCATGCAGCAATTGTCCACGATCATGTCCTCAAACTCTATCAGTGGGTAATCCTTGGCAACATCCCGGCAACTCTGCAGGAAGAAACCGTCGGCAAGTTTCATGATATTGGCCTTGTGAACAGTCGTCACTTTGCGCCGGTTTAGGCGAGATGCCGTCTCAAAGGCAAACTTGGCAATGCGATGGGCTCCTTCGGCAGTTACCACCTTCAAGCTCTCCACAACACCTGGTACACTCTCATGCTCCAGACCACTGTATTCGCCTTCAGTATTTTCACGAATGATCACCATATCAACATCCTTGTGGCGAGTTTTCACACCTTGCATTGTACGACATCTCACCAAATTTGCGAACAAACCGAGATCCTTTCTCAGTTGCACATTGAGAGATCTGGGCTCTGCGAGGGATGCCGATGTGCTGATAATTCCTTTAAGACCTACCCGATGAGTTCGGAGAGACGTCTTAGCAGCTTCATAAGAGTCATTGCTACCTGTAATATTCTGCTCGTCGAATTCTACAGGGACGTTCATGTGCTGAAAGACATCTTTTACCGCAGACGACAACTCCGGGCCTACTCCGTCACCTGGAATTAGTGAAACGGTTCTCAAGCCAAAGGCTTTACGTGATAAATGTCTGACAGCCATTTAGCCCTCCAGCTTTCCCAAAGTCGCAGGCAAAGAGGTGATGAAAACAAAATCAAATTTATTACAGAAACGCCAAACGCACTCAGGAAATATTTTTTAGATCGATGATATGAGGCAAAAAGCGGAAACCACGTGTCAAAATGCCAAGTCCAGTGACTCCAGTCCAGATACGTCACGTGACTCACGTCAGGGAGAGGAAACAGCCTGAAACAAGGTGGAGGACACTGTGTTTCATGCTGTCAATCTAACAATATGCGTGAACTATAACAAGGTTTATCTAATACTAGTTTTGAACTAGTATTGGGTTATATAATACCATCTATCTAGCTTGTACGTGTTGTACCAATACAATCATGTCATGAAAATACAAAAGATGACCAAAAATGATAAAGTAATATCAAGAGTACTGGGGTTATGTACTCTTGGTAATATTGTTTGCGGGGAGAGGAAAAGACAGACCCACCGCGACCGACCCGTCCGTACCAGTGTAACGGGCGGGCGCCGGGGGGGGGGGGGGGGGGGGGGACTGTAGCGATTTCCGTAGCAGGTACTGAGGTAGGCTACAATGTAGACAATTATTTGGGTGCGACTCCCTGGTACGTAGTGCTGCTGTTGTTTTTGGTTAACAAATTCCCCGAGCCCGCATTGAACAAAAATAGCGCCCCATTTGTTGTGACTTTGAAAAACAGTAGAGGGAGGGGGGGGGGGGGGCTAATCTTGCGAGTATGGTACACAAAAACAGCATTTCGACCCGTATTTAGGGCGTGCGACGCCTTCGAGTACTAACCCCGCCAGTCAAAGTGACCGGCATGTACGCTGCGCTGAAAATTCCAACACGTTGGAATTTCCATTTCGGCGCGTTTCCGTACGCACGACACCCCAAAAGCCCAGCAAAAATACGCACAAACGCGTGGCTTCACGCGTACACGCGCCAGCTGGTAACACAGCTTAACTCAATCAGGCAGCCAACAAGCGAAACCCACTTCATGACCCCTCCCTGCCCATGTTGTCGGTTACATCAAACGTTCTAGCAGCCTGGTACACAAGCATGCAATCATCGCCGCAAAATTAAACAACTACATGTACATGTATTCACTCCGGACTGACTGCCCAGGGCTAAGCGGACCAGGGTGTTTTCTTGGTCAGTTCTTCGTATTGAAATGGCATTAACCCTGAAATGGCATTTCACCTTTCTGTAGCGCATCCTATCGATCACAGCTATTGTGCTCTACAGCATTGTTCCTCAAGATTCTGAGCTTTCTGTTTGTCTTTCTCTTTATCATCATCCTGGATGGCACAAGTGAAGTAGGCATCCCCGCTTACATCGCGATAGTGCAATATAATAATAATAATAATAATAATTAACTGGTTTGAGGGAAAGAGACAAACGGGAAAAGTCTGAAGAAAAAATTGACTGTCACCACCAGGACTCGAACCAGGGACCTTTGCTTGTAGCCAGCGATGCTCTAACCACTGAGCTATGGTGTAGTCGTCATCCCAGCAGAGCAATAATAATAATAATAATAATAATTAACCCTGAGTGACGTCTTGGGGTTTTCGGAGATGACCGGATGTACAACACAAATGTGCCCTACTGTTCGGCTGCACCCACATGGCGGATGGTAGCAAGAGACTAAGCAAACACCAATCCAGGAGGGGTTGTTGAAGAGTACCCCAACAAACAACATGGGATAGCACACACTGGAGGTGCGCCGCATCCACAAGCACGCACATTGGCACGTTAGCATGCATACGCGCTCGCACACTGCAACAGGAAGTCAGAAGTGGCAGGGAGCCGGGGACTATGCTGCAGGCTGCAAGGCGGAATTGTGCAAGCGCAAAGGAAACGAGACATGCATGCTAGTGAGATATGCCAGACACGGTGGACCTACATGAATGTATTTGCACGTGGATACTGTGCGCAGAAAGCAGCAGGGAATCGCACTGCACATCCATCACGGTCTCTGAACAAGTGCGGTCTGCAAATATGTGCAGAATACAATTATTTAAAAACGAAAAGCTAAAAACTATGGACAGGTACTATAGCCAGTGGAGGCACCAGGTGTTCATGCTACATGATGGAACGTTTTAAAAAAAGAAAAAAAGAGTTTAGCGAACACGGTACTACCTACGAATATAGACTACAGATAAATGGGTCGCCAGATAAATAGCAATGACGTTAGCGTATGTGCATGCCATGAGCACGTACTGGTAGTCGCTGTGGAGTGTATTTGACATGAACTACTCCACTCTTCAACACAAGCAGGTGCAACAGAATGGCGCTATGTTGGGGGATATGGGCAGGTGGCAAGCGATGAACGATTCGGTTTGATTGCTTGCACCAGTGCTGTGTTCTTTATTCGGATAAAACGCACTGTGCACAATAATATTCGGAACAGCCAGGTGCCTATTGACTATGCTGGCAATGAACTACATGTACACAATGTGAAAATACTTTGAAATATAGGGAATATTTTACTAGCGGGCTTGGTTGTAACTGGAGACCGGTGACACGACTATGCCTTGAATGAGTTCAAGTAACAAACACGAAAACACGCAGAGCATACCTTCGTGGCAATGAAGTGCTGTGCTGACGTGTTGAGAGACAATACGCCCTGTCTAGTCCAGTACCAATCTGCAGGCATGGCTATCGAGTGAACAGGCATAGTGCTTAGTGCCCTGCTCTGATCTACTAAATAGGTCGAGGCATGTTCATGATCGGATACAGCTGCACAGGAGAAAGACAGGAATGCAGACACAATATTTAATCAAGCTATGAACCCTTCGGGGAGGTGCCAAGAAAGAGAGCAAGATAATCGTGCACATCTCTTAGAGGTTTTCAAGCACATGTACGTGAATACGACAAGCAAAGTGAGGGTCCACGAGCGAACGCTCTTTTGTCTCAAAATGGATACTCGTACTTAGATTTTTTGACGCTCCTCCGCTCAACCTGGTATCATTCAATTCATGTAGAACATCAGTAAGAATGGCAGTGATCACTTTGTGCGAAGAATCTCACACCAGTCAGTGCCTCTATGCAGGGTACTGTACAACACGTTAGTTTCGGTGTAACTTAAATTTCAGTAATTTCGGTTGAGAAACCAGGCACCTACATTTAGATTACACCTAACTGGCACTGGAGTACGCACTGTATGTGCAGGGCAAGGTGGTCACCTAATTCTACACTAGGCCACACCAAGTTATTTTCTATGTTTCGCGTCACCGCGCGCGTACCTTTTCGAAAATGGTCGACAAAAAAGAAAGTACCCAGTGATTTTTTTAGCGTGCAAGCACGTGTGCTACACTACTAGTCACCAGTCTACAGGTGTGGCAAGCAAAATCCGACTCTTGCCATAGCATGTGATCATGGTGATAGGGGACAGCGCCACAAACGGACATCAGAGCCGTATGCATCCCAAACGGGTCGAAAGGTCACAGCGCAGACACACACACATGTACACAGACAGTTCACAGACATGGTACACGTAGATCTACATATCCAGTCTACCTCTCGAGTAGTCCCCGATCCCCATTTACTGTTGTGAGTAGTCCCCGATCCCCATTTACTGTTGTGAGTAGTCCCCGATCCCCATTTACTGTTGTGAGCACCTTGGAACCCTTGAGGGGAACCTTGACTACAGGACTGTGCTGAGTACGATGACTGTCATAAGACAGATAAAAGAGGACTTGTAGATCCATATCGCCACATGTCATTATGTAGAAGTCTTCTTGCACCGGGCCGGAGTCGTGTGGAGGGGCGTGGTGAAACACGGTCGAAGATTAGCATTAGCACCATGCACCGTGTTGGACTGTTGCCGTTTTCAGTTTCTTGACTACGAATCTGTCGATGGCTGTTCTACAACTTCTTGTGAACACCCTCTAGCTAGTAAGTCGTACGGTGCTCTAGCTAGTATGGCAGAGGTGATTACCGTATTATCTCTATTACAAGTGCAGTCTCTTGTAGAAGCCCAGTCTCTATTATAAGCGCACTCCATAGGGCTTCGAAGATATACAAGCGCAGTCTCCAATATAAGTGCAGGGCTTATAATGGAGAACTTTATGGATCATGTCCATGCATGTTCGACGTCACACATCACATAAACACATGCTGATTGCTGTGGTAAAAGTCTGTGATCCCCGAGATCTAAAGTTCAGACTCACTCAGTGTACCAGGAAGCACAAAACTGCAGTCCCGGTACCTGCTGGGAAACTTTGTGCTACTGATTATAATGAAAAATAATAAGCAATGTGCATGTACCAGGTGGTTGAAAAATCATAACCCCAGTCTCTTGTAGAAGCCCAGTCTCTAATATAAGCCCGGGGTCCGGACTGGTTGAAAAAATATAAGCGCTGGGCTTAGAATGGAGACAATACGGTAGTTTCTCCATAATTTTGGACTTCACCCGATGCCTGGACTGGTATGCGGAGATTGCGAGCGATGGAATTTCTTTCCAAGCCGTCCTGGAGGGCCTGCTCATGAAGCGAGCTGAGATCGCAGGGTTCAAGGACTCTGACACTCTCCAGGACGGTGATGGAGAGAAATTCCACTCGACTTTTGTGAAGGTGCAGAAGGAGCCGTCATTAAAGTCTGTTGCGGTGTCGCTCCAGCCGAGTCTGCCAGCTGTGGCGACTTGTCGTCGGTTTGGATAATATGTAACATTCCACACATCGCATTGTCCTCCACTGCGCCCCGAGCTGAACCCAGTGGACCACGGTGCGATGCCTTCGCCGTCTTGATGGCTGGGGCAGCGAAGTTTTCTTGCCAGAGCCGCGAGGATCGGAGGACAGGTATGTCTACGTCCATGAGCTCCAGCTTCCATTCGATGTAGAAATGGTAGGCTACAGCCGAGGTAGGAACCTCACAACTCTGTGGTGGTGCTGGCGTGTGGACGAGGCAGACCCAGACCGTACAACGGTTGCTGATTCTCTCAAGGGCAACATGGACAGCTACCACACCAGAGCAATGCGGTCTGCATTTGTGAATCGATACGGCCTACTGTCCGGCACTAGCCCCACCATACTAACCGACATGTACAGGGAACTGACCGGCGACTATTCTGTTCTTCCCTGCGCTGCCACTGCTGCTGTTCATGATCGCCTCAAGCTTGCTCTGGATGCGCAGGATCCTGAGCTGGTATTTGACCTCCAGGAGATGAATTCTGGTCGTCCAGAAACATACCAGACATTCTGGGATGCTGCAAAAGCGTTTCTGGAAGCTCACGCTATGCAGGCGGTCGATAGTCATCGCCATGGTACTGTCACGCATCTTGCTGCTGCCATTTCAACGAGCGACTTTGTGAAACAAGTCGCTGACATGCTACCAGATGGCACCCTCATCCCGTCTATCCAACGGGTGCAGTACCAGTTCTGCCAAAGCAACAAGTTCACGACTGCAGCCGAGCGCTACACTGGTCGACTAGATGTTCGTCAGTCAATCCAGTCCAGGCAGCTTAACCATGAGCATCCTGATGCTCACAATGCTGCTGCTTCCTTCCGCTATCTCCGAGAGTTTGCTATACTGCAAAGGCAATGTGCAACACTCGTGTCAATGGATGACAAACACCTGGTCAAGGTTGGAGAGCCTGGCTTCCCAGTCGCTGCTGTGGACCGTGGCAGATCAGTTGTGGTTGGTGCGGAGGAGTCCTTCCAAGTTGCTGACCATGACTTCACACAGGTCAAGGTAACACCATCTGTGTCTCTGGTATGTGACATCCCAAAGACCATTGAAGACTCCTTCTATAGCGGCAAGGTGTATGTTGTCCTGAAGAATACTGTGTTCCAGCCGTCCACACCGTCCACACCACTGCGCCACATGGCCGAGTTGAAGAGTGTCCTGGGCAAAGCCGGTGTCAACAGGATCGTGAAGCCAATCCTCCTGCTCTATACAGATGGCGGCCCAGACCATTGGACAACATATGTATCCGTCCAAACCACCCTGATATGCATCTTCAAGACTTAGTCGTTGGATTAGGATTATCTGGCGGCTATGAGAACCGCTCCATTGCAATCATTCCACAACATAGTGGAGCGGGTGATATCCATCCTGAACATTGGCCTTCAGTCCATTGGAATCATGCGCTCGGAGATGGCTGCGGACATGGAGAAGCTGGTGAAGAGCGCAAACTCGATTGCGGAGCTTCGATGGATAGCAGAAAACACCCTGCGCTGAATAAGGCACTCCTCCAGTCAGTGCAGACACCCATGGACCTGATGTCCTCCACACTGTCACGCCTCAGTCTGAAGGGTGAGCCGGTGACTGTGCTCCCAGCTGCTTCGCATGATTAGATCGATGAGATGTGGACCAACATGTCTTCTGTTGATGCCAGTGTGCAATGGGCTGAAACGCAGGCATCCATCAAAAATAAGCAGCAGCTGAAGGAGTTCTATGACCACTGCTGCAAATCCCGCCACTACTTCTTCACCATCAAGAAGTGTGGTGCTGCGGACTGCAATATCTGCGAACCAACTGTTCTGCCTGAGGATGTGTTCTCCTCGCTGGCCTTCTTCCCAGGTCCTATCAGGAAGCCCCGGTCGGACAGCTATCTGTCGTTCTCCGATGTCTGGGGCCAGACAACGACGGAGTGTCGTCCAGCAGCGGCTCTAATGGCCAACTGCAGGGAGGCGACCAAGGCTGGAGACATCCACCTGAAGTCAGAGACGGTGCGCAAGGCTGTAAACTGCAGTGAGTGTAGCAAGCCCCGCTGTGTATTCAGTAGCAACAAGCTGAAGCCTGGCCAGCTGTCAGCTCTCGAAATGGCCTTGGAGGATATTGACTTTGTGGAGCACCACTGCTACCCGACGGCCATGACCTCCACAGTGTCATTGTCGTGCGCCCGGGCATCACATGTGCAAGTGATGTGGAGCGCTCATACTTCGCATGCAAAAGGTTTGCTCCAACGTGCTATGTTTGTGGTACTGAGCCACCAATGCCGGTACCACAGGCCGATCAGGAGCGCTACCAGGTTGTCCACATGCCATGCATCCAGTGTGATGGCAAAGGTGGCAAGCCACGCACACGTGGAGCCCAGAAAGCCGGAGCTGTTGCTGCTCGAAAGCGCAAGCATGCTGGGGCAAAGGTATGAGTGGCTCCTCCGTGCACGTAACTGTTCACGAGTGCATCTCTTTCATAGATGTACATGTACATAGTTCATATTTGAGTGAGGAACTGATTACATGATTGCTACGATAAATACTGTATAGGCTGGAATACTGGACACGCTCCTGCCAGCATTTCTTGGTGCTTGACCTACTGTCTGCCTCTATCTATAACAGTGTTTACTATTATTCCTCCGGAATAAGAGCGTGTGCACCGTGTATAGCGCAGTGTTTTGTGACAGTTGAATAGTGCTACCCAGGGAGTAGTACAATACCGGGTATTGTACTACTCCCTGGTGCTATCTGTGTGCAACATGGCCATATATGGCTAAGTACCCATAGAATGGAGTTTTGTTTTTTATCCGTTTTTGGGTTTTTTCCGCCCGCCCGCGTACCTTTTCCAGAAAATTTCCGATGCGAAACATAGAATTAACTTGGTGTGGCCTTACGCCTGAAACCTGGCAGGTCCCAGGCACCGAAATTATACTACACCTAAAATTATATGTTATACAGTATCTATGTTACTCCCAAGAGTTCCAGCTTTGGTGTGATGTGCAGTACATTTCTTCCAGCTACACGTATACAGCACAGCTAGCAGCAGGGTGGCAGGTACCACTTACAGCAAGATGAGTGCAAGGTACAAAGCCAGCCTTGGAGGGATCATCTGCCAGCTCGGCCCACCACCATCTACCCTTGTCAGTGTCGTCATTGTCATTACCATCATCATCATCATCATCATCATCACTATCATCATTCCCTTGTCCGAACTTGATGTCTGTACGCTTGAGAATGCGCAGGCACTCGCCCACACCAAAGCGAAGCTCATCTGCTTCCAAGTCCTTGGTAAATTCCTCGAGTTCCTCTTCATTCTCATCGTCATCATCATCACTGCCAGCTCCATTGCCCGCCGCGTTGCCTTCCGAATCCGATGGTATCACCGGCATCAGGAAGAAATCTTTTCCATCGCCGTACGGGAAGGCTGCGTACACACAGCTGTCGTTGGCAACGCCAAGCCTTTCTTCTGCATCTGCGGAACACACAGGCACGGGCACAGAGACATGGACGGTCAGTGTCAGCTCACTTGATATTTGGGTACTTGGGGCCCTGTATCAAGAGGGGTGGGGGAGGAGGGATTGCCGAGACGGGGCGGAGATCCTATCTTCTCCGTTCCGGCAAAACAGAATGGGTCGGAAGGGAGGTGTTTTTGACAGCTGGCTGAGTAAGGCAACACAGTTGCTTTGTGTGGTGCCATCTACACAGTCAAATTTTATCCTACTTCAAGACAGTAGCAACAGCTGCTGGGATAGTGTGCAATGCGTTGTACACAGTCAAATTTTATCCTACTTCAAGACAGTACTCAGTAGCAACAGCTGCTGGGATAGTGCACAATGCGTTGTACATAGTGCCTACATGCACATACACATAGAAGACTACACCCTATCCAGGGGTGCATCTCAAATTGTTATCACTATTTTTACAGCTAAAGCTGTGTTCACAACTGGCGCGTGGACGCGGTACGCTTGCGGTTCATGCGTGCCCAAACGCGCGCTCAGGCTTTCACAAAAAAACAGCAATCAGAGTCGTATTTAGCGCGCGCGACACCTTCGAGTACTAATATTTTGACCCCGCCAGTCAAAGTGACTGGCATGTACGCTGATACGCACCTGATACGCGCTGAAAATTCCAACATGTTGGAATTTCCATTTTGGTGCGTTTCCGTATGCATGGCGCCCCAAAAGCCAGCAAAAATACGCACAAACGCGTGGTTTCACGCGTACACGCGCCAGTTGTGAACACAGCTTAAAGGGGAAGTATAAGTAAAATCAAATTTTCACCAGTTGTAGTCTTCGTGGTGCTGAGTCGAATGGTCTTGGTCCGAGGACGCTGAGACGCTCCCTTCCTCCTTTATTCCCAATTGAACTCGCGCACTTCCACCGAAACTGGGTGACTGCGCCCTACTAGATAGGGATTTGTATGGAAAAAGTCACTAAAAACGCCGTTTCGTTCTTATAAAAGCACGGATGACCGGGATTGGTCCATATGTTGTAGTCTTGTGGCCGCTGAGTCGACTGGTTTTGGTCCGAAAAGGCTGCGATGCAGCGTTCGGCCCTTATTCCCAATCGAACACGGTTGAGTGAGCGTCACGTGCCTGCAGAGTACATTTTTCACATCAAGATTCAACTCAAAGGTTCAAAGTAGGGAGTCATAAGAGGCTTTTACGACTCCCTGGTTCAAAGGTTCAACTCGAGTGACATAAACGGGCCCAAACAGGCTGTAAATGAGCACGTGACCGCTTACTCAACCGCGTTCGATTGGGAATAAGGGCCGAATGCTGCATCGCAGCCTTTTCAGACCAAAACCAGTCGACTCAGCGGCCAAAAGACTACAACATATGGACCAATCGCGGTCATCCGCGCTTTTATAAGAACGAAACGGCGTTTTTAGTGACTTTTTCCATACAAATCCCTATCTAGTAGGGCGCAGTCACCCAGTTTCGGTGGAAGTGCGCGAGTTCAATTGGGAATAAAGGAGGAAGGGAGCGTCTCAGCGTCCTCGGACCAAGACCATTCGACTCAGCACCACGAAGACTACAACTGGTGAAAATTTGATTTTAGGGTATACTTCCCCTTTAACACGTATCCCGTGCTCTGGATGGCAGTCGTGAGTCAGTCAAGTGCCAAGTCAAGTCGGCGGAAAAGCGCGACCTCCGGTGTTGGGAGCAAACACCTTTCCTAGCCAACCATCTTAAATGTACACACAGCATAACGGATAGTAAGAGAGGCTGGGCATAAGGACAAAAACAGACTACGAAAGTCTGTCCAGAGGGAGATGGTCAGGTGTCCAGAGAAGGTTGGGGACAGATTTCCTGCGATTATGAGGATAGTTAGATATGGCATGGATGCGCACGCTGCCGGAAATGTAGAGGTCGTATTATCCCAAACACATGGTACTGGGCATCTGGCCAAAGGAATCCAGTTAGGTGAGGTTCAACAGTACTTGTGCCACGCTTCTTACCTCGCAAGAGAGCAATGACATCGTCGTAGATTTCAGGAGTGTCGGATGACGCTTTGCTGTCCAGAGCAACTTCCAGGGGAGTCATGCCATCAGCGGTGGGTGTCAGCACAGCACAACCACCTTCCAACAGCACCTTCAACACTTCTATATTACCCTCGCTTGCGGAACAGTGCAGAGGTGTCCTGTAAGAAACACACAAAGAGTAGGTGATGCCGCATACGAATCACACACGCACACACGCAAGCACACACACACACACACACACAATTCTACTCCAACCCCGAGGCAGGACAGTGCAGCAGCAGCAGCAGAGACAGACGCGCATTGCTTAACTTAAAATAGTTTTCTAATCGTCTAAGGCACGGTGCAGCTTTGTGATAAGCCTTTGATCAGCCTTTGATCAGATTGCGTGAACTCCGTTTAAATTGGAGTCGAGTAGCGGTCATGCCATGAAAAGGCAACAGGGCATGAAGAAATAAACTAGTGCGTTTCAAAAGTATAGACCTCTAGACTTTTTCAAATATTTCAAATTTGGATTGAGATTTTTGAAAAAAATTCTTCGGGACTTTGCTCGGACAATTTTCGCAATTTTTCTCACGATGAAAAGGTGCAAAATATCCTCAATTTATTTCACTAAATCTGCTAAATTTGGCCGAGTGCAGAGTTCACCAACGGTTTTTGTTCTCAACGCCACTGAGAACGCGAAAGTAGAGACTTTTGAAACGGACTATAGTTTCTAAGTCCGTGCAATTAATTGGGCCACATCAACTTTGGCCGAACAGCACCGGGTCCAGACATTGAATTAAACTGCAAGTAAAGTACATGCGACATTGCAACCATGCATACACTAGTACAGTACTAGTATCCGAACACAGCAAGAGCCTTTCCCAGTCAAAGCAGCACATGTAGGTAACTTACCACCCATCGCCGTCGATTGCATTGGGATCGGCACCGTACTGGAGCAGGAAGTCTACACAGTCCTTGAAGCCATTGACGGCTGCCGAGTGCAAGGCTGTCACAGCATCCTTACCACCAGCACTGATACTACGAACCTGCAGTGTGCAAGAATACAGGAACAAGAAAATAAGTGGTGAGGTGGGGGGGGGGGGGGGGGGGGGGTGGGGGGCTAGACGGACTACAGTATTGGCAATGACTTCAGAACTCAGATATTGACACAAGAAAACCGTAGAGCCTGCGCATGAACGAATGAATTAATCGTAGTGATCCCCACGGAAAACCATAAAATGCAAAATTCAATATTAAAATGTATAGCCTGGCCTAAAACAAAATTTTTATGTTCTCAAGGGTAGTGTGACACATCCACTGCCTTTGAAGGAAGTGCCCTTATACCAAAGGGGAGACAGGGCCATCGCATATTGCTTTAGCTAAACCCCAGCCACTTACATTCTCCACTCAACAGTGAAACTACCGAGAATTAGACTCAATAGAGAGGTTCCGCACAGCGTAATTACGTTCATAAAATTTTTTTTTTTTAAATAAAACGTAATCGATCTACGGAAAGTCTTACGTACACTGCATGCGGACCCGTGTTCCGCCATACGTAGTACGGAGTGTTCGAATCATGTAGCTGCCCTTGGCAACTCCAAACGCGACAGTGTACAACCTAGGGAGAGAGTCATAGATGTATATCCCGATCCACTTCCGACGCACCACCGCTAGTAGAGCTTCATTTACGTACTCTACGTAGACAACTTTCCGTATGTGGAGTGCAAACTCGCAAATTCACGGGTTTTCCCGCCCACTTATGTAAAGGTGCTCAACTTTACAAAGTGCAGAACCTCATTAATATCCAAAGTTTCAAGCAGCAGGAAACATAGCTAACATTAAAACCCTTCATACTACGCAATATTGATATTTCTGACTGTTTTGAACTGGCTCTAGACAAGAAAAAATGGCTGATGCTTGGGGAAAAATGTGCTGCGCTTGCGTAGTTGTTCTCACTGCGATATGTTCTAACAATATTGAGATGCCTTTTGTTGGCTCTTCTGCCTGGATTTCGTTGACAGATGCGTTAAGCCCATGGATCCTTCCATGAGTGACATGCGAACTGTAACTATTATTATTATTATTATTATGATATTATACTACGTTACGGTGCAAGCCTGACCTCCAAAGCAGCCATTCTCATAGCCGCCAGTTCGCCGAAGAAGGCAGCGTCCAGCAGCACACAAAGAGGATCCAGTTGCACACCTCTCCGGAGGTCGGCTGGAATCCTAAGACCAGCCCAAGAGCACAGACACAAGAAACCAATCAATACACAATTGCACAGCAAAGCAGGAGAGGAGAGAGAGAGAGAGAGAGAGAGAGAGAGAGAGAGAGAGAGAGAGAGAGAGAGAGAGAGAGAGAGAGAGAGAGAGAGAGAGAGAGAGAGAGAGAGAGGCGGGCACCCACAGACCAACCAGGACTATCTCTTAATTTGCTGGCCAAAAATCCTATATATAGGATTTGAAAATGTGTGCCTTTTATGCCGTTGTTATTGGTCATCACGACCAATAATAACGGCATAATGGTTTTCATGGAAGTTGTAAATATGTTTGAGGCATGAATGTTTACATTTTAGATTCATAGGGCGATAATATTTCTGATGAATACCCATTTTCAGCAATAATTGGAAATTTGAGCATAATAATATTGTTCAGCTGCTGTCATGGAAAGGACTGAAGCAGTGAATGTGCAGAAGAACATTGCAGGTGTGGCACGGGGTGGTTTCATGATGACATATCGCACATGCCGTCATGAAACTACCAGTTTTAACCCTTTATTACCGGATTACTTGCACAGCATGCACCAGAATTACGAATTTCAGCACAATTTCCAACTTCACCAGGTCATAACTTTGGTCTCCTTCACTTGATTTTCACAATCTAGGGCTCGTTGGAAAGCTCTTGGCGGGAGCAACGCCAGGGTACCAAGCTCCATCATCCAGTCGCCACAAATCCGGCGCGGTAACACAGCAAAGTCCTCTCCAAGCCTGATATGCAAGCAAATTCGTCCCATCAACGCCATTCCACTCTCCTTCATCGCAGAACCCTCAAATTTGTTTGAGACGATTCAAACTTCAGCCGACTACGTCATTATCATGTGCTTAGTCGCTCAAAGAGCACACGAAAAGGGATTTCCCCCAAAAATGGCGAAGTGATCGATCAAAAATTTGAATTTGCCGAGATGAGAATACGGCACGCGATATCTCTGGGGTCCGACATCGTAACTCTTCGGCGATTGTTGCATTGGATAGCTTGGAGTTTCCGCTACCAAATAGACCTTTCGATTGTTGAATTCGCACAAGAAATGATGGAGTTACGAAGGTATTACTGGCCTATAGAGTTTCGATCATATATGATCGAAAGTCTGCAGGCCGGTAATAAAGGGTTAAGGTTAAAACAAGGTCCAATAAAATCTCAAATCCTATATACATGTAAAGGATTCGAAAAATAGGGCACAGGCCTTAGTAATATTGAGCAAGGAGATGAGCCTGAGATTTTAGTGTTTAAAAAAATTATCTTATTCAACTCTCGATATCTACTAAGACCTAGCAAGGAAGAATTGGTCACATACTTTTTGCTATTCTCATGCCACACTCAAAATGCACCCCAAGAAGGGGGGGGGGGGTTGCGGCCTACATTCTGATGATCAAATTAATGGCGCACTAGCCAGTGGCTAGAGCGTGTTAGCGCCGCATGAACACCTGCCAGCTGGCAGCTTGATTACACTAATCAATCACGCAGATTCACGGCGCTAATCTACAGCGCAGCTCCGAAATCGCGCCAAGAGAGGTTGCAGCTCACACCTAGTGTTTCTTCTGCTCCAAACTTTTCCCACGTGCCTTGCTTTGAGTGTTGCCTTTGTGAAAGTAGAGTTCACTGCTGTTGCCTGGCTTTCACAGTTTTGCCCCTAGCTTTTTCTTCCCCACCAACACCCACCCTATAGCTGTTGCTCTACGTGCCTCTGTATTGCCACTTTACATACATAAGTCGTTCGGAATGTGGCTAAGTGCGAACAACTACAGCTTGCTATCGCCTATCTGCACTGCAATTATCTGCGCCCATGAACGCGCGGTCTATGAAAGTGTCTTTCCATAAACTCCTCAGAGAGAGCAGCGAGGGGCTACGGCACAGACAAGGAAGAGGTTCATGGGATATACGGGTGCACTACCACAACACCTGAGAGTCAAACCCAGCCTCCTTTCACACACTTGTGAATTATAAGCATCTGTCACCAGGTGTCACCAGGGTTAATGGAGGTATCGTTGACGTGGATACTTTTTTAAAATTTTGAGGTCTCTTGAAATTTCAAGTGACGCAAACGTCAAACTGACTAACTTGGTTTCCACCAGTCCACTCCCAGTCCTTGTAATTGTTAATATTTTGTGGTCCAGCAAAGTTTCCCCCATATTACAAGGTAACACGGCCACAGACCCACGCAAGACAACAGCAGAACCCCCCCCCCCCCCCCCACATCAGCAGAGATTCACACACCACCAAGCACACTATGTACGTACTCGGGTGACTTATTGCCTTCTTTGTCGGAAAGACGTCTCTTTAGAATCGACTTCACAGGCTTTACAGCAGCGGGAGGCTCGGGCACGGCCTCTTCTTCATGGGGCGTGGTTGCACGACTGGCACTAGAACCTTCGTCATCGGACTCGACGATACATTCTAGGGGCTGCGTAGGTGATATGACAGTGTCCCGGCCTGAATCAAGCCGCGCAACAGGCACAATGCTCGGCTCAACCGCCTCGTGACTGCCGCTCGTGTCCATAGGGGTCCCGGGGGAAAGCAGTGAGCTGGAGTCATTTGGAGATTGAGATGACATTGGCGAGGCCATCGGCACTGGAGACCGGCTAGTAGATTCCGCCACGGCCGTCGGTGATGTCACTGTCATTGCTGACCCAGATGATGTTGGAGACACAATGGCACTGCTATCACCAGAGCCCAGTGAAAGCAGTGAGCCGGCTGAGGAGGCCGTCTTACGTCTTACCACACCAGAGGCTAGCGTCTTAACGTTGGGCCAAACAGAACCTCCAGGGCCTGAACATCAGAAATTGCAGACAACCATATGTACACACACATACACACACGTACACATATACGTACATGTACGTGCACACACACACACACACACACACACGCACACACACACACACGTGCACACACGCACATGCACACACGTAAGGTTAGTTGCTAAGCAAACACAGCCCAACTGGCTTGCATGCATTCAAACAGGTTGGTAACACCTCATCGCAAGCATTACACTACCACCATGGCTAAGAGAAACAATTATGACTACCCCGTGAGCCATAACACGGCGACGCTTTACGACATGAACGCTGCAAAGCGGAGTTCACACTATTTTGATTACAGTTTTGAAATATAAAAATTAATAGTGTAGTCGTACACCGTCGCTTACTGCTTGCTTCTATCTGAAGAATTTCATTGCTTCCACCACTTCTATTCATGTTTCTAACGTGGGCTAGGGAATTTCTAATTATTGTTGAAAGTTGGAAGGGAGCTGAAAGCTGAGGCGAGTGAATAGTCCTGACATGAAAGGAAACAACATTTGATTTCTAAGGGGGTACTTATCGAATTTTTTACAACCCTACATGTTAATAGATCCCAAACTACCAGATAAGAATATCATCTTCCCAATGTAAATAACCAGGAAAGAATTCCTATAGAAGTTTCCGTGGGGAGTGCTCCACCTTTTTAAATATGACCAGCAGCAGAAGCAAACATACGATGGGGAGAAAGAAAGTACACACCAGCCACTTCACTGCAGCCACTGCCTTGGGCTTGACCAAGCACAAATGGCACGGACATCCTCGACAACAACTTACCTGTTGCGTGCTGCTGGCGATCTGGCACAAGTCCATCGCTGTTAGAGCGCGTGAAAGACGAGTCGGAGTGCAGCGGACTGGACGAATCGGTGCGCATGGAGCGGATGCTGGAGCGGGCAGAGAACGAGCCGGGCCTGCCGGATCGACTGAACGAGCCGTACTCGCTGGATGAGCGCCTCAGCGAACCACGGCGTCCGGTGATAACCGAGTCAATGTGAGAGATGTGACGCACAGGAACACCGTCGGCAAGTTTCACATTGCTACCGTGGCCAAACGTTTCCGATACAACGGGCAGCAGCTCGGAAGCGCCGAGGTCGGGAACCATTGGTTTGGAGGAGCCAGCACCGTCCGTTTCAGTCGCACTACTGAGCAGGGAGAAAGAAGCAGAAGAAAGAGAGAATGGACAATGAACAGTAGTGAGTAGACTAGATCCTCTGTCAATAAAGAAGGTACAGTATAACAGACTGGACCGGACAGACTGGCTCCGTGTTCACTGAGTGGGTTCAACTATATATTCTGGACACAGGCCTGAAACCCTCAAATGAGCAGAATGGATAATGCATGATGTAAAATGCGTCGCACAAATCGTAAATTCTCTTCCCAGATCGCTTAGGGCAAAGCGTGAAAAGAGATCACGTTTTTCCCTCCTTGTACAGATAAGTCAGACGCACGCAAGGCAGGAGAGAGAGCGTCCTTAAAATGTGAAAAATATGATGGAAGATGGAAGAAATTCTACTTTTACTTCAGAACTGTTTCAACTTTCAAAACCCGGCCTGATGCATACAGGTACACATACCTACATGTGCCATTACCAGGATGGCTCTGTGATAGACAACAAGTCCATTGCACGATGACATAGCTTGGACCACCAACACCACACACAGTACGTGTCGCAGGTGTTGAACAGTGCACTCCTTTTCAGGCCGATTCGTACTTCATTTCGCGTACGGGAAAATCATCGCGCAATCATCGCGCGATGGGCCAAACAAGTTGAGCTCAAGTCAACTTTCGCGATGAGACGCACTTCCTGTACGCGAACCGAAGTATGAATCAGGCTTTACACCAGCATACTCACATGCATCACTCCAACATTCCATATTCGGCAATGTGCAGAAGCCGTGTTGTCTGACACAGCGTATACAGTACAGTGATTGGTAAACACCACAACGTCTCCATACATGCATGATTCAGCCCAATGAGCAACGTACAACTAATCCCTACTGAGCAGTGCAGCACCAGTGTGAACTGACCAAGCAACACTACTCACCCAGCACTACTGACAGTGTGAACTGACCAAGCAACACTACTCACCCAGCACTACTGACAGTGTGAACTGACCAAGCAACACTACTCACCCAGCACTACTGACAGTGTGAACTGACCAAGCAACACTACTCACCCAGCACTACTGACAGTGTGAACTGACCAAGCAACACTACTCACCCAGCACTACTGACAGTGTGAACTGACCAAGCAACACTACTCACCCAGCACTACTGACAGTGTGAACTGACCAAGCAACACTACTCACCCAGCACTACTGACAGTGTGAACTGACCAAGCAACACTACTCACCCAGCACTACTGACAGTGTGAACTGACCAAGCAACACTACTCACCCAGCACTACTGACAGTGTGAACTGACCAAGCAACACTACTCACCCAGCACTACTGACAGTGTGAACTGACCAAGCAACACTACTCACCCAGCACTACTGACAGTGTGAACTGACCAAGCAACACTACTCACCCAGCACTACTGACAGTGTGAACTGACCAAGCAACACTACTCACCCAGCACTACTGACAGTGTGAACTGACCAAGCGACACTACTCACCCAGCACTACTGACAGTGTGAAGTGTAGTGGTAGACTGTCCTTCTGCATCCAAGTCCTCCTCCTCCTCCTCGGGCTGCTTGGGTATAGTTCCCGAGCTCATAGGAGTAGTAGTAGTAGTGGTGGATGTTGCGATGGGGACAGAGTCGCACGCTGTTGCTTGGGGAGGAGACCTGCGCACTCGCTTGCGGTCCGATCCCTCCGCGGGACCAGTTACGTCCATCTCACTGCTAACATCGTCAGCCTGTTGCTTGCCTTCCTGCTGGCGCAGCAGCTGAACATCGCTGGTCGTCTTTTCCACCGACTTGCGCACACGGCCTAGCTCCTCACGCTTGGTGCGCAGAATGGATGTGTTGGCCTGCAGCTCCTCGCTTTGCGCTTCCCGCTTCTCCTGGCAATCCTGCGACAAGATGGACCAGCACCAAAGAAAAAAAGAAGAAAAAGAACAGACCCCCTTGCTTGAAGTTGTTATCACATAATGTATGCACTGGTACACTGAGAGACAAAAGCACATGTACTCGGTGAATTGCTATTTCTGGACATTGTACATTTCTGGACATTTCGAGTAAAATAATTTTTCGTCGCGTGTAGAGTCAAGTCAGTCAGGTTGATGAAGTTTTTTCTTGTTGTAGTTGACAGCTGGGCTGTTGTAGTTTCTCCTCGTGTCGGTGCCTTGTTGATAGCCTTTTCTTGGGAGGCATTTCAACGAGTTTTGTGGTACTATGTCGCATGAGAATTTTGAATTTTGAGTAAAATAAGAAGTAATGGACGAATTGTTGGCTTCCCCATGTGCACTTCACTTCAGACGCTGTATAGTCTTGGACCTGTTAGCTGGAAGTGTGAAGAGGCCAACTGCAGTCCACCAATAGAAAAAATAACAAAAAATGGTGCAGTATAGGATGCCTATTGACGCTATTTTACTTTCATGTCCAGAATTCGATACACTGAAATTTAGGCCAAAAAATGGCCTGTCGAAAACATCCTGCTATAAAGTCTCTGGGATCACAGCATGAGCAATTGTCACATATTTGGAAAGATGAAGGATTAAGCCATACAATAGATACAAAAAGATATGAAAAATGTAAAACACACAGCCAGTGGGCCTCTATTTTATTTTCATGTCCAGAAATTGCTATTCACCTCGTACTCGGTGAAAGACATGCAAGCACCCCATCTCACATTGGCAATTTTTTATTGATCCGGTTTCACCTGAATGGCTCCCCAGGGAATTTTGAAGAAATCAAGTCAAATTGTGCCTTTCGAGACCAATTTGTGGGTGGTTCAGGAGCAAAAAGAAGAAGAAAAAGAAATCGGCCAGAATATTGGTCGGGCTCTGATGCCCATGATAAGTAACAAGTACTTCTGCATGGGTGCCGCTGTGTATGGACGCACCAACATCACGGCAGCGGTGATGGGGAGGGTCTGCAAGGACGCAAATTTAAGTCCGACCCTGAACGGAAAAGCTGGCACCCTGGACCAGTTCCGACTACATCTGTACTGTATGTGTACACGTGTGCGTCCGGCAGCATCCGTACAGCTTACAGGGGGGGGGGGGGGGGGGGGGGGGTCAAGAGGCGTGCAAGTGTGGGGCGCCAAATATGTACTTACCGTATTATCTCTAATATAAGCACAGTCTCCAATAATAGCACGTCTCCAATAATAGAACACCTTGGGGCGGTATTCAAAAAAATAAAGTGCTCAGTCTCCATTATAAGCACACTGTGTAAATTCATTATCTGTACCGGCGAAAAAAACCCTGAAATATGTGTGTCTGACATGAATTTGGCATGGCAACATGCCTCTGAAATGAGGTTGAAATAATAATGGAACAGTCTCCAATAAAGGAACGTCTCCATTAATAGCACGGGGCGGAGGCACATTGAAAAAATAAAGGACCGTGCTTATATTAGAGATAATACGGAAAGAGTCTGGATTCCACCTAGCACACCTGTAGCAGCTGCTGGACACGTGTAGACTACAAGACTAGTACTAGTGGGTGCGTTCGATTTCGCCCATGAATCGATTCATGAATGGAAGCTGGCACGTTGAAGTCGTTCGATTTTCATGTCATGACCTCTGGAATCGACTCATAATCGATTCATCATATTCTCATGGGGTGATGAGAATAGCCAGGGGTAATTCATGAATGGATTCAAAATCAACTCGTGGGCAAAATCGAACGCACTTAGTAAGTGCCCAACACACAAAGGTAAAAGCCATCAACCAATCCAGGAATTCCTGCTATACCTTCAGTTCCCGTCTTAGCCGATCACGTTCCTGCTGAAGGCCAGCAATATCAAAACTCGGCTTGGGGACTGATGATGACGTTGATGATGATGACGACGCAACATCGGGCTTAGAGACTGATGATGTCGACGATGACGCAACGCCAGGTTTTGATCCTAATGAAGTTGACGATGATAATGAAGCACCACGCTTCGAGGCCAATGCTCCTCTTGACGATGATGAAGGCACTACGCTTATCGCTCCAGTACTTATGGCTGCAGTGTAGCGACCTCTGGCAGCTATTTCTTTGCACTGCGCCAAGCGAGTGCGCATTTCCACCATCTGCTGCCGTATTGTGTCAATTTGTTGCTCATGAGAGGAACAGACCGAGACGAGCTTATCCACTTCATGTTCTACATGTATACGCACATATGCACACACACACACACACACACACACACACACACACACACACACACACACACACACACACACACACACATATGCACACACACACACACACACACACACACACACACACACACACACACACACACACACACACATATGCACACACACATATGCACACACACACACACACACACACACACACACATTTTCACAACCACACACACACACACACACACACACACACACACACACACACACACACACACACACACACACACACACATACATGACAAAATACACATGTGCACCTTCAGTACGCCACCTTTGATTGCAGTTGGCAACTACAACTAGAGTACCACTCATGCTTCTTGCCAGTATGACTGATATTTGACTGACTCGCAACTGCCATCAGGATCACATGGAGTGTGATGGCCCTTCCGTCTGGCAAACTTGCAAGAAAGCACCACTTCCTGCTCAATAACTTACAGCATTTTGAGCAGTTCACCGCTCATCAGTAGAGCTTGAGTACGCCAGTGAAAAGCATTTCCGCAAGAAGGGTGAGCTCCATGTTGACAGCAGACAAACTCTTCACTCTTTACCGCCAAGTCGCTACTTCTAAGTTTGTATTGTTAATTGGAGAGTTTGCAAAAATCAGTGACTTTGACCTGATCTTCCTTTATAAAGTGTTTCTTCAAGATTACTCAACTTTTCAATCAACTTGTCAACTTCCCAAAAAATATCTGGAATAGATTGAAGTCTCTATTCAGTGTATTCACTCACCTGCCCGTTTCCGGTTTTCATTGCACTGGTCCAGCTGATCCCGGAGTTTCCGTACTTCCGCCTGCGGGGAGCTTCGCAGGCGCTTGGCAATCGAGCTTGCGTACGATGAAGCGGTCGAGATCGGTGCGGTGCTGCTCCTCTGGTCTGCCTGCATGGGCAATAGGAACACGTGCACAGGTCCTGATTATGAACCACACTACGCGACAACAAACAACACAAGTGCAAAGATGCGCACCGGCATACCGGTAATCAAGAAGGCACTGCAAGAGTTGACGGGGCACAAAGTAAAAAATAAATAAAAGGTGTTTTAAAATGAGAAAAATCCACCGTTAAATCCACCGTTAAATCCACCGTTAAATCCACCGTTAAATCCACCGTTAAATTACTCAAGAAACGTTACTAATGTGCTATTCCTTCTCTCCTTTGTACTAGAGAAATAAAGGCGTCAGACTTTCAACTCCTACAGTACCATACTGAAGCATATTGATTCTGGACTGCACTCGGTGCAGATCACTACATTCCGACTGAAAGACGAGCCAAGGAGGTGCTACCTTGAACGCTGCTCTAAGTTTCTAAGTTCTAAGTTTGCACACTAAATCCTGCTTCCAACTATAAGCTAGGAAGAACATCACGAAACGTGCCATTGACAACAGAGAGGGTTCAGTGACTCGTTGTGTGAACTCGATTTTTCTCTGTGCTGTACTGCAAACAGGAACAGTCCTGCCCCGGCTATGCGAAAACGTTTAGGCAAGCTGTGTTGAATCGCCCTTATATCCCCATACTCCATAGTGAAGCCCCAGGCATTGTGTCTACATATATTATTTCAATGTGTATACTGTACTCGCATTGCCAGCAGTGGAGCAAGTGTACATGTACATACATAAAACGCAATGCACTAACCAAGACACTCAAAAAGGCAATCGAAAATCCGCAAGACCGCATACCAAAGATACAACAAAAATGTACGCGGAGATGTACAAAAACGCACCTACTGTAAGACATGTTATTATAACGAGTCGCAAATTTAACGATTGTCCAAAATTCATAGGTTAACGAGAAGATATATTAACGATCTTGCAGTATTCTGCCATATCCACACACAGCATATATGAAGCAGTACGGCCTCAACGGATCTTATTATAACGAAGAAATGTCATCCGTTAAAACGTTAGATTTGCTTCCTCGTTATATATACATGTCTTACAGTATGTGGGTTCAGATAACCGAGGTACAGTACAGGTACATGCATTCCCTATTCAGATAGGTCTGTATTGTGAAACATACCACACTTCCTTTTTCGGACAGGCTGCGATTTCAGAGCTTCTTAGCTGTTACGAACCAAACAGCCCTGGTTCGTGAAAAACAAATTCGATCTACCAGATCTCAACGAGACTCTAACCCAGACCCAACCCGATGACTCATGCGTGTTAAACACACGAGACGCCGACCCTCTCTAGTGTGTGAAAGAAGTCAAGCAGACAAACATGTACATGTAATACCTGGTTTGATGGTGTGCGAGAAGTTGAAGAAATTGGCCGGCGAGGTGAAGTCCCTGGCAACAATAGTGGCAACAGCGATGGCAACCACAACAGCAGCAGCAGCAGCAGCAGCAGCAAAACGTCGGAAAGAAAATCTTGAGAAATTGTCCAAGGAATTGATTATAGCGGCTGTGTCTGTTCAGTCTTTCTCTGACAAGGTCTGATTGTCAGACTGATATACACTCAAACGTCTCTTATCCGGGCACCTTGGGACCGGGCACTGCCCATATCTCAGATTTGCCCGTATCTCAGAATAACTCATCTACTTACATAGGCTCGCAGTGAACACATACAGGGAAAAAGTAAAAGAAACCAAATTCGAAGCATTTGTGCTATAGGAACTCAAGCTGAAGGTGCCCGGTAGAGAGACGTGCCCGTATCTGAGGCGTCCGGATAAGGGGCGTTTGAGTGTATTACGTACCACCTGAGTTTGCCTGGTAACACAAGCATTTCCATTGAAGTTCCAGCGGTCAAGAGCGAGCTGCCCATCCACAGTATTGAGTATTTCTTCCTACTCCTTCCTGACACCAGCCACAAATTCTGGCTCAAACACAAACAAAAAAGTCATCAAAGTGACTCACCATACTCGTGGACGACTAGCCAGCTGACAATGCACGACACTAATCAGCAGGTGTGCGTGTGGGGGGGGGGGGGGGGGAGGCAGTCCCGGAAACTGAACCCCTAGATCACAGTTCTACGTAGCTACACATACCTAGATAGCTGGTGGACAGGGGCGGCGGTGGACCAGGACTTACTTGATGGGGTCTGCAAGCGTGCACTTCGCCGAAGCGGAGAGGTAACCGCACTCCGACCGCTGCCTTGCCCCTTTTCCCTGTACAGAAACTGGACTTCCGGGTTAGAGGCACCCCATTGTCTCATAAGATCCGCCGGCAGCTCCGACTTGGCTACAGTGCGCTCTAGAGGAACATAACATAACAGTAGACACAGAAGAGTTATACAGATAACGTATCTGTGCTCAGCTGCCTTTTGAGCAAAGCAGATGTCTTGGTCATCTTTGCTACTAAGCCACTGATCTGTGTTGGGAGTTAGGAACATTCCATTTATTAGATTGCATACTGTATCTCATTGTAAGTTACAGGTGCCACGGCCTGCACAGGGTGTCCAACCGTCCTGCTTAGGACCAAAACAATTAACATTCTGTACATTTACATGCGAGACAATTGCCTTTGTATACATCATGTTATATGCGTCCTGTTTTGGCACTTGCCAAGGTTGTACAGACTGCCCGCATCCAAACCTAGCAACACAGGCACGACGCTGAGAGCACACCACAGGCCCAGTGTACATGATGTGTGTGTGTGTGCGTGTGTGTGTGTGTGTGTGTGTGTGTGCGTGCGTGTGTGTGTGTGCGTGTGTGTGTGTGTGTGTGTGTGTGTGTGTGCGTGTGTGTGTGTGTGTGTGTGCGTGTGTGTGTGTGTGTGTGTGTGTGTGTGTGTGTGTGTGTGCGTGCGTGTGTGTGTGCGTGGGTGTGTGTGTGTGTGTGTGTGTGTGTGTGTGTGTGTGTGTGTGTGTGTGTGTGTGTGTGTGTGTGTGTGCAGAGCTCGTCTATGATGTACACTGTGGAACCTTCCTTGTCCAAACTAGTGCATGTGCTTAATTTCCTGACGTATTGAGCTTTTCTGGTAGATAGCACGGCAGTAAGCTCTCGAGCCTTGACCAGTAGCGTGCGCACATGCACACACACACACACACACACACACACACACACACACACACGCACGCAAGCATGCACACACTTACACACACACACAAATCACAATGTGAAATAGAGGATATTGTAGAAGGTGAAGACGATGAAAAAGGTTGAGCGCAAATGGCATAGTTGCTTCGTTATTGGCTGTTTCAGATTCTCCTTCACTGCTATGCTTCCTAGCACTTTGCTGCATGCGTCTTCTTGGTACTAGAAAAGTTCACTGAGTACTTGATAAAGGTAACATAGCTGCTTTCTTGTGAGTTTTGTACACGTGCTACTGTTCCTCTTGTTCACACAATATCGTCTTCGCTGTATCGAATAAAATCAACTTGCCTAGCTCTTCGCTGCTCGTGAGCGATCATGAGAGCGTTCAGATGTTTCACCTGTGTAGATTGTCTCCCTGTTCTTTTGCTTGTAGTGAGGGCAGCAATGGTTGTATATGAAGGAGCATGCCACTGTAGTTGAAGATCATCAAGATTATAGGCGTTGAACAGTGTACAAGTCATGAACCGTCGTGCACACTTGTAACCCGCAGTACAAAGAAACTGGCAGCGCACATTTACGGGCGGTCGGTATTCAGGGGACGGCGAGTGTTATGGAAATACGGTACAGTGAAATCCTAATACAGGTCTACCCTCGTCAGTAGATAACCCCGAGGGGGGGGGGGGGGGGGGGGGTCAAATTATTTGCCTATAATGGGTATAATATAACGAGTATTGCCTACTATCCGGACGTGAATGTACGCGTTTCAGGCGTCACGGGATTTTTGATCGTTGTCTACTAATGGTGTTTGTCTTGTAACCAATCGGTTGTACTATAACGAGGGTAGGCCTGGATACATGTAAGAGCGTAGAGTACATGATTGTACTGTACAGGTGATCACTGAGTCTTAACTATACAGTCCTCTACTTATACATGGGTATTACGTGCCAGAGAAGTGTTCATACTGTTACCAGCCATGCATCATCATGTGCACACATACCGTGTCTGTGCCTCCACTTCTCCACAATGCATCCATCACCGGGGTCATTCAGGTGGCACAGGACGTCAGCAAATGTGGAACTGCGCTCTATCGGCACATCGGTAGTCTTTTCTCTGCCACCGGTCTTGCTGACGACCTTCAATACAGCCTAGCAGCAGAGCATTACAGAACGTAACATAGCCAGGGACCCCAGGAACAAAGTCAACTACACGTACACAGTTTCAACGTCTAGCAAGTCCTAGTCAGCCGCTAGTGCTTGTGCAAGTGAGAGATAATCAATCAATACAATAAAGCCGTAGGAGCACCGTATGAAAATGAAATACTGGTGCTTCAGATATGAAGTCACTGGTGAGCCTTGTCACGCCATCCATCCAAAGAAAAGAGACTTACCGATTCTGGTTCCATTGAAAGCTATGGTGTGTGAATCGACGAACGTGCCTGTCTCAGTTAATTTTTGAACTCGGCTGTCTTTCCGACTCAACTACTACTTTTACAGGCACCTGGATTGGAGAAGGTACTTGGAGGTGCCTCACGCGGCATTATTAGAACGTGTCTCTCAATCCAAGATAAACTCCATATTACCCCCCAGTAGCTCAAATAATTCTTGACAAGGCCTGGCAGTTTTCGAAAATAGGAAACAGTGAAACAGCAGGTGTTGTATTTGCTAAAAAAAAACAGTAAAATGACACGACACCACCATGTACCAAACACAATCATTTTTACCAGGATTATCGCTTCAAACCCGATCGACGTCAAAAAAATCAGTCGTCATGTCATTCATATCCAAAAGAACTCAAGTGCGTTTGCCACGATAGCGCGCGCTATGGACCAGTGGCAGTGGCGCGGTGGCCGGTACGCATGCATGGTGTACTACATGACTCAAGTATTAGTTAGTTACAACAGCCTCTTTTACGGGCAAGATTAAAAATTAAAAGCAACACAATGATGAGAAAACAAGAGGGGTAAACACAATAACTTTATCAAAGCTGTTGACTCACGCATACACACATACACACACACACACAAGATAACAATGATACTCAGTACCTAGACTGCAGGAGTTGCAAAGAAAGTTAAATCGCGGCAGCCTCCGCGTTTGCGAGGACAGCAGACTGATCATTGACGCGGCGCATCCGCCGGGCACCACGAAGGCAGGCAACACTGGCACGCAGGAGACCAAAACCAAGACGACAACGCAGCAACGCCATCACCATTGCGTATGGCTCTCCGGATTTCTCTGCAGACAGAGCAGCAATTCGCTTGAGAAGAGCGGAAGCAGCTCGACCGGCTCCACCTGTGGCTGAGAATACGACAGGTACGAAGGAGGCTCGCTCAACTTCTTGCACCCTCTGACCATACCTGCAACGCTTCTCTCGCTCATGGCTCTGGTAGCGAGCAGCGAGAGAAGAGGAACGGTTTGAAGGAGCGAAAGGGTTAATGATAGCTTGCATAGACCTCGGTCCTACCGGTAGGACCTACCGGTAGGACCATCATACACAGACATGCTGCATGGCCTCTGTTCTAACATTGACCTAAAACTTGACCCTAAACTGTTGCTAAGGGGCTAATGAAGAAGTCCACAAATTTTAGACGTGATCGCACAAGGCATACTACGAAATTCCATGGTAACAACCCATGGTAACCATGGAAACGGAGTATGGAATTATGCATTCCACGGCCTTGGCAAGCTAATAAAAACATTAGGACCTCACCACAATTGATGTGCCATGGTCAAAATTCACTTTGGACAGAGTTGCTAGCGCACCGACAGGATTATGTGCGGCCATTTTGACAATCGGTAAAATTGCACATACGCAATGCACTGGACATAGCCTTGCATTTTGCGCCATTACTTTGCCTGACAAAGACCTCATCTCAACAATTGTTTAAAAAAAATTCTCAACCAAAAGCACTTTTGCAGCTCGATTTCTTGGGTCCTACCGGTAGGACCCGTGGTCCTACCGGTAGGACGGTATGCAAGCTATCATTAAAACACCCGTACATCAAGATAAACGCGTTCAAACCGTCCTCCCCACACGCCACTCGCCGCCACATCCAGACGGGCTTGATCCTCGGTGGACGCCGTCCGGTAGCGGAAAAGCTCGCCGGTGAGGGGTTGGAGATGAGGCTCTACTTCTACGCTGTGTGCCACCTTCTTCAGTTGGCCAGCGATGATGTCCCGTACCTCATTGTGGCGAAGCGTCGGGAAACCACCAGTGGGGCAAGAGAGAGCATGCTCAACAGAGAAGGTGGCACCACAGACACAAGTAGAAGGGAGCCGTGCAGGGTGCCAGCCATACCGCAATGTCAGACCATCGCGAAATTCACATTTTGACAAGCTGAACCCATGCCGACTGAGGGGGCGACACGTGAGCCAGCTGGACGCACCCGCCTCACTGCCAAGGTTGATGGAGTGCTGGAGGGCAGAGGAGGCTCGGGCGGTGAATTGGCGAAGGGCTTCCGTGGCAGCTGCCTTCACATCCTTGCGGTTAGAGGCCTTCAGGCTGGCGACCTCTGCCAAAGAGTCGCCCAGGTTGAAACTCTGGGTGAGGATGTTGGCAACCATAGGAGCAGTGATGGCACGTGAGGATTGGTATTGGGCCGACAGAGAGGTGGGATCCAATATTCCTAGACCACCGTTCCGGCAGGGGAAGGAGAAAAGGGTGCGGAGCTCAGAGCTGATTTCCTGGCCTGTGAGAGCTGGGAGGAGCTTCGTGGCAATGACCCGCTCCAGTGAAGCAAGGCCAGCAGACGCACTTTCGAGTACCCGGCAGAGGAAAGACCAGCGGCTGGAGAGGCCTCGGGTGAAAGCAGAATAGGCTGCTTGTGGCTGAGGCAGGGCGGTTGATGTCAGTGATTCGACCTGCCCACACCAGTCCCGGGCTTTCTCGTGTACGTAGTCTTCGACAAACGCAGGTGTGCCTATGGCTGAACCCAGGTAGCGGTTGCCTGTGGCGGTGATGTGGATGCTTGTGCCGTCGAACAGCTGGACAGCTTCATCGTAGTCGTCAGGCTTCACCACGAGCACGGACTTTGCTGGGTTGAGGAAGTATCCGAAATCAGGCCCTCTGTCGTGCAGTTTGTCCCACCAGATTCGGAGAGGAACGAGTCGGCCACCTGCGGACGAATCGTCCGCATACCATAGCTGGCAGGCGCCGGGTGTTACGATCTCCCGGATGAGAGGGACTACGCCGATCGCATATAACGGCATCGCAATGGGGTCGCCCTGTGTTGTGCCCTCATTGGAATGAATACATTCACCATCCACGTAGAGATTGCTGGGCTGACGGTAGGTGTTGATTCAACCGTGGCAAACGAGGGGCATAGGTGCTGCACATTCCGTAGGCAGGCGGCGCGATTGATGTTGTTGAACGCATTAGTTGCATCAGCCATGATGATGCCCTGGGTGTCCTCCTGGTCGTACACATCATGCATAGCGTGAATTGCGGCCTCAATACCGAAATCCTGCCCGGCACACAGCTGCAAACCACCAGCAGCTTCCTGGATGTCTGCGCTGATGACGTGAAGAATCGCCTTCCCCACTACACGACGAAGCACCTCGCCTATGCCGATCGGCCTCACGCCCGGGTGTTTGTCGAGAGGGATTAGCCTCGAGGCTAGGTAGGCCTCTAGGGCATTCGGATCAACGAATGTCGTTGCTAGGCGACAAGCACACAGAGCTAGTGAGTCGCACAGAGAATCGGATGTATCAGCAAAGCTCGTGCACATCCAGCGCCAGTTCTCAGCGTCAACGCCGGATGGTCCAGCGGCACCATGGGTGTTCAATACCGCCTTCCTCAAGGCTTCGCGGGTGAGAGCGTCAAACCGCACTGGGTGAGGTGGTGCCGGAATTTCGCCTTGCAGAAGTGCCCCTGGGGCGAGGGGGGCGCTCTCTGGATGTTTGGCCTTCAAAGCTTCCCGGACGGTTGTATCATCGATCTTGTCGTCCAGGTTCAGGTGGCCCTTTGTCGGTGGGCCCTCGAGGTCCCGCAGTGCAGATGCCATCCTCCCGCTTGTTACTTGGGACGCGAAATGCCGTGCCAAGTTTCCATCTTGATTGGCATGGGACGAACTCTTGTTGCGGTCCGTTAGCTGACCCTGGATAGTGCGACTCTCGTGGCGGAGATTCTGGATGTCCCCCGGGCCCTTGATTCCACGTGTCGAGTCGTCGTCTCAGCACAGCAGACAGCGAGTGGGAATCCTGGGCATGGGGATTCTGTAGCATTAGCTGGTGTACTACAAGTACACTCGCTTGTAGATCTCGAGTCGTAGATCTACCCCGCGGCCCGGGTATTTACCCCAAATCAGCAAGACTCCATCCCGCCATCGATGCATCACTGATCTACGCGCGCGACTCTCTACATGTAGTTGCTACAGTACAGAGTACAGTACAGTCAGTACAGAGTCCACAGACTTCTTGTCCCAGTGGCGCAGTGGCAGTGGCTAGCTCGAAGCTTCGAAGTACTACTACTCAACTTGGCTCAAGACTAAAAGTTGGAGGAAGACTACAATCATTGTAGACACCGTGAACGTTGCGCACCGTTGACGGAGTTGTTGCTGTCACAGTCACACCGAAACTCTATGTGCTTTGTTTGTAGACAAGTTTTTTTATTCTATCACCATCATAATATTGGGCATAAGCGCCCGTTTGGTTTGCGGTGTAAAACAAAACTTCAAACAAACAAACTTTTGGCAAACAAGGGCAAGGGCCCGGGAAGCTATTCCTTGCTGTAACGACGCTTTAGCATAGTCGATTGCAGGACTTTTCGATCGATGGGACACTGCATGCAGGCTGCCAGCGTTGTACTGGTCCGGGCCGCGGGATGCATTGATGGCTGAAGCTGACGTCCGAGGCAAGTCTTGGTGAGGCCATGCATGCATGATTCGTTTGCTTCCTACAGTGTAGTCCGCATGCCGGATATGTACGGTAAATGGTCGTGGAGAGAGTTTCGAAGAGTAGAGTCGCCAAAACTACATCTATCTAAAGACTATAAAAGGCCCATGATCATGATGATGCCAGCCGCTACCATCCCAAGGTCTTTCCTCCTGTTTGTTGTTTGTGTGTGTGTGGCAGGGACTGCCAGGGCGTGTAGTAGTAGTACATGTATTACAGTTCCCCGCTGTGCGACTGTAATCAGGTGCAGGTCACATTATGATGCCTACAAAAAATGCAGTGCACAGCTGCAATCAGGCTGCAGAGTAGAGGCTTGAACACCCAAACCACTTGTTAGTCAGGGGACATTGGTGCAGCCATGAAGAGGTGTGTGTGTGTGGGGGGGGGGGGGGGGGGGAGTAGGCTACCCGGCCGGGAACATTTTCGGAAAATTGGGCCCATTATGCCCCATACTGTTGTATTGCTTCAAAAATCACTGGCAAGATGAAATTACTGGTGCGGCTTTGGCTGCCGCACCGGTTCCAATGCCCCAGTGTAAGTAATTACAAAGCCACTTCAACCGCAGCCGTGTGGCGTAGACCAGGCTAAAATCAGTGGTGGTCAATTCATCCGAGCCTTGCAAGCTGTTGAATGGTGCCCTGAGCACAGGTGGCTATGTCTAACATAATAACAGCTTGTTCGCTATCATCGATTCAAGGATGGGCAGGAGTAGGAGTAGGAGTAAGTACAGTCGTGGACAAAGAAATTCGACACGTGAGCCGAAAGCAGTGCCAAGGCTCTTAACATTGAAATGGGAACGTGGTGCTACTTTTGACTGGCGGGTCGGATGTCATTTTTCGATTCTTCCCAAATCAGTAAGCCACGGAACTGGACTGCAAATATTGTTCCGCATAACAGTGTACATTGTATATTCAGCATATTCAGGGGACATACATGTACACGTAGGTGGTTGTGAAAGATGCGAATGCAATGGGGCCCCACCTATCCACCCTTCTGCCAGTGTAACACAAACTTGAACAAGGTACTTCGAACTCGACGTACATGTGTATATTTCAATCTTGAGCGCCATCAGTTTGGACTGATGAAACACTGGTACTGTAGAACGGCTAATTTTAGCGGGTCATTTTTTAGCGTTTTCTGAATCAGGACTGAAATTAGCCATTTTACAGCAACGCTTACATGTATGCCTATCTTTGGTATATTTTATCAAAAGCTACGATCCCGATCGAGACCTTGTCCTTCTGTTCTTGTCGCGTCTTGTTTCTTCGTGTCATCGAATATTCGTCTTTCCGCGATCTAGTCTGTAGGGGTATGCGTGACCAATAAAAGAAAACGAAGAACAATGGCATGCAAGTAGTTTGCATGCCCGACACAAATACCGGTACATGCATGAACATGTGGGTAGTACCCACAACGATCGGACAGTCGTGAGAAACTTGCAGGACATGCACGCCTGCACTATTATGGCTGGCCACATACTCGGGAAAAAATTACTTTGGTATAGACTATACTAGGGTGACGACAACTAATTACTTGCAAGAGTTCATAACTCTTGCTACTTGGTATAGGCTGTAGTAAAAGAACTGGACTTGGTCCTAATGGTATACAGAGTAGAACGGACTGAGAAGTCTTTGTTGTTGTTTCTTTGTTTAGGTCATAGCATCTCACCTAGCTTTCCTGGCAAGGAGACGGGTTTGCTTGGTCAATTTTGCTGTATCACCCAAGGTGATTAATTCCTGTTGCGCGTTACATGCTGCTTCTCATCATGGAACTGATGATGTCATACAAAAATGGGACAATACAAGTTCATGATTACTTCTTTTCTCTTTTTTTTCTTCTTCATGTATGTAAGGGCCAACCATCATCTAATCTCTACCAGGGAGTCGTATATACGACTCCCTGATTTCTACCATGAGCTCTTCTGTACTGTAGCTAGTGCGCATAGCCTCATTCAGACTGTACTACAGCTACTATGAAGAGTATGTAACTCCCCAAGATTGTGAACTCCTGATACCCTTTCTATGGGGTTTGCCGACGGCGAAAACTCACATCACGTGGTGTAGTGTCGCAGTTGTACGTTTCCAGCCCGTTTTTAGCGAGCAGGCGGCAGCAGAGTTGAAAAAAAGCACTCTCTGACAGAAACTCACTGCATGTGTGCAAATCCCCGGCATCATCATGGCAGATAGGTATTCAGATTGCGCACACGCTATCCTTCATTTGTACTTATAATTGTAATACGAAACGTACCCGAGACACGGGATGTGAGTTTTCGCCGCCGGAGACCCCATACGCAGAGTTGCACACTCCTGGGGGGTTATAATTATACTCTTGCTACTAGTACAGGATAGTATTAGATAAACCTTGTTTTTGTTCAAACATGCTGTTGGTTGACAGCATGTAACAAGGTGGAGGACACCGTGTTTGGAAACTTTGACCTTTCTAACATCGACCGGGGTTCTACCAACCGTGGATGGCTGTAGAAAGGTCACTGTTTCCGAACACGGTGTCCTCCATCTTAATTCTGGTATTTCTAGCGGGTTTGCAGAGAAAACGAAGGGGCCACTACAGTGTTAGGGCTGGTTCACATATCGCCCGGTACGCGCCGGGAGTCGCCGGCGGTGGGCCTCTTGCAACCACTCCCGGCGCATTGCGATTATGTGAACCAGCACAGTCGTAACAAAATCATACGGTAAATAATCGCAAGGGACCGCCGGCAAAGTTTTTGCTATCTGTCCCGGCACCGATCCCGTAGAATTTTGACCAAAAGTGGTTTATGAACCGGTGCCGACAGCTTCAAACCAAGACTTGTCCTAAATGTTCCTAAATTGAAGGTAAAGATCTGTCCCCCGGCCCCGGGGAAAATTGCGATTCCGCGGCCGCGTTTTTTTCCACGTTTTTTGCGATTTTTTAAAAGACCGCGTTTTCCGCGATTTTCCCGCGTTTTTTGAACTTTTTTGTTGCACTACACGTACACACAGTGCACTGTTCGGTCAGCAACGTCTCATCGTGGCGGCTTTTTACTCAAATATGACGAGTGCTTACACCAGAGACTTGTAACTGATTGATTTCACTACATACTCACTGAAAATTGCCGCACATCAATATTATTCACCGCAAATTCACCGCAAATGATGCCATATTATGCCGCGTTTTCCCCGCGTTTTTCCCCGCGTTTTTTCCGCAATTTTCCCCGGGGACAGAAAGATGAGGTCCGTTCGCCATTCTTGTAGTCGCTTCAAGGTGGCAAATTAAGTCAGCATACCAACCCGCCCTCCTCGGATGATCTGCTTGACTGTTGTGCAACTTATGAGACAAATACAATTGAAACAAATAAAAAATACGAAGGATACATTGGCAAGTTCTTGTGACTAAATCAACGTTTGCATGCATAATTTCGACACCATCGCTTATACTTATAGGCTATTCATACTACGTCACAATACGCGTCACGTTTTGAAATAGGACGTACTGGAAGACGTCGTTTTCATGCAGGTGCATTCACACAGGCACGTACACGCTGCTCGTACAGCTGTGTGTACAGCTTCTCTTTTGGACACAAACTGGTGGGAACGACAGAACGAAACTCAGTACAGGGTCTGGATATGTCGTCTACGTTTTCGTATCAGGGGTACGATTTTCCCGCCACGTTCCATGTTGTCTTGGCTATGCGGACGAAAACGTCATATACGCCACGTTGTGGGCGTAGTGTGAATCAGGGAGTAGTACAATACCGGGTATTGTACTACTCCCTGGTGTGAATGGCCCATTACTAGGTATACAATAAATGAGAAGGCCGAGGGTTTATGACCAATAAAAACTATTATAAAGTTTTTGTGTAGTTTTTATTGGTCATAAACCAAGGCCGGAGCATTTATTGTATTTAGAATCAACCAGTAATAACTCCTACTCAATCTCCAACTACAAAATTAGTGGACAGCTGTTATTTGTGTTGCTATGACAACTCGTGTGCTGGACGAGTATTTGTTTTCATTGGTTCAATTTCTTGTATTCTTCATAGGCTATCTGATCATTTTTCCTTATTCAGTCTATTTATAACTTCTCCTCCCCTTCTCCCTTCCTTGCCGTGGTTGGCTAACACCCTCTCTCGTTGTATTGGCCGGTGTTCTCACTGTGCTATGAGATGCTGCAATAAATAAATAACCAGTATCTATAATGAGAGTGTGGTCTGTCTCCACGGTTACCGGTGTTCATTAATTTTCATGCCACTTCTCCTTGTTAGACCTTACACTGTATCTGGAAGGCCCATTCTTGCATATTCCAACAGCAGCCAAGGGAGCTAGCTCTCTTGGTTATATGCGGACTGGGTCCGATCCTAAAAAGCTGTTTTTATGAACTGTTTTTATTGGATAGGATATGATTATGTTGAATAAAAGAGGTTTGTGTCAATGGGAGAGTTTTTATGAGTTGATTCTAAGGCCACCCTTTGTTAATTCATTGTTTAACGTCCTTTTTTTCGCGAAAAAGTACGCGGGAGGGCGGAAAAAAAACAAAAGCCCATTCCAAAAACTGGAAACCCCAATCAAACATTTTGACCAGTAAATCATGTGATAGATACAATATTTCTGGGTCTAACGGCACTTGCAGGCATAGAACAACACTCTTTGATGGTACATTGGAGCACATGCCTGATGAATCCAACAAAACAGGTACATAGCATGGAGTTAGCATGTCATGAATTCATTACATCTGGATTTTTACTAGGACACACACCGTACGATATTTAAAAGCCAACAAAAAAAGAAAAAGAACACAAGACAAAGGCATGCCCGGGAGGCAAAAATTATAAGTTTAGGGTCATGATCGGCACACTGTGAAACTACACAATCATGTATTTACAACTTCGCATATTATTGGTACTACTACTTTCTTGTTTTTTTTTTCGGTCGGAGGCAAAAAGGTACGCGGGCGCGGACGTTAAACAACGAAAAAAGAAAGGGTGGCCTAAACTGCAATAAAAGGTGTAGATGTAGTTTTATGATCTCCACTAAAAGATAGCACGGTGCTATCTTTTAGTGGAGATCATAAAACTACATCTACACCATCACGGAAAGACTTTGAACTACTGAAGAAGCAAAGAATTCCAGCTTCAATCGGCAAACGTGTCGTAGGATGCGGGCGCATTCTGTACTACTTTGTAATAGATTTGGTACTTAATCGTATGCGCACCGGACCGGGAGCTGGCTCACCGCCGACGCTTCCCGGCGCCGATTTGGCTTATGTGATCCAACTCTTACATGGAGCGGAGCCTCTGCAGTGCAATCACGAAGCAAGGCACACAAACATCCACTTTGCACCAGAAGAACACCGTTGGGAATACAAGAGAAGCATGCGAAAAGAAGCAAGACGTGTGCCATCTCAAGCCCTTCAGGCCTTCACCATGCCAACACGCGTAGAGCCTACATGCAATGGTGCTGCATCACACCAGCATTTGTGTGAGAGAAAAAACGGGGCGGTTCAAATAGCAGGTACTACTGCAAAGGGGCACAATCAGCCAATACAAACGAATAATGAAACACTTTCTTTGCTTGCATTTTAACTCCGTAGAAAACAGGAGATAAAGAAAGATGGAAGGATTCTATGAGTACACATGTAAGATGTGGACCCAAACTAAGGGTGGCCGATCTGAAGGAAACTGTCCACATCAACAAAAAAAAAGAAGGAAAGAAGAAGAGTAAAGAAAGAGAAAAAGCAACATCGTTGTAGTTGGGTATGTGGAAAGATTCGAGCGGCCGGTTAAACATAACAAAACTCTGAAAAACGGTGAACACTTCTTTGTGCCTGCTGTAGAAAATGTTTTTTTTATTTTTTCTGTTCTTCTGATGGCATATCATGATTGGCTCACATGGCAGATTCAATAAGACCTGACACAGCGACAACAGCACAAGAGGAGAAGAGAAAACGAAAGGGGTATATTACAAAACAGGTACAGGGTAGACTTGCCCATCAGGTCGCGTCCACATGGAGCCAGTTGGGGACAAAGGAAAACGGGTCTGAAATAGTACAAAGCACAATCGTGATCACAAGTGGAAGGGATTGAAGGCCTGCATCTACTGGTTTTACATTACATTTGCATTAGCACAGCGAAGAAAGAAAAGACTATGGACAAATTGTTGCTTGCAAAAGGCCCCTTTGTTGTGTTTCGTATCCCGGGCAAGGTAGCCTAAATGCAAGACCAGCGACTCCAAGCACAACACAAACAGCACTTATTGAAGTGTTATGGAAGCTGACAGGACTCACTAGTAAACAGCCAAAAGAGCTCTTAACGGCGGTTGACAGCAGAGGAGTCGCGGCCCGATCGGTTGGCAGTAGCACCGCCACGCGAGAAGCTGTTGTTACTTCCAGTACCAACACGACCTCCACGACCACCTGTGTTTTGGCGATTGTTCGGAACTCGGCCACCGCTAGCCTTCTCTTTCTTCTCCTCCACATTCAATCGATGGCCACGCAGCTGGAAACCAGACTCTTTCGCATGAGCTAGGATGCTATCCACGATTTGTGAAGACTCGAAAGCAACGAAGCAAAATTGCTGTAGGAAAGAGGGAAATCGAACAAGCAACGAAGCAAAATTGCTGTAGGAAAGAGGGAAATCGAACATGACATCATAAGGAAAAGGTAGAGAGGAAAGACTTGGCCTTGCAAAATCCAAAGGAACTTATACAAAAAGATGGGCAGGAATTTCGCGGATATAGTGCATTTAATAAACGTACAGACACCCACACTGCACTGTCTATAAATGCCTGATTTTGACGAGTGACTTTCAGCCAGAAATGGATTTTCCAGATGAAATACATAGAAATCTAGCTTCTCGGAGAAATTTCCCCTGGAAGTCAAGAAACTGCAATAATTTAGGAACAGAATTCGGAGATCTTTTTGCACATGTGAAGCGCCAAAGGGACCACGAACTTGAGTGACATGAATGTAGTACACACTGTGCGTATGCAAAGGGGAATGGTGTACACTCATAATCAACACATGGCTTTTAGCAGAAGTTCGCATACGCTGACCCCACAGTGCGGGAATCTCCAAATTTCAACCACCTCTGAAGTTCAGAGAAATTGGAAAGCTTTGGGAGAGTTTCCTAAAATTCAGCGAGGATATAAGAACACTTCTCGAACTTTTTTCCCGAGAGGATTTAACCCTTTAGTGACCGATTAAAATAATTATAAACAAGCCCACGCAATCGCCAAATCTGTACCTATATTGGACGTAACTTTAGTTGCACTGGACGAATTCCACGATCTTGGGCATCCTGGACAGGCCGTGATGAGAGGAGCGCATCGAGCCTACACTCGACTCCATGGGATGGACTGGCCCAGCGCTGCGAGCCAGGGAAGGCCCACCAGAGCTGGGCTCATACTCGAGATCTATCTCTATCCACCATCTTACTGCTGTTGCTCGTATCAAACTCAAAATTTATCGTACAGACTCCCGGGAACCACCTTTTGAAGTTGAATCGGTGTAGCCTTGTCAACAGGTAACGTAAGCAGAGAAAATCCCGTCCGTTGACCCACGCATCGTGATCTGAGCGAGTGCTATAACTCAAGAACCGCTCATCCTATCTCTTTGAAAATTGCTCGACGCGACAGCTGAGAGTTTTCTCTTTGACCTACATACTTCGATCTCTCAAAAGACCGAGATTCAACCGAGTTACGATTATTTCAAAATGCCTATCCCATCGAACATCGGTGTTCGATCAATGTATGGGCCGGCCAATAAAGGGTTAAGAACGCACCCTTACTATACACAAGGTTGACAAAAAGAAAAGAAAGAAGACAGAAATTTCACTGCATCGCATACCTTCTGAGTCATTCTGATGTCGATAGCAGTGCCGAATTCTGAACACAGAGCATAAACACAAAATAACAATGATTGCGGCACTATTGGAGCAAAAACCATCACCATCAGCCCTTCCACGTTGACATTGGCGTCAGCCCACCCTTCGCTTAGGCTACACCCAATGTTAGATATGATACCAGAAGATCAAGGGAGAAAAGAGAAAAAATGAAGATCAAGGGCAAATAATAATATATACCGTAAGTCTTGTATAAAAGCCGCGGCTTCTATGACCTTCTTGGTGAAATTGTGCAGGCTTCTATACAAGACAGGTATTTCTATGTATGTCAACATTAAACCAGGCTTATGTGTGATTTGATGGGCCCAAAAGTGCGGCTTCTATTCAAGTGCGGCTTTCATACAAGACTTTACGGTATGTGAACAAACACTTGATCATATGCATACTATTCAAAGACATCAACAATGCACTGCGCTGGTGCAACAATCCAATGGTCTTGCCAGTATCGTCATTGACATGCATGTACATCCGCCAACGTCCTCCACAGATGAGATTTCAGCTCGTGATTGTCTTGGTTGCGCTCACCTTCCCCTCCTATGTTATCATAAAAATTAGAACCGTCCACAGCCTGTTGGAGTGCGCATCTGAGATGTGCTAGAGCTGATAGCCAGTTAGTTGCAGAACGTCAGTACCATTCGGCAGTGACGTGCAATGTCATCGAATGAGCTGATTGTTCAGTAACTGGTGGTGTTAGTGGACACTACTGCATAACTTGTAGTTCCTTGGTCCTGTCTTTTCTATAAATTTATCCTTGGCTCTCCTTCTGAGAGACTTGTAGTGAAAAATGCCCTGATTCCAACTGTGAAAGTCCACGTCTAAGCAGGGTGAAGACTAAGTGAGTCACTGTATACCACATTTTGCCAAGTATTTTCTTCCAGGCTCAATGAAGTTCCGTAGAAAAGGAAGCGAGCTTGGAGTCGTTTTTGAGAAGGCTAGTTGATCAACACAGAAACAATTTTTTTAAAGTTTTTTAGATAGCCCGTATGATTTGTTTATGCGGGCAATATGCGACCTGTTCATATTATTATTATTATGCACTAGCATAGGATCGAAATTAGACCAAAAGTAGTGACTTTAAAATACGTAATACAGTAGTACAGAACAGAACAATAAGGACAATCAAGGCTTGTTTGCTGCTACTTCAAGCTTCATGCTCTCGCAATCATCAGGCAACAATACAGTAGTACATACCTCTGAAGGCACCCTTGATCTCATCTTCGGTCATGCTAGAGTTCAAACCACCAACAAAGACTTGTTGACTGTCCGGAACTGCTGCATTGGACCGTGCTGCCGCGCCATTACGTGCGGTAGGGACAGAGCTGGACTGGTTGCTGGACTGGTTGTTTGCACTGCCATTGGTGCGACGCTGAGGACGCTGGTTGGTCTGCTGCTGCTGCGGCTGTTGTTGCTGCTGCTGAGTGCTGGGAGCTGCGGCAACAGGCTTTATCTGCAAGACAACAGGAAGCAATCCAGGAAGTATGACCATAATATTTTGATGCATAGCATTACCGAGAGCATCCAAACCAGAGTATGAACCCTGGGAGAATGAGGTCACGGCGAAGATTTTAGTCCAGGTCATAGTGTTGCTGGCTGCATTTTACACAGGTTTATATGACCATTTATCAATTCGCTAAGGTAACTTTGGTCGTGCCTCGCTGCAGGTTGTATAAATGGTGAAAATCTCATGGCTTTTCCCCATTTCACATCAGTGAAATGTTGACTGTGCCCCAAGCCTATGGCACCATAATGACCTGAACAAAACTTAGCTGTGGGAGTGGTTTTATGCAGGATAGATGTAGAGCTACACTCTTGATTCCAGCTTTGGAAGCTAGCTTGTAGAATTGCCCTACAAAAAGTAGCACAGAAGAACCTGGCGCCATAGAGAGACATTGACATACTACGAAACTGCTTGGTCAGAGCTAGGGAGAATACACATATATCCAAGTCTGCACGAGCTCGGGAGCCATTGAGGTAGCTTACATCCAATCTGAGAGCTAGTTGCATTGTGCACTTTCAAAGGATTAATGCACGCATGGACTGCCTGAAAGGTGAAGATAAGACAACGTGTACCATGCCAGACGCTCACCTCTACTGGAGCACGGACAATACCAGCTGGCTGCACCTTCTTGCTAGCCGGCTGAGATGCCGACGACGATGATGAGGAACTAGCCACACTAGCCCAAGAGAACGCCTTCGGTTCTTGTTTGACCTCTTGCGAGGGTTCAGGCTCAACGATGGGCTCCTATGCACAACAGCCACATGGAAGGAGAAAGGCGTGAAATCTCAAGGAGTTTTCTACGCACAATGTAAATCCCATGGCACCATCGCTATAAACAAAAAAAAATGATGCAAGCTACAATTACATCGAGCACTCACCGGCTCTGGCTCAGTGTGCACAGGTGGGGGCGTAGGCTCAGGCTGGTGCACAACAGGCTCCTCAACTGGTGCCACTGCTTCCACTGGCTCAGGAGCATCAATAACAGTCACATCACCGCTGTAAACAAGAACAAGAACAAATACCAAAATTTAACAACTACAGTAAAACCTGTAATGGCGACCACTCGGATATGGCGACCACTCGACCATGGCGACCACTTTTCCTTGTCACGGACGCATTCACATTCAAAACACCTCGGATAAGGCGACCACTCGCTCAACGCGACCGGCGACCACCCACCCGCGACCGCTTTTGTACAGTGCTAGTCATGTAAATGTATGCATTGCATGGTGCACCAGGCATGGTAGATCTACACATCAGTGCAGGAAGTGTAGATGTACATGGTGCATGCACGACATTTGACAGGTCTGAGGACCCCAGGCACAGGACTGGTCATGAGTCGTGCTAGAGTAGCATAGGTGTGTGCACTGTGATGCACTGATCAAAATGATGTATCACATGTGGATATGGTCACGTGACCCACTGAACCTGGATAAGAAGACCACCTGGCCACGGCGACCACTTTTTCTCGTCCCTTGAGGGGTCGCCTTAGACAGGTTTCACTGTACTAATAAAGAATTTGAAACAAGGAAATTGTGGGCACACGCTATGCGATAGAGTCCACCAACTAAACAATATTTTGAACAGTCAGAAGTGCACAATCTAGCACAAAATTGACAAGGAGTACTGAGACTTGCCACGGCATGAAAGTCAGCTTTAGCACTGCTCGATAGCGCTAACCAACGGCCTTTCAACTTGGAAGGTTCATGGATATTAGTGCTAATTCCAAAGAGGGGAAGGCTCGATGGCGCTCGCCCGAATTGTGTAAACGTTCGGTCACAACTCCCGCTATGATAGCCTGATTTTCATCTTGGCCTCTCCAGAAAGCTTGTGTCAGTGCGAACACTATAAGCCAGGCCCAGCTCTACAGCCTTGCGAAGGCACCATATCGCTGGGAATGCCCTCAATCCCTTTCTCCTCCAGGCATTGCAATTCCTTGCTTGCACATCTCTGAATTTATTCTGTACTGCCACAGCAGGCAGTCAGCAAAGTTTGACTTTTCTATGGTTGATCGAAGTCATCGACAGAATACTGGCAACACGAGTATAGCACAGAGCCAATGGGGATGAACGTGTATCAAACCAATGTTACGTACAAACTACAAACAAGCTTGGTTGACAGTACTCAGCTAACACGCACATGTACATGACAAATTGTACACCTGCAGATGAGGAAACTGTTTGAGAATGATTGCTTGACACGTGTATACATAACACACAACCAAAAGTCCATAATTCAGAGCATGCAGTTCTGACCATGGGCGGCTCACTGCCTTTATCATGTAACTCGCATCCATCTCGTAATTATTCACTAAAATCCACAATCTCTCGTACCAGTATACCAAATCATTTGCGATCTCTAAATGTTCATGAACTTCAGTGTATGATCTAATGAAAGCAACACGTGCATTCGGCCCATAGAATTGCAGAACTTCACACCAGGGGACATGGTTCAAAAGGTTACGCTGGGAAACAGTGAAAACGAGTTGAACCCAATGCAGGGTTCGCATCCATCACACATAGGGCGCAAATAATGGTTACGTGTTCGGTACCCCATTCAAAGACATACCGTGGCCATCGGAAAACACGACAAGTGCAGGTGACTTGGTCTTGTAACTATGTAACTCGCATCCATCTGGTCACTAAAATCCACAATCTCTCGTACCAGTATACCAAATCATTTGCGATCTCTAAATGTTCATGAACTTCAGTGTATGATCTAATGAAAGCAACACGTGCATTCGGCCCATAGAATTGCAGAACTTCACACCAGGGGACATGGTTCAAAAGGTTACGCTGGGAAACAGTGAAAACGAGTTGAACCCAATGCAGGGTTCGCATCCATCACACATAGGGCGCAAATAATGGTTACGTGTTCGGTACCCCATTCAAAGACATACCGTGGCCATCGGAAAACACGACAAGTGCAGGTGACTTGGTCTTGTAACTATGTGTAACTACGAATTTTCAGGCAGCGTGACGTAGGCACTTCGACAGCTTATAGTTCTGTTCTGTTCTAGCCATTTTGAGGTAGGGAAAGTGCTTGCTCTCCCCAAAACGAAGATTCTGTATTGGGCACGGCCAACCGCTAATTTACTACATTCATCGCAGAATGCTAGACACAAACAAGAAATGAACCAGGAACATGTAGATCCCAGAGGATAAACTGTTCAGGACAGTCACTAAACAACATACTTGAGGTGAGCATGACTTTCAGTCGGCTTGCTGAAATAGTCGGCAACTTGACCATTGGTGATGGGTTGCTCAACACTGGCAGCCGGTACAACAGCAGGAACACTGATCACTAGGCATACACAAACACAAGAGTTTATACAAAAGAGCAGGTTGGATTGAGTTGACAATTCACTTTATCCCGTGGTTTTGGTGTAGTTGATCTAAACAGTGTTTCTAGGAAGAAATGTTGAAGGATATAGCACGAATTCAGAATTATATTATTTCCTGGGGGGGGATTCGAGGGGATCATCATGTATTGTAACCACATGGTACAAAATCATTTTGGGAAGGGGCAAACCTGAGAATGGACGGTACGTTATAGCGTAGGGTCTGGTATTCAGTGTTGCCACATCATTATAGCCAAATATCAGGATGAAAAAAATAAAAATGCATCACCCAAGGGCTTTGCCCCCGGACCCCCTTCATAGTAACCCCAATACACAGATACACAGACACACACGGGCGCGGAACTGTTAAGAAAACCTTTCACGGCTTTGCATGAGACTCAGGCTGAGTTTGCCGGTTTACCCCAGGCAGCTGATGATTTGCTTAGCACCTTAGGAGAGAGCTATGGAAACACGCCTGATGAGCAGTAATAGCCAAAAATCTGGAACATGACTTCTAAACCAAGCACCAGGGCAAACTTGGATACTTTCATGGCTGTTGTCGGCAGGAGGTCAATTGTCAGCAGGTCATTACAGGCCTCAAAAAATCGGCAGGCTACTGACATGTCGGCAGGTGTGGCAACACAGGGTATTTCCGCAAATAGTAGGCCGGTCCACTATTTTTTTCAAACTCGTCCTAACCCGGCCTTATAATTGAGGACGGTCTTGTATTCGAGGACGGTCTTTTATTCTTTCAACCCAGTTTGACCCCGGTCTTCTATTTTCGCCACACAGTTTTACCCCTGTTCTTCCATTTTCTTCTACACAGTTTGAGCACGGTCATATATTTTTTCCCACAGTTTGGGCACGGTCTTCTATTTTTAACATAAGTCGTAAGACTCATTTAGTAGGCCCGGTCTTCTAATCGGAGACAGTCTTGTATTTTTTCAATCGGCCCCTGCCCCGGCCTTGTATTCGAGGAAGGTGTTGTATACGAGGAGAGTCTTTTATTTGCGGAAATACGGTAACTTACCTGGCTCACTGGCCTCTGGTGCAACAATATGATCCTGGTAGCGGAACATGTCATTGCTCACAAAGAACTTGTTTTCAGCTGACTCCGCCAGAACAAACGTCTGTACAAACGGCCTCATCGGCTGGCCAGCATTGGACAGCTCTCCAACAACCTGAGATAGGCAAACAACAGCAGATGGACCAGATTAGTGAGGTAACAAATCAAACCTAACTGAAAACACTAATAGCCACATTAAACCGTGCACACAGTGCATGCATCACCACATTATATAACATAGTATATATCCCCGCTACCAGGATGGGTCTCGATTCCAAAAACACCCGTCACAATCCACAGGCAAAGCCACAAACAACTAGGCCATACACGTTAATACACAACCATGAAATGATTCAAAAAGATGTTCTGTAAGTCTCACACAAGTGCAAAGGAGGCAATGATGAGATGACAGTCCTAAGAAAAACCAGGTATCAAAGTGGCAAGGAGCACTGCACCCAATGACTTTATATTTATTTTCTGTTGCAACCAATGTTGAAGAGCTCTGCTCTCAACCCCGTTTCCACCTTGTGTGCTTTTCCACAAAGCACATTGCAAAAAGAAACGAAACTCTGTTCACCTACACTACAAAACAATCTAACGGACTCCTGGAAGTTGTGCTAGCTTTATGGAAGGCGGAATAAAACTGATGCAATCTGTGGGATGGGAATCAAGCACAGAAGCTGAACCCTCTATGGACCAGAAAAAAGTCTGCACAATGAATTCATCCTCAACTCACTTCAAAGTTCACAATTCTCTCGGCCACAACCGTGTTCTCCCTTGGACGATTACAATCTTGGGCTTCTTGGAAACCTTGTCCCAAGAGGAACAAAACACTAACGCCACCACCCAGTAATTTAGTTGCAATGGCAGCATTCTGTCTGAATCATTTCGCTCTCTTTGCTCATAACACCATAAATTTACAAACTGCCACGAGTCTGTGTTTCCACTTTAAAGGGGCGGTAAAGCCTAAATCAAATTTTGACTGCCCTACTAGATGCAAAAAGTCACTAAAAGCGCCGTTTTGTTCTTATAAAAGCACGGACGACCGCGAATGGTCCATACGTTGTAGTCTTTTGGACGCTGAGTCGACTGGTTTTGGCCTGGAAAGGTTGTGATGCAGGGTTCGGCCCTTATTCCCAATCGAACATGGGTGAGTAAGCGGCCGCGTGCTCATGCGTACACAAGTCACCTGGTCACCGTGCCTGCAGGCTACAACACTTACAGTGTTCCTGCCACTCGAGTTGAACCTTGGTGTGAAAGTAGTTGTAGCCTGCATGCACGGTGACCATTGCTATCTGCTACTGCACGCCAGGAAGGCCAGCTGAATACCAAATCTTAAACCGGGAATAGTTCTTGTCTCTCCATTTCACTCGTGCTAGCTCAAAATCATTCACAAATTTTCTAACAGACGTAAAACACTATAGCCAATCAATGGAAAAAAACACTTGCATCAGTTCTAATAACATGCATGAGCTAGGCAAAAAAGCATAGCGTAGGGCCCTGAGCTTTCCTCTCGTTCATTGCTATTTTACAACTATTGCCTCCTCGTCGGTTATTGAGTTACCATCGGTTGAGATATTGCGATCACATGTGATATAAGGTTGGCAGTGTTAGCAGAAGCAACTTGACAAGATGCAATATAACAAAACAACATGTACAATGACACTGATGGATTGCGCCACATAGGAGAAAGAACTTAAAAGAATACTCGGACATACCTGTACAATAAACGACTTCTGCAGACTGTCCTGGGCATCAACTTGTCTGATCCGAGTTCGGCAGTCAGAGAAGTTTAGCTGCTTGATTGTCTCATAGATGGCCTAAGCGGAAGAAACAGAAAGAAAACAACTCAAAAACGAACCCAGCATCTATAAAGACGAACACACCCAGGCTACAGGAGAGTTTTTGACAGTTCACTGAATGGTAGCAACCTCATCCAATGGAAAAGGCAAATTAGGAAAGAGCTTAGAATTCCTCGCGAAAACTACCTTTTCTATGCATCTGTAGAAACTATGAAAAACCCTGTTCATACGATCAGGGAAGCACACTTTCACGCAGAGGCAAGCTTAGAGAATCTTGTTGCAATTATGATTCTACAGAGAATGAGGCTCAAAGGAACCGTGCTACTGGGATACTTTCAACTGATCTCTTCTAAGATAATTCTCGAAAAGTTGATGAGGACATTTCGAACGCGCACGTAAAAAATACTCTTGGCACATGAAAAAAACCACTGGCTGCTACACACTGCTACAATAAATTTAGTGCTTGCACCACACAATTTTCAATAGCAGGAATCAAAGAGGATTCCATGGAAGGAAATGCACGCATTACAATTTATGGATACCTCCCTAGAGACACATAACGACTATTATCTGAGATGTTTCACACTTGAAAAATTGAGAATGAAATTGAATGAAAAATTCAAAAAAATGCGACATGAAGACGACTTCGTCTCTACTTTGACGAGGCAGACTGGAAATGCTATTACGAAATACATGCAATGATGAGGAGGTTCAAACTGTAGGCAGACACACTCTGTAATAGAAATTTGCTCCTTCAACGTAACTCTAAACATCACTTGCATGCACGCATGCTAACAGAGCGCGTATATCGGAACTGTGCTACTGGGATACTTTCAACTGATCTATTCTAAGATATTTCTCGAAAAGTTTATGAGGACATTTCAAACGCGCACGTAAAAATACTCTTGGCACATGAAAAATAACCACTGGCTGCTACACACTGCTACAATAAATTTAGTGCTTGTACCACACAATTTTCAATGGCAGGAATCAAAGAGGATTCCATGGAAGGAAATGCACGCATTACAATTTATGGATACCTCCCTAGAGACACATAACGACCATTATCGGAGATGTTTCACACTTGAAAAATTGAGAATGAAATTGAATGAAAAATTCAAAAAAAAGGCGACATGAAGACGAATTCGTCTCTACTTTGACGAGGCAGACTGGAAATGCTATTACGAAATACAGGCAATGATGAGGAGGTTCAAACTGTAGGCAGACACACTCTGTAATAGAAATTTGCTCCTTCAACGTAACTCTAAACATCACTTGCACGCACGCATGCTAACAGAGCGCGTATATCGACAACGAAAAACAGAATTAAACACCTTGCAACTTACCTGCTGACCCACAGCGGGGTGATCATTTTGATTCTCTCCCGCATGGATGTACGTTGAACTGTCTAAATAAAACCTAACAAAGACGTAGAGACATAAAAAGCAGAGCAAGTGACATATTGGGAAAGAATAGCGCGAAATTTGCACCCAATAAGAAAAATTGAAACACTGACGGGCGGGCGAGAAATGAATTACTTCATCGAGATAGCAAAGAGTTGGTATGCAAAACAATGAATTACCCTATTCGCAAATTTACCTGTGAAGCTGTGCCGGGTCATTATGAAGAAGTTCATAATACTGACGGACAAATTCGTGCCCAATTGACCTGGGATCCATCACTGCATAGCCACTCTGCCCTGCAGCAAGGAACGAGAAGAACGGGGAGCGTGCTGGATCAGTACACATCAAAAGTACTAAGATAGTACCCACTACACGGAAAACTGGCCAGCCTAAAGAGCTAAAGAGCTATGTGCTGTGCCGAACACTGTGCGACTAAACTACAGTAACTTGAATTGTCTTCACTTCTTCATCAGAACTAAAATGATCACCAGCAAATGACGACGAGAATCATTCCACATGAACACTACACACAGAGTGAATATCTCGCGCAAGTAGGATCGCTGTGATGGGTGGCAATTCAGCAAAGAAAAGTGAATGCCAGATACTCCAAATTCCCGCTATCCATAGTTGATATGAACAGAGTCATACTCTAAATAAAAAATTTCCAGAATGAATGTCCATCTCCAAGTGCCGAGTTCTTCATCATAATTTACAACTATTCCAGCTTCCGCGCCGGACAGTGTGCTTACCAGCACTAAATGGTGGTCCACGTCTCTACAAAACTCAGCAGCTGAGCATGACTAACAGCATCCACGAAGGAGACGAAACTTCAATGCAAAAGGCCTACGATACGGCCGTAAGAGAGTGGAGAAGGAAAGAGAACGGGGCAAGAAAAAACAGAGCACCTTTTCCACGTGCCTGCTACTAAAGGCCTCTAACCCTGAGAAACCTATTTGTACAACGGGCGCGCCTAGCGTCTGTCCTTGCGCGCATGCATTTTATACTATGAAAATCGGGTGGCAGGTAGTGGATGACTTCGCTAGCGCTAGCGCTAGCGCTATGCGCTTGGGTACGTGTAATAAGCGCTTTCACGTATTTTGCCGGTTTCGGCAAAAATATCGCGATGCACACACATGCACAGCCATGTATAATTATGTACACGTGTGCACGGCGCTTGCACTGTGCACGTAAATCTACGTCACGTCGTCAGAATGACATGTCGCAGTATAGCTGGTATAGTATAGCCAGCTAGCTACAAGCTGTGGCACGTGGATAAAAACCATGATTTTGTATGAACCCGGGCAAATGTGTGCACAACACGCAAAATTGTGGGCGTGTGGAGAAATGACCTTGCGTTTTTTATGAAAATGTGTACGGGAAGTAGGTAGTACTCGTACAATACCCGTTTTGAGGAGCAGATTATCGGGTTTCTAGTGTACTACCGGCGCGGCGTAAGTAATTAGTTAGTACGTACTTAATCTTTACGTCACTTTACTTAGCAGCTAGCAGACACATGAGTGACATGACTCCGTCATGAGTAGACCCAGGTGCTCGAAGTCCGTACACGTTTACAGTGTTTTTTTTTTTTTTTTTTTTTTTTTTTTTTTTTTTTTTTTTTTTTTTTTTACTATGTTCACATTCCCAGCTCGAAAATAATAAAGAAAGACAATTACTGTATATCACCTTATTTTCGGTGTTGTAAAATTTCGGTAAAAGCCAACCCCTAGGCCGGCCCTGACCTTTCGGTGTAAGGATAAATTCGGTATGCATGGCACCAAAAAAAAACAAAAAAAACAAAAAACGCTCTTGCACTAATAATAATTATCTCCGCCAAGGCCAAAAGGCTCCACATAATACCGGTACATGTTATGTATGTACAATGTACTACCGGTATACCAAGTTAATTTTTTTAATTTGACAGTGATTTTCATGATTTTTACATATTTTTGGTATTTCGGAAAATTTAGGTGTAATGTTAAATTAGGTGATCCAGGACCAGTACCGAAGTTACCGAAATTTAAATTACACCGAAATAAAGGTGTTATACAGTATACTGAGACGAACGTGACAACTATTGAGCAGGGGCTGCACCCAGACGCAGCAGTGATGGTGGGGCATTGATGGCTCTGCTGACCTGAGGTCTCGGCATCACGGCCAAAAACACGCACCAAAAACAAAAGATAGAGCTGTACGAGTGTGTGTTTGCCGAGCTGAAACTCACACTAGCAATGATCACTTGCCAGAATTCTGCTCGTGGATGGAAGGTATCTTGTCCAAGTTTGTTCTGAGGCCAGGCTCGATTGAACCAGGCCATCTTTCGATCCGATCTGTTTCTCTGGAGTTCGCTGATTTTTCATATCAAATTTTGGTGTCGCAGAGGGTACTCTAAGTCCGTACTGATCAGAGGTGACTCGAAATACGCACATATTTCCGCTAATTGCTAAGGGCCTGGTCACACATGCACTCGAAAGTAGCGTATACGCTGAAGCGAGGTCGCAGGAGCGAAAAATGGCATGGCAACTGCGAAAAGCGGAACTTCCGCTTCAGCGGAAACTCCAATCCGCTTCCTCAAAATTTTCGAAGCGAGACTGTCGCTTCTGCGGATTCGCTTCAGCGGAAAACACGACGGTCTGCTGTATATGGACTTGCTACGAGAAATTTGTATGCGTATGATGTCCATGCAACAAAAATGCGTGCAAGATAGTCATTGACCTCGTCTATTCTCCGTACCGTATGCACCACAGTCTCATTTTCCGCCAAAGTAGGAGTTGTGCCCTGTTTGTATGTGTGACCATACACACGTGGTTTCGCTGGAGCGACACCAGGCTCGCTGCCGCCGAACCTCGTCGCCGAAGCGAATCCTAGTGCATGTGTGACCGCGCCCTAACTTGCAAACCCTCGGTTACGACGAAAGCACCGAAGGGATATGTTTGGCATGTGCCTCCACCAGTATTTCTTGCAAAAGCGTAGTTTGTTGCCGAAATGCAAGCTGTTTTAGTCGGCTCAGAGAAGAAGCAGCTGCGCTGTGAAAACCGCGGGAAAACAGTGGTGAAGATGCCAGGAGTGTCAGGAGTGTCAACCTTTCTGCAAGGATTGGTGGTTCTCTGTAAATTCTTCTCCTCTGGCCATTGGCAGCTCTTGATGATTGAGTGAAGGTCCGTTTGACGCTGTGTCCGTTCGAAATCGGTCTTGGCAAAGTTGATTTTTGCATGAAATGTAACCCAATTTGTATTTCGTATGGACACTCGAAAACCCACTCGCGTGGTATGGGACTTCTGCTTATCGTAGATTCCTGAAAATTGGTACGCGAGGAGAACATACCATACTGTCCCCTCCATAAAATATTTGAGTCGAATACAATAACAGAACATGAAATTATGGGCGTACGAACTTAGGATACCATGTACGGACTTCGAGCACCTGGGTCTACTAACTAATTGTTACTTTCGGGGGTGGTACTATCTTTCGGGGAGTACTTTTTTATCGGGGGTAAATGACACGCACTGGGAAGCCTGCGCAAGTGGAGTAATACTCTCACAGCTCAACTGCGGATGAGGGGTGAATTTCCCGAAACACTGTGTATTGAGCAGGGAGTGGTGCTTTCTTGCAGGTAACTGGTTTGCCGAGTCGAAGGTTCGATGGACTTCTCGTGTGCTCTGGATGGCAGTCGTGAGTCAGTCAAGTGTCAAGTAAAGTCGGCGGAATAGCGCGAGCTCCAGTGTGGGGAGCAAACCCTTTCTTTCAGAACATTGATGACCGAATATCTCAGTTTGTGATGCCAGTTTACACATTTGTTAAAAAATGACACACCAATTATTTGAGAATACTATGAAAGTAGGGCATAATTCAAGACACTTTCCAAAGTGGGATCATTCCCATTTTTTGACACAACGGGCATGAAGGATAGCACTTCCACTTGCAACAATTCATGCATGTTTGGTACGTGGATAAAGAAATGGAGCAGAATTCGAGGAATTGCGCGACGGTTTGTATGGTTCTGCCAATTTCACTGCTCTTCGAGCAGAATCTGCCACCTTTTCGAGCATAATGTCCAAGGCATTTGACTCGGTAAACCATAGCATGCTCCTACAAGAATTGACAGCCATTGGCGTGGGAGGTACAGCTTTGCAATGGTTCCTTACGTACCTACAGAACCGGGAACAGCGTGTCGTCACGAAGACAGCTCAGGGAGACACATACGCAGGAAACAGAGGTGTGCCGCAAGGCTCTGTCCTTGGGCCCTCTTTATTCAATATATCAGTTCGTAATCTTCCCTCTGCAACGAAGCACTGCATGCAAGGCACGGCAATACGCAGACGATGTTTCCCTCTACAAAGCTGGCAAGGACCTAAACCAACTCACACTCGATCTCGCTGAGGATATTACCATTGTTCGTGATTTCCTGGCTGCACGAGGTCTCTGCCTCAATCCGGACAAGACTCAGTTCATAATCTTCAGGTCGAAATCCACACCTTTGACCCCTGACGTCAGCCTTCAACTGAACAACACCTCAATTGCCCCTTTGCCTGAAGTGAAGTATCTTGGAATCGTTTTGGATGAACACCTTACTTTTGGTGCCCACATCGCCCACCTTGAGCGCAAGATTGGAAACAAGATCGCTGTGTTCAGGAAGATACGACACCAACTCACGGAGCACGCCAAGAAAACATTCTACATATCGTCCATCCAATCAGTTCTCGAGTATGGGTCGAATGCGTTTGCTCACTGCCTTCGTGAGGGTCAATATGAGCGCCTGGTTCGCTTGAGTAGACGTGCCTTGCGCACGGTGTTCAACCTCACTCGCTTCAACAGCATCAGTGCACTACAAAAACGCAACAATTTACTCCCACTGGCCGCTCGGTATCAGCTCAGACTTTTTGTTCTTATTTTTCGTTCACTAAATGATCTAGCAAGCCCCCTACTCTCTAGTTGTTTTTCGTTGCGCAGTGCATCGTCACACACAAACTCCCGCACACGCTCTCAAGTTTCTAAAGCCCTTAGTCGGCCTTACTCTTCCCGCTGCTTTAAATCGGTATGGTCTTTTTTCTCTTATAAAATTAGTTTTCTAGGCTCAGATCGTTGGAACTCTCTACCTGCTGACATTCGCCTTTGCACATCTGTTTCTCGCTTCCGTTACCTTGTATTGGCACATTTAGGGTACCCTGTAAGAAGGCCTTAGGCCTGTGGGGATTGCCCTATCAAAAATTTAATAATAATAATAATACTTCAAAAGAAGTAATAATCCGCCGGTAGCCTCCCTACCGAGTCCCGGCCTCTAGTACTTCAGTAGATCCCACATACCGGTACGTCAGACTCATACTACATGTACAGTCATGTAGTAGTAGTAGTGCATACCGGTACATTTTTGCGAGTTCAGATCACGTAGATCTACATGTACACTTCCACTGGCACTGGTTGTATTTGTATTAATTTTGTATTTATGGATTCTTCACAGGCCTTAGCCTATCGAGGGAGTCTCCGTAACAGTTTATGAAGAAGAAGCTGAGGAGAAAAATAAAAATAGGAAATAGAATGATGCGGGGTGGTAGTAATATACATGTACATGTAACACAGTGCTCTATGACATCCATACTCTACGTGGAATGAAACCAGAGGGCTCATATAACGGGTGATAGCAAAGTGTGTGCGGACAAGAGCAGTAAAACATTTTGGGCTGGATACAGACTGTCAGTACGAATGGCAGCCGGGAGGGAGTTCCATGTGGCAGTGGTGACAAAGAGAAAGGTGGCACGGGTGTGTGTGCTGGCTCTAGCAGGTGGGAGTAGATCTTGGGGGCGCCTGGCGCTGTTTGACACCGAGTAGCCTAGGTCCTCCAGGGTCGTCATCTGGCTATTGTAATAATAATTTTGTATTGATAAGGAGGTGGTGCACCGGTGGAGCTCAAGAAGGCACTGAATCAGTGAATGTGTCTTCGCCATGCGAGGCTGGGCCACTGTAGGTGCGCGAAAAGTGAGGCTTTCGGCTCCGTTTGAGGAGGGTAGATCTACACGCCATACTGCCGCAGGATCACACGTCTCTTGCCTGTAGCCGTTCAAGGGTAGTACTAGTAGTAGTAGCCTGAGCACTGGAGATTTGACCAGATAAGAGGGATGAGCATGAGGCGTATTCAACCACAGGTCGAACATATCCAGTGTACAAGCGGCTGGATACGCTTGGTCATGTGGATCAGCAGGACCACTCGCCGGCGGAACTTTGTCGTGATGGTGGCGACGTGGCTGGTGAAGTCGAGGTTGGAGTCCAAGATGACTCCAAGATGTCGGTGAGTCGTTACATCAGACACGTCATCTTCCTGCATTCTCAGGTGCGGAGTCGGAAGATCACTTCAGGGTGGGCACGTTCTGCACGACTTCTACTTCTAGGAGAGAACTGCTTCGAAGGGTTGAAGCACCCTCCGACTCAATCAGCCCACTGCAGAACGCCATCAGTGGCGGCCTGGAGGGGGTGGACCAACAAATTATATTTTGTTGTTGGTTAGGTCCTCCGGCTAGCGGCTGCTCTCCCAAGAGCAGTGTCATCGGCAAAGACCACATCAGTAGTGACGTCACATCAGACGATATGGTGCGAGGAAGGGCATTTAAAATATTAATGTAGAGAATGCCAAGAATGGGGCCAAGGTGAGATCCCTGGGGAACGCCTGCAGAAACTGGGTGGGTCAGCGACTTGGCAGAGAGAACTTTGACACAGAAGGAACGGGTCTCTGACTCTGAGGTAGTTGGTGAACCAAGAAACGGCTTCAGGGGATATGATAGTAGCGAGCTGACGGAGAAGAACAGTGCGCGGTACCTTGTCAAACGCTTTCGCGAAAAGCATGGTAGTCAGTGCGCTTGTCGAGTGCTTTAGCCACTCTTGAAGACAGGACAATTAGCTGATCGAGTGTCGACGTGGTTCCAGCAAAGAGTTTCTGAATGGAAAGACGACGCTGAAGACGATAAGCAACGTTTCGATGAAGTGGCTTTTTCTGGCCAGCGAATCCCTATTTTTGGTCTTTTTTCATTTTTCCCGCACACACATCACACCACATACTCCGGTATGTACTGGCTGGTGGTAACCACCCAGGAGAATGAAAGAAAAGTCAGGAGAAGTCTGAGAAAGAGAAGAAAGACGTGTGTGACCATAATCGTCGGGAATCGAACCCGCAACCTCTCGATTGGAAATCACTGCACCATATGGGACACACACACTAGTACAAGTACAAGTACGATCAAGAGTCCATAACCCCCCGGGGGGTTATGGACTCTTGGTACGATACAGCTATAACCCTGTTGGCCTAAAACGGGTCACGCCGCCCTCCACCCAAGCATGGGCACTATGAGGGGCAGTGGCAAATAAAGAGAATCAGCTAGCAGAACTGGCAAAACAGATGAAACAATGGAGTAGAACGGACGACTGCTGTACTGTAACAACAACCTGACAGCTACAGTGACAACGACTGAAAACGAACAGGAAAGAAAAAAGAAAGAAAGAAAAAACTGCAAAATTTCACGTCACAAAAAAAACACTGTCCACGAAAGAATTCACCAAGCAAAAGGAGTGTGGGCATCCGAAATCCCACCAGGACTCCATTAACAGTTCTTCCACGTTGACGATGTAAGCGGCAGGGCAGGGCCTCACAAATCCGACAGACCCCCCCCCCCCCCACACACACACACGAGCGCGCGCACAGATTACACCTGCGCATGAATTGAAGTCTGACACCGTCTCAGAAAACTGCATGGTGGTTTTCAAGATGCCAATATTTACACACCACAAGCGACTCGTGTTAACAAGAAATGATGATCGGAAAAAAGGAAGAAGAAGAAGAAAGAAAGCAGAAGAGGAATGCATAGGTGCCGACCTAGGAACAAGCGAAGAATTGTCTCCATGTACACTGCAGAATAACTGGGGTAGAAAGTTGCGAACAAAATGGATGTTATATGATGGGAACAGACAACGACGGCGACATGTAAATAACCACCACACGTCCTGTCCATGCACGCAGTCAGTAAGGTGGCACATTATGATCTATTTGTCAGCACAGCACAACACGGTAGAAGCAAAACAGTAAAGAGTGAACGGCAAATAAATCTTGAGCGTGTGCATGTGTGTGTGTGTGTGTGTATGTGGGGGGGGGGGGGGCAGGCTGTATGGCAAGCCAACATAATACGTATTATTACATGTGCACGATGAAGAATTCTGAACAGCTGCAGAATAAATTCACCTACGACAGGCAGATATATTTACAACATATGGCGAAGGACAGGTAGCAAGGGCTTCCTGCATCTTGTCAAGAGCTAGCCAGGACCAGGTTCAATTACAACAAGAAATCGGCCTGAAGAAATGAGAGATTTCTCTATTACAATCAAATCCTGTACCAGCACCTCAGCACTGGGCCTGTGACCCAGCGATTCTTAGTGCCACCGCACACCAGCAGTTGCATGCACCATGCGCAACATGCGGTCAGCCGGCAAGTGTCCGCAGGCCAGACGACATCAGCGTGCTCAGTCAATTTTCACCGTAGAGTATATCTTGTGCACAAAGAAGTTGGTGCCCATGTACCCAATTGTACCTGCCCACAAACCAACCACAGCCAGGACAAGAATGAGACCAACAGCCAGGACAAGAATGAGACCAACAGCAAGTACCAGAGCAGCGATAGCAATAACAGCAATAACTTCGTCGCCCATGCATTTCTAACACTTAGGGCGCATACATACCACGGGATAACGGGAAAGGTTTATTACTGGCGGTTTTAGCTTGACAAGTCCAACATTGCATTCACATGCTCCAGCAACCCCCCCCCCCGGGAACTCGTAACGTGTATGGCTAGCTTTTTACTAGTTTGCAGAAACATGAAGCTGGTCCTGCACGCGCTCTCTTTGAGTCTGGCCATTCTAGAAGCTTGTCAACAGTACCAGGTAGTGAATATTTTAGGAGACAAGATACTGAAACATCCCTGCAGATGCAGAAAACTCAATTTCAGGCCTCGTTTACACGACGATTGAAAAACGTTTTTGACACTTCCACAGATTTTGATAAGAGCGTTTACATGACAACGCTGAAAAAGTTGAGTCACCTCCACCATTACACTGCGCTCTTTAGCCGACTAGACCCTACTGCTCACAACCATCACCACTGCGAGGACACTTCCGTAGACGATATTGATAACTCCTTCAGGTGAGGTAATGTTGAGGTGACTCAACATTTTCTTCAATGGCCGAGAGCTCTGTCGCACCCTGCAACGCTGAAAACCGTTTCAAAACTGTTTCAAAGCAAAAAGGGCCTTCAAAGTATTTTTCAATTATTTTCGTTCTGTTTCGTTCTCATGTACACGGCAAAAACGCTTCGCTACCATGGAAATGCCAGAATGGTGTGGCGGGAAATAAGAAAAAGGACGAGTGAGTGCCGAATTTTCATGCTTTTTGGGTGGTTGTCGTTTCGCGTTCTCGAAGTGAGCCGCGGCCGTCCTGTGCCGTGGTCCTTCGTCTTTCGTCACCGGTTCGTTAAAGCTAATATTCTTAGTTTGGAAAAAAATGGAGGCGTATCCAATTTCGAAAGCAATCCACACAGTCAAGTAAGCCAATTTAGTAACCGAACGTTTTCGTTCCCTTCTCATTATGGGTAAGTACAGGGAATAATGGAAAAAAATATTTAAAAAAACAACTACAGACAAAGCATAGATCGAGAACCTCACCTTTGAAGCATTTATATTCGTAAGTTGTCCCCTGAACTATGTGTTCAGAAGGAAAATGTTTTGTCACTTCAGTAGTTTGGCGCTAATCCTCGTGAAAGTGTCAGGAATGCTTCTCCTCACTGATGTTTTCATTATGTTTTAGTCAGTTCTTCACCTTCACCCTGTTTTTGACCTGTTCAGCTGAATTTTATTTTTTCCACACGTATAGCGTGAAGTTCTCGATCTATGCTTTTTCTGGAGCTCTACAAGTTGCTTTATTTTGATATTTTTCCATTATTCCCTGTACTTACCCATGATGAGAAGAGAACGAAAACGTTCGGTTACTAAATTGGCTTACTTGACTGTGTGGATTGCGTCGGTGCTGACACCTTTTCTTTCGAAATTCTTAGTTTGCCGTGATGTTTAGCTTGTTTTCGTCTTGAGTGTGCTCACCTTCCCCTTTCTCATGTTATTTCATAATTTAGAACGTTGGTTTGCGCATCCAAGACGTGATAGAGCTTATCATCAGGTCGTTGAATGTCAGTATCACATCAGTCAGTATTGTGCTAGCTGTTGCACCTTCTGACTACACAACATCTTGCTTATAACTGTTAGTGTTGGACACAAACTACAGATAACATGTAACATTTTGGTCCTTTCTTTTTTAATTTAATCCTTGGCTCTCCATCCGAGTCTTATTTGGTGATTTTTCCAGTTGTTAAGTTTTTTTTTAAATAATGGCAAGGGTTGAGAGGGACGTGCTGCGTTCCCTTTGCCAATCTCGCCCACACATTCTTTTTTCATTATCCAGAAAGTTTATCTTAGGGATACCAGAGTAAAATCGGCCTTGGGTCTATTTCAGTTCCTTTTACATGTGGTTCTTCACTGTCACTGGAGGCTTTCTCATTTTGGGTATTCCGTGACGTATTTAGACAGCCGATGAGAGTCATATCTTTCTTTTATAGTTGTTTTGTGGTCAAAGCATTTCCACAAACTGGAAAAGTCAGTCCCCATTCTGAGGTTCCAGTGATATCTAAGAAGGGCTTTCTTCCAGGAATCGTGATGCATACTCAGTACACTGCCCTGGTCCCATGAATCCCGGTGTTTCAGAATTTGGAACCAATGTTGGATAGAGCGATGTATATAAATCAGCCATTTTGTGTGTTTATTCTATGCCAGCCTTACCGGTCATGATGCCAAAGCCAACGCTAAACACCAGCATGTTGCCAAAGTAGAATGACGTCTGGAAGAAGCCGTACATTCTGGAACAGAAAAGAATGTGTGGGGGGGGGGGGAGAGAGAGAAAGAGAGAGAGAGGGAGAGAGATAGAGAGAGAGAGATAGATAGAGAGAGAGAGAGAGAGAGAGAGAGAGAGAGAGAGGGGGGGGGGGAGGGAGAGAGAGGGGGGGGGAGAGAGAGAGAGAGAGAGAGAGAGAGAGAGAGAGAGAGAGAGAGAGAGAGAGATATGGAGAGAGAGAGAGAGAGAGAGAGAGAGAGAGAGAGAGAGAGAGAGAGATAGGGAGATGTGGAGAGAGAGAGAGAGAGAGAGAGAGAGAGAGAGATAGGGAGAGGGAGAGAGCGAGAGAGATAGGGAAAGAGAGAGAGAGAGAGAGCGAGAGAGAGAGAGAGAGAGAGAGAGAGAGAGAGAGAGAGGGGGGGGGGGGAGAGAGAGAGAGAGAGAGAGAGAGAGAGAGAGAGAGAGAGAGAGAGAGAGAGAGAGAGAGAGAGGAGAGAGATAGGGAGAGGGAGAGAGAGAGAAAGAGATGAACGAACAGAGTACGTTTCAGGAGAGCACCAAAAATACAATAAAAAGCATGGCCATTCAGTCTGAATGCAAGCTACCATGGTGCTCATGCAAAACCCGGTTCATCTATCCCGTTGAAATGTCACAACGAAACACTCTGTTCCTTTGAGGAGGTAGATTCTTGGCCCGTGCACATGAGAGAAGATTCCTGGTATGTGCATAGTAAAGTGCGCACATCGAGACAGGCGGGTACGTGATAGGTTGATATAAAACTAGGAAGTTGAAGAACATGCCAGAAGCTTGCGTAAAGTGCCGGCTCACGAATCCTTCCCCTGAAACGGATAAGAGGCTGCGTGACTGCATGTGAGGTGAATCGTACATGAGAGAGAAGACACGGGGCTCAGCAATGTTCATGGAGAAATATTGGGAAAACAACAGGACATGCAATCTTACTTTGTTTTGAAGAAGAAATAGTAGAAGGAATAGAAATAGACGTAGACAGCAGTAGAAGCTGCAGCTGCAAAACTGGTCCATTGCCTACAGGAAACAACAACAACAACAACAACCCAATCCTTCTAGCGATGAACAAATTACACGCATGCGACGACGGTAAACAGCTTCTCAAGTATGAGCGCAATTAGGAGCACAGAGGTAAGTACTAGCTTGAAAACCCTTCCATCTGATGCAATGAGCATAATGATGATACTATTCGCCTATCCGTGTTGGTATCAGGTCTATCAAACCCTAGCCTTCGCTCGGGCTTGACGGTGGCCAACTTAGATTATATATCCTACCGATAGATGCCACTCGGAACGTTGGGGTCGAGGGGACAATCACAAGTGCTATACCACATTTGCAAAATCCACGTGACCAAGAGTAAATAATAGGGCTGAAACAAGTATATCGATTACTCGAGTACTCGCTCGAAAATTTGCAGCGAGCGAGTACTCGGTTCAAATCCGAGTACCGATTGCAACATTGCGGGGGTTCATTATGCGCTGCAGTTACATGCGTCATGTCGATCGACTGCATGCTAGTATGTGTAGAGTGCGGGATGGCCACAGGCACAGCCGACACAGGCGCAAGGCGAGCATGCATGCATCACTGCCACTACACATGTAGTGCACGGTCTCTGATCCTAGGGCCAAATGTTACATGTACGTGCAGACTACAACGCGCGCATGCAGGGGGGGGGGGGGGGGGAGTCAAGATGAACCTTTTCCAGTCGATCGATGTTTTTGTTGTTTAGAGTAGAGTTCGAGCAGTTGTTATTTCTTTTTTCAAGTTCTTCTTTCGACTGTATACGCCGTGCGTTATGGACTGTCTTCGTCAAGCTTCGTCTGTCTCACCGACTGTAAAGCGCCAGTCGAGTCAGCGTTCCTTTGTGTGGAATTATTTCACGCAGCCCAACGGTAAGCTGGTAACCTGCAGCGAATGTCGGAAAGACTTCACGTACACTGGAGGCACAACGAATCTGACTCGCCACCTGAAGGATAGGCACAACATCGTTGCGAATTCCTCAGCCAGTGCCGACCAGGACGAGAAGCCACCGTCTTCTCGATCTTCGCGGCTGCTGGATCAGTTCGTGTTGTCACGAACTAGCAAACCCTGCAATGCAGCGAAACAGGAGGCCATTACGGAGCTCGTCGTTGACTGGATCGGGAAAGACATGAGTCCTCTAGGCATTGTGAACGACGTTGGATTTCGACATCTTCTAGGATATATCGAACCCAACTACTCAGTGCCATCAAGAGCAACTGTGTCGAACATCATACGCCGTCGCCACGAAACTGGGAAACAGGAGCTGCAAAAAAAGCTGAGTGAAGCCGATTCCATCGCTATCACCACTGACGCCTGGACCTCAAAGGCCATTGTGTCTTTCGTCGTGTGGTACACGGGACACTTTATCACCGATGACTGGGAGCTGGTTAGCTGTGTGCTGGAGACATCGCGCTTCCAGGGTAGCCATACAGCGGTGAATCTAGCTGCAACCACCAAAGATGTGCTGAGTCGATCCAAAGTCCCAGCAAAGTCAGTGGCATGTCTCGTCCACGATGAGGCAGCCAATCAAATGGCAGCCAGCAGGCTGCACAGGATGAGAACGGGTGGAGCTTCTCAGCTTGTGCCGCTCACAGGCTGCAGACGTGCATCCGACATACTGTAGTATAGCCTCCTCGCAGCCAATCCAGAAGCTTCTGGCCGATGCTCGCCGGCTTGTGGGTCACTTCCACCACAGTGCAAAAGCTACGGAAGCTCTGGTGAACAAGCAGACTGCCATGGGGGAGAAGGGATCCACTCCTCTCCACGTCATCCAGGATGTCTCCACTAGATGGAACAGCTCTATACACATGCTGAAGCGACTGCTGTCTCTGAAGCTCCCAATCATGGCCGTGTTGGAGGATGCCACTCTCACCAAGTCCATTCACAACACTCTGCTTCTAAGAGAGTCGCAATGGTCCTTGGCGAAGGAAGTAGTAGCGACAATGGAGCAATCGGCATCTGCAACTACACTGCTTGGTGGTCAGAAATTCTGCACACTGTCATTGGTTGCTCCTGTTGCTGCTGGACTCGTTCGTCACTTGGATATCGCAGCTGATGATGAAGATCATCAGTCACAATCACCCGATTCCGAGAGTCTTTGGCAAGTGAGATCCGTCAAAAGTTTGAACTGGATCCACCTAGTCCTCATTCCTTGCCCTGTATTGCAGCAGCGCTTGATCCTCATAGCCGTAGCCTTGGATTTCTGCCAGAGGCAATGAGGTCGGAAGTAAAGGAAGAGGTGATGCGATGTGCCACAGAACTCGTAACAGGTTCTGCACAAGTTGAGCCTGATGATAGTAACGTAGAACCGGCTGCTAAGCGCCCTTGTCTCGCACCTGAGAGCAGTGCTGATGTCGTATGCACAGTCTTCTGACCCCATGGAATCCTTTTTTGCATGCTTCGAGGATACCTCATCATCCTCTTCGTCCACGTCATCACCGCTGGCTGATCTTAAGACAGAGGTGCAGCTGTATTTCAATGAACGCCAGGTCAGCCCAAAGACGAACCCGCTGGACTGGTGGAAGGGTAATGCTGAACGGTTTTCGACGCTGATGCAGGTGGCCAGAAAGGTGCTATGTATTCCGGCTACATCGGTGCCTTCAGAGCGTGTGATTTCCGCAGCCGGTATTATCGTAAACAAACTCCGTGCGTCTCTTGCCCCAGCCAATGTTGACGCTCTCATCTTCCTCCGCTCTAACGTCTTCCTCAAGTCGCTGAAGCCACGTGTGATGGTGCCTGATGTACAGCTTCCCTCGTCAAGAGAGGCTATGTTTACTGAAGAGGAAGCTGACCACTGTGTTCAGTCAACAGCACTTGAAGAGTAGTCTGAGATCAGTGTTCTACGTGTATCTCTATGTAGACCATCGGAGTGACGGTTTAGCAGTGTTTGCCAAGTAACAGAGAGCACTTTTCAAGCCCTGTTACATGCCCATGCCACTACTTGTATATTAATATTTGGTATTTGCACCATTTATCTATATCTGTTCCTGCTTCCTGATTTTGTCGTCCAGTGCTTGCTTGTACATGCTAGTTTTCACTTGCTTGAGACAGCCAGAGCTGTGCATAATAATAATTACTGAATCATGGATATCCATTTAAGGTTGCTTGAGAACGTGAAAGGCATTCTTTAGCCAACCTTGCTGTTGAGTCATGTGGAATCGTGTGGTTTCCAGGTATGGGGGGGGGGGGGGGGAATACTCGTACTCGCTCGGAAGCATGTAGAGTACTCGAACAAGGAATATGAATACTCGTTTCACCCCTAGTAAATAAGCTCCCAAGAGGGTGCAACTCTGCATATGGGGTCCCCGATGGTGAACACTCACATCACGTGCTCCAGCTACAATTTGTACTATGTGGAATGAATGCTAGCGTGTGCAGCCCAAATATCTGCCAATCTGCCATGATCACGCCAACGACTCACATAAGTTTAGTGGGTTTCTGTCAGGGAGTGCTATTTTTACTACTCCACTGGTTGCTAAAATGTGCTGGGAACGTACAACGAGAACACTACACCAGGTGATGTTAGTTTTCACAGTCGGCGTAGTATTTGGCCAAGTATTTGTCAGTAGCCCAAACAGGACTGTCAGTAGTGGGAATTGAAAACCAGGTACAAACCCATACACGGGAAGTATGTCTAGTGTATGAGGCCAGCTTATTCTTATTCTTATCAAATTTTTGATAGGGCAATCCCCACAGGCCTAAGGCCTTATACAGGACTATTTACAATAAAATCACACTGTATATATATATATACATCATATGCCCTCACCAGCGATAGTCTTCCGCATTCAAGAGGAAGTAGGAACAGACGATGGTGACGCAGATGGTGACCAGCACCAAGATGATGAAGACCAGCAGCATGAAACCATACACATAGTAGATCTTGTACGCCCAGAACGAGGTGAAGATGAAGTACATCTCGATGAAGATCGAACCGAACGGGAGAATTCCCCCAAACAGAGCAATGGCCAGGGGCTCCATGAACCTGGGCAGAGCAATGCCAAGGAAGAAGACAACATGACACATGCGTGTGCAACTGCAATGCAACATAGAAGACTGAGGGGTGGGGTACTGGTAAGTAAGAATCAGGGAGTTGTATAGACCCAGGAGAGGACACGGCACCGGCTTGAGTCACACCTTGTTCCCGTGGACAGGGTGCGACTCGACCCGACATCCGTGATTTTTTTTCCGCTGAGTACTTCCCAGGGCATCAGAATTCATGATTACACAGATCACAAAAAAACCATCTGGGAGTCGGCTGTCCATGACCATTTCTCTTATAACTTTCGGTTGGTGATAGAAAGTCATCCTGTGGGGGCATACTGACCACTCGAACTAAGCAAACGACAAACACTATGAGGTTGTGGATGCCATTGAAATTTGGTACTTTTTCCAAGAGTCTTTTTAGGAACGACAAGAGTTGAGAGGAACATCAGGGCCTGCTCTAGACATTCAACACAGCCCGGTCAGAGTGTACCTGGCGCATGCAGGCCAGCCGGGTCAAGCCGGGTCAGATCATCCGGCAGAAAATCCACCAAAAAGCCTGCTCAAAACGCAGGAAAACAAAAAGGCGAATTTATTACTGGAAATCGGAAATTTTAGAGAACAAGGCGAACTATCAAAGTCCGCAAACGTAGAAGGTAAACGACATTACGTGAAGAATGCAAAGCAGTTCCATTGGATTCTTATTTAACAATTTGAAAAAAGGAATTCTGTTTTCTAATTAGTGCTAGTAGCAGCCTAGCAGGACGAACATGTTCACATAATAGAGCACTGGGGGGGGGGGGGGTGCCTGCAGCACCTTGTGGAGTGGCTGCTTCCTGCACGCATCGCGACCAAATCCACCGCCGCTCGTCTTCCTTTGGAAATGCGTCTTGCACAAAGCGCATGACATGGATAGACTAGCATGGTCGTAGTCCAGCCAGGGTCGACCTTTCTTCCAAGAGTCTTGGAAAGCGTGAGTTCTTTTTCTCTTCGCTGCAGGCTCCATCGTCCACATCACCAGTTGGCTGAAAACTTGCAACTGTGTCAAAAGCTATAGCCAAAGTTACGCTTTTGACTGCCTGCCCCATCGACTTTGAATGTCCTGACTTCCTGCTCGCCGCTGGCCAGATCGCGCTCGAACCAGTTGACCCTAGCCGAGTTACTAGGGAGGTTCCGGAGTACGATTTTTCGTGCCAAAATCCGTAGAGGCGCTACGGATTTTTTATACAGTGAAATGTTCCGGAGTACGGAACTTATGTGTTTGCCGTCATTGCCTAGGTTACGATCGCAAACACGTCACATTCCCGCGCTATGCCCTTTTATTTTGAAAATTTGTATCGAAATCAAAACTTCCCGCGGAAAATCGATGTTTCTCGTAAAAAAATTGTACGCGAAAAATCTTTCTGCACCCGATGACGCAAAATCTCCATACGAAACAGGTTCGTATGAAAGCCAGTCCACACGGATTCTCCGTGCCGAAAAATCGTATGGAGCACGCCTGGAAAAATCCGTAGCGCCCATGCGGATTTTGGCACGGAAAATCGTACCCCGGAACCTCTCTACAGTCGCTTGTAATTAATTGTAGACTGTAGTGTGTACGATTATGCTAAATTTGCAACATATGGGGTCCGCGAGGCACCCATCAAAAATCACGATTAGTGGCGTGTCACCTCCCTGTATTTTACTACTCCCTGGTTCGGTGTAATGAACGAAGCTGTACCGCTGCAGGTGAACTACCTGCTGGATGAGTCGGACACGACTTATAATCACAGGCAGTTGCTATTCCAACTGTACGCCACATTTTTCAACAAGCAAGTTGTCTGGAGTCACCAGGAAGCACAATGTTACACCCTCGTCCGGCTGTTGTTTTCGACCATACAATTCTTAAAAGTGACCTTCACAAAACCTACCGTAACTCGGTTAATACTTGGTATATTTTGCTCCGGTTTTCTGCAAAAGATTTCTGTAAGAATCCTGCATCTAGTGATGCACATAACTCAAAATCGACCGCTGACTCTGTTAGACCCCTTTTCGCTTGGAGCGGCTTATTATGTCCGTCATCTCTACATACCGGTATTTGCAATTTTGGTCATGGTGATTTCATATGACTGCGTTTCTGATGCATACCGGTATATTGCACGTGCTCCTTTTAGTGTCGGTCTTTTTACTCAGTCGCACCTCGTGCAAGCAACCAATAATGGAGCGAGCTTCCAGAATGAGAAAACTTACTCCTTTCCGGTTTTTGTGTGCGACGATCAATCAGGGCGAAGAGATCGCCACCACACACATCGGCCGAGCTTTCGTACGCCGTGTCCTCTCTCGGGTTTCTACTATTCAATGGGTAGCATGGGTAGCATCTACTAAAAACTAACCAGTTGACTGAACTTGACATGCAACAACAATAAGCAACAATGTTGGCAAGTCAAAAAAAAACACAGCCAAACACCGCCTACCATTTCTTCTCAGGAATGGGCCTGGGAACGGTGTTGACACGACATGGGTAGCTGGCTCTGCCAGATACACTTCTACCCAGCACTGTCCCAGAAAGGGTCAGAGGCAGAACAACGAACAGGCAGATCGTGAACACGGCGAGCTGAAAGAAAGAACCAAAAGAAGCAAGCACAGAAATCCACACACACACGCACAACAAACAAATGAGAAAAAGACTTCTGCGTGACTGTTCGTGTGGATCATTATTATCAAATTCGTAATAAGAATGTAAAGTAAAGTTCGCACATCCGCATTGCCCCAGCTCTACAATTGTGTTTGGAAAATATGTTGAAAAAGGAGAAGGACAAAATGTTACGAGTTATGACAAACTGTCCACCAACGTAACCAGATCTTATACAGTCAGCGAGTGCGACAAAATGGCACAAAACTGACAAGGAGTACTGAGACATTCGGCAACCTGACACCTAGCTCCAGCACTTCTCCAAGGCGCAAACCAACAACCTTCCAACTTGGAAGGCTCAGGTTCAGGCTTGTCAGTTTTGTGCCATTTTGTCGCACTCGCTGACTGTAAAAGATCTGGTTACGTTGGTGGACAGTTAGTCATAACTCGCAACATTTCGTCCTTCTCCGTTTTCACCATAATTTAATCGGCTCACCATCCGAGAAAATATGTTTTTTTGCGGAAATAGTGATATCATATGCTAGATGTCTGGCCCTTCCCCACTGAAGTGTACGTATTATATTATTCAGAGTTGTCGACATTTTAAAGTTATGGGCAGTGAGCAAGCACCGCATTATCCAGAGTATAAGCCTCACTGGAGTATAAGCCGCACCCAGATTTTTTTGTGACGAAATGCAGACATCTATCTCATTCACCACCGTTAATTGGGGGTGAAATACTGGTGTTTAAAGTGCAGCGTATACTCGGGAACAATACGGTGCCACTGGCAGTACTTACCATGCTGGTGAAGGGAATGGCACGCGATGCATGGTAGTACATGGCAACAAAGTTGATCATGAACGTCGACCCGCACACAATGGAGGGAACCAGAGCGGCACTGACCAGCATCTGCTTGATCCACTCCTTGCCGCCAAACTTGTAGTACATGGAACCACCAAAGTAGCCATTGACCGGAGAGGTAGCGGCATACACCAGAATGGCTGCATTCATGATGGAGCCACGCCTGAACATAGAAGCACACAGGTAACAAATACTGTAATTTCACAAATGTTCAGTGTACAGTGAAACCTGTCTAAGGCGACCCCTCAAGGGACGAGAAAAAGTGGTCGCCGTAGTCAGGTGGTCTTCTTATCCAGGTTCAGTGGGTCACGTGACCATATCCACATGTGATACATCATTTTGATCAGTGCATCACAGTGCACACACCTACCGTATTATCTCTAATATAAGCACGGTCCTTTATTTTTTCAATGTACCTCCGCCCCGTGCTATAATTGGAGACGTTCCTTTATTGGAGACTGTTCCATTATTATTTCAACCTCATTTCAGAGGCTTGTTGCCATGCCAAATTCATGTCAGACACACACATTTCAGGGTTTTTTCGCCGGTACAGATAATGAATTTACACAGTGTGCTTATAATGGAGACTGAGCACTTTATTTTTTGAATGCCGCCCCAAGGTGTTCTATTATTGGAGACGTGCTATTATTGGAGACTGTGCTTATATTAGAGATAATACGGTATGCTACTCTAGCACGACTCATGTGCCTGGGGTCTTCAGACCTGTCAAATGTCGTGCATGCACCACGTACATCTACACTTCCTGCACTGATGTGTAGATCTACCATGCCTGGTGCACCATGCAATGCGTACATTTACATGACTAGCACTGTGCAACGCGGTCGCGGGTGGGTGGTCGTCGGTCGCGTTGAGCGAGTGGTCGCCTTATCCGAGGTGTGTTGAATGTGAATGCGTCCGTGACAAGGAAAAGTGGTCGCCATGGTTAAGTGGTCGCCATGGTCGAGTGGTCGCCATGGTCAAGTGGTCGCCATTACAGGTTTTACTGTACTTTTATTTTCGGTACTTTCGGTGCGTCTGTTTCATACCTAAAATTTCAATACACCGAACAAACATTAACACACATAATCCAATAGGGAACTGCTTCTCTGTACCTAACACTTCTGTTCACCTAACCTGGCCTGTTGCCCTCATACCGAAATTATTGAGCACCGAAAATTTCTGAAATTAGAGTACTTACAGAGTATGTGCATTTACATATCAGCACACAAGCAAAAAAACCCGGATGAACACTCTATGCACAAAACCTACAAAGTTCGTAGGAAAAGAAAGCTCTAAGGCAAGCTTGTCAATCTGCATTGGTTCAAGTTATAGTTGCCATTGGAATGGAAAGATTAGACTAATCCCCTCCACCCGCAAAGGGTCGTGTCCACATGTTTATCTAGGGAGAAATACTGAGTAAGCATGATACTACAGTACCGGCCGCTTAGCTCTGACAATCTGGCTAGAAACAAACTCCGAACACTCACCCCGTGTACAAGTCATCGATGATGGCCATGAGAATGACACACAGGCAGACAAGTCCCAGCTGAGCACCAGCACCAATCACGGAGGAAAAGGCCATGGGATAGGCGGGTGCACGGAACACGTCTCCATGAATCTGCTTCCAGCCGTATTCATCTCCCAAGTCACGGTCCTACAAAGTGATGCCAGCAAGGAAGACAGCGGCAGGAGAATGTGTATCACAGCTCTTGTCCAGACTAGCAAATGGCTAGAATGTGATCAGTGTAATTGCATTCTGACTCGGAGATGAGCAGCCAAGACATGTTACAACAGGGTGCCCAGTGCCAACCTACCATATCATCAATCTCCTCGTCCCGACGATAGCGTGCATAGTCCTTTCTCAGGGTTCGCATCAATATCATACTGACCAGACCGATGAGGAAGATGACCATCATGAAGGAATTGAAGATGGAGAACCAATGGATCTAAACAGAACAACATGCAGTAACAGTAACGGTGTGAGAGAGAGAGAGAGAGAGAGAGAGAGAGAGAGAGAGAGAGAGAGAGAGAGAGAGAGAGAGAGAGAGAGAGAGAGAGAGAGAGAGAGAGAGAGAGAGAGAGAAAGAGACACACACACAGAGAGAGAGAGAGAGAGACAGAGAGAGAGGGGAGTAAAGACACTCAACACTATAGCACAGCAAACTTCATTGTTCTACTTGTTTCTGTTTTCAATTGCAGGATACTTTAATCCACACACGTGCGCATGCATACACCTGTGAGAGTTCCCAAGACTGCAGTACAAAAACATCCTGAAAGCTTACCCTGTGCTGGAAGAAGTTGGGGTCCAAGTACTTCTCGAATCGTTTTACAAAAAGAATACTGGACTTCTTCCACGTGACCTATAGGTGATCAAGAAATGCAAGCATTATAAGAGTGAAGTGTCAGGAATATGAATCTACTGACTAACTACGTTGTCACATACTTCATCAACATGATCCTATACAAGCACACGGAATAAAAGGAAATACGTACAGTAAAAACTAAAAAGGCATAACATGCAATATCATTGTGATATGGATATACACAAAGAATTAGAAATACCGTATTTCCGCAAATAAAAGGCCGTCCTCGTATACAACGCCTTCCTCGTATACAAGGCCGGGGCAGGGGCGATTGAAAAAATAAAAGACCGTCTCCGATTAGAAGACCGGGCCTACTAAATGAGTCTTTGTTCTTGTGTAAAAATAGAAGACCGTGGTCAAACTGTGGGAAAAAATAGAAGACCGTACTCAAACTGTGTGAGGAAAATGGAAGAACGGGGGTAAAACTGTGTGGCGAGAAATAGAAGACCGGGGGTCAAACTGGGTTGAAAGAATAAAAGACCGTCCTTGATTATAAGGCCGGGTTAGGACGAGGTTGAAAAAATAGTAGACCGGCCTACTATTTGTGGAAATACGGTAAGTGTAGAAGAGTGGTCTTGGGCAAGCACATACCCATACCAACACTATTTTCAGATAGCGTAGCATCTTTTCTAAAAGGGAATTCCAAGCACACTTGAGTGGATGTTTCGATAATGCAAAGAAAAGCAGTGCCATTACAGCCGTTGCTAATCAATAGTACAGTCGACCTACCCTTATAACGATAACCTCTATAACGATATTACCCTTATAACGATATTTTTCTGCCAAACCAAATCACTCCATTGACTTGTGTATACAATGCCTTACCTCTATAACAATATTGCTATAACGATATTACCCCTATAACGATAGAAAAGGGGCTGACCAATCGCCATTTTCCATTTTATAACAATATCTGGCAGGGAATATGTAGAGCCCACTATCCAGGTAGGGCAAGCTTCACTTGATAAGTCGCTGGGACATGACGAAATGCAATGGGGGCACAAGTGGGCACCTTGCTGTGTACAAAAAGTCCATGTACGTCAGTTTTTTATGCTACGAAGAGTGTAAAAAATGAACAAAATCCATGCATTATGACGTATTATGACGTATGTGTATGAAATGAACCAGTTACCCCTATAACAATATTACCCTTATAACAATATTTCTTGGTCTGACACAAATATCGTTATAAGGGTAGGTCGACTGTACATTCAAAAGGAAAGAAACAATGCCCATCCTTGACACCAACACACTCCCATGCTATGCGACACCATCAACACGGAGAAAGGAAGTACCTGGTATGTGAAAACTAGCTTGGCTCCTGGGACGAGTTTCACCTTGGCCTCACTGGTCAAATTTACATCAACAATCTACAACAGTGCAAATACGAAGCAATCAATGAGCACAAAGGTACAGCCAAGTCAACAGATGGATAGGAGTAGATTGCTGAACAAGGTGAATCCCGGAGAAATGCAGACTTCAAACACAGGAATGCCCCTCGTAAAGAAGCAGTAATCTAAACAGTCCGTTCAAAACTTGTCTCTGGCTGTCAACATTGGCATTTACTGGTGTACATGATCCCGAGTCAGACCAAAAGGCAGCCTACTGTCACACAAATAAGAGCAATGGTAGCCTGGTTCAGATGTTGATGTGCTCTCTGGCTTGAGGTATCCTGGGTCAAAAAGTCATCGTCATTTGACAGCTATAGACATTACAAAAAAAATGACAAGCTCCACATTCATGTATAAGTTGACCCACGCAATAGTACCTGGTTTCCATTGAAGCCAAACTCCAGTTTCTTGTGTGTCCAGACGTAGTACTCATCATTTCCATCAGCACCCTTCTGAACATCACCAACGATGCCCCAGATTGGCAGGTCATCCACAAACATCTGGTACCAGTAATGGTTCTTAACGGAGTACTCCAAAGCCTTGAACGTCTCATCGCTGGATAATTCTATCTCGCAGTACTTCTCCTGAGGCTTCTCAGCTACATCCATGAGAGAGAAAAAGAGAGAGGGAGAGAGAGAGAGGAGAGAGAGAGAGAGAGAGAGAGAGAGAGAGAGAGAGAGAGAGAGAGAGAGAGAGAGAGAGAGAGAGGGAGGGAGAGAGAGAGAAACAGACAGAGAGAGGCAGAGACAGACCAGACAAAGAATGAATAAATGAATAGACTCCAATAAAAGCCAAAAGAATCTCCGCCGCCGGGTCAGTGTCTACCTGGCTGATTTTTTCAACCAAATCCACACAGTCTCTCAAAAGGGCTACTGACCTGCTGATCTTGCTCTGGAGCAGGACCAGCGTAGTCCACAACGGCTGGAATTATATTTTTGTATGTATAGTACTGCAGCAACTATTGCCTACAGCATTGGCGTTTGAATGTCAGAGTTCTAAAACTATCAGTGACATATTACTGCCATCATCTCTCTAATATATGCATGTCTTTCACAAGGGAGTCGTCAAGCGTGGACGGGTCACCTTGGGATGAAAATACGACACATATGCATGGAGAATTCCAGTAGTCAATTACCGTAAAAGTCCGTAAATAAGTACGTATTTACTTTCGAATTTAGTGACCACACCCGTACTAACTTTCGGGCGGGTGCTGACTTTCGGGCACGAACTAACTTTCGGACCTGACTTGTGTGTAATGGAGAAGTCATTTTCATGTCGATGTACATGCTGCGTGCTACATGAGCGCATCGTACCGGTACTTATTTCGGGCAGTATGTTTATCGGGCTTGACTTGACTTCAACAGACAGAGCCAAAAGAATGAAGGTGGTATTTCTTTCGGGCAGGTACTTATTTACGGACTTTTACGGTACCGGTATCTAAGACTTCCATCCCGAGATGAATGCCCGATAGATGTTGTATTAAAGGGAGTCCTGGAAATATAGAGGTCCCGTCTTCGACAACAAGACCCTGAAGCTTCGCAGCAAGAGGCATGTGTATGAGGATGTTGATCTCATGATGCTCTTGTATGGTGCTGAGACGTGGATCACCAACGCATGTCACCTCCAGAATCGGTGTGCTTGATCCGTGGGTGTTTGCCATCGTCAACAGCGGGATGACCTAATCACAAAAGCTGCGCTAGCGGCTACACTCGGTGTTGACCCTGACGTCACCGGCACCATCCGTCGCCACCATCTTCGTTTGATAGGTCATATCGGTAGGATGGACGACTTGCTCACGCCGAAGCAAGTGCTATGGCGAGCTGCCTGCCCCCGGTCCTCGTCACGGCCAAAGAAGAGGCGGCGGGATGTGGTGGCAGCGGACCCGCTCAACCTGTCAGTGAGTACCTGGCTTGAGAGTTGCCAAGATCTCCGGCTGGAAGTGAGCTACCAACAGCATTCCACCGTCACGGCCCGCTCCTGATCCTCCTCTCTGCGTCTGTGTGTTTCATAGACCAGGAGACCTGAAGCGGCATGCCGGCTTCTGCGCTCCTATTCTCACTTGAACTTCCAGGCACCCGCTATCATTGAGTTCGCAATGGGCAAGGTCAAGGTGTGTGTGTGTGTGTGTGTGCGCGCGTGTGTGCCAGCTAGTTCGGTTGGTGGGTACACTTATGCCCGATAGTGTTGGGTCTGTTGCCAACGGGCTCGGCTGCTTGAAGGTGTAATGTTGTACCTACCACCTTTGTTGGTTTCAGGGTTCATATACTTTCTATTTGAAGTATACATACCTGTTAACCATGGACTACTTCTGGCTAGATTAACTCTTGTGTAATCATGGTGCTAGTGAAGCTTGTATCAGATCCACTCTGATTTAGCCATTCACACTAGTAGCAAGTATTACCTTCACTGGGGGCAGGGGTAACTGCAGTTGGATCCCAGGACGGATATCCTGATGCCGTCAATCCTTTTTCTGCACCTTGTCCTCACCCACTTACTGAGGTGTGGTGAACCCATAAGTGAGATCATTTTCAAGTCCACCCAGAGTTTTGGGGATTTCAGGGGGTGCCGGCCGTTGGGCGGTTCAATACCCAATTGAGTCATCTTTCCAAGATTCCTTTTGAGTCTCTCTCCTCTCTCCCGGGGAGACCCACGTGACCAGTTTTGGCAGTGAGCAACAAGTAAGTACAAGTACAAGTGTGTGTGTATGTGCGTATGTAAGTGTGTGTGTGTGTGTGTGTGTGTGTGTATGTGCGCTTCAAACAGCTGTGTGGTGGATACCAGGCTAAAAATAGTGGCGGTCAATTCATCAGCCTTGCAAGCTGTTGAATGGTGTAATCCCAGCACAAGTTGCTATGTCTAACATAGCTGTTCGCTATCATCGCTTCCGCGATGGGCATGTCTGAAAGGTCTGAGGTCTGAGGTATGTGCGTGCGTATGTGTGTGTGTGTGTGTGTGTGTGTGTGTGTGTGTGTGTGTGTGCGTGGTGCGTGCGTATGTGTGTGTGTGTGTGTGGATGGGTGGGTTTTATGTTAAACTGTGTGCGCTCTGGTTATTCAAGACCTGGTTAAATTGGTGGACTGTAAAACATAACGTTTGACCTCAGTTTACCTTACTTCAGCTCTAAATTGGGAATAGCATTCATCAATTTGAAACAATTGTGTGAAAATGAGGAATGATGACATCAGTGAGTCGAACCTCGCAGGCGAATCTTACCGCCGAATTTAATATCCAGACCACTGAATTCCAACTCGATGCCCTGCAAGGATTCTCCAAGCGTTTCGTGATAATGGTCGATGGAAGACTGAGGTCCATGGCAAAATGGCAATGAGAAAAAACGATAGGTCTCCTGACGATTGTGATACGGTCCAACTGTGTTCATCCATAGGACAACTTGCTCCTCGTCCTTATACTGTAGCACAAAATAGAGCACATATCTAACCTACCAGTCATTGTCACACTTAAATGGAATTGACTGGGGCTTACCTGATGACTATGTTCATCAGCAAGCACTACATTCGCCGTCGCCACCAGTAACAGTAACGCTCCACTGTGCCACATCGTGGCTCAACAGCACAACTTCGTCTCCAGAAATCCACCACGTCTACCTAACTGTAATATGCTCTGGTCGCTCACTTACAAGATAAATTTCAAATGATCTGACAATGAATATCGAATACAAGCCCATTTGAGGGTGAGGATAAAATCAGATTCTTCAACAACAAACTCAGTGAGGGATCATTTTTGCGAGCTCCCAGTTGAACACATAATCACATGGCACACAAACACATTCTGGACAGTCGTCATCATCACGGATCATGCACAAAGCGACATGACATGTCGACGTTGCATTGTTGTGTGGTTCTTCTTTTTCAACATTTTGCCCGATAAAATCGGTCGCGGCGCCGGCGCCGGCGTTCGATCCGATCTAGCTACCGCTGTAGTTAGCAACTCAAAAAGCGGTGGAGATACCAAACGTATTTGATTGATCCGATCTTGAAAAGGAGGGACAATGATTGATGTGGGACTGTGTTGAGTGGACTCCCACTGAGTCCCAGCGGACTCCCACTGCATATACCAGTATACTGAGTCCCAGCAAATCGTTGTTGGGTTGGTTCTGTTTTGGGAGCTGCGATCCCGAATGCGGTGGGGCCATCATGCGGGCACGCATGCTCGCTGCGGCATGTCGCTAGCTCTAGCGCTAGACCGCTAGCGCTAGCCGCGCTTGTCGCGGCGGAGGATCTGCCATAAAAAAAGGTATAAATCTACGTAGAAAAAGGAAAAATTATTTACGAGCCTGACATGATGTGATGACGTATGATCATGATGACGTTCTTGAACGTTGACCACATGCACATGCTGTCATGCACACTCCGGCACAATGAAGAGTTGTAAAATATTGACAACAAACTGCCTCCACAGTAGCTCTCTGCACATGCGCACTGACGGAGTATAAAAAGGAAGCTTGGAAATCGTCAATTCCTCTTCTTTTCCATCCAGACGTTTGTTGTAGCACATCGTCGTCCATCGACTTCGATCAAGATGCCTGCCGCAGTAAGTCAAACATGACTGCTAGAAATAGAATCCCTCTGAAAATATGGAGAGCGCCTGAGGAACTAATGTAATCTGAGGAACTCCTGCAATCTTGTTCTGCGATATTTTTTATGTAGCGTAAATCCCAAAAGTCCAAGAAGGAGCAACACAAGTTTGTTCTGGACTGCACCCACCCAGTCGAAGATGGGATCCTGGATGCTTCTGCCTTTGTAAGTATTTGGTTGTTCTATTACGTTCTATGTGTATGGCACTGAAGTAGTGTCTCCTGTACCAACTCTCCTAGGGCTAGTTCCCTAGTAAGAGGAGCTTAGGGTCTTCTTCCCTAAAGTGTTAGGGCAACCTTCCCTAACAGTAACTCCTCCATTTGTCCAATAGGAGCAATTCCTGCACGAGCGCATCAAGGTTCAGGGCAAGATCGGAAATCTTGGAAATGCTGTCTCAATCACCAGGGAGAAAGAGCGCATTCACGTTGTCGCAGACATTCCCTTCTCCAAAAGGTAGGCCTGCGTGCGTACGTGTTTTTGTGAATTTTTTGTTTTTAAATAGTGTTTGGTTGTAATCAACTACTATCGTGGTGCATATCAATTGCTCCATTTTTATACAGGTAGCATTTTCATGGTGTAATCGGCTCCGAACAAAAATGTGGCTTTAGAGTTTCGTGTCAAAAGCCTCGTTTCAGTAGCTGGTTGTGAACTCTCAAGCCGTAACTTTTTTACCATACACATATGCAGCATCTATCTTTCAGTTACTCCACACAACATCACGTAGCAGTGCCGTGATTGTTTCGAATGCCACAATTACTTTTTCCAAAGTAGTGTGGCGCGTGTGTGCTAATAAGCAAGTTTCACTAGAGTCATTACTATCAGTCACCACCACTCCACAAAAGTCGTTGACACTGCAAATTTTATTCAAAAGAAAGGCTTCACCAGGGAGTACAATAATAATTTATTATTTTCCTCCATGATGAAGCCCCAGGGGCGAATATTTGGAGATCCAGTTCTTTTGAATATAATTTGCAACGTCAACGTCCTTTGTGTAGTGGTGGTGACAGTAATATGAATTGGCTGCAGTTGAGTGTTCTGAAAAACGTATTCACTAGAGTTGTGGAGTTAAAAATTGCAGATGCATGTTTCTGATTTCTGATCCTATACCTTTTAACCGTGGTTCACGGTATGAGCATGAATGAGAACTATGCAACCATTAACCTTTTGGTGGTGATATCTCAGGAACAGTTGCTTTATTTGTTCTCTGCTCCACTTTCTTGATCAGGTATCTGAAGTATCTTACTAAGAAGTTCTTGAAGAAGAACAACTTGCGTGACTGGCTCCGTGTTGTTGCCAATGGCAAGGCATCGTATGAGCTCCGCTACTTCCAGATCAATAACGAGGATGAGGAGAATGATGAGGATGAGCAGTAGATACAATAGCAGTGCTATCAATATACATCTGGTATTGCTCTGTTTGTGGTGTATGCAGTGAGTCCCTTTTAGAGCATGTGTGGCTGTGCCTTGTTTGAGTACTGTTCCCCGTATCTGCGGAGGATGTCTTGGGTTATCGAGGCAACCAATAGTTTGTTTGGGACACTGACTTTTAATAGCCTATTTGCCGACTATTGCAACCAAAAGTACGCAATTGTGGTCACTGTTGTATAAAGAATACATGAGACCCAGTGTGTGGCTTGCCCTTTATAGTTTGGTTTGAATTTCTGTCAACGTGATCCATTCTGCAGTTACCCAGGGGAGATTTCCATATTGCAGTAGTAACGCACACATAGGCGCATTTGCCTGTACTAGGAGATGAAGAAAAGAGAAGTCGAAGAAACTGGGATAACTCAAGAACGCGTTAACGGGTCTCTAAGAGTTGGGAGATATTTTGCACATGTAAACAATATGATACATTCTGTCCCTTTGGAAAAATGCGGCGAAGAATTCAAAATTCCGCGGGGGAAAAGGGGGGTTTTCTGCGGTAAAATCAAAAATCTGCGGCACTTTCTGCAAGTTTTTCACCCTCCTCGTAGAGGATATGACAACTTGTCGCATGAAGGAGCACTTTTCATACTATCCTTTGCAGTCACAAACTGAATTAGAGTGAAGAATCTTGGAGAGACCTGCACTGGCAAGAGAAATGTGCTCAAACAGATCGCAAAGTAGTTTTTCTGCTGCTTTCTGAGTAGTAGTTTTAGTAATTTACCCCAAAAAATTCAGATTCCGCGGGCAAAAGTGTGGATTCCGTGATTTACGTGGATGATGGCAACTTCTGCGAAATTTGCCGCGGCCGCGGAATCGCGTTTTTCCAAGGGGACAGAATATGAAGTGCCAAAGGGGCCGCGATCTTGAATTATGAACGTAGTATGCACATGTGTGTATTAGAAAAGGGAAATGCGTTCATTCATGATCGACACAACGCTTTTTAGCCGTAATTCACATGCGCTGATCCCAATCCGCGGGAGTCTCCAAGTTTCAACCACCTCTGAAGCTTGGAGAGCCTCCTAAAAGTCGGAGAGAATATAAGAACAGCTCTCGAACTTTTCGGAGAGCCTCCAACTTTTCCGAGAGGATTAAAGAACGCACCCTTATATGTACGTTAGTGCGGTATGATGTTGAAGATGTATGACAAAGTTTTATACCTGTCTCCGCGGAAAAATTATTTGAAAGTTACGCAAACATTACAGTGCATTTTGGGCTGAGTTTTTGTTGTGGCCTTGAGATCGCGATTTCCTGTGGGCCCGGGGACAGGTATGCAGTGATTGTTTTGTCAGATCCATCCACGTGGCCACTGGATTCATCAACTGTTCGAACAAATTTTTAAAAGAGATTAGTTGAAGTGTCCCATTAGAATGGTTTCTATCATTTTTGGAGTTTTTCAGTGGAATTGTCATGGCGATGATGACGTCCGATCAGATCGACCATCTCCACGTACTGCGTGACGTAGCTATTCCAAACTCTTTGGAACTAATCCACCTCTCCCATCGGATGAGGTTGTGGAGTTTCGAGGAGTTTCGTTTTTATGAAGAGGCCAATAAAAGGCCACCTCTTCACAAAAACGAAGCTCCTCGAAAAGTCAAAGAGTGACAATCGAGAGGTTAAGATGCACGTTATTTCTGACGTGACGCGAAAGTTCAGCTCGCGATATTTGGGTCGCGCGTCGAAAAATAACGCGAGTGACTTGCAGCTCACGTAGAAATTTGGAGTTTTACGCCAAATTTGATGTGAAATTGTAGCTGGCCGCAGTCTCTCTCGGAGGCAAATGCAGACGGGTCTCAGTGAACACACTGTTGTTAACTTTATTATTACTAAAGACTAGATTGAAGGTTGAACTCTAACTCTAAACTGACATAAAGAGAATTGTGAACAGCAGCTTTTATAGGGTGAGGAACTGTTAGTGTAAGAAAGCTAGCCTATGACCAGGGGATACGTAGAGCAGAAACAGAAAGGTCAAAGTAAAATGTGTGGGCCACAGTCATTGCACAAGGAATGATGCCATTTGATTCTATGCAGAAGAAGGAGCTGAATAGCAGTGTGGGCAATGGGCGTAAAAGAGGCACCGGGAAGACAGCCATTAGGAATTCTAAGGAAGCTTCATTAGAATGTGTGTAGATAAATGAAAAGGAGGTTGAAAGTGAAATGCATCAAAAGGGTCTACAGGGTCATGTGCTAGTATTGCTCAGGTCATCCTAGTGTGTGGGAGTAATACATGAACACAGTGAGACTAGTTACTATGCACGTCATGGGTCTGCAAGCACAGTAGCAAGAGTTGCAAGTGCAGGGTGCGGTGCGGTGTAACACGCGTGACCAATACATTGAAAGACACGCTGCAGCTGTGTAAGTAGTTACTAGCGTGCCAACGCTACAAAATTACGCGTCCCGTCGGAAATAACGTGCAACTTAACCTCTCTAATTATTATTATTACTTGCATGTACGCGTTGGAGTCAACCATGCAAGCATGATCCACAACTTCGCTTATGCTGAACATGATAAACAGGACTATGACAGGGGAAAGAAATTGAGCTAGAACGATGATACAATGATATAATTATCATATACAATGTAGCTCATGGGTATTGAAGATATGTCATTTATGAATATGTCTTTAATTATGTCATTGAATATTGCAGCCTGAGTGATAATAATAGTGCTATTTCCTGAGTTTGACTGTTTCAGGACCTGTCGGAATATCACGATGCACAGATCTTCATGCATAGATCTCGCCATGCGGGTCGGTCATGGGCAATGGCTCGCAGGCTCTGCAGAGCGTCTAAGTTCCCGAGCAATCCGGCATTGGCTTGGCGCAGATCTCCCACCAATGCCTGCGGCAGGGTCGTCCGCGGTCTACCCCTCCAGCATTTCTGTTGCTGATTGGCGAAGTACGCGAACATAGCCATAACAGCTGGAGATTCATCTGCCATCCGCAGGATGTGGCCAAACAGCCTCCAGCGTGATCTCTTGACCATGACACTCAAGGGTTCAGCTTCGCATCTGGCATAGAGAGCATCATTCGGTATTATTTGTGGCCATTTCACACCGATGAGTGACCTTAGCTGACGGCGGTGGAAGGAATCCAGGCGGGACAGAACGGTCACACTGACCCCCCACGTACCCGAGTTGTACGTCAGTACTGGAACAATAAAAGTGCTGTACAGCCGCAGACGCAACTTCTCGCTGATGTGCTGATGCCTCTTCCAGAGGCTCCATAGGGACTGAAATGCTGCAGTCGCCAGCTGTTTTCGTCGCATAATATCCTCTTCGTCGCCCAGCAGCGAACCCAGCTTGCGCGTTGTCCTCCACTCTTCATCGATCCTGTCCGCACTTCTGAAGATGTCCGTATACTCAGTTTTGTCCCGGTTCATGATCAGGGACCACTGTGGTAGCACCGTGCTGGCAGTCGCCTCCACGTCCGCCAGCCAGGACTTTGAGGTGCTGACAAATTCTGCATCATCCGCATATACAAGTTCGAGCGGCAGACCGTTGTCGCTGAGAGGTCTTGCTGGCACCTCTTGCCTTAGTTGTCGGAGCGCAGCCTCCAGGTAAACCGTGAAGAGAACGGGGGAAAGGCAATCCCCCTGTGGCGTCCCCTTCGTTGTAGCAAATGATTCCGACTGGCACCTCCCAAGCTGAACACGAAGTCTGGTGTTAGAGATCAAGACCCTGATCAAGCGAACGTCATCGTCACTCAGAAACGCCTCCAGAACAGTCAGCAAGGTGTCTCGCTTGATCGTGTCAAAAGCCTTCGACAGATCAATGCCCAACAGGTGAACGGTGCTGTGGTAGCGCTGGGTCTTTGCCACAAGCCATCGATGCGCCCATACCACATCCGCGGTGGATCGGCCAGGGCGGAAGCCGCTGTGCGTCTGGGCTAGGTACTGGTCAACCTTGGGTCTGACTCGAGCTAAAGTGAGGAGTGACAGGGTCTTCCGCAGCGTGTTGAGAAGAACTATCGGACGTAAATTTGATGGTGGTCCCAGCGGCTTGTTGGGTTTCTGAAGTGGGATCAGACTGCCACTGCCTATATCAACCACCTCGTGTTGCTCAAACATGCCGTTGAAAATGCTGGTCAACACAGGAGCCAAAGCATCACTTGCATACTACCTCTCTAATACGAACAATAATTTTTCGCGGCGCGCAAATTTTGCGTTTTCAAGAATTGCGCTGGTTCACGATGAGAATCTTTCGCAATTTGATCTGTTTAGTAGGATCTTGTACTGTCTACATGTACATGTATACAGTCAATGTACAGAGCAGTTCACAAATGTGTGATGGTTGCGAAAATGGCGAAATTTCAATCATGGCTCTAGTGAATGTTTCTCACTTTTTTGGGTCCAAAATGACGCCATGCAGAAATTTCAATCCAAATACCGCATACTAACATACAATGTACACTGTAGTAGCAAGAGTACTCTTGATACAGTCGTCCCTCTCTAATCCAGCACTTTATAATCCAGCACCCTCTATAAACCAGCACAATTTTCAGTAGCCAAATGTCCTCTTCATGCACATTGCAGCAGTAGATCAGATTTGTTAATCCAGCACCCTCCCTAATCCAGCAGATTTCCGTGGCACAAATGGTGCCGGATTATAGAGGGACCACTGTAGTAGTATATAGGGCGTCGTCGCCAAAGTATTTTGTCATCCCTGAAACGAACATCGTTCTCAACTGCATTTCCATTTTCGTACTCGGACTCCCTCCCCTTCCTCTGAAATGAACACAGCTTGCTATGCTGGACGACAAAAATCTCATGCGTGTAAATGTATACATGTACATGTATGTACCCCCCCCCCCCCACACCTACCTGTATGTCAATGATGTTCGTTTCAGGGACGACAAACACTTTTACGACGACCCCCATGATACTGTGCTGCATGCAGCTACATGGATGTGGCAGGTGACCTGCTTGAATAATAGTAATAAAATAATTTATATTACCGGGATGACCTGAATCGTGCTT